CCAAAATTAACAAATCGCCCCCTCTGGGATAATGAAAACATCTTAAAATGTAAACATCAGATGATGTATATGTAGGTGATACGATTGATTGCTTTGGTCTGGTGGCTGCACCGCTAGTTGAGGCTAAACTGCTAATGCTACTTGTGCTGTTAGCAGTGACAGACTGTGCTGATTCTGCTCACATTTTCATGCTTTCCCCATAATCAGTCAAACCTGTGTTGCCAGTTTTCGAGGGCACCGACTGCTGACATACCTTACACATCGGCTTAATTGCTCAACGTCACTTTGGCGATACCAGAACTATCGCCACACAACCGACGTTGAATAACTTTTCTTCTCAACAATGGTATCTTTGGAAGATGACTCAGCTCCGCGTTCAGTCATTCTGTTTACTTCTCCTGTTTACTTCTCTGGCAACTTACAGAAGTGAGCAGGAAAAGCTCAACTCTGATTGGCTGTTGTCACACACATTTCCACCATGTTTGATCGAGTAAGTATGCTTACAGCTGATCACCATGATCATATAATCGCCCAGTCCTACTTCAGAGAGACTGACTCTCTAATAGGAAAAAGTGAGGAGGTTCATCACTCTGTGAGAGACTGTGTGACTTCGGCAGTTTCAGACTAACATTACTCAGTGTAAGGTTTAAAAGGACTAGTTGATTTCATCATCTCCTCTACATAATATCATCAAAAGAATCTGGAGAAATCTAACTCAAGTGTTGAGACATGGTGGCAGTATTTTGAGAGTTCACAGTTGAGGTTGCACCAGTGTTTGACACACATAGACGATACCTGGGTGGCTGACACATGGGATTCAACCATTATTTATACATATAAATTGAAATCTATGGTTGAACAAATGGACAATCTTTCTATCTCTTCTCTCTCTAGGTGTGTTGATTCTACCTACCAGAGAAAGAAAGATGTAATGGATAAAATTGAAGAAAAGAAAAATGTAATTTCCATACACCCTCCTGTTTTCCTGCTATGACAAACCTAAAGCGTCACCCAAAAGGCCATATTCTGTACTTCCAAGCACCTGGCGTAATGTAAATATGGCTCCTCAATGAGGTGGTTTCCAAGAACTGACATCATGGAGACAGGTTATTATTAGAAATATCTGCGATGGGTTAAAATAACAGATCGATGATGTGCTGTTTATTGCTCCTGAGCGTTGCTGCTCCTGTTCGTTCTGGTCACTGAGTGCTCGTGGAGCATTTTTGGGCTCTGTAACATCCAAACACAAACAAAACATCAATCACATTCATTTCAAATAAAGTATGAAACAGCTTCAGATCTCTTTATTATCATTCCAAGAGTTATACAGTGATGGATGTGTGTTTTGATCAGTGCTGCACTTTGTTAAAATATTAGCTGAAAGGAACAACTGAAGCTGGAAAGGTGGGGACTGAGTATTTCAAGTGCACTCCTAAATCCAAATTGACAAAGCAAGAAGAATGGATATTATAATGGTACCGATGTTATCACTAAATCAATAGATATTCTCTGCTGCTTCACTGTTTCTTTTAGATTATTAAAACACAAAAAAGCTTAAACTGGAGCGAGCCCATGTCAGTGAACCGTTACCCAAAGTGAACTTATGAACATACTGATAAGGCCATGGACATTTATTTCTCTTTTTATTCATTACAAGAAAATCGCAGCTTTCATCTCGTCTCACAAAGTCGGCCCTCTCCTAACCTCGCTAGATAACAATGCTAACTAAAACAGGGTATGCTAGCAAGATAACCACGTTGATTTTGGGCCCAGTTCCTCCTTTCGAACAAAGCCAGCAAATGGTTATAAAGATGAATTTACCATATTATTTCTGTGGTGTGAGGTGTGTTGGGGATGGTTTTTCTTCTCTCCAATCTGCTCAGAAAACAATCAGAGACTCCTCAATGTGGCACTGTATATATCAAACATGTTCAGTATTTAGGATCAGAAATCCTTATATATAGGGAGACTGCATGACGCCCATTGACATGTGGGAGAACTCGTCAGACAATCGGAAAGCAAGCTGACTAGAGAAGCAAGCACAAGAAATGCAACCATGGCAACGATAGTAATGCACATCAGAAATGTAGACCCACTACCACTGAAATGCCTAAACGGAGGAGTTGAAAAGAAACTACTACATCAATGAAAGTATCAGGAAGCTCTAGTAGTTCACCATGTTTGTTTACTCTAAAATCAAGTTTGACCATTTGAGAGATTTGACAAGATTTCTGGTTATGTGAGCCAGAGATGCTGCTGGTGAATGAGACTTCGGTAATCCTTCGAGCGGTGGAGAAAGCTCCGCCAGGATTTGGGCCTGAAAACAGACGCCAAGACAGCAAAGTTTTTGTTGAACAGGTAATTTTGCCTTTTATCATGGCAAATGTTACAAAAATAACTCTTATGAGTCTCTGCAATGTTAACACGGAAGCTGTTCAGGCAGCTGCAGACGGTGCTCGCTAGCAAAGCTGGCGTCTGCTGCCGCTAGTCACTAGCAATCTGACTTGGAGCTAGCATAGGATCTTCTGCCGGCTGGTTTCTTGCTCTGCCAGAGGGAGTGTGTCGTGGGGAGGGTGATACATGTTCGGGGGCATTTATCATAGAGCACCCAGGGGAGAGGTTTGTGTGTTGGGGGTGTGATGCTTTTCTCAAATCTGCCTCAACGGCTCAGTTTTTTTTAGCTGTTTCTCAGATCGTCAACCATGCCTTTAACTTGAATGGAAACTATCAGCGGCACCGTTTTCGCCACCGTTCTGCATGCGGTGAAAATTTGGGGTAACTCTGACATATAGGATAAAATGTTTGGACAACTCCACAGCCCTAATTGTCTGAAAACAATGTAATGGTAAAAAAGGGTTTTTAATTTTAGCATAGCATGGGATCTTATTCATTTGATCTTAAGTTATTGTTGAGTGGCAACCAAATTATTCATGTAGAGTTGTACCGTCCTCAGAAACAAGGTGGTTGGTGTGCAACACCTCAGCGTTCTCCATCTGAAATGTTGGAAAGTTTGAATAATTCACAGACTTTGCCATTAGTTTTTTTTCCATAAGAGTTGTTGGCTACAGCAAGAAGTAGTTGGTTAAAACAACTGTCTCTAAATTTACTCAGATCAGATATCAATCTGTGGTTATTAAGCTGCAAGTTTATCCCATTTTTCAATAATAAATCTGACAGACAGAGTGAGTGAGATATATCCTCAGCATTTGTGAATGGTCATTTTTGTCAATGGTTGTTAACGAAAGAAGCTTTACTGCTTCCTCAAAAATAATAATGCCTCTTTTCCAGCTCAGATTAGGCTGATTGTACTTGGTGACACACGACAGGACAAAAGTGAGGTAAACAGACAGTAGCCTCTCAGCCCGCCGCCTGACAAACAAAGCCTTATTAATGGTCACCACGGGTTCTTTTGAGACAGGTCACTAGGAGAAGCCGGGGAATGCATGGAAATGCTTGAATGGAAAGTGGCAGAATGGATTCCAGGGAGGTCTGCGGTTGTTTTGCTGCTGATGGGTATGGTGCGTTAAAACTTGTCACACAAAGCCCAGCAGAAGTACACTCTCTGTAAACTTTCCGGGAGCTTTTTAAACACTGAGAGTGCCAGCTTGCCCGAGCAGAGATGGAGCAGGAGGCACAGCCGAAATGTCACCGTCCACACACAGTGCAGGTCTGCAGCCACGCTGTGTTAGATTCTACCTTTGTATTTATATTACCGTATGTATTTAGATTACATGGCTTCTTTGTGTTGAGCAAGTTAAACACACAGGCCATTATTCATGATGCCAGCTGGGAGCCTGTTCAGCAGCACTGAGGAGCGGTGATGCTGGATCACGTTGAAGCAGGATGGGTGGAGTGATAGCAGACGAATCGTTGAACGTCACCGACTCACCAACAGTCTTTCAGCGTGAGACGCAGTCCTCGATCGCTGGAGTAAAACAACGCAACAATAGATAAACAAGGAAAATGCATAATTTCTTAAAAAGTGGAAGTTTAGGCATATTTTTTTGATTAGTCAGTTATATATAAGGTCAATTTAATAACAAATATAGATGCTAATTTATGCCAGTTGATGCAAATATGGCTAATTATTCACATGACCCTGTGTCGTGTAAACTGTCAGCATTGAAAATCCTTCAAAAATCCTGATCAGATTAGAAATACAAGGAAAAATACAAAGTGTAAGGACATATAATAAATAAATAACATAATAAATGCATGACCTATAGGCTGACCTAGGTTGTGGGGTCCCTCAGGGCTCTGTTTTAGTGCCCATTTTGTTTTGTTTTAGAAAGCATATTTCTTTCTATTGTTTTGAGGGCTTACGCCTTTTCCTATACACACCTGGTGTGACGCAAATAAAATTTGCATATTTGCATAAAAATACGCCACAGGAGAACAGGGAGGTAAAGAGAAGAAGGAGAAACAATGGCGACTACATCCTCAAGTGATGAAGACCTGGTCATGGTTGTAAGCCTATTAACTAATTAAAAGAAAAAGAAGAATCAAAGTGTCTGGGTACTTCCAATACTGACCTTGTGACAGGAGATGGGGGAGCGTCGCACAATGATTCAGGAGCTTAAATTGTATCCTGGGAAATTCCGACAACACTCCAGAATGTCCCTCTGACAATTTCAAGAAGTCCTCCATCAGCTGACTCCACTTTTGCAGAAGGAGAGGACAAATTACAGAGAGACGATCGATCCAGAGCAACGGCTTGCCACATGTCTGATTTAGATTTATATTAGGCTATAGATTTATACGACAGTTCATCTGTGAATGTTCGCAGAATTTGCTACAGGGGCAAAAATTTTAGTTGCTTCTTTGCTCTGCAGAAGTTTTTTTTCTTTCCCCAAAATAATGATTAAATGGAGTTAGACCAGGAGTAACATAAGGTTATCAGAGTAGAGTTAAGTTAGGAAAAACATGTAAATTTTACTTGTTATAAATAAAGAGCCAATTAAATGAATAGAGCTGTTTGTCAATGTTGCACTACTACCCCTATGCTCCTCCATTGTTGGTCTGTTTTAATTGAATTGACTGTCATTCATCGTTAATCATCAAGATAAAGATTCCTCCACATTTCTCAAGGTCCAGACATCCGCCCCCCTTATTAAACAGCTGGTGTATTTTATTGATGACAAGTTCCAGATTCTGTCTGATAACACAGTAACCTTGAGTTTTATCATTGTTTGGCCCAGAAATGATAATTATATGATGTCTTTATTTCCTGCAGAAGCTCTTAAAAACCAGCCCTGAGTGTTCCTGTGAACTGGATTAGTTAGAGCCGGGTTCATACGAGGTCATGGTCACTCCTCCTCCTCCTCTGATTTGTATTTTTCAGTCTCTTAGTCTGAGAAAAAAAGAATGTGATGAATTCTGATCATATTATCATTTTCAAACTTGTGATAAAATGTTTAAACCAGCTCACAGTTTGTTAGTAAATTGTCTCTCAGTGAGTGTGCTGTGGATGACGTGCAGGATGAGGCCTGAAACACTCAGAGGGGAAGTGCAAACACAGACGTTTCTCCCTGTGTGTCTGTTTTTGTGTCTCAGTGTGCGATATTTGACATATTTAGACCTCTGACCTCCTCAGCTTGCTGTCCTCTGCAGCTCGGCAGGATGCTCTGAGATCTTCAGACCTCAAGATGGGAGGGAGCACGGTGGAGAATCTGCTTAGAGATCTTAATGTCGCAGTAATATTTCTGTATCCACCACATGCCGGAGCCTTTGAAGCTTTTAGAGAAGGCGGGACAGGATTGGGAGATGATGATGGTGATGGATTTACAGACAGTGTGTTTTTCATAACACTCCAAACACCTCTGGTCAACCGTAAAGAATCAACGGATCTTCTTCTCTGGAATATCTTAATCTCTCTTGGCATGTGCGACCAGACAGGACGCCATGCACGCTCCTACTGCTGCTGCACGCCATAGATATAGTAAATTTCCGTTAAATATGAGTATATAAGCACGTGTGTGTCTGGGACATCTTCTGTTGACGAAATGCGGTGGCTGGACTCCCTTGGGTGATCGATGGCGATAAAGACATCAGGCTAAACAGTATGAAGGAGGGGAACACTAGAAAACCAGCTGCATTGAAACATCGTGGTCTGCTGCTCCTTATCTTCCCTCTTTCCATTGAATTAGCTCACTTTCTGCAGAATTAGATTAGATTTTTTTTGAAGACCTACAATACTCAAGAAATGTTTATTTTTTTAAGTGACCGCAAATTAAAAGTATAAATCAAACAAGAACATAAACATTACTCAACTGAAAGCTTGAAGCTTTGGTGTGTTTGCTCAAAAAACACGACTCGCTTGTTTATTGATAACAAAGATCAGTCAGATCTGTTGTTTTCTTTTTACTCCTTCACAGCGTCCATTATTTCCAACTATTACTAATCAACCACAGGACAGTTTTCCCGTTCTTACTCAGTCCATCTTAAGCCGAAAGAACTCTGCTTCCATGATTTCCAAAAAGACTGTCAGATTTCGATTCTTGAGGTCTAGAGGAGTCACCAGCATTTCTGGATTATGGTTTTATGGTTTTATGGTTTCCTCTTTACATGGTAGAGTTCAAACCTGTACTTGTGTGTGCAGAAACATTCTGAATTTATAGACATTCGATTTTCTGAATCTTCAAATGATATCATGTCGATGATAGATCTACTCATTTTTGCAATAAATGCTGAACATTATTCTGAAATTGTCCAACTCTTTGCTCACACAGTCTCTCACAGAGTAGTGGACTTTTCCTATTTTCACACCTGAGAGACTCACCCAGGATTTCCACCGCATCTGGAACGGCTCCGATCTGGCCTATTCCTTTTTTTAGGCGGATTTCGTGGCGGATTACAGACAGACGGAATAGCGAGAACTCACGAGAACCTGCGGATTCACGTGCAATCGCGCGATAACAAGTTGTCTTTAGCCACATAGGCTAACCATATAAGCAGTAGATCGTGTCCTTCCAGAAGAGAAAATCTACTTCTAGACCTTCAAAATCAGCGTCTCCTCATCCATGGTGTCATCGGGGTGAAATGCTGTCTGAAAAACTTTCACTTGTTCATCTCCGCTTGTTTTCATGGTGTGAAATACGATCCGCCTGATTCATTTTAAAAAGAAGCCTGATGTTTTATTGTGTGTCTGTGCCCGACTTTCTTTCCAGCACAGGTTAATCTGTGCTGAATTTATCTGGCATGCTCCAGCGTCAGGACAAAATAGAACTCTTGCGATCAGTTGCGGAGTCCTGCAATTCACAGCGAAACGAAAAGAAGCCGGTGGAAAAATGGCACACATTAACTTGAATGGTTACAATCAGCTACGATCCGCAAATACGGCCTTTTCATAGCCATTTCAGATGCAGTGGGAATTGCTGGTCAGCCTTTCTGGAGTACTTCTTCATACCCGGTCATGTTAACCACTGGCTGGAAGTTAACCTCATTAGTTGAGAAATGTTCCCTTGGTGCTTTTTTAGCATTACACTACTTTCTTTGAGTACTTTGTTGTCCCTGTCCTGTATTTTGAAACATGGTATTTTGTGTTTAAACATTGGATATTTTGTCTGTTTTGATTACTTGTCGGGTAAATATCAACTTTGTATTCATTTTTACCGGATTACTGGTGAATATCTTTCTTAAAAACAGGTTTGATTTACAGTACTGTTCAGTGGCTTCAAACTAACAAATATATCTGTGGATTAATTTCACTCAGCCCTCATCAATAATTGATCAAAGCTGTTGTCAATCATTAGGATAATCTGCGTTGAAGACATTACACCAAGTCTTCGCCTGCCTTCATTCTGTCTTGTTACCGGTCTTTCGTAATGTGCGGCACAAACAGTTATTGTGGCCTCTCCTTGTTTATTTGAAACATGTGACCTCTGACCTCTCTCCAACGCTCTTTGTGCCATAAGTTAGAGCAGCTCTGTGTATGCGTGGACTGTCACCCGCTGCTTTTAGGGGCCTCTAGACTAAACCACAGCGGTCATAAAACAGGTAAAAGTAACAGAAAATGCTGGGCTGCTTTAGAGCGGCTTTAAATGAATAACCCTGTGTCCCAAATCCAAGACCGAGCTGCAGGAGGGACTTTTAGCTTTATTGTTTTATTTATTGTTTTTAGTCATTTCTTTGTTAATGTTTCATCTACTTCCTTCATTTCTCACCCACTCCAATCTTTGCTCTGCACAGCTTTGTCAGGCTGTCATCTCTTATGAATCCCGTAAACGCTGGCTTAAGAAAGAGCTCTGTGTTTTCTTGGATTCCTCTTCAAAAGATCGGCGTGGTGTTTACAGGTTGGAGAGGGCTGGGCTCAGCGGCGTGGAGCCTGCACTCTTTAAGACGATGTCTTGTCTGTCACTTGACAGTTGACTGCCGAACAGCTTCGCAAACAGACCCCGTTACATTTTCCATTCGAAAAATCCTCAGCGCGCCAGCATGAGCCTCTGTCTGTCCATGTGTGTGTGTGTGTGTGTGTGTGTGTGTGTGTGTGTGTGTGTGTTCGCTGCAGCCAGATGGGGGTTTTCCTATAAACAAGTGTACAGGCAGTATTTAAACAGACTGTGGCACCTGACGCCATAACACTCCTGACACTCTGTTTAGTGGCCACAGTTGCCATAAGTCACTTTAGAGGATTAAGTAAATATTTTCATTCTGACCACGTCCATGTTTATTATAGAACCACAAAACTTCTAAATCTCCCCAAATCCACAGTTAGGAAAATCATTTAATAACAATCCAGCCAGAGTGAAGCATAGTCAGAACAGAGCTTATCTTTTTTCATTGTCTGGAAGTTTATTTGTGGCTGTTTCAGACAGGCTGCTGACAGCCTTATTGCAGTGTTTCTTTCAGGCTGTTTTTCTGTAAAGAGATCCCTCGGTTTCCACACATGTGGACATTGACAGTGTTATTGTATTATGTTGTGTGTGGCGCATGATGTAGAAACATCAACCAAGCAGCTTCAAACTGGCTGTGGGGGACATAAAAATTAATATGATTATTGTATTTATGGTATTTTTTAATGTCATGATGCAGCATATGTTTTCAGTGGCAGAAAAGTCCGGACGCATATTAACTGTTGACAAATACTACCCCCTCTCACCAGTTATAGACATTATAAATGACACTTTGGTAACACTTTACAATATCCATAATTTATAAATAGTAAATAGATAGTTTATTTATGTTTAATCATCATTTAAAAACAACATGTAGACCAATTATAAATGGCAAATATAAAGTTTATGAATGTAAGTGAATAGTTACTTTGTAAATGTTTAATATTTGTTTTTTTTTAACCATCTATAAACATTACTAAGATGGTTTTTGTAAAGTTGCAACTGATGTTTGTAATACTTTGTAAATGATCAATAAGTGGTTTATAAACCACCTATAAACATTACTTAGGGTTAGGGTTAGGTTTTTAAAATTGTAAAATTTACAATTTATTAATGGTCTACATGCTATTTATAAATGATGATTAAACATTAATAAACTATCTGCTTACCATTTATAAATGGTCTATTTACCATTTATAAGTTATGATTATTGTAAAGTTTTACCGACACTTAACACATTTCCAGTGATATTGCAAAAATCCTCAAGTTTGCATTTATAAGCCATGATAAGGCATCATTATTTTCAGTCTGTTTCATAACCCGTTAAAAACTCCCGATAGGAGCTTTAAATATAAGGTCTAAATAATAAGAATCTGTTTTTATCAATATTTTACAGAGCCCCAGCCATAGACTGAATATAGAATGGACGTCATCTGCCTCCTCGCTGGGTGAAGCCACTCTGAGAACAGCACCCTCTGGTGACTGGTTGCAGTATAGGTCATAAACGCCGCCTCCTCCAGCAAAATGAATGGAGCTGTGGACAAACTTTAGAAATCAATTATACAGAATACATTTTCTCCCCCCTGGCTGCTATGTTGACATGTAGATAGTGAAGACTGGTTTGTGCTCAAGTCCTCTTTTTTCTGTACAGCTCCACGCAAATGCTGGTTTCAGCAAATAGGGAAAATTTAAGAAACACAGAGAGCAATTTGGCTTCAAATTGGCATAAAGACGGGAGGAGGAGCCATGTTGAACATACTATATACAGTCTCTACCCCATCTTTGTTGGAGTAGTTATAGTACTTAATTTATTAAAACCAAGTTAACAAAAACACCATTATTAGCACTAGTGGACCATATCTCTGCGTGTTTTTGTGGGTAAATTAAAAAGTCTTCAGCAACGCGTCAGCCAGTTGTACTTTAGCTGGAAGAACTAAACAAGTGGACGTGTGTTATTCCATCAACTCATTATGGTTTTCCAGCCCAAATGTGCAAAACAAATGTTATGAAGCAGAACTCAGGACAGAATTATTTGAAAACACTCCCCCCATATTGATTGGAAAATAAATTCACAATCATCAGTTGGAAGTCCTGGACTCAAACCAACATAAATATTACCGTCCATGGAAGCCTCCTGTATGTCTGGCCCGGCTTCAGCTCGCTGGTGGTCGCTCGGAGAGTGTGAGAGAGGCAGGACCAGACTAAAGGAAGGCAAAACATACCAGATGTGACCACTCATTGAACCGTGTATTAATGAAAGACGACCAGGTCTGATGAGGAGATCCAGTGAAGGTTAAACGTGTGAATCTTTGGCTCCAAATATAAAAACTAACAAACACAGAGAGTATTGTAATTCACCATGAATTACTGCAATCTGTGCTCCAGTTTCCAAGTAAAATAAAACAAACGCTTGATTACAGTAAAGCTGCTCATGAATGCCACTAGAAATACTTAAATGACATTGTTAGAGCACCAGTGTGCTATAATGGGAAGAAGACAACAAGAAGCCAACGGCCCACCTCCAGTTTGAATTACTCCAAATGTAGTTTATTTGTATTTTTACAGCCTGTGCCATATCTTAGTCAGTGAGATGGATAACCTCGGGGTTTTATTTCACCAGACGTACGTTTTGCTCCATCTTTAGACTATGATTCAACAGCACTTCAAATCCAATAAAACCTCTGATTGGATGACATTATCTGGTTGTTTTGGTTCTTCGTTTCAAGAAACTCTGGTTTATGTTTGCAGGTCTCTCCTCTGCCTTTTACATTTGTTTGTTTTTATTAAAAGATGCCCTCTGGGGTCTGTTTTACCCTTTCTCTTAGCGTTTGTTTTAAGGTCTGTGCTCTATCATTCAGTTGGTGCTTATGGCTGTTTCAATGTGCCCTTTAATAACTTCTACTAACAGGATTGAATAACTTCAGGTACCCTTATAGCATCAGTTACAACACAGCCTTGGGCATCTGTTCTGAAGTTACCTTTTTGGCATTTAGGACAATTTACCCTCAAGCATCTGTATCAATTGTGTATATGTTTGTGTCTCTATTGTCGTAGGGTTAAGACCATAGACTGTGTATAGAATGGACGCTGTCTGCCTCCTCTTTGGGTGAAGCCACCGCAAGAACAGCACCCTCTGATGACTGGTTGCAGTATAGGTCATAAATCCCGCCCCCTCCAGCAATCCCTATGGAGCTGTGGACAAACTTAATTTATGTATCTCACAGAATTTAAAATTTTCTCCCCCCTGGTTGTGATGTTGACATGTAGTTACTGTAAGACTGATTTGTTCTTAAGTTAATTTTTAAAAGTTATTAGGGGCAGCACTGCTCACAGATTTTTTTTAAGTAAAATAAAATGTCATTTTCACACGTGCCGCCTCACCTAAAGTACTACTAAATATGGTAATATAAGCCCCCTTTCGCTGGGTTCTCTCTCACTTTACAAAAGTGCAAAAATGATGTCAAATACTATTTACAAAATGTACAAGGCAAAAAAAGAAAATGCCAACAAGGCAGGAGTTCCTCTATAACTCAAAAAAGATACACAGCAGCAACAGAAAAGTCAGTTTGGCAGTTGCTGTTAATGCAACAAACTCTAGTCTCAAAGAAAGGCCCAGGCAGCTTTCTTTTAAACCCCCCCCAGCCCCTCCCAGTGGGCGTTATTAAAATATAAATTTTTGGGGGAAAACTCATTTTTCTCAAATTTAAACAATTTTTACCATTTTTAACCTTTAGACCTTTTTCATGAATTTTCTGTAATTTTAAGTTTTTACACAAATCAATGGAGCATTAATTATTAGGGATTTGTGGCAAGCAACAAGGGAATTAATTTTTCTTGCATTATGTGACCACTTTCACCCTCCATACCCACCTATTTTACACCCGGAAGTCGCGCGCTCTGTTTCTCATTTGGAAACCTGAGCCGGCATGACGACGAATAAATGGACACCCGGCAAGTAAGTGGAGAGATGAATGTCTGTGTGAATGTGTGTTTAAGTTTGAGTTAACTGATTGAGCTCCAAGTGTGCAACCTTGGTTACCCGAAAAGTAGCGCTGTTTAGTGCGTGCGTGTATGGCTCCATGCGCTGCCAGCAGTCAGTGTGGACGCTGCATCGTCACGTCCGCTAAAAGTTAAACTGCTGTAGTATTTCTAATGTTAAAATAGTAGTAAGATTTCCACATTCATTGACAAAAAAATGTCTTACAGGATGGAAAGCAGGGATGACCGTTTTAGAAGGGGGATGATTTTGACCATTTTCATTTCAGGGGGGATGCCATTCCCCCTCACCCCCCCTCAACTCGAGTACTGATGAGGGGGTTCATGTTTTCTATGATTGACACTTGATACAGCCTATGCAAAAGAGAGCAATAAGGATTGTTAAAAAGGTATGATTCTTCCATCATTCTGATAAACTGTTTCTGAAATTAGGAGTATTAAAATTTGCCGATCTAGTTGAATTTAGAACTGCACAGACAATGTACAAAGCCGGTGTGTTTGACCCTAAATCAATCTTATGCCGGAATATCCCTTTAAGGTTTCTTTTAATCTATCTTTGCCATTTTTTAAATGCAGCATCCTGTATGGTTTGTTTGTCATCCATTACCACCAGCTCAGGACTGTTTCAAGGTTGTCCTGACATGTTGTCTACTTTTTTTCTAGATCTTGTTGGTTTTATGAGTTACCCTTTATTGTCTGTTTTGTATCTTTGTAAAGGGGGGTTAGAGATGACTTAGAAACCCTTTAGCATCAGTGTTTGCCACTTCAAACGGTTCAAAACAAGCACTAAAACGCCTGACTTTTAACTTATCTTGTACTTAAAGGTTTATTTTATCACGTTGTATTGTGTTAACATTAAACTGGGGAAGCTGCAGGCGCGCATATTTTCTTCTCACATAACTCGGTCTTTGTTATCTATGTCATGGCGTCTTGAAGTGTGACATCACGCAAGCAAAATCCTACAACCAATCATTTTAAAAGTGCAGGGTAATAAAGATATTAGCATCTGGAGGCGAGCGTCTCTCCCTGCAGTCACTCCTTACTCTGTGAGTCATTAGAGAGCGGGTCAGATAAAACACCGAGCATTCAGGAGATCGATAAGAGGACAAACCCGGATCAGCTCATCTTGATGAAGCTGCAGAGCCACGTGTCTCAGCTCTTATAGTGTGTTGACACAGAGCCGCAGGGCACTCAGATAGGATCAGACTATAACCTGGATCTTTTGAAGACCACCTTAATTCTCTCGGTCCATTCTTCTTCCTTCATTCCTATAGCAAAAGGGGCGCCTTTCTTCAGCCAGTGTCGGGTCGTAAAAGCGGCAAATTCCCTGATAATTATCACAGTATGAGCTAATGTGAAACATGACATTGAATGTGGATGTCATTGTTGTCATCTCTTTGTCTCTGAAGCTGTGTTTTCCTCCTCCTATCTCCACCTCGTCCCTGTCCCTGTGTGTAAATCATCAAAGTGGTCTCTATTTGTCTCTGGGTGGGCTCTGGGTGGGCTTTTAAGCGCGGCCCATCAGTTAAGGCTTCATTAAAGAGGGTCCTCCTGATGCTGCTCAGAGGAGTCCAGCCCTCCTCCAGCCTTTTAGCAGACACTGATTTACCGAGACTGTTGTTCTGTCTCTGAGGTAAATGCACCACTCTGTTATTGTTTGCCCGGCTGATGTTTATGTACAGTACAGCGTGGAACCCCCTTTTTGTTCTTCTACCACACACTACTCCTAATCTCCAGTGTCAAGATATGGCTGAGGAGATGCAGTGACTTCAGTATTATTTCCCAGAAGAGGCGAGTGGAATCTCAGAAACCTGCCAGGGCGTCTTTTCCAAGATTTTACAAAGAACTTTGTTCAAATTTTTATCAAAGATAACTGAGAGCTCTCAGGTGATAACACAACCTTTGGCAGCCATGTTGGAAAGACTTTGGCAGCACAGGCTGCAGACAGCTGGCCCTGTCTGAATGTGCTCGGCTTAATGGACACTTTTTATCAGACAAACTGAATGAAGAGCTACCCAAACATTATTGAGAGGAAGGTTTGAATCCTAGATTTGGGTTTTAATTTAACCATCATCTTATCAGTTAATGCAGCCAGACATTTTGAGCAGACATGATGAGAGCCTACCTGGGCTGTCTCTGTGCTAAAACTACTGGCCTTTGGTTCCCAATCGAGAAAAAACGACCTCTCAATTGAAGAAAGTTATGTATCTTCTACGGTATCTACAACATTAAGAATGTGAAGCTACTCCAACAAATTCAAAATTTTAAATGCAAACATTTGGACCACATTTTGCGTGTTAGGCGAGTCACAACCTGAGCACCAAATGCAGCTAGGGAGTAGCAAAATGTGATTCACCATCCTAATGGAGGAATTTGGAAGCTGTGATTGGCTATTTGCCCTGTCAGTGTCCCATACTAAACTTCAGAACATTGGCCCCTCTACCCAATTCGACCCACATACATGAAAATCACTGGGCGTATTAATCATGCAAGGACCTACAAAAAACCTTGATGGACCCAACCTCTAATCCCAGCAGGAAGTCCAGGAATTCAGCTGAATGTCTGATTTCCCTGATTTACGACATGCACATTTTAAAGGACCTGTTAAAGGGGTCTTGTCCTATCGACTCCTAAAGTTCACGGTGTATTGGAGACACACCGAAAATTAAAAATTCTTATAGGATTTTTATATGTTTAAAACTTTGATGTCTTGTTGTGGAACAGGAAGTTAATCTTACGTCCTTAAACAGTGTTTAATCTGTTTGTTGTTTCATTTACATGATAAAGGTCTAGCCCTGAACTCATCCTAACCTATCCTCATCTAATCTAATTTAATCTAATGTAATCTAATCTAATCTAACTTTACTTTACCTAATCTAACCTAAGTAATAAAAACATTTAAGCATAAAGTAATCCTTACTTGCTTTTAATTTCCTTGAGAGAACTTTCATAAGGATAAAGTTGTATCTTATTTGCTCTAACCTAACCTAACCTAACCTAACCTCATCTAATCTAATCTGATCTAATTAAGTCTATTCTAATTTATCTTTTCCTAATCTAACCTAACCTAACCTCATCTAATCTAACCTCATCCAATCTATCTAATCTTATTTTACCGAACCTAAACTAACCTTACCTAACCCAAACTAATCTAACCTAACCTCATCTAATCCAATCTAATCTTACCTAACTTAACCTAACCTAACCTAACCTAACATAACATAACATAACCTAACATAATCTAACCTCACCTAATATAAAATAAGTAATTAAAACTTTTGATAAAGTTATTTCTAATCTGATCTAACCAAACCTAACCTTATCTAATCTAATCGAATCTGATCTAATCTTACTTTCCCTAACCTAACCTTACCTTACCTGATATAACCTAACTTAACCTACGTATTTAAAACATTTAAGCGTAAAAAGTTGATAATTATTAAAAAATGGCAAATAAAAATGTAATAAAATGTGACTCAGATTGTAGATGATGATTGACGGCCCTGATAGCATCGATGAGGGGAAGGGGGAGCTTGGAAACATTTTTCAGAGGAAAAGTTTGGGAACCACTTGTGTGAGTTTTTGTTTCTATCGCAGGGTTCAAAGGTTCATATTGAGTCTATGCCTTTATATAGCATGATAAAACTCTGCAGTTTAATAGCCCTTTTTCAGAAAACCTCCTATCATCTAAGAAATAACGTGTCCAGATCCTATCACTCCTCAAAATATAGAAAATGCATGAATGAAATAAGTTCCTTTATCTCACTTGAACCCGACCTGTTAGATGTTAGTGCCTCATATCAGGTTTGATGACATATTTTGACTGGAGTGTACATGCTGCTGCCAGATTTGGTTCAGTTTATAGGTGAATGCAACAGTTTGGCTGATTTGAGTGCTTCATTCATCATGAGTCATCAGATTTTTGGCTGCTTTAATGTAAGAGCAGCCAAACCGAAAGCTAAAGCAGCGAAACATCACTCTACCTGTGGAAGTAATTTGTGTGGCATGTGTAAACAGTGAATCTTTTTGCTTTTGCATGCCAGGCTCGCGTGCAGTCTGTAGCGCTTCGTAGATTGATAATGTTGCTAAAGAGTCTCTTATTTTATTTGAGTAGGAACATTTTCTTGGTCCCAAACTGACCCTGGTTTTCCTCAGAACATTTTATCTCTTTTATCCTTCAGTATAAATTTGAGCTCTTTTAACTTTTGATGTTATTTTTCTCCCTGCAGGGATTCTGCAGTAAAGCTGGAGCCTAAAATGACATCCTAACCTACTGAAGGAGCCTCTTTGAAAATGTGCTATTTTTACAGGGCGTTGCATAAATTTATGAGAGTTTTATTGTCCTGTTAGCATATAAGCTGTTCTCCAAACAGAGCTTATTAAAGAAAACAGTAATGTATGTTTGTGGGGCCCTGTGGAGCTGGTCTCAGGAGCTGATGGTGCTGCTGAACAGAAAACCCTGCCTGTCTGTAGTCTGAGTTAGGGGCTCATATTTTACACAGACATCCAGCAAAGCTACTTCAAAGCTACTGAATCCTTAAAATCTTTGTTTTTAGTCTTTGATCTGAATGGAGGTGTCTGCACTTTGTTACTTGTAATGCAGGAGTTTGTGTTGCATGGTTGCATCTGTGAGAGGTCTTCAATCTCTGCAAACAAACAGACACAGGCTTCACCTTCTGCAGTGCTCTGAACTCTGAACAGAAACAATACAAAATCTGGAACTCTTGGTATTTTCTGCAAACGCTAACAAAGTTTTTCCACTGCAAAGTCGAGTATGACTGTTTACTGTGTCTTTTTCAGCTGTCTAATGGTGTCTCCTTCTCTTTAAAGGGGACCTGAGGTGACTTGAGGAGAGACATGTCACACAGTGGAGACTGAAGCGTGGGTTATGACTGCTGTGAAACGCTCTGAGGTCCTGGTCAGTGGACCAGAGGACAGGCAGAGTCCAGGACACCTGCAGAGAAAGACACGGGGTCATGAGGACACTGCTCAGCTGACGGAGAGGAGGGACAACAGACTGACGGAGGAGCTGCTACCAACAGAGGGACACAACGGTAAAGGAGCTATTTAATTTTATAAATGCTTGGACATAAATGAGGCTTTTGGGAGACAGCACCATAACCAACTTACTGACGTGATTTTTCAGCTAGAAAAAAAATGTGTCTAATTCTATGGTTGGTGATGTTTCCATGGCAACAGATTCTCAATCGAAATGAGTCGTACCACCACTTATGGTGTGAGTTACTTTGCAGATAAAGTAACTCACACTAAACAGTCATGCTGCTGTTGCCTGGATTGCAGGACACACTGTGGATTCACTTTTAGAGCCAGGTGGGGTTCAGTAGCTCCTCAGGCTGCTCTCATATCAATGTCCACCAACTGTCAGCAGAGTCATAGTACTTAACGCCAGGATCCAAACTTAGACATTTACTGCATCTGGGCTCTGATGAAGATACTTGTTTGTTTCCTGTTTCTTGTTGTTTTTGTTTTCATATTCAGTTTGGAGCAGCTGTCTCCTGTACTCACACCCGTGGGAGCTCATGTCTTTTTGCAACAGTTTTGCCAAGATGACTTAAGAGATTCCACAAATCTTGAGTTTCGCTTGTTGCAGTATATAAAGAATCAATAAGATGGATTTCAATATACTTGTCAAAAGTATCCTCCAAGTAGTTATGTAATAAATGCTTGATATGCTTTTGAGAAGTAACATTAAAATAATTGCAGACATCAGGGTTTCACTTAAAAGACACATCTTTTACTTGAAGAACATTAAATATATGGTTTTTGGTCAAATTTCCTGCATTCTGGTGAATATTTATGCAACATTCAGTTGTGGGAACTTCACTATATTAAAAAAAATCACAAAATTATTCATACATAATTAACAAAAATGAGTGCATCTTTCTGTGTGAGGCTTGCATTGTAGTGAGAATTCACCCGTTATTTTTCAGAGTGATTTTAAACCTGAGTAGTTAGATGTGAATCGAAAGACAAACACTTTCATTGAGCAAAGACTCTCTGGAGTACAGAAGCGTATTGCATTCACTTACAAAAAAAAAAAAGAAAAGAAAACTGTTTTTTTTTAAACTTGAATAAACTAAACAAGCGGGCCATGTTTGCTTCCAGTAAATCAAGCAGAGGGGGGTGAAAGCGTCTAATTAAAGCGTCAAATGATCATGATCCCAGAGAATAGGTAAAACAATTATTTCTGAAAAACAGAACAAAACAAAAAAAATGTGCTCTGAAAAACAGAACAAAAAGTCCAAAAAACAGAATAGAAAAAAATTACTCTGAAAAACAGCGCATTTTTTTTTAGGTGAATGAAGTATGCTTCAGCACAGGAGTATTAAATTTAGCTCACAAATTTTGCATGTCATTTAAACATTGACCTGAAACTGATAAAGGAGGGCCTTTCCTAAACATTTGATATCCCTAAGGGACATCCAGTGGCACTTTGTTTCACATTTTACATACCATAGGGACAATTAAAAGGCCATATTTGTATTTAATGCACCAATAGGGCATCAAGAAGACACTTTTTTATGTTTAACATTTTATGCTTGGACGGACATTCAAAAGGGTTCGTTTTTGTGTAATATACAGATTTGGCAGGGCACTTTTTAAAGTTTTATATACTGTACATAAAAGCCACCCAGAGGGCATTTTGCTCTATACTTACTGCATCTCGAGGTCACTTATGTTCTTTCTCATGAAAAAATATCTCAAAAGCCACTTTTTAGACATGTTATCTTCAGCTATAAGAGCCGATTTCACTCTTCTACTCTTCATTTTATGACGACACTTCTGCAGCAATCTTTTTTCTTTTCTAGAAGTTCAAATGCATTTTTTTTCTTTGGACTGTTTGAGGATAGAAATAAGTCGATGTTCGTTTTTCTTATTTCGTGTTCACCCTAAAAACTCTTCCATCGTGAAGGCACTTGTACTCTCTGCAAGTTCGATCATTAGGACATGTTGTTTTCTTGGACTTTTAGATGATTGATGAAGTTGTCGGAATCAATTAAAAAAGCAAAGAATTAAACGCAAACAAGCTCACCTTCATTTGATATGCATGCTGTTGTTGTAAAAGAGTTTTTTATAGTTGTTCCAGCCAACGTACACAGAGCAGGTAAACAGGTAAGAATGTGAGTCACACGTCTCTGCCAAGAGCGACCGCGAGCCAGATAAAACAAGACTGTTTGAACATTTTATTGAATCCTTCTGATGATAAATCCATTCTGAAATATCTCTGCTCTTCAGCTTCACAGCCCAAATCAGCCGCTAACATCACAGAGCTGAAGGTGAAAGCATCCGAGGAATCCTGCGACTTAAATCTTTATTTTTAGACTCTGAGGATAGTGAGAGCGACGCAGCGTTTCCCTCTCAGACCTGACAGATTTTCCATGATGTCACGGGCAGTGAGGGGAGTGAGAGTAACCCGGGAGACAGTTGAACATAAAGTGGAACCTCATTCAATCACTTATGTCTTAAAGCTTAAAGCGCTGATCGAGGCTTTGCTATCATTTCTAGACAATAGAAACTACAATGTAAAACAAGTCTGACACACTGGCCTGCTCTTGCGGTAATGCGGGTGTCTACTCTGTTTGTTGTCCAAGCAGCATCGACCAATCAGATATAAGCAGGCTTTGGTCTTTGCGGGAAAAACAGTCTGTATGGAGAGCAAAAGCAGGTGGAACATAGGCCTTCATTATTACCAGCTCCCATCAGCAAGAGATTTGAAGACAAAACCTGACAACTCGCTACTACTTGTTGGTGGGTACATAACACTAATATGGGAAGACGGTGGGAAAGAGAGGTAAAATACGGTAGTTTCTCAACTAAAACAGGATACTTGACAGCTACTGTATGTCTGAAGACAAGTTTTTGAAACTAATCAGCATTTACATATCATGACTTTTTTGAATGCATTAGAAATGAAGCATCTGAACCTTCACTTTACCAATGTTGATTTCTTCCCCTCTTGAAGAAAGACATGACAGAGATGAGACTCTCTTGGCTGGTAGTGATACATTGCTAACTGATGGCTACACCAAGATACAAGCTAGTTGATGCAGTCTTTAGATTTTTGGACTTAATCCAACTTCTACTCTTGACTCTAGGATTTGGTTTATCTTTAAGTCATGGTATTTTGATTCACTCACATCTGTCCCCAGCATTTTAATTTATATTATTGACAAGCCAAACTCAGTAATAAATGTGTTTTGAATATTTAAGCAACTTCCGAAGTTTTGTTTTTTTTAAGGGAAAATTTCTTCAGGCTTCTGAAACACATATTTTTCTATAACTGTGGAGAGCTGCTGGTTACAGTGAAGATTTTTTTTCATCGTATTCACTACAATAAGATGATAAATGACACTGATTATAAAAGTTATACATGTAGAAACAAACAAAAACATGTTTTCCCACTATAATGAAGTCATTTGAGGTCACTTCATTTTCAAATTTGGGACATATTTTAATTTCTTATTCCATAGTTTTCATAGTTTAGCAGAAGAGTGTCTACACTGGAGTTTCTACTGAATGACATGTCTTTTCTTGGATTATCTTCTAGTTCTTCATGTCTGTAAAATCTCCTCAAACCGAAAGGATATGGAGGTTTTGTTTTGCCTTGATTGATCTTGTTGAATATTACATTTTGACTAGATTATGCAAACAAAAATCCTCAAACAACTTTCGCATATTTTACCACATTTTTCAACACTGTGATGTGATGATGTGCAAAAAAGAGCGTAATAAGTCTGCATAAGTCCCAGATGGCTCAGTTGAAAATGTATCTGTCATAAGCACTCTCTGTAAAACTGAACTAAAACATCCCAAAAGTACACAAAAGTCACAATTATTGCATAGTGCGTAGTAGATAATGCATAGTGGGGCGGAGCTTGGATTTGTGACATAGGAAATCTCATTGTGTCTGAACCTGTCATTTGGGTCTGTGAAAGATTTACAGCAATTTGAATGAAGAAATACATCAGAAATGCAAATTTTTACTTGTTTTTCTCATGATATGTCCTGCAGCATCAGAAAAATGCCATATGAACATGTAGAAAACAAGAAAAACATGATTTTCATTGGAGTGGTTCTTTAGAATTTTAAAGATTTGATGGGATCGGTATTTTGAAGCTGTCAAGCTTTACGTCATGGTTTCAGACCACAGTGATGTAGCATTTACTTAAATCATCTTGAATAATCTCAATCAAAAATTCAAGTGCATGACGTATTTGCATGTTCTAGTGCATTCATTGAGCATGCGATCAAAAATGTGATTAATCGCGGTCAATAAACTTGAGCAGTTTGAAGGCGTTGCTTATAATTGTTGTTTTATTTAATGCAAACTTCTAATCTCCACATGTGGGTCTGTTTATTGAGTGTGATAAAAATCTTGAGGATTGAAGTTTCTGAGTTCAGAGATCGTCTTTGGTCTGAAACTTTTCATCGAACAGATCTCTGCTAATCTGCTCTCGAGTTTCTGACCTTCAGAGATGTTGATTTGGTTCCACCTCCTGTTACACTTGACTGAACTTTAAATAAAATCAGAGGTTAGTCTGGTACAAATGTGGGTAAAACTCTCCTGAGTGGAGTCAGACTGTAGGGGGCTCAGAGCGTTTGGCAGCTTCAGACTCTCCGACACCTGCAGGAAAAAAAAAAAATCAGCTCTCATTTCTGCGCTCTGGTTTTGCTTTCGAGCAGAGTGGATTCCTCTCTGATTTGAGGGAGGCTGCAGGTTTTTCTCTCATCTGGAGGAGATTATTGCAGCTGATAGACGTGATCAACCCGACTCTTCATCATCTCATGCAGGTTAATGTTGGCTCTGCGGAGCTTCGCGTGTTCACGAGGCACCGACTGATTCATTGCCTTCACTGTCTGATTGTAGATGTGACTCGTGCCTGTGGTGAAAGTTTGAACTTCTGCAGGAAAAGCTTTCAAATGAACATAATGAACAGATATTACTCCACTCATGAGCAGAACTTTTTGTTCTGTAAATACAGGGAGACAAGATGTTTACCCTTCGGTCCTCATTAAAGCGTTTCTCCAGCTCTGCCAGAAGTAACATCAGAGCCCCGATCAGCAGAAAACCCGAGCACCATGACAAAAACCAACATTTTTTTTTGCATTAGGAAACAGGTGGAATGTGTACAGATGCATATTTTCTGCTGTTGTTTTTAGCTGCTAATCCACCCGTAAAATTACTCACATGTTCATTCATCATCTGAGCGAGGCCGAGCGGAGCAGCGGGGCTGAGACGAGGAGCGAGGGGAACATTAGCGAGGGCAGATTTTACCTCAGAGCGCACGGCCGTAAACAGTTTTATTATTTATCCAACCAGCCCGTGTGACGTGATGAAAAAGCTGCAGGCAGAGCATGAAATAATGTGTGTGTTCGACAGAAAGGTTGTGTTTGTAGTGCCGGCCCAGGTTTGTAATTGGTTTCATATTTAGTATTGAGAGGTAGAGCAGCCTTTAGTGAGCTCACACACACATAAATAAATCTTTTTACCTTTGTTACAAAAATGCAGCGCTCTTCCTCATGCCAAGAGCTCTGCTGCAGGACATTGATTGCCGATTTTTTTTTTTTTTTTTTTAAGTTGTAAGCTTTGAAATATTTGTCTGGGTGAGCCAAATGGTGTTCACCTATCAGGAATGTACAGTTAAATTGTTCTGCTGCTAACATAAATACAGAGCGGGCTGCAGGGAGACGGCAGGCCCTGTGTGGAGAGCAGAGGAGCTCTCAAGTCCATCAATCTGCAAATGTGTGAGATCTGCTCCTGTCATCACTGACACAATAAGAGCATGGAGCTACAATTAAGACACATCACTGCTGTTTGGCTGGATGCTCAGATGTCTGACAGAAAACTCATTTCAAACACCGAAAAGAGACCAGAAATGTGAGTAATCATCAAATAAATACCAAAGTGACTTTGTAACACAAGAAGTTTGTTCAAAAAGAGGAATACAGTATTTCCAGGAGAGGAGGACTTCTTGGATCGCGTTACTAGCTGAGTATTTTAAATGGACTAAAGGTTTAATAATTTTTACACAGCTCAAACAGGGTAAATGAAAAGGAGTAAAAATAGATGCTCATGTGTGCAGAATGGCAAAAATAATGCAAATGTCCATCAGTTGTGCATCCTTAAAGTTCTTTATTAGTTTTTATATCGAAACAGTCACTGCAAACATTAAAAAAAACATTTTAAAAGTACATCCCTCATTCAGTCATAGATCGGCTGGACAAATTACAGACATTGTCATGTTATGAAATCGCAGCTATGATGATCTTGAGGTCAATCTGCTAAGAGGGTGCAATATGTTGTGTGCATAGACTGTATAGACTATGGACAACTTGGCTCTGCCTTCCATCATTATAAGAATTTGAAGCCGTATTCCTCTCGGTATTTCCGGAAATTTCTCCACTTCCTGTAACCACCACTTGTGCAGTAGCGTTGTACGCATTTGGTGGAAGAGTCGCTGAGAGTCGCTGTGATAACTATCTGCTCAAACAGCGTATCCCCCGGGTGAACTGTGAGATCTTCATACGCACATGATGGTAGCGCCGGTTGAAAACAGAAAGTAGAAGCTCCTGTAATTAAAAAAATAGGCTACCTCCTGTGCCTTTGTGTTTCCTCTTTATCCACCATGTTTGCAGGTTGCTGAAGGATTGCATATTTGTCCAAGTTATTTGGAATAACTTTTGTAGATGTACCCATCTTGTTTCCACTTCTGGTTTTGGCCGTTGGCTACCTTTTTCCGACATTGTAACTGAAATGCTGATAACCAGCCCCAACTTCTGAGGTAAATGGAACACACCATCAGTCTTCATAAATACCTCCAGCTCATCACTTTTTTTGGGCAGAGAGTTGACATTTCCCACGATGACTGATGGAAGAAAGTGCCTATAGCTTTCAGCATTGCCTTCACCTGTGCACCAGCTCAGCAACCATTAAAACACCTCCAGTTGTCTGCTAGAAACAAATGTTGTCCAGACCTGCTCTGTCTCAATGACAGAAGCTCCTCTGCTGGACAACTTCCTCTACCTACAGAAACATCCATCAGCAGCCGGAAAATCCCGTAAAAAATAAAGCATAGCGCTACTTCTGGCAGGTCACCATGTCAAGCACTGATCCACAGCCAATGGCAAGTAGCCACCTCGACCAGCTGATGGCCAAGCTATTTCCTCCTAGCTCCTATTGGTCCTATGCCTTTAGAGCGCCCTATTTAAAACTGCACTAACCCAGCCTCTTCCTCTGCTTTGACAGCCAACCAGCAACCCACCTCCTCCACCCTTGTGCCGGCTAAACTGCTCCACTACCTTTAAGCACTCCTGTTCCAGGGTGTTCTGTTCATCCCTGCTCTACCCCCTGTTGTTTCTGCCTCCATGATTCCTCATGAATGGCGGGAAGGTGCTCTTCCTGCCGCTGCTCTCTCACGCATGCTTGCGTGGAGAACGGAGGGCCCCGAATAGAACCTTGCATGCGCTCCCCGCTACGGCTTGTGAAGGGCAGGAAGGGGCTATACCTGCCTCTGGCTTCCGCGCAAGTGCGTGGAAGGACAGGGACCTAGGGAACTATGCCGCCAAATTTAACTTTGCACAATAAAGCTGAATTTTGACAAAGTGATCCTGACTGAAACATGGAAAAGTTGCCGAAAATTCAGAGACCATACATTGCTTTTTCTTGGTTGAGTCCAGATTTTAAAGTGTTTAGAGACAGTGAAATATTGAATACGTTGAGGCTCCATATTTAGTCAGCAGGAGGAACGTCAGAGTGTCCTCTCACCATCTGGCTCGTGTGTTCAGGTTTTTGAGGGTTAATAGAAGTTATTTTGATTTCATGGCTTTTATTATTATTATTTCTATTAAAAGGATTTCCAGATTTGAAGCTGCCGTTCGCTGGAAACAAAAACTGTGCCTCAAACTTTCCGTGATTGTCGCTAATATTCACTGTGGATATAAGCAGGGACAAATGTAATATAGAGGGAATTAAAGGACTTATTCTGGAAGCTTCCATTAAAAGTTTTCATTATTCGTCACGAAAGAGGCAATTAGAGGAGTGCCCCTCGCTCGTCTGTCACCACAGAGACCAGCCGTGTTTATTATAAAGGGTTTAATATGGAGACAGACAGACATGAAGACAGGAGTGTTTTATCGTATAGATTATTCATCAGTAACACGTGGTTTAACAACTTATCAGCTGTTACTCAGACAGATAAAGAACATCCAGGATTATTATCTCTCCAAAACTCCGGAAAAGATTAGCTCATAGCATCCACTCGTCTATTTTTAGAACCTCAAACAGTGGCATAATAAACAAAACGCTCAGAAATTCAATTAAGGAAGCAGTCGCCCACAATGACCTGAAAATAACCCAGAGTTATTCTAAAACACAGGCCACCTCACATGTGGTTTGGAAACAGGAGTGCCTTAAACCGCAGATCGAGAGCGGCTGCCCAGATTAATGAAGAGTTTCTTTTTCCAGGTGTTGTATTGTGGATACAAGAGCTTTGAGCGCTTAATTTTTTACCACCAGGAGAAATCCTCACGGTAGAAATGAAAACAGTAACACAATATACAGCTCTGATCAGGCTCGCTGTGCAAAGAGAGCAGGAGAGGATTCAAGACCAGAGGGAGGGAGCAGGAGGGGGGACGTTCTCTGAGATTGATGCCATGACTGGAACCTGAACAAGAGTCTGAGACACACGTTCCTGTGGAAATGGTTTGAGATTTTAACCTTTAACCAAACATGCTAACAAATTCAGGGTAGAATATTCTCAATAGAAGTCAGCTACAAGCTGCTTAGTGTGCTGAAAGTGCTGAATTTGATCCATTTTTGAAAATAACCACACAAAAAACTTTGATAAAGACAAATTTTAATGGTGTGAAAATAATCATATATCCTGATTCAATTGAAAACAGTGTAACGAAAGTCATTTTAAAGTTTTAAACTGAAACATTTGATTGTTTTATTAAAATGTACGATCAGTTTAAATTTGATGCCAACATTATGTGTCAAAAATGTTAAAACGGGAAACACCAAACACTGAAAAAGTTGTGCAGTCTTAAACAAAACCATCTGGAGGAACAAATCTAAGATAATAGGGTTCATTTACAACAGTTTATGACCAGAGAAAAAGCACAACAAAGAGTCTGAGTCTCTTCAAAGTCAAGATGGGAAGAGGATCACCGCTTTTTGAGAGCCTGTGTGAGCTAACAGTTTAATGATTTCAGCAAGATTTCAAAGAAGTGTTTTCTTCATCTGCAGGATAATAGTAAAATAATCATAGAATCTGGAGAAATCTCATCAAACCCTCCTCCTGTGTTAGGGTCAGCACCGACCTGTTTATCATTTCAAATACGTAAAAGAACCATACAATTTTTTGTATTATTTTTTGCATTAAGACTTTTTGACTTAGTCAAGAACATCTATTTCAACACAATTTAAAAAATAAATTTCAATTGACTAAATTATAAAACGCTCTTATCAATATTATGGCACTTACCATGTTAGGGTTGCAGTCGACCCGGTTAGATTTAAAATCAATAATTAGAGCAAAAAGTTAAATCATATGCGCACTGTAAGGCACCACACTGACAGTCAGATCTTCTTCCAATCATGTGAGATTTAGGAAATTCTCATTTTGCCTGGTTTTTCTCAAAAAACTACGTTGGGCATGTCCCGACATGTGAGATTAATTCAGTATAGATGTCTGTATGAGGGGTATAGTGACAAAGAAAGGCCCAGAGGACCACATCAAAAAATATTATTAGCAGTGTTTTCATAGATAAAGAAGCCTTACAAAGTAACCTAAAGATGAGAACCAAACTGGATGATCGAGAGTTGATTTTAATGTACAGCTGATTTAAGACACGGGTTGAAACTGACCCATCAACATAGCGGGTATGTAGTGACAGCTAACACAGGAAGAAGGTAAAAGGGACCAGGCCCTGAACACAGACACAGGATTGTCTTGATCTTCAGGCCCTGCATTTAAAACTAATCTGACTCTGCAGTTGAAATCACCACATCGGCTCAAAATCACTTTTAAAACACTTGTTTGTTGACACTCTGTTCCAAAGCCAGCATTTAGCACATCTGGAAAGAAATACTCAATAATGCTCAATAATATACTGTATGTATGCGGCTTTTGGAACAATATATGCTGCCATCCAGAAAATACCTTTTTCAAAGGCAGACCTTCATTTTTCAGCAAAACGATGCCAAACCACATTCTGCACATATTACAACAGCATGGCTTTGTGAAAGAGCAACTCCTTCTTTCTCTTTGTTTTATTGGTTTAGGTTAGAAAGAGTGTGTGCAGTTTGGCTGGGAGTCTGTATGTACTGGGATATACATCTCTTTCTTTACTCATATGATAACTGTTCCCATGAGGATGCACAATTCATCGATTTATGATCGTCTGTGGTTAATACACTCACAACTGACCAGAACATCCCACGACACCACTTCAAAATGAACTACCTTTCCGCCTATCACACCACCTAATGAAGACAAAACAAAGAGTAACTGTCTGAAACAGGTATTGTTGACTCAGGATTTTTCTGGTTTGATTCTTTCCAGGACTGGAGACTTCTTAGAAACTTGAAAAACAATTCAAGATCAAAAAACCGAGCACGGTGCGTGCAGAGTTCTAATGCCACAATAAACATAACCTCTAATTACAGCTCTCTGCAAATGATGTGCAACAATAACGACTGCTGCTCCGTTTTGTTCTCATTTCTGTTTAATTGCATTCACAGATCATGAAAGTCTCACATTAAGGCTTCCAGCTTATGTGTTTTTGCTTTTACCAGAATAATGCACCGTTTAAACAAAAAACAACAAACCTGGATCGGTTGAGTCCAGCAGGTCCTGCTCTTAATAACTGATCAGAGTGGAGCGTGGAGCTGCACAGAACCGGAGAGAGCACAAAGGGTTGCATGCAATCTGAAATCATCCCCCCTCCCTCTGACATCCTCGTGTGTTGTGAATCATAAAAAAAAGAATTCATTTTATGGTTTTACTGCTCAGGAACCCGGGTACGCATGTGTCAAAATAAAGGGAGAGTTAGAACCACATGTTAATGTGAATGGAGACAGCTGGATGTGATTATAGAGCTGCAGATGATAGAAACACACACACACACACACACACACACAGGCTGCTCACGGGAGAACACAACACATCACAGCGGCTCAAAGTGGAGAAGACAACTTTATAACAGATTTGATTTTATAAAATGACTCACTGAGGAAAACACACTGCATCAGTGTTGATGAACACATGACCTCTGCTGATTTTACATTAATTATGATGAATAGTTACCTGTTGCCTCTCTTTCTCTCTCTCTCTGTCTGTGGGCTTGTTGAGAAGCTTTCTTCAGGTGTTGTGTAGTTTTCATGTCCAGTTTTCCTGCACAGGCTTAATCTTTATTTCTATACTGACCTTATTGTAATGCTTTATCAATAAATAATCCATCCATCCATCTTCTATCTTAAAAAACAATAAATAGCTCTTCAATCCAGCTTTTTGCCCAGTACTCAACTTTCCATAGCTACTTTTGATAGAGATATTGATTCCCATCTGCATGCTTGATTTTGTTGCCAAGCATTCTGTTATGTATTATTTATTGTATTCTATTATAAAAAGGCTATGTGGTGCTTACAAAGGCCATAAATCCATATTAAGGATAAAGATTCCCTACCCTACACTGGAAAACATGTCATCTATCTAATCGCTCAACAACATCTGGATCTTTGCTGGATTTAGAGTCTCCGTCTGAGTTTATGCCAGGCTTTTTTCTGCAAGTCAGACTGATTGGTAACTTCACAATAAAATACCAAAAACTGTTAAATTGGACTTTTTTTCTGAGAATTATGATTTAGTGCCAACCTGCTGCACCCTGAGAGAAAGATAGAGACTCATTAATGTCACGTTTTTTCACAGTTTTGTCAGACATGCAGGGCTACAGGGCTGTTTCACAGCTTTTTTATTTGTTGATGTCATGCTTCTGCTATACCCGACCATATGGCCCTATATTCTGGTGGATGGTGTAAAAAAGATGTTAGTTTTTATCATCGTTTTAATTATTAATAGTTACTGATTGATGTAGTGGTAAGCAGAGACAATTTATCTGCACTTTTACTTTTTTAAAATTCAAATAGGAACAAAAACAAAAGCCACGGACATCTCCTTAAAACACAATAACTACCTTACATTCCCACTCCAATTGTTTTTTTTCTCTCCTTGAAGTGTTCTTAGTGGTCTTTAAATCGTGATTATAAAGTTTTTAGCCAAAATCACGTTAACTGTCATTTTCAAGGTCTTTTCTTCTGCAGAGCTCCAGTAGCTCATTAGCAATTCGCCTCTGAGTCGTGAGTGGAGACAGCACTGCTCTGCACACTCCTCTTTACTTTCCTCTTCACATTAGCTTGGAGCCTAAAATTGCCAGTGTTGTAGACGTGGCAGGTAACCTAGGAGTTATTCAGCTCTCGGACACTAATGTCTTTGGGACATGATGAAAGTAAATATCATAATTAGCTTTCTTACGAGCATTGCAATCCGCTACCGCACACGCTTGTTCCACCATCCTCCTCTCTACTTCTCTGAATCTGGCCTGCCCTGCAGAGCAAGGATTCAGGGGCGGAGCTTGGATTTGTGATGTAGGAATTCTCACTGTGTCTTAACCTGCCGGTTGGTTCTGCCAGAGATTCACAGCAATTTGAATGCAGAAATACGCAGAAATACAATTTTCCACATATTGTTGTTTTTTAATATGTCCTGTATTATCAGAAAATTCCATATGAACTTGTAGACAACTAGAAAAACATGATTTTCATCAGAGTGGGTCTTTAAATTACTTAGTTGTTGATTCAAACAAGGTTATTATTATCAGTGGACCTCTGTGTCCTTAAAGAGGGTATGTGGATTGTTCTGGAATTTTTGATTTACAAATTACAGACATCGTCATTTTCTCACACAGACATCCTCCACAACCATAATGAACGATCAGTGGTCTCTAGATAGTACAAATCCTGCACATGTAGGGCTTTAGAGACCACACAGTCATCTACATGTATCTCAGTTTGGATAGAAATCAAACTGTCAGACTTTGTGTGCAGAAGAAAAGAAGCGGTGGAAACTAGAACATGATGCCATCCTTCAGCACTCCTCCAAAAAATTAGTCCTGTGTTGTGGTTTAGCCAAAGCGTGCGTCCAGGTTGGATGAATCAGTGATGGACATCAGTGTTAACTTTGACATGAAATCCTGATTTAGATTTAGCTTCAACCATTCACAGAATATTGTGGTTGATATCCGTGGAAGACAGAATACCTCACTGTTTAGTCATCTTGGTGAATAAAGGGAATTATTCTCCATTCTCAATGAGCTAGATCTCTACTAAACCCTACCAGCTTTGAGTCCGTCTGATGTGTCCTGATTTGATCCGAATACTCCCTCAGATGTTCATCACAGCTGGCTTCATCAGCACGACTTACTACATCTGAATCTCTGGTGCCAAATGCATGCCAAATCAGACTGTGGCTACTGTAAAACACTGTGCTTGACAACTCTTGATTGCAAATCCCCTCAGGGTGAAACAAGCCCCATTTTCACGCAAGGGTCCTGCTTACCCTGTCTAGGTTACACTTCTCTCTTTGCATTATCCCATACATGATTTATGTATGTGTATTACCATGCCACAAACACACGAACAGTCAGCTTTGGAAGGAGTTTGAGTGAAGGACATTGAAAGAACCTCAGCAAATGAAACAAAATACATGACAAGAACACAGGGCTTTGTTTCTGGATGAGGTTCCTGGTTCATGTCCAAAGTTGCATTCAAGTACGCAGACTGCAGTATAACTTCAGGGGTGGTAACAGTGAACTAACAGACTGTGTGTGTGTGTTCTAGTCAGAGGAAGCCTGAGGCCGATTGTTGTGACTGATAATCCTCTCTATCCGACGCTCAGACTCTGGCCTTCGCCCTGTTCCTGATACGTTCTTCATTAAAGTCTCGAGCCAGAATCCCTCAAACGTTTCCTCCGAACACCTTCTAAATGCTGCTTCTTCTAAAGGCCAAGTACAACATGGCAGCAGGGTCATATTTTCAAAGGTTTCAGCTGACATACCAGAAGCTAAGGAGATCCTCTTCAGTAAAAACAACAGAAAACCACCTTTTATAAGAGATCAGGTCCAGCCGCTTGAACAGAGATGCTATCGGTGTCAGGTATGTGTTCATTACAGATGTTCTCCAATTAACGCTCAGAGCTGCAATCTACTGTGATCGTCCTCTGTTTATGTACACTGCCCTTCATTTAAACTACACCTTGGAAATTTCATTAAAGTGAAGAAGAGCTACAACAGGTATCTGGCTTTAAATCCTCTGTTTGCTTTGGTTTGATGTAGACGGACGTCGAATGGTACGAAACGTTGTGTTAGCCGGATTTACCCTTTAATTACTGACCAGAGAGACTAAGAGAGACTTTATTTCTAATAAGAAGAGGGAGAGCTGGGTGGAAGGTTGTTCGTTTTTATTTGGTTTTAATACAGAAAAGTAAGTATGCACCTATGTCAAAGTACATATCCTCTCTATAAATAGAAACTGCAGGGGAAAATGTTACCGACATGCCTCTGTTATCCCCTGAGATAAAACCATAGACCGTGTGGACACCTTGGCTCCGCCCTCCGTCGTTATTCGAATTTGAAGCCGAATTGCTCTCCATAGTTCCGTGATTTTCTTCTCTTCCTGGAACCACCACTTGCACAGTAGCATTTACATATTCAGCGGGAGAGATGTTGTGATGATAGTTGGCTCAAACAGCGTATCCCCGGGTGAGCTACAAATTCTTTGTACGCCCATTGGCTGTATCAAATGTCTGAAGTGTCAATCATAGCAAAAAAAGAGGACTTGAGCACAAACCAGTCTGACAGTAACTACATGTCAACATCGCAACCAGGGGGGAGAAAAATTTATATTCTGTGTAATTCATTTCTAAAGTTTGTCCACAGTGCCATAGGGATTGCTGGAAAAGGCGGGATCTACGACCTATACTGCGGCCCGTCACCAGAGGGTGCTGTTCTCGCGGTGGCTTCACACAGCGAGGAAGCAGACGGTGTCCATTCTGTATACAGTCTATGGTTAAAACCAAAGATTCTCCTTGTTTGTTTAGTAATTTTACATTGATGTGATTGCCCAAAAACTGTGTAAAAGAAACAAAGGTAGTAGTCTCCAATTCTGCATCCATGCAGAGACAAAAGATAATCCATAAAACAGAGATAGGTGATACCAAGCTATTTACGTTCAATACCATTTTGTCATAGATCCTTTATGCTGATACTGATACTTCTCAATATAAATTAAAGATGATCTCCCATGTTAGTCCACCTGAAAGCATTATAGAGACCATATTTTGATATTTTTAAAAGCAAATCTAATGTACTAAGCAAAAAAAAGTTACTACTATGGAGGAGTAAAAAGTGTTCTGTGTGTCGTGATGACAGTGATGATCGGAAAAGACACGCTCTTGTTTCACAGGAAGCAGATGCCAAAACCTCTTTATATGGTCTTCATTGGTATCTTCGTTCAATATGGTGCCAGTTTTCAGATAAAAATCTGTCTGAAAAACACTGCAAACAATTCTTAATATATAATGGAAAAACACCCAATCTGGCAACGCATCAAAACAGAAAACAGTATGGAGGAGGCGGCAGAAGCGGCATGTAGTTCTAGCCTACAGACAAGACAAAACTCAACAAACCAGTCGTATGATCGTTTAAACGAGTTAAAATAATGATAAAATATTTGTGGCAACTGTGGCAATCATTTTTCAAAATAATAGCTTAAAGCAACATGTGGGAAAAAAGGAATGAATTAGTTCATTTTTGGAACAGTGAGCTTAGTTCAAAATTTTGAATTATGAACTATGAACTGAACTAGTTCATGTAGAAAATTTATCAACTGAACTTTGAACTTGTTCATGTAGAAAATGAACTTTCCCAGCACTAATTGGAGATATCCGTTGGGTAAATTCCACTTCTTGTTCTGCACAGAATACAATAAGATGTGGAGATTTCACCGGCTGGAAAAGTTACTAGTTAGCTCACTGCTGTCTACATTCTGTCCTCATGTCACCGTTTCTGTGCAAATGACCCGTCAACCATCCAGTCTCTGGTCTTCCTGGTATGTGTCCAGTGGTGGACATGACCTTTGACCCGCAGTCTGAGCCAGCAGCAGAGCTCTCCAGAGAATCTGAGGCAGCCGTCCCCGCAGGCTGAGAGTGTTCCCGTCTGACAGACAGGAATGATAAGAGTCGCCAGGCAGCACGTTCCCAATCACCACGCAGACAAATCCTGCAGTTAAACACAAGGTCACGCCGAAAACAGGCTCCACACTCAGTCTGCGTGTTTGACCGGTCCAATGATCCAACACACCATGTCTCTGCTGGTTAATTCTGAAGCTTTAACAACACGGTGAAAGTGAAACATAAGAAATCATCTTTAACAACCTGCAGTGGGATTCCCTTCCTTTGAATTAATAAAAAAAATACTTTAACAGATGAAATCTTTACTCGTTTTCCAGCAGATCACCAAGTCTTCCTGATTAGAGTCACTAAGTCTAAAATCTAGATAACACTGATCATAAGATGACCCTGCCTTTTTGGATAAATATACTTTATGAACTTTGTATTTTTGAAAACCTTTCTAACTTATGTCCAGCAATAAAAGACAAAAAAAACTAAAAAGACACATGGAGATGGAAAAGCTGTTTCCTGTGCAGGTGAAGGGGTGAAATCACTCAAAAACCCACTGTGACAAAGACTCTTGCTATCTCCTTCACTAATAGGCTGATAGGTGAAATTCACACGCTGACAGAGATAACACCTGTGCCGTGTCTGTTTCTCCACTTTCTCCCTTCTCCTCGTCTGACAGGCGAGTTGTTTACGTGACAAATTGCTCCTTGGACAAACTGGGTAGCAAACATTTTTGAGCTGCCAGTCAGTTTGACGGACAGCTGAGGAAAGCAGCGGACAGTTTGCGAGTTCGTGTGAAGTATGCAGAGAGAAAGTGCACACATAGCTGAGGAGTCCCCCTAACACACACACACACACTTAGAGAGCAAGGCTAGCAGTGACCTGAGTGTGTGAGGGTGTAGATGAGTGTCTCAGGGTGTGTACATGTAGTGAAGTATTTGAGTTTAATATAGACGTCTGCTTTTTCAAATAGGCTTTGTGGATACATTTCACCTATGGCGCTGGTAGGTAAGAGAAAATGTATAATGAGCAGGTTGTAACTGCTGACTAAACCTCCAACAGGGTGAGACAAGAACCTCAACATGAAGCAAAGTTTTTCATGGTCTCAAAAGGTCATTGGAAATCAGACGTTCAATCAATCAAAAGTTTTATGGGAACTTGAAAAACTATCTCAAGATCTTACTGAAGTTTCTTTAGATCTTGCAAAAGTTTTAAAGGTCCTCTCAAAAGTTTTTGGGAGCTTTCCAAATTTTGGCATTTGTAAAAAGTTTTTGTGATCTTGCAAAAAGTTTCTTGCCATCTCACTTAAATTCCTCAGGATTTTGCAAAAGTTTTCTGGGATTTTACATTTTCAAACAAGCAGATTTTTTTCCTGTGAAATCAGGGGGAAAAACTTTAAGACATTTCAGTTTGCACCAAATGGATAAATATATAACAGAAATTGCAGGATCTTGCACGTGTTGCTCACATTGCAATAAATGTCCCTCAGTTTCTAACACAATCTTGCAAAAGCTTCTGATAATCTTGCAAATATTTTTGGAAACTCTGGCAAAAGTTATTCCAATCCTTTCAGATTCTTTCTTCTTTTAATTTCTTATAAAACTTTCTGATAATATTGCCAAAACAATCATCAGGATCTTTCTTTTTTTTTCCATCTAGAAAAGTTAAGATCTTACGCCGTTGGTAATAGTTGTGCACAATTTCACAAGTTTTCCATTTTTGTGAGTTCCCTTGGATCTTGCAAACTTTTTTGGCGACTGGAACAAATTTCTTAAAATCTCATAAACGTGAGTTTAACAGGATCTAAGTTTCTTTGAATCCTACATATAGCTAAGTTCATTTTTTTACACCACAAAATTTTCTCAGTATCTCACCAAAGTCTTTCACGGTCTTGCAACAGTTTTTCTGGGATTTTACAAAATTTTCATACAACCAAAATTTTTTTTTTACATGGAATCTGGGGGAAAAAAAATAAATTTATCTGGCTTTTACCAAAATTTAAAAACCTTGCAAAATGATTTTCAGATTTCACCAAATTAATAAAAATCTTACAGAAATTGTTAAATCTTACAAGTGTTGTTCACAATGTTACAACAAGTTTGTAAATATCTTACAGACATTTCCATCATTATGCCAAGATCATCAAAATCTTCCTTGTTTTTGCCATCTAGGAAAGTTTGGATCTTGCACAGTTGCTAATTATCTTGCAGAATCATTTTAGGGTCTAGTACTATCTTTCTCTGCTTTTTATTGGCTGTCCTGGGAATTTGCAACATTTTTTGACATCTGGTAAAAGTTACATTTTTTGGCACATCAAAATTTTCCCAGGATCTCAAAATACTCACGTTTGCAGTGGTTTTCAACATCTGGGAAAGTTACTTTTGATCTTGCACAAGTTTCTTGAGATTTTGAAAAATGTTAAGATCTTGCAAATTTCCTTAAGATCTTGAAACTATAACTAACAATCTTGCAAAACTTTTAGTATCTCTGGCAATGGCTACTAGGATCTGGAAAAGTTCCTCAGTGTCTTGTAAACATCTCTTACAAATCTGCTCAAGTTTTAGGATCTCTGACAAAAGTTACTCAGTTCCAAACAGTTCCAAGAATCTTATAAAAGTTCAGGATTAAGCCAAAGTTTGTTTTTGTGTCGTTTATTTGTCTTTGAGGGATTATAAATTTGAATATCTTCAGTAGAGTCTATGAGATTAAAACTGCTTTAGAGTTCTGTCACCTCGAGTGTTATACTCTTGGAATGAATTATTCATTGCTGCTGTCCTAACTGTAGCGTTCTGCGAGTTCCAAATCAAAGTTAAAAGGTTATTTCTATCTGTAGGGATAGTAACCAAGCAGCCATGTTCGTTTGGAATAAGAGTGCGCTGGTTATTAATATTTTATGACACATCCAAGAGTCTGATGCATAAGAAGAGCTGCAGACCAAAAGATGATTCAGAAAGAACAACATGTTGACATTTTCTCCAACATCACGGAGAAAAAAAGATAACAACAGAGAGTGAGAAAAATGACTGCAGGCTTCTGCTTTACTGTATTCTAGCTGTGCCAACTGTGTGCTTATCTGCGGAAAGGTGATAAAACAGACGGTTCAAGTGGGCTGAGGTAAACGTGTGGATGAAATCACTCCAGACTTTGTTGTTTTTTCTCAATGAACTTTATGGTTGTTGCAGTTTTTGGTCTCTTTACATAGATTTTAGATCCAGATGTCAAAACATGATACCACATCTAAGTAATAATAATCAGTCACTGTTGTAATCACTGGCAGCCACTCCGAGTCCAGCATCATTTCTCTACAGCCTTCCCTGCTGCCCTTCACTCCCCCTCGTCTCCCGGCTCGTGTGGAGCCTGTGAGTCGTTCAGCCTGCGATCACGGCGCTGCTCCTCGACTCAGTGGACAGGCAGCCGGTGACATCATAGTTTACTGGGGATGTGTGTCTGCTGGGGGGGGGGAAGGAGCCAGAGACTGACACCTCTGGTCACTGTGACACAAAAACTGTCTCACCCACTGAGTACACTCTGAGTCACAACGAGCCGTGATAAAGCTGTGTGTTGGTTCTGATCCGAACGGTGTGTCTGCCAGATGACTAAGTCTTTGGGTTTTATTCAAACTATCTAAAATACACGGAAGTGACGCTTAATGGACATAGAACATTAGAGCAGGTACGACAGTATTAAAGTCCTACAGCAGACACAAACAAAGAAAACTGTCAAGGTTAATCAATTATACTTCCTAAAGACCCACTCCGATGAAAATCATGTTTTTGCTTGTTGTCTACATGTTCATAATGGCATTTTTCTGATGCTACAGGACATATCATGAGAAAAATAAGTGCAAAATTGCATTTCTGATGTATTTCGACATTCAAATCAATGTGAATCTCTGGCAGATTCAGACCATAGACTGTATATACTATGGACAACTTGGTCCCGCCTTCCACCAGTTTATGGATTTGAGGCCGAAAAGCTCTCGGTATTTCCGCGATTTTTCGCCAATTCCCAAATTCAAAATTGTGCAGTAGCTTTGTACGCATTCTGTGGGAGAGTCACCGAGAGTCACTGGGATGACGCTCAGCTGAAACAGTGTATCCTCCGGGTGAGCTACGCAATCTTCATACATCCATAGGTTGTATCAAGTTTTAATCATAGAAAACATGAACCCCCTAATAACTTTTAAAAATGGAGTTGTAGAAAAAGTGGACTTGAGCACAAACCAGTCTTACAGTAACTACATGTCAACATCGCAACCAGGGGGGAGAAAAAATTTATATTCTGTGTAATAAATTTCTAAAGTTTGTCCACAGCTCCATAGGGATTGCTGGAGGAGGCGGGATTTATGACCTATACTGCAGCCCGTCACCAGAGGGTGCTGTTCTGAGGGTGGCTTCACCCAGTGAGGAGGCAGACGAAGTCCATTCTATATACGGTCTATGGTCTTAGACACAGTGAGATTTCCTACGTAGCAAATCCAAGCTCCGCCCCCGGAGCCCCACTATGCAGGCCAGACTCAGAAAAGTAGAGAGTAGTGTGTGCATTAGTTGATTGAAATGCTCGTAAGAAAGCTAACTATGATATTAGCTTTCATCATGTCCCCAAAGACAGCTTCTATGTTACCTGCTTCTTCTACTACACCGGCAATGTTAGTCTACAAGGTAGCATGAAGAGGAGTGTGCAGAGCAGCGCTGTCTCCGCCCACGACTCAGAGGCAAACTGCTAATAAGCTACTGGAGCTCTGCAGAAGAAAAACCCTTGAAAATGACAGGTAATGTGATTTTGGCTAAAATGTTCATAATCTCACTGAGAACACTTTTTTTTACCAAGTAGGAAAAAAAAAGATAAGATAAATTTACCATCACTCTTGTACACCTTGTGCACTAAAGTGAACTTTATGCTGGTTCTGGTCTGGAGCTAGAGCTGCTTTAGAGTTTGTACAGCTTGCAAACCCCACAATAAAAATCAAGATAAAATTAATTTATGCAGGAGCTTTTAAAGAATGCAAGATGTGAAATAATTAACTAGAGATAGAAATACATGATATAGATGAGAGATGGGGCCTTTTGGATGGAGAGGTTGGTCCAGAGGGCTGAAAGCGCTGAAAACCTCGACTCCAAATGTACCGAGTCTGGATTTGAGGATGGAGAGCAGGTCGGTGTCTGACAGTCGGAGGCTCCTGTAAGCGGTGTGTGGGTGAAGTAGGTCAGAGAGGTACTGAGGAGTGAGGTCCTGGAGGAGTAGTATTTTGTACTTGCTGCATGATTTTATTGGGAGTCAGTGGAGGTAGTTGAGGTTTGGGGTGATGTCCTGCCAGGGCTTGGTCCAGGCGATAACCCTGGCAGCTGAGTTCTGAACATACTGGAGCCTGTCCAGTGGTTTGCTGGGTACCCTGGACAGGACTTCATTTCAGTAATTAAAGCAAGAACCAGTTTGCTTACTTACTGTCAAGTGCTTCAAATGGGCCAAGTCATGACATCACTGAATATTTGTCTGGTTTCCCAGCGTGGCGTCTTCAAGCACAACAACAATGCAGGCCTCAAGTGTCTCATTAAAAGTGCTGCACCTAGATCTTCAAACAAACTGGTCCTTTTTTCTGGTCTTTGTGGGTTTTTTGAAAAACATTTTTCACCTTCTATTTGGTAGAAATTAGTCCTGTAATCCTTTTGAACACAGCTGTCAATTTTTTAGCTGGACCTCCTCAGCACTGGCCTTTTTGAAGACCTAACATACTGTTTTTATGAAGATGGTTGTCACAAATCAAACCAGCCCCTGACCTCAGGTAGTCCTTTCTTGCCCCAGGACTCCAAGGAGTTGGTGAGGGCCAGTTCTTCAGTAGTTAGATCACAACAATGTATTTTACTGTTGATTTGTGATGAAAATCCAGATGAGGAGTGGGGCCCCAGGCCACTAGGGGACCCCCAAGGGTTGACGAATCTTACTCCACAAAAATGTCATGAAATATTGCAACCTCATTAAACACCTAGTGGTCAAATTCAATGACATCTTAGACAGGGCCCCATGTCATCCCTGTCGCACTGCTACATGGCCTACGTCCATCTTTACTGAAGTGTGTCAATCAAAGTAACGTCAAAATCAGTCAGTGAATCAGTGAAGTGGAGCTACTTCTCAGGGAGTGAGAAAAGAAAGAGAGGTGCACACGCTCATAGCAAAGCTGGATCCACTTAGTTATGTAGTAATAATGATAATTGTTTTTAAAAAGTTTCTGTTTCTGACCTCTTTTGTTGGTTTCAGATAATTTATCAGAGGGGCCCCTTCAGAATTTTCGCTTAGGGCCCAAGCTCACTCAAGAATTAGATTTTTGGCCTGATTGATGATTTCATTCTGTACCAGAGAGTTACTACAAACCAAACAAACAGGCTAACACTCTGATCTCTAATCTTGACATTAGAATAGTTTGTGGAAGAACTGTACTTTCTAAAGAATAAATCCACAGCTGAAGCCCTGAGCAGACAGTGTGGACACGGTGACCGTACACAGAGAGATAATCACACCATAGAAGAGCGGTTTGTGTATGAAGCTGTCTATAATGAAATAAAGCTCAGTTGGGTGAAAGAGTTTGAAAGAATTCTTCAGATATCTTAGTGAGAGTTGACAAAATGTGTTGAGTCATTGATGAGAGCAGTTTCAGTTCTGAATAATGTTTACAAAGTCTGAGCTAAGGTTTTATCATGGAAACAAATATTTCATCTGTGGACATTTATTAGAAATGACCAAAGCTGTTTCAAGCCTTAAAGGTAGGGTTGGTAACCACGGCAAAACTAACATGAAATTTAATGAAGCATCTCCTCAAGACTTCGTCTCTGCTCTTTCCCCTCCTATTGTAGCTCTTCCAAAACAACGCTCCCGCTCACACGCACGAGCATTGTTGTCTGCCGATTCACAACTACAGACTCAAAACTTTGAGACTTCAGATTTGGATGTCTTTGTACAGCAGGGACAAAGACGGTCATGTTAGCATCAGGATGATCACATAACGAGCAACATGGCTAAATACTTGATCAAGATTAAAAATTGCCCTGAGACAAACCATCAACATACCTTTCCAACAGAAAATGAGCAACCATGGCATCACTTTTAAAGTTCTTGACCTCTTTCAGGTCGCTGTCCCAATGTTGACTCTCGTTTTCGGCCTTGCTTTCTCCAAACTCTGTCTTGCTTTGGCCCTCTCTGCTTCCTTCTTACTTCTTGCTCTTTTTTTTGCAGGAGGAGCTGTCACCATGGATCTGGGCATAGGTAGTTTCTCTGGTATAGGTAGCTGTATCCCTCTCAGCTCAGCTACGTACATCGAATGTGATGTACGTAGATGTGAGAAGATCATAAGTGTCCATGGCATGAGTAGTTTTCCCATATGTGAAGACTCTATTATTGCTATACAACAAATGCAAGTTTTGGAGCATGATATGAAACCTTCCAGACAACTCCCTCTGCAGGAAGGACCTTGGGTATTTCAGCAAGACAATGAGAAACTAGATTCTGTACGTTTAACAACAGCATGGCTCTGTAGCAGAAGAGTTCGGGTCCTGAACTGGTCTGTATACAGTCTTGACTTATCACCCATTAAAACCATTTAGTACATCACAAAATGGGAAAACACAAGAGAATTTAATAAAGCTGTTAAAGTCTGCAAAAAATAGAACTAAGCAGATGATGTTGGTTGAAATGGTGGTTACACACAATGATCACAGCACACATTTAAACCTTATGAACGGATGAAAATCGAGAGATATGACAGCAATGAAAAGGCGTCCAGGTGGGCCTTGAGTTTGGTTTGTGTGTTCTAGTCCTCCATGAGGCAGACCACCTGTCCCAGTCTGCCTGCAGGGCCTGAAAACCAGCAGAACCAATGAGGCAAAGGCAACACTTTTCCACAGTTCACAGTCTTGTTAGCTCAGTCAACAGCATCAGCTCCGCTTTATCCCATCACTCTCAATCACGACACTTTCCAAACTCGGAGAGGCTGGAGAGGTGTACTGGGGTTAACACTCACACAGACACACACATAGACCACAAAGATAAAACACACACTCACATGCAGAACCCAGGGTCAACACGGACCCTCTGAGCGTCCCTGGGGTGTTAAAAGCGAGCAGCACCGTGTAGCATTTGGTGCCCGTTTGTTGTTTCAGCTTTCTCGATCCAGGGAAGAAGAAAGAAACGTTTGTCCAACCAAATTACCTATCGCAGGAAAAATAATACGAGACGCAACGTAGCGAGTCAACGGGCTGGCGCGATGACGGCGTTATTTCTTACTGACAGGTCGCAAAAAGTCAGGCCTCTCAGCGTCCTGCGGCATGCAGATAGCACATGTAGCTCAGTGTTTGGTTTGAACGCGGTGCGGCAGAAAATGTCACCTCTGATGAATGCTCTCAGCTCTGATAAGACGTACAACTCTCGTAGGAAACACGTGCACACTCACACAGATAAACACACACACAACCACACACACACACACACACAGACGTAGTTCTATAAATAAGTCCTTGGTCCTGCGGGTCAAATGGAGTCCAGCCCAGCAGATACCAGCTCTGTACCCGGGGATGTCTGCTCTCTATCTGTCAAACACTGACCCCAGTTCAGATCACACTGCTGAGGAATCTCAGTTAAAGTACTTTCTAAACCAGATCTCAAACCGACCTGGGACCAGCGTCTGGAGCGGCTGTTTTGACGTCATTAGTCCAAGAAGGGGTGGTTAGGGTGGGGTCATACCAACAAAAACACAGCTCTGCTCGGTGTTCATTGAGAGAAAGAATGTTCTGGCTGACAGGCTGTTTCAGTCAGGCTGTTTGGGAATGTTGGACCAGCTCTGGAGATCCTAATAGAAAAATATTTGGACTTTCCTTCTGCCCTCAGTTAGTCCTGTAGTGACGCTGTAGTGGGCATGTATCTCTGTGGATCATGATGCAGATCTTGTATGCCATACACTCTTTCTCTTAACTTTGCCGTGTTTCCACCATAGACTGTATATACTATGGACAACTTGGCTCCACCTTGCGTCATTACACGAATTTGAAACCGAATTGCCCTCAGTATTTCCGGGATTTTAACCACTTCCTGGAACCACCACTTGTGCAGTAGCATTGTACGAATTCTTCATACGCCCATAGGCTGTATCAATTGTCAATCAGAGAAAACATGAACCACTGAATAACTTTTAAAGCGCTCTGCAAAGATGGTAAACACAGGGCCAGATTCCCAGTTTGTCGTCGATCCTGGTTTCCACCTGGATTTACCAGTCCAGAATAACCCTTTTAGCATCAGGTACTACCATATTTTGGAAGCTAACCAGTTTCTTGACAGATATCCACTTCCACTCACGTCAACGCCATGGTATGCTCCGGTTATGTTGCTGGGCAACGCGCCCAGAGTGCCGTCCCAGCACGACAAGTTCCCAATAGTAAAAGTGTGACACGGGAAAGGCAGTTTGTTTTTATCTGTGGTGCATTCAAGTGCAGACTTGAGTTGTCTCCACACTCCTCACAATCAACTTGGAGTCAATCCACGGTTGACAAGTCCAGTGCTGTAGAGATGATTGACAACTGAGAGCGGTGACTGAGCTTGGCTTTTCCTTTTGAATCTTCGTCTGCTATCATTTCTGCTTTCTTAGAAAAATTAATGGTTGAGTGTTCCTATTAGGAAACAAAGACAGAGGAATTTCCTTCTCAAACAAGACTCCTGTGTTACTAAATCTATTCAGGGTTAGGGTTGGATTTATGATAGATAATAGATTATCGAGTTATTTCCACTTATATTAAGTAATTCGATTTAAATTTCACACATTTCAACTTCATTGGTTTCTCCTTATAACCCCGTCAAGCTTGATGAACCTGCCTGGCACTGATGCTGTTTCTTCTACAATGGGCCTTTCATTCGATGTGTTAGCCGCACACACAGACAGACAGACACACACACACACACACACACAGACACACACATTAACAACAACAAAGTAGATTCTGGGTTATTAAATTTCTGATCGAGAAGTTTTGGGAATGCCTCTAAAGCCTTCGATAATAGGAAGGAGTTAAAGTTAAGCTGGGGAGATGCAAGCCCGTCTCTGCAGCTCCTGAAGCATCACACACACACTTAAACGCACACTTAAACACACACACACCAGCGTGGCCACCTTCCAACGCCTGCAGACGGCAGCGGAGGCGAAGTCAATTGCCGAAACCTAAACAACGACAAGAACACAAAACAGCGTCTCCCTGTGCTTTCAGTTTTCCATGATTTGGAGACAGTCTCTCCCTCTCTCTCTCTCTCTCTCTCTCTCTCTCTCTCTCTCTCCTCTCTCTCTCTCTCTCTCTCTTCCTCTCTCTCACTCATGTTTTGGGATTCCTCCTGGATCGTTTGCAGCGCCGGCTTCTCTCAAACACGCTGACATTTCCAGCCCGGCGGCAGACGTGCGCCGCTTGGACCCGCCGAGGCCCCTGAGGAGAGAACAGAGAGTGAAGGTGACAGAACAAAAAAGCAGATAAAGATAAAGACAGAAAGAGAGAAAGAGAGAGAGCAAAAAGAAAGATGAGGCGGTTGGCTCGGCTAGTCTTTCTGTCACTTCTGGTTTGGATTGGTCTCTCTCCCTCTGGAACTTTGTCTTTATAAACCTCAGCTCAGACAAAGGGAAGAACCCTCTCCACACCTCACTCTTGACTTCCTCTTCCTCTACATCATACCTTCTTTCTTTTCCTCCATCCTTTGATAATCTCTACACTTTAGACACTTTGTTTTCGTTCCATACTCTCCACTTTTCATTCCTTTCACATGCTGGTCGTGAGAAACCTCCGTTTTCTGATAAGACCGATCGTGTTCTGATAAAGAGCTGAATCACTCTCGTCTCTTTCTGTCGACTAATCCAGCCCCCGTCATCTGACCTCATTTCAGCCTGTTTACTTCCTACATTTTCACAGTGAAGCTAAATGATGGTGATGACTTGTAAAAGCAAAACTTCAGGCTCACTTGAACTATTTAAAACACATCAAGAGAACAGGCTGCATGCTGGAGAACTGAATTACAGTCAAAAGGCCGTTCAGCATGTTGACACGGCAGCCATTTTTCTCAGATGTCGAGCACAGGTCACGGAGTTCAGTCGCCTTTATAATGCTGCCATGCTCGGTCCAAAGCGCCATTTCAAATTCACTCAAGAAACAGAAAGACTGCTGGATTTAGCAGCATCCCTCTGGGTCGAAAAGGAAATTTACAGTTAAAAGTCATTTGGACATTGGCCAGTTTTTAGGGTTAACAACCCTTTAGCCAACACATTTTTCTGGCTGTTTTCATGGGTTGCACGTTAAACAAGAGACGACCCAATAGTAACAAGCTGACAGGGGACATGTTTCAACTTACAGTAGCAGAGGCAGACATGCTTTTGTCAAGAGTTTTATTCTTGCCCAGAGCATGTAAGAGTCATCCAGTTAAGTCACCTAGTTGAGCTACACACAAAAAAATGCTGGCTTATTTTTTCAACCCAACCACTGGGTTGAGCCTTGGGTTATTTTTATGGAGTTGGGTGTTCTGAGTGCCCAATTGGCAAGGTTTTTTATGTTGGGAACAGAGTTATTAGCTGTTGGGTTGTAACTTCTATACAGTTTTGTTGGTTTATTGTAAACTACCCAACACATTGGGTTGACATTCAGGCATTTGAAACCAAGCACCACCCACTCACCAGATTGATGCCACAACTGCTGACGCGAGGAGACGTACAAAGCAAGGTTTGTTACATTCCCACTATTGCTTTACCATATAGATGACTCAATATTATTATATAAACCATCATTTTGTTCTTAAGATGTAAGTTTGTGAAGCACTGTTGTGTACCAGCTTCTGCCTTCAGGAATCGATTGGTAGATGAGCAAGCAAGTGGTGAGCCAACGTTAGAAGCATAAAGTACATTGCCTCAAACGTAGCAAGGTAACATGTTAGCTGATGATTGGTGTGGTCAGAAATATTGAACTACTGCTTCAATGGACTCACTGTCTTGATGTTTCAGGTTGATACGAACAATCAATGAATGACTTTGTGATGTGGAGTGGAGTGGATGCAAGATACAACCCCCTACCAATCAAGAATCGATTGGTAGGTGAGCAAGCTAATGGTTAGCCAAGGTTAGTAGCATAAGCAGGTAACATAGGAGCTATTCAGCTCTTTGACCCTTTTGTCTTTAGAGGCATGATGAAAGTTAATATCGTAATTAGCTTTCTTAAGAACATTACAATCCACTAACGCACACACTTGCTCCGTGATTGCTCCATGATAATTGCACCTTAACTAAAAAGAAATTGTTTTATCCGATTACTACTTGATTAATCGATGGAGTATTCAGTAGAATACTTGATTACTAAAATATTCCACAGCTGCAGCCCTATCAGCAACCACATTATGTGAATAAAGACTCAACTTTTACCCATGTGAGAGTCCAGGGGTGGGCTGATTTGTGCAAAGGTAGCGTGTTTCTATCTTGGAGGAGCAGAAAGCTTTTGTGCCCTGATCTGAAGCCAATGGCACAGTGCTTGCTTTCCTGATATTTACAGAGATTTTAAGACTTTGATGAGATGATGGTACTACGGCCACTAGAGTTCACAATACACATTTCTCTGCTTGTTACAAACAGAGGTGTACAGTGGTGCTCCTGCTCATAAGGAAACATTTTTCCCCTTGATACAGTGAAACTGAGTGTTTATTGGGACAGAGGGGCTGGAGACCCTTGACTCCAAACACCACAATACATTAATATGCTGTTCTCAGAAAGCTGTGATGAGAAAACCCTCATCACCATCCCCTCACAAAACAGCTTCCCTGCAATCACCTGCAGGGGGCCAAATACTTTGGATTGAGACCATCCCAAAGCTCTCCATCATTAATGTACGCAAGAAACCGACTCACGCACAACTAAAAGATATTTTTGAACAAAAACTTTACAAAACAAAAAAAATGAAATTATCAAAACAGTCTTGTCTTTTGTCACTTTTTAATATCTGAAAGGATGAGGACCCAGAGTTGGATCCTGCTTGTGTGTCATACAGGGGGTCTGCTGGGGCCCTCCAGTTCTGCGGCACAGTGATACTGGTTCATTGTTTTATGGTATTATTGGATGACCGTGTTTCGCTGAGATCCACCAGCACAGGGACAGACAGCAGAGAGGAGAACGACTATCAGAGACAGAGAAGAAAGAGAGCTCTCAGACTGACAACATACAGCTGCTGCTGCTACTGGGGGAGGCCTCTGTGTCTGCTGTTTTACTAACTTGCACACACACTCAGACACACACACACAGGGAGTCTCACTCGTACATGCATGCAGGCACATACACGAACACACCAAGACCTCTAGGACCCCCCACCCATATCCTGTGCACCTCTGACCCGACAACCTCATCTCGTGTCGTCAAACAAACTTCTTACCCGTCTCATCCCCTCCTCCACCTCCAAGTACTTCAGCACACACACAGTCCTCACTAAAAGTCCTCCTGTCCATCTTCTCCTCCTGATACCTGTACCTTTGTCTTTTTCTCCTCTAATCCCCCCATATGCATGACGGATTAAACTGTTAAGGAGCCTGGGGCAGAGATTTGCTGCTCAGCCCCAGTTGACCCCCCAACACTGAGTACACATTACATCAAACTACACACAGAAACCACCTCCGCTGGAGTCCACAGGCTCTGTGAGTGTGTCGGTCCACATGTGCTAAGAGGTTCAAGACTAACTGTGGAGATTAATACATTTCTGATTATCAGTAGATATAAAGAAACTAGAAAACGACTGTCCTGCACTTATCAAACATCTGTATTTTCTTATCCCAGCTGTTTTAAGAACGGATTCGTTTTCTACTTTTACATTAACTGTCTACGTGGTCTCACTTTTGATAGTAATGCAAGTGGCCTGGTGAAGAACCTGCTGCACTGAGATATTTTTATGAAAAGGATACAGTATAAGTCTCAACTCAAAAGATGAAGGGAGCTTTTACACCTACATCGTTTGGTCCAAACTTTCAGACTTTTTGTTTAGTCCGAACCAAAATGATAGGTCTGAAACCTCCCCAGGACCTTGCTCCGGACCAATCAGCCGGACCTTGGTCCAACCAAAAGAGGTGAAAGGTTTGGACCTTCGTACCAAAGACAATGACGTAAGGAGTAGAAGTATCCGTTATTATGTTGAATGAAGATTTTTCCAAAAACGAGAAATGTTATAATATTGTGCATAAAGTCAAACCTCAATATTGACATCTTATCTTTTCAAGAGTTTTGCGACACACACTACTCTCCCGAGCCGGTGTTGCAATGACTCGCAGGATTGCATCCTTTCTTTTCCTTTCCTGTCGTTAAGTTGTTGTCTAAAATGATCAAATTCATGAGACTTCCTCGGACCAGCCTCATGTACAGCTCTTCAAGTTGTCCCTGCTGGAGGTAGAAATTTTAAAAAATAGTGAGATGGTGGGAATAATGATTTCTTTAATGTTTACGCCATTCAAGACCTGCGCTTTTTAATGTGTTGACATTAGACTCCTGCCAACCTAATGACCAATAATTGTAAACTACAGAGACATACAAAGCACGTAGTTGATGGTGATTTCATGTAGGTTCATCATGTAGAGTCTGTTAGTCCGTTTAATGATAGTGTGAAATGTAAACAGACAGAAACAAATGTAAACAATGTAACAAAATCACGGACCATGGTTCTGACCTTGGTTTGGACTTTTAGGTGTGAAAACACCCTAAAGCAGGCAGCAGTGGCATGCTTATGGGTGGAGCGGTTAGGTGCGTAGGCCACCGCTGCCCCCCACATGTACGAAGTAGATAAAACTTTATAAAATATTTCCTCTCGTGCCCTCAAGAAAAATTCCAGTGAGTAACAAAAAAGTGGCGTCTGGATGCTCTTCTTAGTGGTTAAGATCTAATGAAGTGGCTTCTTAAATCCCCCTCCATGATTGAAATGTGATAAGGCGTCGTATTGGGAACCAAACCTGACCATAGCGCAGTAAAAGTAACTTGTCATACAACGCCTGTGAGTGAAGTTTCATATAAGAAGTTTTCATGTTTTCTTTTTACATGATGAAACTTCCACTGCAAGTTGTTGCATAAATATTTACCTGAATGCAGGTAGTAAAGTAACAGAGACTGAAATTTCCTGAGAGAGCTGAACCCTCCGACTATTACTAGCACCATAATGTGTTAAAATTAAACTGTGGGTTTCAGTGGTTTAAAAGCTATTCCTGTTCTGTGACCTCCAGGCCATCAATCCTCCAAGTTGCTTATCGAGGCTGAAACTAGTCTTGTTGTTTCTGCTTTATGTTTACAGAATTCCAGTGAGAGATAGAAACAATTAAAACTTACAAAATGGTCTTAAAATGCTGTTTAAGCAAAGCTTTCTTACTCATGAGTTTCTTTGTTGTGGTGCCTCGAATCATTCAGCAGGGGCCCTTTTATTCTCAGTGGCCCCTGTCCCTCTAACAGCTTGGTTACGCCACTGCCAGGCAGAGTGGACTGCCAAGGGATTTGTAATACGAGAGATGAATGAGGTAAAACTTTTGATTTCGTGCAGTAAAACAGCTGAAAACATGGTCCACAGTCAGCTCACTGGGGTCCAGCACATGTTGTATTAATATAAGATCAGACAGCACATGCTGGTACACTTCCTCCTCTGACACTTTGTCAGGCAGATGGCCGAGGGGACAGCTGGATTAGAGGATGGCATAAGAACAAAAATATTCAAAGCATTTCAGATACGTGACTGCTCCTCTCTGCAGCTACTGGTGCATCATTTATTGGAACTGATGCAAAGCCGAGCTTGATAAAAATAAATCAAATTCCAGACACATCATGTGCAGCGAGTATTTGTAAATCCTTTGCAGACTTCGGACATCATTTTCATGGTATTTTGTGCAGTTTTCAACTAGTTACATCTGCTTTCTTTAAAACACCAGAAATCACACAAAAACTAACAGTCGCGCTATGATCTAGATGTCTGCACAGCTGGCCAATAAACACACTGAGCTTAGTAGCATTGAGAAACATGTGTTTTTAACATGCTCTATGCAGAGGCAAGAGACTGATGGCGCTCAGAGGAGCATAATGTTAAATAAAGCAGAGTATTGGGGTGTGACTATCACACCCCGCTGCACAGTTAGTGTATATACTGCAGAAATATGCACTTGAATCTGCCTGAATGGTAAATGAGCCCCCTCTCTGTCTTTTCTTTGTCTCACACACACACACACACACACACACACACGCACACACATGTGCAGCTCGAGACAGTTCAGATGAGACTTGTCACGTCCGTTGACATTAGGCCCAATTAAAGGGGAGGATTAAGCCAGGGCTGTGTGACCTCAATAGGAATCTCTATGAGACGCTGTGTGTATGCTGTCAAACCCTCTGACAGACCTTCCCTTTAAGCACTTTCACCTGCTAATTAAGACATTACATGTGTATGCGTGTATATGTGTGTGTGTTAAAGTACATATGTGCACCTTCTGTGTTCAGTCCTCTTACATTCAGGACAAATGCACCCCCGAATGACAGCGATAAATTCGCAGCCGGAGCAGCTTCTGTGTAAATATTTGACTCCTGCATTGTGCGACTTTTTGGAGCTCAGCTCGGCAAACGTCATCACAAACATACATGCCACGCCATTCGTTACATTAAATTATTCTATGTTATGACGTGTGCATCTCGCTGCTGTGCGCGGAGGCTCTTCAGCAACAAAAGGCGAGCAGTGTTTATGGTGCGAGGAGATTAAAATGGATAGCACAGAGGCAGAAGCAGTGAGCTGTTTCTGGACGGAGCTCTCGGTGACTGATTAGTGCAGTTTTTTTACACACTGTGCAGGAAAGGCAATGTGGTAATGACACTCTGCTTTTTAGGATTCTTTGTATTTACAGTAGCTAGCTTTAACAGAACAAGAAAGGAAGTTGGAGGATATTTTAAGGTGTTAATGACTGGGGACAAAGTGTAGCCGGAGATGTGGCTCATGAGGACGAACAAAAAAGATTTATAAAAAGACAGAAGAGCAGCATCGGGACCAAATTTAAGGAGGAATATGAGGACTTAGAAGGAGTGCTGCAACAAATCAAAAGGATTTAATATTGTCTTGATGCAAATTTTTTAGCTACAACATAAATATTTCAGTTTTTCAAAGATGAGCAGTCACAGCTGGAGCTCAAGAGGTTAAACAGCTTAAGAATTTCCCCTTCGACCTATGAGACAGTATCAAGTTTAAAGGTCCTGTAAGGAGTTTTTTGACATTAAAGGAATAGACTCAAACTCATGTTGACTTTATTTTACATTGAATATGCGCATCAAAATATACATTTGACCTTCATAAGTTTGTCCTAGACACTGCTGAAGCAAGTAGAAGACTTAAAAGTGAGGACTGCTTTATCCACAGGGGCGCCAAGATGTACATAAAAAGAAAGTTCCTCTCAGGAGCTGTAATTCTGTTTCTCAAAATAATATTATCTAAAAAAGTAGCTTATATTTAAAATAAAGAAGTCAACTCCAGATATGACTGCATTGGCTATGTACGTTGATGTTATCATAATTACATTTCTGCTATGGAAAAACTAACGCTAGCTGTTTTGTTAGCCTGCAGGTTGTCAATATGTCTGACACCTACCCCCACCAGTGGTCTTAGATGCAACATTTAAATAAACATAAATGATCAGTCTAATTACCAGTGGTCTTAATTGCTTTTTGAGGTCCTAAAGAGATATTCATCATAATATACGCATGTCTTGTAACCAGATCAAAACACTCAGAAGAGCTTTAAAACTTTGTATTTTTGGATGCAGGTTTGAACCCCCCTCTCTACCCACACACACCGTGCCCTTTTGTGTGATCATTCGTCATCAGTGTAGCTGAGGCGAAACGTGAGCTCTGGAGTCAAACCTGAAATCACTCCATTAAAAACAAACGATCTTCCCAAGAGTATCTAAAAACAGCGTAACATTTTCTGAAAATACCCCATCATTTTTCTTAGCATGCGAGCAACAGTGTGCCAGGTTCAACTCGAGTTCAAGTCTAAATATAAGGTCTTTTATTCTTTCTTTGACATATAATTTTGCATTAAAGCTCTGTTGTAAAATAAATTCAGCAAGAAAAGACAATGACTGCTTCTCCTTGATCTGGACTTTAGATTGATTGTTGCTCTCCGAAGTGTTTTCACTGAGACCTCCTAAACTTATCACCAATGATCATGTATAATCTGTGTTGGATCTGTACTGAAAAGGAAAAAAAAGGATGATTAAAAGATTTAAGTTGGTTTACATGCACAGTAAAGTTATGCTATGATTAAAGCTCATTTAGGTGATTTTACTAGATTACTGTACTTGTCCCGGTTTACAAACACAAGGCGGGAATCAGCTCATTGGTCCACTTCTGCTTCATTAAGTGACTTTATCAAAAGTCATGATAGGAGCAGAAAGCATGATAGCACAGATGACTCCTCGGGCTTACCTACAAACCTGATTTCCTTAGTTATAACTGAGATCATAAAATCCCTCAGAGGATCACTTGTTTATCTGCTTCTGGTGAGTCTCAGTTTCACTGTAAATAGTTACACAGAGGCTTCACCCTGATTTTCTTGAGTGTTACATGACTAAAAAGGAAATTTCAGGCGTGTTTCTTATCGGTACAAGCTGAGATATAAATAGATAAATAAATCTCTTAAAGGGATATTCCAGTGTAAAACTAACTTAGGGTCAAACACACCATAACACAGAGTTAGAGCCCCTCTCGAGAGATGAATAGCAGAGAGACATCACCCACTCTCCTCCATCAGCTGCTTGTTTGTGGAGGAGCCCTGATGAGTTGATCACCGAGTGCAGCGGAGTTTCACAGCTCAAGGAAGAACATTTATGATTATTACTTCATGGAAATTCAATCAGACTGAGACGCTAAGGCAGAAGAACTACCGCATCTGCAGTGCAAAATGATTCATATGATGATTATTACTTCAAGGAAATGATCCACTTTTTGGTTGAGGCTTGTGCATGGAGATGTAGACCGCTGTGTATTGCTATCGTGCAGTCGTTACTGAAGTTGGTATAACTATAACTAGAGGGGGGTGTCTAACTCAGTGTTATGGTGTGTTTGACCCCAACTTAATTTTATGCCGGAATATCCCTTTAACTCCAGATCAGTAATCTTGACAGAACATAACAATCTAATAATAAAGATCCTTTCTGGTATATAAACCTTGTGACTTTGCTCTACTGCCCTTTGCACATAGAGAGTCAGACTGGTTCAGGGACATGATCACTGTCCAGCCTCGCTACATTCTCAGCTGTAACCACAGAGCACTTTAATCAGGGTTTAGAGGGACAGTGGCTCTCTGGAACAACAGCTATCAGACTTTAACACCTGCTGTGCAACTAAAAAAAGAACACATACATGAAATTCCCTGAACATATCTTCCTGGTGTGTTTTTCGGTGTCCTTAAGTTGCATTATATTCTGCACAGAGTTTAAATCAAGCGTTGGAGTAAACAGAGAAACCATAGTTGTGTCCAGCTGATGCTGTGTACTGACAGACATTCAGGAGTCTCTAAGCTGCAGTTGTTCGGCTCCGCCCTCCGAGCAGAGCGGGCACAGAGCTGAGTTCAACTCTGACACATGTCGGCCTGGTATGTGGGAGCTGGAGGAAGGGATGGCTTGTTGAATAAAGGCTGGAGAATCTGTTACTACACTGCTGATAAGATAAACCTCCTGTTCCTCAGCTGCTGGCTGACGGCACTTTGTGTAGCACTTACTTATGTCCAGGTTGATGAATTAAAACCTAAATCAAGAGGTTAATACAAAACAATGTTTCCACCGTCACATGGTGGCTGCTGTCATGATCATGGCTAAATGTAAATTAAGTATTTGAACACGAACAGAAAATATAAGCTTCAAATAATGCAGTAACAAACTCCACTAACCTCCCTGTCAAGTGTCTGTTTATACATACTGTATATTTCTCCATCTGTTCATCCATATATACCTTTATTTATCATTCATCCATCTAACTGTCCATCCACCTATCAATCCATCGGTCTAAATGACGATCTACATGTTCATCAATCCATTCCTTTGTCTTTCCGTCCAACCATCTACTAGTCTCTCTATTCGTCGGTTTCAACCATTTCATCAATTGTTTTTTTTTCCTATTCATCCACCATTCAATATCTCTACATCAATTCTCCTGTTCATGTTTTATCCAGCCATCTATCAGTCCACCTATTTGTGTAATGAGCCAGAGTTAAAACGAAAGGGAAAGGACCCAAATGCAGACAAAAAAAAAAGGATTTATATCAAAAGAACTAAATGAAAAACAGCAACAAAAACTTCCTTCAAACGTCCAACTGAAAAATCCCGAAGGCAAAAAAAAAAAACAAGGAGCAAAATCCAAAAGATCAAAAGGGCACTGGGGAAAAATTACAGGGAGACTCACTGGGGACACAAGCATACAAACACACATTAACATACAGTGAACCAACAAGGACAGAGGGGAAGACAGGGACTATATACACACTGGGAAACGAGCAACAGGTGAGGCAAACGAGACACAGGTGAAACTCATGGGTGATTAACGAGGGAGGGAAAACTAGTAAAACCAGACTAGAAACACAAGGAATCAACTCCTACAAAATAAAACAGTTAACAATGAAAAATTATTTATGAAATAAAACACTGAGAACAAGAGGGAAACAGGGTCAAACACAAACTGAAAACTCACAAGACAATAGGGAAAATATACAAAATGCACTCAAATACAACCAGAGGGAAACTAAATAAACAGAAAATATTGAGACAATTCAGCCATTAGTTCATCCATTCATGCATTTATTTTCCACTAGTTTTTTCATCTATTCATTAATTCACCAAATTAGCCATCTTTACCTCTTTCTAGACATCTCACTATACACTGATCTCTCCATTTGTCTATCCAACCCTCTTACTATTAATCAGATTTTCCATTTGTTGGTTCAGTTTATCCATTGCTTCATACTTCATTATCCATTGTTCATTCTGTAAGTTCATCCATCCATCAGTTCATGGTTTTTAATGTATCTATTAATTCATCCTTCACTATCAATTCTTCAGTTTGTATTTTTCCTGATTGCCAACATTCAAAGCATCATGTGTTGTTTGTTCTTGTACCCTTGAATATTCTTGATTCCATCTCAAAAGTATTTTATGCAGTTTTTTTTTTTTTTTTTTGAAGTCTTAACTTTATTGAGGACTAAAAAAGTCATTTTGGGTATGTGGTTCATACATGTTTTTATTAATTTCATTCCGCTGTCTCGGCATGTCGTGCACTGAAAATACATATGTGCTGCCAAAGTACATAGAAAGGAATAGTGTACGTCAAAAGATAAAGAAAAAATATGTTATGTTGATTTAATCACAAACGAGTTATGTAAGAAAATGAAAACATCTCATATACACTTTCTCACAGGGAAGTTCTTATACATTGATGCAAAAAATAGCATTCAGCAGACAATACTTGTTGCCCTGTTTGTTCTGACATAAAATTGTCAGTACAATCAGAGTTTCATGAAAGCTGAAGACTTAGGACTATGAACACTCAGACCAGAGAAGATCAGGTATTGATTGATTGGTGGCGATCTTGTAAACTGATCTTGTAACTTTGTAGACAGTGGCCCCAAATTGAGGGCATCCCCTCATTTGTCTGCACTGCAGTTCTGAAGTTAAAGGAGTCTGCCTCCTCCATGTAAACAGATGGGACATGGGTCAAACTGTAAAATCAAAATACACTTTAAATACATTTTTCTTAAACATGTTTTTTTGTCATTATAGTTGTTTCTTATCATGCTGATTCACATCAGTGTGTTCATTTTTATAACCAATTCAGTTTGGTGCTACATAAGAGGTTAACCATGAAGGCTTCTGCAGAGAGGTAACAGTGAGAATGTAACAGACACCAGTACAGAGTTGTTTTCTAATAAGTCAACTTTTCAATGCTTCAAACAGCTCAAACCACAGACTATATATAGAATGGACATCGTCTTCCTCCTTGCTGGGTGAAGCCATCGCGAGAACAGCACCCTCTGGTGAGGGGCTGCAGTATAGGTCATAAATGCTGCCTCCTCCAGCAATCCCTATGGAGCTGTGGACAAACTTTAGAAATTTATTAGACAGAATATACATTTCTCTACCCCCTGGTGTTGACATATAGTTATTGTAAGATTGGTTTGTGCTCAGGTTTCGGCGACTCTCCCACCGAATGCGTACAACACTACTGTGCCAGTGGAGGTTCCAGGAAGTGGAGAAAATTCCGGAAATATCGAGAGCAATTCGGCTTCAAATTCTTATGACAGAGCCAAGTTGTCCATAGTATATACAGTCTATGGCTCAAACCCACATAATCTGAGGCATCCTTGGACAAAAACCTTTGCTAAATTACATTGTAACATCTTCAGGAAGGGGTTGGACATTAATGACACATCTCCACCAAGATGCAACCTTCGGTCCTGAGAAATGTGGCCGATGCAACAGGGTTAAAAACTGCAGGGGAGAAGGAAACCGCTGCAGAAAACACAAACATACTAAGCCTGAAAAGCCCCCTTTTTAGATCAAAAATAAACATGTTCACAGCTTGGTTCAAAGCATTGTTTGGTCTGAGTAGCTGGGCTCCCACAGCATCCACAGTATGAGGGTATTACGGTGACAAGATCAGCAAATCAGATGTATGGCTGACTTGACTGATAGGTGGGCTGATTGTAGCCATTTACAAGAAAGCCAAAGGCCCGCCTCTGATTGGTAGAGCGAAAGTTAGGTTGAGTCAGCATTACCACAGATATGACTGCTGTTGGTCGGCTTCAAAACTCCATTTCACACTTTGTCCAGTTATAATCTCTACCAGCCATTTTCTCATGCACAGACTTAAGGGGTATTCTATTCTATTCTATAAGCAAATGTCCAACCCCCTCCATTTGAAAAAAAAAGTCATGTACACACATTATCGTTTTCAAATAAAATGCTATCCACACAAAACCGCAAAAGTGTGCTATTGACCGCAGTTATAAGGATGTTGGTAGTATTTGCCAATAAGTTAGACCCATTCTATCCAATCAGAGCAAGCTTCCTTTTCTCGTTGTCTCTTCCCCAAACATGAAACAAAAGGGTTGTATAGTTTTTCGTGTGCACTGACAAAGAGGTGGAAATGCTTTTAAGCATTGTTTAGGACTATTAAGTCAAGAAGACACAAGAAAAGTGGAAGAATGGTTATTTGGTGTAGAAACGTAAAGACATTTTAAAAATTATTCATTTTAGCAAATACCCAGCTACATGTGGAACATTGGTAATATGTTGTCAGTATTGTTTAAGAAAAAGCTCAAAGGAAAAGGTCCGGGTATGGCTTTGTGGTTCAGTCCCGGATACAGAGTGCCCGTGCACAGAGGATGTAGTCTTTAACCTGCAGCCATGTTTCCTGCTCTTTTTACACAGTTCTATCCTCTTAACAGCAGCACAGAAAGCCAATATATAACAACGACATAGCATATTTTGCACATGAAGTTTGGAGCAGGTAGATGTAGGCTGACAGGTTGTTTTTCCACCTTTCTCCTGGCTGTTCTGCTGCTCCTCTATCAGCCTCACTATCTCTCTCTCCCCATCCAGCCCTCCCTCGCTCCCCTCTAATGACAGCCAGCCGGGCTGATAGGCAGATATATTTACACTGGTGGCAGGGGAGGAAGGAGTCATCAGCCAGGCCCTGTCCAGCCTTCGGGCTCTATAGTGGGCAGGGCTTAGAGGAAAGCCTTGCCGGGTAGCCCCTCCCCAAGCAGGGCATATCTGAGTGTGCTGTCCCGGGCCGGCTCAGAGTTCTCAGCTGGATGGGACCACAGCTTCTCTGGCCCCAGACTCGCACAGACACGCACACACGCACACACAGAGGAGAGGAGAGGAGAGGAAAACACAGAGAGAGCAGAAGAGATCCAGCCTGTGTCTGTGTGTGTGTTATGATTTTTCCACACACCAGTGTTCTTGTAGAGCTGTTGATGAGGCAGCCCGGGTCAGCTCCACCTCATCTCAGTGTGGCGCCCCGAAGCGGTCGCAGGGGTCGAAGTGCCGGCGGCTTCTTGAGTGTGTGTGACTTAACTTTGCTACTTTTGAACACTGGAACTGTACTGTAAGCATTATGACTCTTCTGGGCTCTGAGCACTCCATACTCATACGAAGCAAGTTTAGATCAGGTAAGGAAGAAACCAATATTTTGACATGTGACTTCTTTTTACGTCTGTCCTCTCTGTATCTCTGTATTTCTGCAGCTTGCATGTCAACACCTGACATTTTCAGAGGATGCTGCTCACATTATGTCATTCATCTGTCTTGTTTCAACACAATTTGTTCTCCTGTAGAGTGACAGGTGTGAGTAATAAACTGGGATCACGTGACTCTGCATGGCACACAGGATTGAGCCTTCATGACGCGTCCTGTCAAAGTGAGATAGATTTATTCCTCGGGCGTGTTCTTTGACGGTTCTCGTAAAAATCCTGACATGCAGGGTGACATCCCGGGCAGGTTGGTGCACTTGCATCGTGCCAACCTGCTGCAGAGAAAAGCCTGTGCACGCTGATAAAGAGAGATTACACACCACGCAGGGGTCAGAGGTTATCTTAATAAGGCTGAATTGGAAGCTGATGGTGTGTGTGTGTGCGCAAACATGTGAGTGTGTGTGTGTGTTTACCTGGGTATATCAAAGGGGGAGGAAGGGTACAGCGCTGATTTAAACTCCCTTTAACACACAGCAGCTGTCCGGGCTTTGTGTTCATCTGCCTCCCTCACATCCACACACTTGAATTCACTTACTTTCTCATTCACACACTTTCTTTGGCTTTATTTTGAAGATGTATGAGGCTGAGTGTGTGTTTGTCAAGTGTGTGTAGTCTGACCAACACTGCCACCTCCCTGAGGAACATGTTACTGATCTTAGAGCGCGCAAATCCAGCTCTGTGTTCTCAAAGCGTTCACATACGTTGTACATTATCGCCTTTAAAAGCAACTCTTCACCCTGTTGTGAATGAACAAACTGGAGGCTTTTGCTTGCTTTCAGTTTGCTTGTGAGCTGTAATTGCGTTCCAGGGTAAATGATGCTTTTCCTCTGAGTTGTTTAGAGCAGAGCGGCAGGGTGGGAAATGACCCCCAGCGCTCTGGGGGGACATTATGAGGGGTGGTGTTCGAAAGCAGCAGGAGGTTTATGCTCTGTGTTGTTTTAACTCTTATGCTTGAGCTGTTTAATTTATCACAGATGTAAAGAAAGTATCTTTAAAGGTCATCTCTCTGTTCGTGCGCTTGATGTTTCAGTCAGGGATTAATGTTCGGTGATACACACGACTTGTTGAGTGAATTTATGAGTGCACACATGAAATACGAAGCGTAAGAGAAGTAAAACTCTCCTTATGATAACTGCTGGTGACAGGGGGAGTCTTAAACAATCAAGTTCGGCAGGATTTACAGCTTCTCTGTCAGATGCAGAAGCTCCTGTTAAACTCTGCACCCCATGAAAGCAGTCGCGTCTTTTGCGCCGCTCCTGCTTCACGTTATCAAAGCCATGGGAACGGCTGCTGCATGGTTGAAGCTAAAAGAGAAGATAAAATCTCATTTAAGCGCTCCCTAAGGACCTCCAAATGTTTTGTGAATGTGCATGTTACTGGCTGGTTCTCATGCTGATTTGATTAACAGCTCAGAGGGCTGTGGCCCGTGCTCTCCGTCTCGCTGCCATTACATAATCGTACGACAGAGGCGTCAAATATAAGTTAAATCAACACTACAAGGTGTCAACATGTGTTCGGAAGTAAATCACTCGCACTACGCAAAGAAAGAAGATAGTTTTGCTTGAGCTACCCTAACATCTAGATTAAATGATTAGTGATGGTATGTTCTCACCTGATTTATAGAAATGAAAACTATTTTTCATTTCTTTGAAGAGTTTTTTTTCTTCTTCCCATGGGGGTGTATGATAACTTAACATATTCATAAAACACAGATTTTTTTTTCCATTTCATTTAACATAAGCACATCAAGCCTCCTCTATTTTACCTCCTGTCTCATCTCTAAAGTATGCTCCTGCAAAAAAAAGAGAGAAGAAAACTAGTGAACTGTGCTGAAAGGATTAAAATAGCACAAAACCATAAGGTAATGTAAGATGAGGTTCAACTCTGTAAAGAAAAAATAACAAGGCAAAAAAACATTTTAAAATACAACTGGTATTCGGCTCTGATCTGTAATATTAAAGTGTTAAAGGGCCACTTTTTAAAAACCTTTAAATTCCTCAAAACAACAAGCCCTGCGCTGTATAAATAAAGTTTACTTACTTACTTACTTACTTTAAAACAAGTTACTATAGTCCTCTATGTTGTATGTACATGATGGTACCTGTGAAGGATGACGCATCATAAAGGCAGGAATGCTCTCACCAGAAATCATCGTTGCAGCGTCAACTTTGTCGCTCCTCTTCGCCTTTTCGTTAGTTACGCTGTTAATTTTTGCACACGTAGAAAGACAGACAGAGAAATTAGTTGCTTGTGTTGATTTGTGTTGTATTGAAACCCATAGTTATGAAAAGTCTATTGACTCTCTTGTTAGTGTTTGTTGTTTTCTCTCACCTTTCCTCCTCTACTTTGACAACAGGAGCCTGCAAGGGTCAACAGCTGTCAATCAGTGATCGGCTCACCTTCAGTTTACGCTAAAATCAAGAATGTCAGGAACATACGGTGCCTCTCTTGTGAGATTTGAGGAAAGGAATGCATCCATAAGTACCAGCTGTGAGCTAATTTGATTTGGCCTCACATTATCGATTTGTAGAGCATCATTCATAAAACTTTGCGATATTTTAATGCCTTCGAGTCCATCGAGTTTGTCATTGAGCTGCAAAAATTTAGGCTCATGGCACAGGAAACACTGTTTTTAACAGCGACTCTGTGCATGCGTGCAGTGTTCCTCTGTGGTATTTTGATGTGACAGACCAATAACACTTCAGCAGGGACTGGTCTGGCATGGTTACTGGAGCATTTTCAACCATTTCTACACTGTCGTGTGGACAGAAATATTCAGTGCCTCTCTTTATAAAAACATCTGCACCCGTGTGGATGTTTCTTTAGTAAGCTGTTCAAGTTAGGATCTCACCTACAAAGGAAGAGTTCAACTCAAAGTAAAGAGGAGATATGCAAAGCTTAGACGAAGGCCACGTTTATACGTACCTGGTTATTTTTAAAAAGGGAGACATTAACCATTGTTTGCACCCTTCCTTTAGACGCAAATGGAGAATTTGCCCCTGAAAAGAATGCTTTTTAAAAATCTGGTTAAAGTGGAGATTTTGGAAAACTCTGTTTGCACGTTTGCATGTATACAGAGAAAAACTGAGATTTGGGTAGCCGATGGCGGATTGTGCGCCAGAAAGAAGGAAGTGACGTTGTTGTTGTAGTTGTTGTTGTTGTTGTTGTTGTTGCTGTAGTTGTTGTTGCTGCTATGCGGGATTCTGATTGGCTGACTTGGGCTTGAGCTTCTCGCATCACTGCCATCTACAGGTTTGACGGCATATATACACAGGTTAGTGTAAACGAAAACTTTTCTGAAAACGTAGTGGTGTGCACGCAGTTTTTTTTTGTAAATGGAGAGAGTGAAATGTCCGTTTATGAAAATAGCCAGGCACGTGTAAATATAATCTCGTAGTAAAAAGCCCAGTCACATCAGTGTGAGATATGCGATTCATAGCAAGCAGCTCAGCTTCAAACCTTTGTTTGAATTTAAACTCATGGAGGTAACATTTTACACATTTTAGTTTACAACCTGATCCCACATGGCAGGTCACAAAAAGCACGATCAAAATAATGAACTTCCCAGTCAAGATTGAGCCCTAAATTTCAACAGCTAATCGTACTAGTTTAAAATTTGATTCATTATTTTGCGTGTCAAAACATGTCCAAAACGTGTTAAAAGATAGTTTTGCATCACTGCAAGATATATTTTATATGGGTTACAGTCTCTTATGATACAAGGACCAAAAACTCTCCTCTATCCGTGTTGTACATCTCAGGAAAGTCTGAAGTTAACAGGTTTTGACTGTAAATATTCTGTGGCCACTGCACTAATTTGTTGTGTCAAATCACTATTTCATGGTCTCAGTTTTTTTTCAAATGTCACAGGAGAAGATACAAACATCGATCTTTAAATCTGCACCTTTCTTAATAGCTGATTAAACTCTAAAATGTGCCCCCAGGAAACCTTTTTGTTGGACATTACAGAAGCATTTAGAGACAGCGCTGTTGGTTAAATTACACTGACATTACTGGACAACGCTCCTCTCTGGCTGAGGAAAGAAAGCACTTACTTGAGGAACAGTTTGGCTTTAGTACTAAGTGAATTTTATTCTGCAACACAAATCTGCATCACCTTACTATTCCACTGTTGACTATAAGTCAGAGTCAATGGCTCTGCTCCAGGATCTTAGTAGTGGGGTTTTGGCTCTCCTGGTTTTGGCTCACAAATCTGCCTCTTACTGTCCAAGACCGTTGGAATAAATAACACATGTCCTGTTTTAAGGTGGATTGTCACTCTATGGAGGGGAATTAGACTAAAATAAACCAAATACTTCATTTGGAAATACCTGTTTATCAGAAGTTATACAGTCCTGCTCATACATCTATCCCAAACACATTCCTGGTTTCTTAGCGAAGTTCAGGAGATTTCCTGTAGGTCCAACAACGCACCCAGGCTCTTATAGTGAGATTTTGGGGTTAAGTGTAAAAGTGGGGTGTTATTATTAGCCTGTTTCTGTTTCTTGTGGTGGTCGTGAACGTGTGAGGCATAATAAATCAGGTACCACTTCTCCCGCTTGTGTAATTATCGCCACTTCACCGGTGCAAACCAGGCCGAATGATAACTTATTTACACTATAAATCTGAAATCCTGTAAATGTGACTGTGAATTTGTGTGTCCTTTGTTGTCAAGAAAGTTGGAGTTAAAACAAATGTGTTCAGTTTCAAAGTCAACAGCGGGGGAGGCAGAGTGGCCAACGGTTCAGTGATCTGTGATTACACAGCCTGGCTCAGGTCCTCCGTCTGCAATCAGGACACAGCAGAACTTTTCTGGGGAGAAAAATAGATGAAATAACAGCTGCTGTGCTTTTTCAGACGGGATAATTGATAACCTTTCAGTGAACATAATACAGAACTGTTTCCTTTTCTTTAAGCTGAGGACGTGTGGTATTAAGGTTGATATTAAATGCAGAAAAAGTATTGTTAAAATACATTTTAATACATTTTAAAAGATAGAAGTGGTTATTGAAGCTAACATCTGTATTGTGAATTTTATTCTGTTTGAGTCACTTGATATTTACAATACTGAGGGAGCTGCAACCTCTTATTAGCTTTGATTTATTTGCACCTGTGTTAAAAAACAGTGTTGCCATGGTTACCTTTAAAAAGTAATTTGATTACTGATTACTCCTTTAAAAAAGTTACTTTACTGATTACTTCATATTAAAAGTAACTAAGTTAGATAACAAGTTACTTTTCAAGTTACATTCAGCAGCCTCAACATATAAATGACAACCATTTTGTTTGTTTGTTTTTTTAAGTAAAGATAGTCTTTCTTACGACGTAGTATTAGGGCCACATTAAGAAAGAAAAATTTAAGACTTTGTAATTACTTACAAGAATGAAGTCGTAATAAAATCATTACTACTCAGTTCGTCTAAATGCTCCACAGCGTTTAAACAACTAACAACAGGTTAGAATAGCTATTAGCTACAACTTTATTCTCGTAAGTAATGATTTTATTGCAACTTTATTCTCGTAAGTAATTATTTTATTATGACTTTATTCTTGTAAGTAATTATTTTATTACGACTTAATTCTCTTAAGTTTATTCTTAAGAGTCTACAAGTCTACAACTTTATTCTCGAAAGTAATTACTAAGTCCTAATTTTTTTTTTTTCTTAATGTGGCCCTAAAACTCTGTCGTACTTTCTTGACTGACAAAACACAAACAGTGACTTGGACATGTAACTTACAGTAAATCTAATTACTGGTTTGAAAATAGCAATGCATTAGATTAGCTACTCATTACTAAAAAAGTGAACTTATTACAGCAGTTCTCTACTGGCATCACTGGTTATAAACTTAGCTGATACAGAGTCAATATAACCTCTGTCTGTTATTTTTCTGTGTGTTTTGGCTGAAATCTTTGCTCACTTATCTCTGTTTTTATGATGCTTTCATGGTGCTGCCACCAACATTTAATTTTCTTGTTTTTTCGGTAAATCTTAGAGCCTTTTAGAGAAGAAGAGGTGATTCATGTCTGTAGCAGCTGCTGTCCAGATAGACCGTTAAGTAAATATGATACTGGGCAGCTATGAGCTGTCCTTTTACTGGATTTAAAACCAGTACACATAATAACTTTCACAGTAATGATGTACTTTCATTATCTGGATCTACATGAATCAGTTTCCAAAATATGGACTGGACTTGTATGTTTGTTGTAAGAGACATGGTGATCACTTCTGTTGTGGTTATGCAGTTTGTAACCTGGAAACCCTGAGTTTACATTGTAGCATATGACAGTCTGTACCTGGGGGTCCACAATATGCAGTTTCTCTGCAGCTGTGTAGCTTTCTCGTACCATCTGTTTTCACCTTTCCACAATCTTATTATTCGTAGTTGGTGTGGTAGTTAAGAGTTACGCTCAGTTTACAGTGACTCCGGTAGTTTTGAGGTGCAACCGGCATATCTAACATCAAGTGCTACATTTGATTTTTAAAATCTGCATTAACCCTGAACTATCATCAGAGGTGAATTTTTAATGATTGGTGACGGTGGCAGCTGTACTTGTGGTCCTGACAGTGAAACAAAACCAATGTAGTGCAAACTTCTGGGCAAAATACCAGTCAGACACCTTTTTAGGGGGAAAGAAGTAATCAGTCTTTCATGGCGATCTTAGTGTCCTTGTGTGTCTGTGAGTGTGTGTTTGTGAGTGAGTGTTGTGTATGTAGAATGTGGATTCAGAGGGTGGGTGGGTATTTGTATTTTTACTTCGTCTCTCCATGTTTCTGCTTGTGTTCCTGAATGAACATCATTTTGTGCTACACTGTTTGTATATAAAGTTCTTTATAACTAACATGATTGATTGATTGATTGATTGATTGATTGATTGATTGATTGATTGATTGATTGATTGATTGATTGATTGATTGATTGATTGATTGATTGATTCGTAGCGCTTCTACAGTAGTTTTGTTACCATAAAGGACCCCTGAATGACTCTATGCTGTTGTTGTGAGTACCACATACTTTCATCCCTCTGCAGTACTCCACGTAAGAAAACCATGGTGACTTAGTCCAAGTATATAACGTTTAGATCTGAGCTGGAAATGCTTCTGTATTCCACTAATGCTATACACATGGTGTCTGTAGAGCTGTAAACAAATGGATGATACCTTTCAACGTCAACCTTTGAGGAAAGAAGCTCATGACTCTTGCTGCAGCTCTGGAGGAGTGGCCAATCTTGACTGATAACTAACGAACCTGAGCACAGAATAATACTCAGATTTGTGGTGTGTTGGCGTACGTTCTCTTTAATCAAACAAACTCACACAACAACCAACATACAGGCAGCTAATATGAAGGAAATGGCCTCTGTAAGTGTTGTTTTAGAGTTTCCCACCACTGGACAATCAAATGGGCAAATAAATTGGAGGAAATAGCCAGTTAGCAGCCAGTTAGCAGCCTGTTCGCTTTACAAGCAGCCGCTATGGTTCAGTTTTTTTAAATCCACAGATACAGGCCGAATTATCACAAAGGGGAGGCGTTCATGGTTCAAAGATCTGTCTGTCTGTCTGCATGTATGTTGTTATTATAACAGACATTTACAAACTGGTATATGTTACATGTTATGTTCAGATTTCAGTCAATGACGAATCCCTGTATTTCCTCTCTGTGATGTTGTGACCAGCAGGTCATGACTCCCCCCTCTCTGTAAACCAAAGCAGATGTCAGATGAAGGGAAAGGCCTGTCGTTATGTAACAGAGGTGCTCTCCCGACACAGATGTTAACTACAGCCTCTATTTTATTCACTGTGTCAAACCTTGAACTTTGGAGGACTTTAATACAATAATCAAATATGTGAGGAGAGCTGCAGCTGAGGGAGATCATTAAGGAACACGAGCAGACGGTGGTCTGAGATCCAGGATCTCATCAAGACTCGTACAGATAACAGAAAACACACACAGACACATGGACACATGGACAGAGACAGAAGAAGACCCACAGACACAGTCAGACCTACAGACATGGGGGAGGCTCTATGTTTATGACCCCACACTCCCATCTACACCAATACAACACACACACATTCACAGAAACGTGCACACACACAAACACACACACACACACACACACACACACACAGACGGACCGTGGACCACACACTGCCTGCAGATCTGTTTAAAAGCCAGGAGCTGTGTTTATCATTCCCTACATCCTGCTCACAGAAATATTTGTGAGCGAGCCGTGTTGTGTTTTCTGTGTTTTTTCTGTATGCATCTATAAAAAATATACATAAATCCATCTGTCCCATCCTTGAAAGTTCACACAAGTCGTTTGTAATTACAGGCTAACAAGATTTTAAGAGCAGCATTTGAAGTGGCTTGAATTCTCAGTCTTCCTGCTTTTTCTCTGTCCCTTACCTGTCTTTCTGCCTCTCTGTCCCATCCTTCCCCTTACTTTTGCTCTCCCCCTCCATCTATCTTCCCCTCCTCCTCCTCCTCCTCCTCCTCCTCCTCCTCGCTGTAACTTCAGTCCTACAGTTAAGACTTCAGCAGAGGAGGACACGAGAGCAGCTGGCAGACCAAGGCATCATGCCTCGTGAGTAACGCCTCCCAACACCGAGCCAGTGCACACGCAGTCACACACCCACACAGTTACACATACACTCAGGCTTAAGTGTGTGTTTTATCTACCACTCCTATCTTTAAATGACATCAGCGCTAATGTTTATGCCACAGATTAATTGTACGTTATGAACTAGCCAACACTAGAAGGTTTAAGTACTGTATTGGCATTGGTTTTCCTGTTTAAAAAGTGGCCTTGTTAACTGTCAACTTTGAGCCTGTTTCTCCAACACATTAGCTAATAGGCTGCCATTGTATTTTTATTTTCTAGCTTAAATCTTTTGGCCCAATCTCTTCTAAGTTTTTATCATCTCCTGTCTGTGTATCTGCTTGTCAGTGGTATGGTGGAACAGTAAAATGACCACAACGAGTCAGATTAGTGAGGTTTAGTTTAACAACTAGGGCTTTAATTTTCTGCCCGCCGGCAGCACAGCGGAGGGTGGCAAATGCAGTGGTATTTTCGTCTGGCAGAGCCCGGCGCACAGCCAGTTTGGTATTTTCATAGACTGAAGCTGGGCGTGGTGGCGCAATAGGGGGAGCTATTGACAGAATCAGCCTGTGCACTGACATTTTTGTGCTCGCTGGTAGCGTAGAAAGTGCACTGAAAGCTCGCCAATTCAAACTTGGGCAGCTTTAGGCAGAGGTGGAGCGCAGCTGGTCTAGTGGTATTTTAGTAGCCCGGCGGCGTAGTGCGCATATGTCACCGATGCCTACTACATGAAAATTGCAATATGCCTCGCCGGTGGCAGATTTGAAGGTGAGGAGAGGAGCTGATGTGATTGGTGAAAACAGGACTCGGCTGTGTTAAACCCATTCCATGCCTTATCCCCTCCCTCTCTGCTACTTACGCCGCTGGGAGGCGCTAAATTAGGGAGGGGGGATACTTACCCCAGGCTTTTGGTCTCTGCTGCCTCCCTCTATGCTGCAAAAAGCTTCATTTTTTCATTCAAAAAGTTTTTTTTGTTTTTTAACTTGGTCCATTTGGCCCGAAGTACTAAGCAAATATTAAACATCAGACATATTCAAGCTTTTTACTTAAATGATGCAAAACAACAAATACCTGTAAGGCTTAAAGCACCGTGTAGACGTGAGATGGTATTTCAACCTTTGCCTATATACAAACAAAACATCCGATGGTAAATGCAGGTTATCTGGCCTATCACAGATTATTATTAAATTAGTGCAGTATCATTGTATAATAATGACATTTCTAACAGAACAAATACTTTGAGTTATTTGCCAACAGTTTAATTATGTTGTTTATCCAGAGGAAGTTAACGCAACTCTTTAGTTTATGTTAACGTTCTGTTAAAAACCACAGATTAACGTACACTGGTAAATACTGAACTATTTTAATGCTAGATGATGGATAGACGAATGGATAAAACGTTCCTGTATTGTTGTATTAGTTTGAAAAGCTGTGTTTATAAAGTAATATATATGAAAAACTCATTACGAACAGATTTTTAAGAGGCAGCAAAACAAATAGTTGTTTTCATTTTTTGTTGAGAGATGAAGTTTCATTCCCTCCTCAATCTGTATCAGTTTTAAAAAAGGTTTTCCTTTGAAACAGCATTTTTTTAGTTTTTTGATTCCATCGTAGTGAATAATTGATGCACTTTCCTAGCAGCAGAGGGTGTAACCAAAATCAAACTGCAGCGAAGATAAAGGTCAACTTTAAACTGTCTTTGAACAAAAAGAATGACACAGCAGATAAAAGCACTTAAGATGGATGGAGAGAAACAGGTAGGAAGAAAAGATAACATTTAAGATGATAGATACCGTACAGAAGAGCAGTAGCACACTCCAGAGGAGGATAAATCCACAGGGAGTGACAGAAACAGGGGTCGACAAAGAGGGAGCAGGTGGATACAAGACGGACAGAAAAGCAGGCCATCAAGATCCAAAGATAAGAGCAGAAGAAAGACAATCTGGATCTAGAAGAAGTGGCAAATTTTAAAAAAATCATTTGGAACAGGAACAGAGAGGTAGACAAAACCTGACAAGCTGATAAAAAGCTGTGAGTGGACAAGCAGATAACACCTGCAGGCACAGACATGCGGGGAAAAGCTGCAGACAAAGAGAGAGGAAGGTGAAGAAAAATGCTGAAGAAAGACAGGCATAAAAAAGCTGCAGACAAAGAGAGACAGGCAGAAAAACGCTGCAGGCACAGAAAGACAGGCAGAGAAAAGCTACAGGCACAAATAGACAGGCAGAGAAAATCTGCAGACAAAGAGAGACAGGCAGAGAAAATCTATGGACACAGAGAGACAGGCAGAGAAAAGCTAAAGACACAGAGAGACAGGCAAAAAAAAAAGACAGGCAGAGAATCGTGCAGGCACTGATAGACAGGCAGAGAAAATCTGCAGACAAAGAGAGACAGGCAGAGAAAAGCTAAAGACACAGATAGACAGGCAGAGAAAAGCTGAAGACACAGAGAGACAGGCAGAGAAAAGCTGAAGACACAGAGAGACAGGCAGAAAAAATCTAGAGACACAGATAGACAGGCAGAGAAAAGCTGAAGACACAGAGAGACAGGCAGAAAACAGCTGAAGACACAGAGAGACAGGCAGAAAAAAGCTAAAGACTCAGAGAGACGGGCAGAAAAAGACAGGCAGAGAATCATACAGGCACTGATAGACAGGCAGAAAAAAGCTAAAGACACAGAGAGACAGGCAGAAAAAGACAGGCAGAGAATCGTACAGGCACTGATAGACAGGCAGAAAAAAAGCTGAAGACATAGAAAGATGGACAGAGAAAAGCAGGAGACAGAAAGACAGGCAGAAAAAAGCTGCAGACAGACAGACAGGAAGATAATCTGTTCAGCCCCTGAGCAGACAGACAGGTTGCTGAGTGACCGCAGAGGAATTCTCTGGTGCGGCTCGTCCAGATTTACATGAACAGTACCTGTTTACAGCACAGCGCCTGCAGAGCGACACTTCAAAGCAGAGTCACTTTGAAACACAACAACACGGAGCCTGACCTGCTGTTTATAAGACACAGAGTTTGTACTTTTAATGTCAGATATGACAAAATGATGAGAACAAGCACACTCGAGTGTACGCAGCATTCTCCTAAATCCTCACTGTGGCTTTGATTGATGCTCCCTCTTATTCTCTAGGTTGTTGCGTGTTGGAGTTGTCGTGTTTGCAGCACGTGCGTAAATGTCAGATACATAAATTTTCTGCTGCTGGCATTTACACCAGGTGGAGGAACCTCTTTAAAATATCAGTGAGATAGCATGAGATTAAATACAGCTGGAATCTTCTTGTAATAAGATATAACGGCACTGTGGTTAGAGCCCGGCAGCAGTGTGCTATTCCTTTCTGTAGTTTTCACCCGTCTGCAGGAACAACAAGGGGACTGCAGGTCAGGGATTTGTCGAATGATATCTCTGGCACCGTTTGCCATTTCACAGCGGCTCCAGCCTGTAGATAAACTGCCGGTAAGTGTGCGGGGGAACAGAATCCAGAGGCTAAGCGAGGCTCTATCAGTTTCTTGGAGTCTGTTAGAGATAAGGCAGAAAGCAGGAACGTGATTGGCCAGAGCGGCACCAAGCGTTTTTTTTTTTTTAAAGAAGTTTCAATTGGCTGTTTATCTGTTGATTACTGGCGGAGGTGCAGATGGAGGAGGGTTGGATATGTTAGTACACACGTTCTCACACTGGAGCAACTGACTTTTGGACGTTCAATGTTTGATTAATAAGGAAAATGAAAAATGTGGTTGTACCTACTGGTAAATGTCTAACTTATTATGAATATATTATATGACAACTACAAAACAGAGTTCAGCTGTTGGCTGACACCTCCGCCTTGGACCAGCTATTAAAGGATTAAAAATAGTTTATTAAAAAAACACCAATCTTGAGGCTGATGGTGTTTGTTTGCTGTCAGCCCATGATCTGTCCAGGGTGTCTCCTTAACCTCTCGCTAACGGAAAACCCTAACAGACCTGGGTAGAGCTAAGCAGTTTGAATTATAGATGGATAAATGAACAGATAGACAATCATAAGTCAGGTTTTAAATTAAGACACCCCCTTGCTCACCCCCTCTGTCTGCGAAGCTACGGTGGCCACCAAGGACAAGAAGCTGCTGTGACGCATGATAAGTTCGATCCTCTATCTGTCAAGTTTTCACCATCAAAAACTACTATCAACATATATACATACATGATACATAATAATACAAAGCTGCACATTTACCCGGGATTTCCACCGCATCTGGAACGGCTCTGGAAATTGCCAGTTAGTTTGTCCATTCCAGGCCACATTAGGAACATGAGGATGCCGTATGAAACCGTACTCTTGTTTTGTTGTTTCAGCTAACATTAAATTAAGTCAGAGGAACCCGGGATAAACAGATCATAGCCGTACTTTAAGAGCCACTGTGTCATTCATTTGTCTACTTTAGAAAAAAAGAAAAAAAACAAGGCTTCTCAGGGCGTCATATCCTCCTCCTCCTTGAAGCTGCTGTAGCCCCTCCAGACTCTTGTTGCTCTGGCCGGCTGTGTTATTCCTGCTGAGGAGATGGACACGGCACAGGGTCTGTGTATATATTACCAATGGAACGTCTGGTGTTTATTAGGCTATTCAAGAACCCGACTCAGTCCTCTCAGGCCCTGCTGGCGTGTGGCCTGCATAGGAGCACACTGTCTGTCTGTTTGCTGGCCACAGGTCTGAGTACACACACATATGCACACACACACTTACACACATCTAATATTTCCTCATAAAGATAATAGAGCGGTATCTGTGGGTTTACTGAGCTTTTTCCAGCATAAAAACACATTTTTATTCGCTCAGCAGCGGTGCTTTAATCCTCCGCGGATGGAAACACAAAGAGAATTATTTCTGCTAATGCACCATACGTCTTGGCTCTCAGTGCACTGTTTACTTCTGACAGATACAGTCAGCAGGTAGATGTACTACAATAGGTTTAAAGTGCATCGTGTGTTTTAATACTGCTGCAGATTGTTTAAAAGTCTGTAAGCCAGCTCCACACTCATCGGATCAGGTTACAGTGAGCCTCAGAGGGACGGACAGCCACGCTCGAACACATCTACAGGCAGTTTGACTGCTTGGTTTAAGCACACTTAGAGCTGTGTGTGTCCATGTGATGTCAAATCAGCTCTTAAACTAGACCAGAGAGTGACAGGTGAGGCCAGAGACTCAGAAATAAACACATGATGTCATGGTCATGTGACCTAAGAGGCAAGACGCCCGCAGGCTGGATGTTTACATCTCAGACAATCACCGTTCTCCTCTCTGGCGAGATTTGTCTTTGCAGATGTTAACATGACAACTTTATTGTAATGTGTGAGTTCATCCTGAAATAAGATTATATATTAATCATAGAAAGCTTTACTTTCACGGAGATGTCATGATGGCCTCACAGTTTAAACTTGAGACAAAGAAAGAAGAAAACTGGAGGCACACGTGAATTCACCACCGCCACAGCGTAGAAGGCAACATAGGAGCCTTCAAAAGTTTGTTTGTTTATTTGGAAGTGGTTGCTAGTATTCCTGGGGTCAAAAAACTTAAAATCACAACACAATTAAATTTCAACAATTAATAATAAATACAATTACAGATTCAATTCATGATTCTTCACAACATTAAAATCACTCCAAAATCTGTGCTTTTATAGTTCATACAAACAGTTTTGTTTTAAAGTCCTTTTCAGATAGTACCTGTAACACTGTTCTCCTCATACAATTGGACTTGGAGGAATGGAACAATTAAATGACCAGAGCTAACCTGCAGAGTGACATGTTGCTGACAATAGTCATTGTACACCAATTTGTCAACAAAGAAAGTTGGATACCCTTTGAATATGGCATTATGCATATGGCAAAGAATATTTATATTTAGCTGGTTTTATACCTTTAATCACCCTAAAGGTCCTTCCACACCGGGAACGACACAAATATACAACGCGAAATTATGAAATATTCTGAGGCAGTTTTGACGCGCCTGACTATACACATCAAGCGTGATGCGACTTTGCGACTATCCGGGGGGAAAAAGACGAATCCCGTGTGGAAGCAAGAAGACTGACACAACAGCAGACTGACTGTTTTTCAGTTCTGATTAGACACTAGTGTTGAGATGACTGTCTGTCATGATAGCATGTACTGAGTCGGGGCCAGTACCAGATAAGCACATTAAACTATAATCCATAAACGTAAGGTAACAACCGAGATGCTATGACAGCAACACTGTGATTGAGTTTGAGAGAGTGAAATTACATACGGTATGTTGCATCCGAACAGGTTAGCTTACAAGCTAAAGTTACTTAGCACTGATGAAAGTTAAAACAAAGACGTTTAGCAAACTGTTAAAGCACACAAACCATAGTCATATGAGAAATCCGACTCTATGACTTTCCACAAGTTGTCCTTCAGGTCATTATCTTTGTAATATTTGTGTTTTTTTATCAAAAAACACGCTGTTCTCCGACACACAAACAATCAGCCGGTCGGCCATGTTGGATATACCAGTGAATCTGATGTCGCAACAACACAAAATCTGATTGGTCAGAAGTGGACGCACAGTATTTGTATTGACAGGCTACAGGTTAGAAAAAAATATTGACGTCCGAAATAATCGCATGAAAAAAATGCTCACGGTATGTAAGAACCCTAAGGCGTAAAAGTCACCATGTTGTGTTGTTGGGCACCAGAATAAAAGTAAAACCCTCCGCTACAAAAGCTGCTACTACCTGTCCCCCAAATATAGAGGCATCTAAGGACCTGACAGATCATCTATCTACTCCTGTTTGTTGGTGTAAACTTGTTCCAGTAACACTCTCAATCGTGGACTAAGCAGTAACCCCCATCATTAATCTGTTTTTGTGTAAGTCCAAGTAGAAAAGGTTATTTTGTGACACTTCACATGAAGAGCAGGTTTATAATTTCATCTTCCAGCTCTCATTTTTCAGATTTTTGCAATACCTGGCTAAAATTCCCCACATTCTGTCATTTTTTGTCTCCCACCCTGTAGATAAATATTAATATATCCATCCTTTCACAAGTCTTCCAGACAGTTAGGAAAGTCCATTTGGAACATGAAACTGAGCAAAACATTTTCTTAATTTGGTGATTAAAGTCCTTCGTTTTTCACATTAATCTTGACCCACTTCTCATTTTAGATCCATTTTTCATCAGTCAGTAATACCCACCTGACTCATACAGCACACAGCTTGGTATCACTCATTTTATTTTGGCTCTGAATTATCCGTGTGCCCTTAGAAAAAAGCCTGCTGATATCATATTTGACCAAATAAGTGCTGTTGCTCTTTCTCGCAGTCAGATAATCAGACTGACGTGGTTTCTCTCCTCCGTTGAGCGGATGGATCGCTCCCCAAGCCAGGTTCACTTCAGTCCTGATTATTTGTTCTGGATTTAACAGAGAGGGATTGTGGAAGGTCGAAAATCTCACCGGCTGCAGCTCTTTAATTACAGCAGCTCCATTTATTTTTACAGCACTCAAAGTGTCTGGCTGTTCAAGGTGTGGATCAGCTAAGATGATATCAGAGCTGATCCTAAACAGAAATATTGATTATTGAAGGCTGGGTGGAGTCACGTGTGCACCGTTTGATAAATAATACAGTTTTTAAAAAAATCTCCCTTTAATTTTGAGACATATATTAAGGACTGGGCTTCAAATCAAAGGTGATAATATAAAAAAAAATGTGCTACAGCACAGAATCACAGAACTCTTTATGCTCCAAAGTGTTGCTTATGTTAAAGCAGAAACACCAATGCTTAAAGCTGCTGTATAGGACTTTTGGTTAGTGTTGGTTTTGGCGCCCCCTGTGGACAAAGTTATATCTTTTGACCTGTATATCAGAAAGTAGTTGCAGATCAAAAACTCATCCAGTTGTCTGTTAAAAGTGAAATATGTTGCCCGCTGAGAGTATTTACTATTTATTAGGCTTGTTATTGATTATCTGGTCTGACACCTACCCTCTCACAGCAGTCTCAGGCATCAACGTTTAAAATGGAGAAACTTTCACCTTCGTTCCTGATGGGTTTTTTTTATTTTAAAGGTCATAGAGACGCATCGTATCAGTTTGAGTCTATCTCTTAACCTGTTGAAAACTCCTCACAGTGCCTTTAATTTTAATTTAATCAACACATCTCCAGCAATTTAGTCATTCAAGGCATAGGAAGTATCAGTGTTTTAATACAGCTATTAAACACTTCCAGTATTCTAAAGTGAGTCCATGAGTTAAAAAGGATTTTGAAAAGATGGAGTCAATAAATTTGAAAATGAATATGTAATTGGAGGAAGTGGAAAAATAACAGTGACTTTTAAAACAACTCAATCTTGTTAAAGCTCCTGTGGGGAACTTTCATTTCATGTGGAAGTTATCGCCCCCTGTGGACAAAGTGGTCTATGCTTATTTTGTTGTCTACATGCCCAAGTAAAGAAACACCTCACATTTAAACATATCACTTATTGTGAATTTTGAATATGAAAATTGTAAAAAAAAAAAACAAAAAAAAAAAGAGGAGCTTTAATTATCTGTGATTAAACTTTTGGTCAGTTTTGGACTCCAGTAAAAATCCATCCACATGTTAAGAAATTATGACTATACTCTAAAAAATACACATGTAAATTGACATGAATGTTAAAATACTCTTTCTGTAATTGTTTTAATTTTAAATGGCTAGTCTTGACTGTTTGGTACATGTTGGAGGGGTGCGCCTCTAAACACACAGTGCCTTTTGTTTTTTGTTTGTTTTTGTGTTTGTTATTTTCTAATTTTATTCTTTCTCCTAGTTGTTGTAGTTACCTTGAAAGCCTTAAAAAAGTTATTTTGCACCACAAAACTCTTGAGTTACTGGAACATCATGTCCTTGGTCTGTTAATTTGCTGGTTTGTTTGACTGATGGTATTTTTGATGATGAATTTAAAGTCCCCTCTGTATAGAATAGCATTGAAACAGGTTTTGTACATGTCCCCTTTCACTCCCTGCAGTTAGCACACTTGTTGCAGCAGTGTTTCTTGTTGTTGACGGCCTCGTCCTGCTGTGTGTTGTGCAGACCCGGCCTCAGGCGGCTCCTCTCTGGACGATCAGATGAGGCTAAAGCGAGCCCAGCTCGCCGAGGACCTGAATGAGAAGCTGGCTCTCAGGCCGGGGCCCCTGGAACTGGTCCAAAAGAATATCATTCCCCTAGACTCAGCCCTCACAATGACAGGTATATGTCGAGGTCTGTGCTGTGGTGGGACTCACCTGTAACACCTGTGTGAATATGCATGTCTCCTGTTTGAAGCAGCGTCAGTGAGGTTAACTGAGGGTGACGGCATGTGTGTTTGTTTAAAACGTTGTTTTAAGCTGCTCAAAGCACTCTGATAGAGATTACAATCTATTTAAATAAGCATGTATTTTCATTAAACAAGCACAAAGCTGAGATGGAGTGTTTACGTTGGTCTTTGTCTTCTTCATGTTTCTACACCAAACAGCATGAATTAGACTTTGCACTTTTACACCTGATAACTTTTATCCTTTAACCTTAACATGATAGATAAGTAACACTTGATATTTAATAGTGTGGCAACGTTATGTGTAATACTGTATGTGTGGAATTCAAACATACACATTTTCTAAAACACTTTAGAATATTTTCAGAGGCATCTGTGGCTCAGTGGTGGAGTCAGTTGCATGTTTAATTTCATGTCCTGCTGTCCACATACTGGGGTATTCAAAAATGATACCATCATGTAGTTTGCTCTCTGCCACATAAGTTCACAGTTAACTTACTCCATTAATTTCACTTTTATTATATTATATTTTAAAAAATCCAGGAAAGCATCAGAAATCATCATCCTGGCTTCCATTCAAGAAACAATCATTTCAAAACCCTCTTCTCCCCATGAGGACAGTCCTGACAAAGTTTGATCCAGTCTGAATCATGATGTTTTTATTTCAGCATACTTAAGACTTGTGAATTAAGAAGTTACCAGAGGATCAGCTGATTTTTTGATCAGACCTTTAAAGTGAGCCAGAGTGAAACTTTTGTGTTACTATTTACAGTGAAAGTGAGACTTATCTGAGGCAGATGAACACAGGCTTCTCCTGGAGAGGTAATGGAGCAAGAAAAGACAAAAGATGGGTGCAACTTGAGATGTTTTAGTGTTGACTAAATCACAAGATATCACGTTACAACAGGAGAGTCACAGCCTTGATGCTTGGATAAGAAAGGAAATCCGTGTCCAATCAAATTATCCAAGCATGTTAGTACAATTTCAGATCAAGTTTTTGATCAGCATATAAACACACTGAGGGGTTCAAACTGGAGCTCGTTACCAGTGTGTGATAATGACATTAAATGTCAAAGACAGATGCTTTCTGAGGATTACAGAATACAGAACAGGCCTTTTAACCAAAAATTCTCCTTATATTTTATTATTCAGAGGAATTAAATGTTTGCCCTCTAACCATAGTTATAGTTTCTGCCCTTGTAAAACACACACAGACAGACACACACACACACACATCAGTCTGCTTCTATTGTCAAGTATGACCTTTCAGCCTTTGGTACCAAACTAATGCATCCGAATAAGATTTCAAAAGGAAAATGATTTATTCCCCTCTGTGAACTCTTCTGATTCTTCCGTTCAGCTGCACTCCTTCAGTGCCTTTTTCCTGTTTTTGCTCCTTCATGTGATCCTCATTTCTAAGCAGGAAAAAGTATGTTTGTATTTTCCTCACAGGGAATGTTATTTACATTTTTAGAACATCGTGCTTCTTTCAAGAAAACCCTCTCCGGCTCGGTGTGGACCTCCAGAAATGTTGTTGTGGCTGTTTTTCTTGCAGATGAGGTGCTTTGACATCCAGAGTGTATGTTGGACCTCACCGCCTCCACTGTTTGATTTAAGGAAATGCACAGCCTGCATGCTTAGACGCGACGGTGATTTAGCGTCCAGCATCCCTGTGTGGCGCTCTGACCTCGCTCTGTTTGTCTTCTGATGCTCAACATGTTACTCACTCTCAGTATATCACTCCTGTTTGAGCAGATAGTGCTTTTTAGACTCTGGAGCTTCAGTGGTTTTATGTTTGCCCCCTTCAGTTTCTGTAAACATGTTGCGTAAAGGAGACGGCGGTCTGAGCTCAGCTGGCTTACCTCTGCAGTATGAGGGAGCGCCGTTTATTGAGATGAGCCGCAGCTGTATTTGGGCCCACCCTTTTCTTTAGAAGTGTTTCGGTCTGAGTGTGTCCTTGTGTGAGTGGGTGTACCTGTGTGTATGTTTGTGTCCCCTTCCTCCCTCTTTGTCTCTGGTCTGTTCAGCTCCAGTCCTCCACCTCCAGAGCTCTGTGACAGACCGGGGCTGCCGCATTAACCCCTCACCTCACAGCTCCTTACACTCCTCCCTCACACACGCTCCTGAAGATTGCTTTAACCTCTTTTACAAACTATGTGACCTTGTGTAACTTCTGAACCAGACGCTTAAAAAGAGGAAGTGCACGCTGCAAACAGATTTCTGCAATCCTGACACCTCAATCTCTTAGAGACATCAAACTGACGGACAGATTGGCTGAAAAGGAGTGAAAGCCTGAACAACATGTCCTCAATAAAGTAGTTTGTTTGCTGCCATGCACTTCAAAATATGACAACTCTAATGTTAGCTGTGCAGGACTCCAAGAGTGCATTAGTTTTTTATGCAGAGCCAGGTCAGACCTGCGTGCAAAGTTAGATAAAACTTCAACATAAACTGATCAGGTTCAATAGATATGCTTCACTAGATGTGACTTCTAGGGTTATTAAATAAACAACATTTCTTACATAACATCTGGTCGTGCTTTTATAATAAAGCCATTAAGGTTGTGATTATATAATGCTATCCATGGTGCATTTGTAGTCTAAATAGTATTGAGCAATCAGCAGGCTATGGTGTACACAGGAAAAACAGTCTGTATGGAGAGCAAAAGCAGGCAGAACAAAGACAATAGGTGGTGTTACATGACCAAGAATAGAGGTGGGAATTCTGATTGTAGTCTGTTTTGGCAGATGTTTTCAACATGCTTGTTTATCATCTTATAGACGAGTTTCTTGTGTATAAACAATACTAGGTGCGCGCGACCATGGGGCAAAAGCCTGTTTCAGAGTGAACTGATATGAATGAAGATGCCGCATTGTTTGCAAGTTCTCCGTGACACAATTGCAGTAAAATGTCGTTTCATTGAAAAATCGCTTTGTCTTGCATTGCATCAAAATCAGGAAAACACTTGCTAAAATATCCATGAATTTCACTCAATTTACCAGGTTGTGCCATTGTTTTAGATGTTTCTAATATCAAGAGCAGGGTCGTAATGTTTGCCGATTGTTTGTTTTGCCCATTTGTGTAGTTTACAGCACAACAGATCCTTGTCATTTTCTTTCTCCGTTGACTCCGCTAGTAAACAAATAAGAAATGTCCTGCTTTCTGCCTGCGATGACGTTGCACAGAAACTCGTCTGTTTGTTGTCTCATGTGAACTGACATTGTTCAAGAATACTCTGAAGCAGCATTGCGCTGCAAAACTGGTTTTGGTTTCCTTTGGACTTTTTTAATAAAACAGATAAGAACAAATGTTACTTATCCACAAACACGACAAAGCATAGTAGAACTTGTAATATTATCATATATGTTAATCATTAGTGTAGGAGAAGGGGTGGGACGAGATAAGTTTCGACTTCTTCCCAGCCAGTAGTATCAGCTTTGTGTACAGTCTTTTCAGAATCAATCAATCAATCGATATCTATTTATATAACACCAATTCACAACAAGTGTTATACCAAGATACCAAACAAAAAAACTGGTCTAGACCAAATTCTATTTACGAAGACCCAGTGTAAAGGTGGGATAAGATTGAGCCACATCTGCTCGAGGTAGAAACCTTGAGTAGAACCAGACTCATATGAGACAGTCATCTACTGCTACCACACTAGAAAGGGGATAGAGGAAGACGCAAAACATCTACAGCAGCGGCACTAAAGGATGATGGACTCGCAGAAAAGACTGTGTATTAGTGACTCTAATGGGTCATGACGATTCAAAGTTAACAATAAAGACAGAAAGAGGATGGAGAAGGAGGTAAAGGTGCTCACTATGCCAGAGCCTAAACCTTTGGCAGCTTCACTAAGAGGTGGCCCAGGCCTGAACCTGCTCTGACTGTGAGCTTTATCAAAGAGGAACTGTTTGAGCCTACTCTTAAAGTTAGAGAGGGTGTCTGAATGTGTGTGCCTAGAAGAGTTGATTGGAGGCGTGTACACTCTTGCTCAGTGGTTAGGGAAAACACTGGTGGGTAGAATTTAGAGGCTTTTGTTTAGTTTAATAGTCATGGTGCTGAATTAATCCATTAGAAGCATGATAAGGTTGATAAATAGCAAATGAAGACATCCAGAGGGTCAGTGTTGTGAGGATGGGCAGGGGTAAAGAGTTCAACATGAACAGGTGTGAGGAGGAGGTGGCATTCAGGACAATGCTGTGTATGAAGCTGTGTGTTAATCAGTGTGTGTGTGTGTGTGTGTGTGTGTGTGTGTGTGTGTGTGTGTGTGTGTGTGTGTGTGTGTGTGTGTGAGGTCGTGGAGTTGCACAGAATGAGCCTGGTGCTGTGATTGAAACCAGGGTCTGTTCCTGCCTGTCACATGTTTGGATACACACAGAGAGAATCTTATACCCGTTTATACACACACACACACACACACACACACGCACACACACACACACACACAAACACTGGGCTCTGTTTGATAGCCGCCCTCAGCTCCTCCAATAAAAGCTGCGTTCACTATCAGCTCAGCCAATCAGGAGGGATCTGGATGTAAAGTGGGGTGTCAGTCTCTCTCACACACAGCGTAACACCTCCACGCTGAGTGTGTACAGGGTGTCAGTGACAGACAGGAACTGTGTGAATACCACCTTCAGAGAGGGGACAGTCAGTGCAGAAGCAGCAGTTTTTAACCTGCATTCAGACTGATAATGAAGAGGTCAATACAAATTACACAGTACCCTCTGTTCCTTTGAACAGTTAAAGACACTAACGAGTACAAAAAGTTTTGTTTTGTCTCCACTAGATTAGTTCAGCCTACAGCAATAAAAGCCCAGCAGTACACCCCAGTTTTATCCACTCTGTTCTTTTTGTACGTCTCACATTATTATTTAAACTGTCCAACAGAATCGCAGAAAGGATTCCTGCAGAGACAGACCTCTTTGTCAAAGAAAATTTCTTTTAAATGGATGCAGTTCTTGTTAAGTTGTTGATGCTGTTCTTAACCCTCCTCCTGTGTTAGGGTAGGCACTGGCCTGTTTTTGTTTTTAAATGCTTAAAAGAACCACTTAAATTCATTTTTTGCACCAAGACTTTTTGACTTTGTCAGGAACCTCTATTTCAACAAAATAAAAACATAAAATTGAATAAATTATAAAATGCCCCTATTAAAATTATGGCACTTGTTGTGTTAGGGTCACTGTTGACCCGCTTAGATTAATATCTAATAATAGGGGCAAAAAACCAAAATCATAAGTGTACTGTCAGGCACCACACTGACAGTCCTATCCTCTTCCAACCATGCGAGATTTAGGAAATTCTCATTTTGCCATGTTTTTCCCTGCAAAAAAACGTAGGGCATGTCCAGACATGTGAGATCAATGCAGTATAGATGTCTGTATGAGAGGTATACTTGCAAAAAGCCCACTACAAAAATATTCTAAGCAATATTTTCACAGATAATGAAGCCTAATAATAAATCTTGAGATGAGAACCAAATTGGATGATAGAGAATTGTTTTTAGTGTAATTTACAGCTGATTTAAGACACGGGTCAAAACCAACCCTTAACATAGTGGCTGCGCAGTGATAGCTAACACAGGAGGAAGGTTATTCAAAGGTATGTGATCAGCCAGAATATGCCAACTTGAGAGTGTCCCTCAGACTGTAGTCATCCTCAGTGGTGACCTTGCCACCCATTAACAAGTGCTCCAGTTAATTCATTTGATTTATTTCCAACCACAAGACTGCTGTGACTCACGTCGCCCAGAATAGTGCTCTTTTTATGATGTGGCAGCTCACTGACATCAGCCTGCACCTGCATGCTTAGCTTGAAGGAAGTTGCTCAGAGTCAAAGTACTTCAGTGATATTTGATATCTGTTTGACACTAAGTGCATAATGCAGGTTTTAAATCTGAAGGCTTTCAGAGGTGATGTTACAGCTGTCACTGCCTTCATGTGTAAGTTTTACTGTCACTTTGTGTCTTTGATGGTTTAAATAAGTAATTTAGACTCATCATAACATCCATTTTATACTAAAAACAAACTCCTGCATGAAATGAAAAATTCAAGTTTTTCCCTCTGGAGTCTGGTGTGTTTGTAGAGAGTAATGTAACAGCTGTACCAGATAGAGGATCTGTTAGTCAGAGATATAATTAGGGCAGAGAGCTTTAAGAGTAATCAAAGCCATCATCTGACAGTTACAAGGATTTCAGTTTTAGTGGAACTCAGTGGAGTTTTTTCAGCCACTCACATATTCAGTCCTGTAGTACAGTCTACATGTGTATCATCAGAATAGTGGAAAACAACAGAATAGAGAATAATGGATAATAACAGAAAAATAGTATGTTTTCTGTGTTGTATACCCCAGGTAAACGTGAATAAAGAAAATAAAATTGGTCCCAAAACCGACCCCTGAGGGACCCCATAGTTAAAGACATATAAAGACTAAAACTTTGCCTTTCATCCCCACCTAGAGCCTCAGTGTGTTTTGAAGAAAGCTGTGATCAGAGAACATTTCACTGCTGCCATTAAAAGAAAAACCTTGTCTGTTTTGAACTCCATTAAGGTGCATTGCATTCGACTTGTATCATGGTGCAGGAATGATGTTGAAACACAGTCAACCTTTGGATCCGTTAGTCCTTCAAAAAGTAGTTCCTGGGCCAAAAAGTACGTGGTGCTCCTGGGTGGAAATGCAAACAACTTTTGAGCCCAGTACTAAGTTACAAACGACACAGCTTTTAAGGCCTTACAAATATTACCCGTTGGCTTTAATAACCACTTACATTATTGTGAAATCTTATCATCACTTATCCGTCAAAACTTTTTATAGAGTCACTAAAAACAAGCATCAAAGCGAGTAACCGTTGCAGTCACAGGGTCGGGTTTTAAACAGGTTAGACAAACATATTTAGAGGAGAAACGGTTATAGAGTGACTCTCAGGCTCCCCTTTGCCCTTTTGTTCTTGAGAGGGATTATTGGTGACATTTCAGATGAGCTGCCTTCAGTTTTACCTCCTAATAAAGAGGTTTAGATAATCTGGATAAACTCTTGGCTCCATCTGACTCATTCTTCTCAACCCCCACTGTGTTCCCAGATCTCTGCAGCTTAATCTGGAGACCAAACAACTCAAAAAAGTTACTACAACAAACTGGAATTAGCATTTAAACTCTTATGTCTTTTTTGTGGGGGGATCTAAAGTAACTGCACAGTGACCTTTGACCTCTCCTTCTCTCTCTCTCTTCTAACAGTAAACCACGGACAGTTCCCGAAGCAGGAGGATTCGTACGCGTTCGAGGAGGACAGCAGCAGTGAGAGTCTGTCTCCAGAGCAGCACCACAGCGATGAGTCTCAGAGCTCGGCGTGTCCTTCATCAGAGGCTGTCGGCAGCACGGCCTCCTCCTCCTCCTCACCTGCCCTCACCAGCCCTCGACAGGTAAAACACACCCCTTTTTACTCTTCTACTTCTGTCCCTGACACTGTTGCACCTCTACTGCCTCTTCTGTGCCTCTATTGCCCTCCTGTGGCAGCAGAGTGAACTGCGTCTCCTCTTTCTCTCTCCTCTGATAGTTGGACTCAGTTGAACCGGTCAGGTGTCGTTATTTTCTGTCTGCTCACCTCCCAAATACCATGACCTAATTCGAAAGTCCACCACCACCAAAAGTCACCAGATTAAATGTGTGACTGAAACAGGGTTGTCTACATCTACTGCTGAAATATTTCAACAAACTCATCGTCTCTCAAATTCTTGTTTATGAATACTTCTGGAAATGAAATGTCAATACACGAGCGTTTTTGGGGATAACTTTTCCATTTGGATTGCAAACTAACGTCATGAGTGCAGCTCGTCACTGTGACTCTTAAACCCCACAGGAGGAAAACAGAGACATCCGGACTGAAACCGTAAAATATAAAGTAACAACCACTTCAGAACCGCAACACCAAACATCCTCCACTGTTTTTCTTTTTTTTTTAATCAGTTGCTTGATTTCACAAAATTACGAATATAAGTGTCAAATTACAGTTGCGTTTCATTCTCATTTAAAGCAAAATCTGCCCTAAAACTGAACATTTGAAAATGAGACAATAATGGCATCTTTTAGAAAACTAGGATGGACAGAAAGGAACAACACGTCCAATTCCTTGGCAGAGCTTTAATTATTTTACTCAGTTCAGTTTAAGTCATTGAACTTGAGCAGCTGCCAAAGTTATGCTTTTAAAGTCTTGTTTCAGTCTGGCTGTACATTTTTGGATGTGTGTGTGGATTATTTTCACACTGACTCTCTTCTTAAAGCTCCCTGTCCAAAACTTGTGGTAGGGAGATCGCACCTCCTCTCTGTGCATCCATCAAAAGCTAAGGCTGGTAGAGCAGCAGCAAAGACCTCAGGGACAGAACACCCATGTGGGCTTTATAACATGATGGTCAGTGGTGGCTCCTCACAGATTTCTCAGGGGGGGCGATTGTAGCGATGATGACTAAAGTGACCCATTCAATGGCTACCACATATAAGCACTAGACTGCAAGATAAATACTTTCCCTTTAGCCACCTTTGCTACACATTAGCAGACACGTAATCAGTTTACCTTTGAACATGGAGACAGGTAACCGCTTCACCATTAATAAAGACAGTTACTAGATACAAGTTGGCAACATTAGTATTTATTTACAGTTCTTTATTTTCTGTGACCATTTCTTGCAGAGCCAACTCAAACACACAGCAGAACTTGACACAGTGGATTAGGCGGGCTAGGATATCTCACCTCGTCATTGTGACGACGAACCACGAGCCTGTAGCTCTCATCCAGCTGTGTCGCAGTCTTGACCTGCCCAATCGCAGAAAACTTAATGCAACTGTCCGACTCATGATGTTTCTTGACCTTTTCCGACAGATTGCGCATTTCGGTGACTCCCATTGTTGTCCACGCTGTGATGTCTGCCGTGCTGCTATCAGAGTGAAACAGTGTGCAGGGGTAGCAGAATCAAGTGTTAGCTATTTCACAGCCCACTAGCCAGGTTTTCAGCTCGTACCAGCTCTGCGAAAATCCCCAGTTATATGATTTCCCTCCCTTTGTTGAAATCTGTTTGATATCCAAATTTGGTCTAGGGGGGGTCCCAAACCACCCATGACCGTTTTTTTTTTTTTTTTTACAACTATAACTTAAATCTTTCTAGATTTTTTTATTCCTTTTGCAACCCAATACTTAATACTTTTTTATTTTTTGATCAGGGAGGTACAACCCAAGACCCTCCTGATCAGAGCCAGGATGAAGGTCAGTCTTCTGCCAACAACAGCCAAGCCACTCCTCCAATACCTGTTCCTGCTATCGTCAAGGTCAGCAACGTTTACCTCCATCTTATAAACAGTCAAGTTTGAATTTCTGTTTGCATGTTCACCCTCTCTCCCTCCACCTCCCGAACAGTCAAAGACGTCAGACAAGAACCGCCATAAGAAGCCCAAAGATGTGAAGCCCAAAGTGAAGAAGCTGAAGTACCACCAGTACATTCCTCCGGACCAGAAGGCGGAGAAGTCCCCCCCACCCATGGACTCAGCCTACGCCCGCCTGCTCCAGCAGCAGCAGCTCTTCCTGCAGCTGCAGATCCTCAGCCAGCAGAAACACGCTCACACACACCCACAGTCTCAGCAGCAGCACACACACACCCAACACACACAGGCCCAGCAGCAGCAGCAGCAGCAGCGACAGCCGGCCTTCAGCTACCAGCCTCATCCACAGAGCCAAACACACAAGTAAGTCAGAAAAAAACACTCTATACATCCTCACAAAGACTTAACTTACACGTTTCCTTTTAGAAAATGAAGTTTGCTGTAAAATATCAAAGTATTTCCAAAGCTGCGCCGTATTTTGACACATTTTGGGCTTGAAGCTCCTGTGAGGATTTTTTTTTGCTTGATTTAAAACAGACTGAATTTATTAACTGTGTATTTCATGACATGAAAAAGAAAACAAGGCTGTTAAAAAGAAAAGTGACCATATCCATTTAGTTAGTTTTACTGTCTCTGAAACCACAGGAGGGAGTAGGTGTCAGTTAAAGTGACTAACAGCGCAAAGCTGATTCGGGCTGACAACTCAAGTAGGGGAGACTGGGGACAGTTGCAACACTTTTTGCTTTTTTCTCAATCACTCAGAGATGATTTGGACTAGGCCAACCATTTATTTATTAATATAGTAAATTTACAAACCATTCCCCATACCATTTAAATATGATTACATTAGACAGATTTTTCACAATATTCATTCAATCAAAAAAAAGTCAACTGTTGCAACCGACCCCATCCCTGGGACGGTTGCAACACTACTCAGGGACAGTTGCAACATGTCACAAATCCATTCAGCCTCTGAAACAGGTGAAAAGACGGCAGAACCCACAAAGCAAACTGACTCCATAATCCAAAAACTAAACACATTAATAAATTTACAGGACAAAAACTGCAACGACAAATGTGTCTGGAGAGGACAGATCATTTTAGTAGAGACAAGCCTTGATTAAAATTCATCTGCTATAAAGTGTAGGTGCACGACCTATGAGTCTTTGATACAGCCATTGGTAGAGGATGTTATTTTTTAATGGAGGATGTCTCTTTATGAATTGTTTCCTATTTGATTTTAATAGTATGATAGAATTAATCTTCTTTAATTCTTCCCTCACAGAGGCATGAATGAACAGCTCTCAGCCTGCAGCTCCAGTGGACCGCAGAGCCAAACTAACAGTAACTTGTCCTCACCGGTGAAAAACTCATATCCAAACCAGAGCACCATCTCACCGGTTAAGCCCGGACCGCTGCCAGCTAACCTGGATGACTTAAAGGTAGGTGTTACACTGTGAAAACTTGGACTTTTGCTCCATATATGAACGTGTCACAAACATTAACCTCACTGTTTGTTTGTTTTTTTTTTTCTGTGTCAGGTGTCGGAGCTCAGGCAACACCTGCGTATCCGTGGCATGCCTGTCTCTGGCACAAAAACCGCCCTCATTGAGCGTCTCCGACCCTTCAAAGACTCCAACTCTGGCTCCTCCCCCTCTGGATCCTCTGACATCACCACTGTGACCTTCCCCGTCACACCCACTGGCTCCTTGTCCTCCTACCAGTCCCCCTCCTCATCGAGCGCCCTCTCCCAGGGAGGCTACTACCCCTACCCCAGCACCTCCTCCACCCCTCCCATCTCTCCTGCCTCCTCGGAGCTCTCCCTCAGCGGCTCGCTCCCCGACAGCTTCAGCGATGTGCCCATGTCCTCGCCAGCGCAGTTTAACCTGCAGCCATCCCCCACCCAGCTCAACATGGAAGATGGGGGACTGGGGGGAGGAGGTCTGGGTGGAGGACCACAGAGAGCAGGGGAGGGTGGAGGTATGGATGGAGTAGAGGCAGAGAAAGACAAGATGCTGGTGGAGAAGCAGAAGGTGATTGAGGAGCTGACGTGGAAGCTCCACCAGGAACAAAGACAGGTAAGAGAGAGTATTTCAGAGTCTTTTATTTTGAAGGTTTAGAATAAACTGCAGTTCTTTAAGTGGCCACTTGAGGCTGATTTCAAAAGTTCAAGTTTCAGTTTATCACATAGAGTGTATATAGAATGGACGCTGTCTGCCGCCTCACTGGGTGAAGCGACCACGAGAACAGCACCCTCTGGTGACGGGCTGCAGTATAGGTCATAAATCCCGCCTCCGCCAGCAAAGCTTATGGGGTTGTGGACAAACTTAAGAAATTTTAGAAACTTTAGAAACTGGACAAACTACCAGCGACTCTGCTGCCGAATGCGCACAATGCGACTGCGCAATTGGTGAAGTGCGTACAACGCTACTGTGCAATGTTGGTTTCAGGAAATGGAAACATGGGGCTCTATGGTAACTGACTCACTTTAGGAGCCAGCCTCCGGTGGACACTCTTGGAATTGCAGTCTCTGTAACTCTAACTCCTGTTAAGTTTAATGTATTTCATGAGACAATTAACGAGATGTACATTTTAGTAGTTATTGACACATGATCTGCTTACATGCTAATTTTAGGTTGAGGAATTGAAAATGCAACTCCACAAGAGGAAACGCTGCTATGGAGCAACACAGGACCCCGTCCCTCCTCCGCCCCATCCCACCCTGCATCATCAGCAGACACCCCCTATGATGGGACAGCATTTCTTTGGAATGACAATCAAGCAAGAGCCCATGTCTTTGACCTCCAGCTGTCCTCTGTCCTCTCCAAAGCAGCTGAAGAGCTCACCTGGCAGCTGTATGGAGGAGATGGGACACTGCAACACCCCACTTCCTAGTATGGGGGCCCCAAGTGGACTACAATGTATGGACACAGCCCCGTCTTCTGGGAGCCCCTCCACGATGTCAGCCTTCCTTAGTCCACAGTGCTCTCCGCAGGACTCCCCCATTGGAAAGCCTTCAGGGAGCCCCCAGCCTTCATCTCCCAATAACTCTTATCTGCTGACACCTCCACTCGGGAGGGACAGCTGCCATCACCCCCATCATCCCCAGGGCAACAGCAGAATACGCAGCATGCAGGTACGGTGTGTTTATGAACGGATGATATTAAGAGGCACGACAATAACCTCAGTCACAATTTTATTAAGAGTTTCTCCTATGTTATTTTTATGGAGTGAAATTCAGAAAATTTGTGGATTTACTGTTAAAAAAAAAAAAAAAAAACTTATCACATGGTCCGAAGAGTGTTCTTATTGTGCGTTCCAATTATCTTGGAAGTCGGAGCTGGGAATGATGTCACACCCCGGTTATCAGCGTTTCAGTTTCAAAGTCAGAAAAAAGTAGCCAACAGCCAAAAACACTGACTGAAACTACCACGCTAAGGTTAGCCGTTTTTAGCACCACCTGCTTTTTAGTTAGCACATACACATGAAAAATGTAAATTACACTATGACAGCATTTACTCATATATACATTTAACAATACTATTGTATACGGCTGACTTATTGTGACAACAAATAGTAAAAAGTGTTAATAAAAATGATTACAGGAGCTTCTACTTACTGTTTACAACCGGCGCCGCCATCTTTTTTTTAAATGTCAGCTTAGGGGTTGTGTGGATCGTCCGACTTTCTGAGTTGGAAATCCAACCTTGGGGGTCGTTATAGTTGAAAGTTCCGAGTTGGAGCTTGGAAATCCCGACTTCCAAGTACAACTGGAATGCACCATTAACTCCATGACTCTTCAACCCGGTGGAGGAAAACTGTACTTTTGCCCTTGACAAAGCCCAAACCATGATCTTTTTTAGCCTAATGAAATAGATATGGTAATCTATCAAGTTGTTTTTGTACCAAGCTGAATACTTTGGTTTTGAAAGCCAATCAAGTACTGTAGGTTTCCTCAGAAACACTTTATGGCTGATATTTGGTATTGATGGCCAATAAAAAGTGTGCTTCTTTGGCTACACTGCCAGCATGTCTTCCTTTTGAGACTGTTTTCTTTGAATCCCCTAATGTCTCTACTGCAACATTATCTGATTGACGAGATGTTTGGTGTTTATTCCTTTAAACAATGTTGATGGTTTCGGTTGGGAGGAAAAGTCTGCTGGAGTTTGTAATATTGTGAATCATACATTTTGACAGAAGATTTATTGTTATCTTCCTGTGTAGCTGTGGTACTTTACCGAGTAATTGTGGTGCGTAACCACTTGACCATTTGTGTTTGTCTACAGATGCATCAGAAGAACAGTGGCCAGCCAATAAACTGCTCCTATCCTCCTGACCAAAGAGGTCTACAGGGAGTCTTTCCAAACTCCACAGAGTGTGGTCACAGCAGCTCCGCCAAAGCTGACAATCACAACATGCAGCCAAAGGTGAGCGATACGTCAACATTCAGGTCCTTCACAATGTCGTGTTAGTGTCATGTATTCATCACCTCACGTTCACGTAACTGTTTTTCTTTTTCTATTAATTTGTGTGCTGTCTCTGACACCGTATGATTGTCTTTGTTATGAGGTTCATCGTCACTTCATCTGTCTTCATCACATGCTCCTTCACGTGTTGGTGACTTTTTCTCAGAAAGATAACAACGCCAACCTTTCATAATAAAGAGGATCTTTAATATGATGAGATTATCTGATCATGAGGCCGGATTCTTAGATACTTTGAACCCCCTTAACATACTAGTGGGCTAATGTCACTTTTCACCTATGTTTCATGTAGATGTCAGTATTGCCCTCCCCTCGGCATGTTGGTCCAAAGGGCCAGGTGTCCCCCCCTGCCTTCAGTAGCTCAGATTCAGATGACTTAAGACAGCCCCCATGCTATGAGGATGCAGTCAAGCAGGTAAACTCAAAATCAAACCAAATTCAATAGACAATGGCTGTTCAGAGATTTGTAATCTATTGGCGTTGCTCTAATTCCACTTTCCTCATCCTGTCTCCTGTTTCTTTTTTGTCTCCATCACCTCTTTTAATTATTCATACGCTTCTTCACAGCACTAACTGTCCACCCTTTTAAAAAGTCTGAAGCAGTTTGTTGGTAAAGTGGTACAAACTATTTTTGAAGGCAGATGTATCTTCATTGGTTCAAACCTTTTTTTTTAACCATGATGTTGATAATATAGGTTAGCCAATCCATCCATTTGAGGCCAATTTCTCTTGACATCACACTCAGGATTGCAAACTCTCATATTCTTACACTATTGTTATTCCAGTTTAATCAATACAAATTTTCTGTTTCCGTATTGATCAACAAGTTTAATTTTAAGTTCATGACTAGGGACTTGGCAGCTATAATATTATGTTTGGCAACTTCCAAAGTTGAAATTGAACTGTTCCTTGGCTGATATCTACGTCTTTGAAAAAGCAACTTTAACTAAACAGAGCTAATGAGTGAATACCATAGACTGTATATAGAATGGATGTCGTCTGCCTCCTCGCTGGGTGAAGTCACAGTGAGAACAGCACCCTCTGGTGACTGGCTGCAGTAAATAAAATCGCATAGCTGACCTGGGGGATACACTGTTTGAGCCGAGCATCATCACAGCGACTCTCAGCAACTCTCCTGCTGAATGCATGCAATGCTACAGAGCAAGGGGTGGTTCCAGGAAGTGGAGAAAATCCTGGAAATAGCTAGAGCAATTTGGCTTCAAATTCAAATAATGATGGAAGGTGGAGCCAAGTTGTCCATAGTATATTCATTCTATGGTGAGATGCTTTCTGCCTCTTCAAATAGTCACTGTTTATTTTCTTGTTAGCTACTGGTCAATTAAGTGGCAGTAAAATTAAGATTTTTTTCAGTATCCCTGAATTTGTACCATTTCTAAATTGGGACACAGATGAATGTGATGATACCGTGCTACCTTCTAAGTCTTGGGGGATATCAAAGAATTAGCTGAACTAGACTACAAGGTTCAAGTGCCAAGGCCGCTAGGGCAGAGCCCCATAGCGGGGGGTTTTAGCCAAAATCGCGTTACCTCTGTCATTTTCAAGGGCTTTTCTTCTGCAGAGCTCCAGTAGCTCATTAGCAATTTGCGTCTGAGTCGTGGGCGGAGACAGTGCTGATCTGCACACTCCTCTTCACGCTAGCTTGCAGCCTAACATTACTTGTGCAGCAGAAGTTTCTGGTAACATAGGAGCTATTTAGCTCTTGCACACTAATATCTTTAGGGACATGATGAAAGCTAATACTATAATTAGCTTTCTCAAGAGTATTGCAATCCATTAATGCACATGCGTGTTCCGCGATTTTCCACTCTATTTCTCAGTGTGACCTGCATAGTGAGGCTCTGGGGGCGGAGCTTGGATTTGTGATGTAGGAAATCTCACTGTGTCTGCACCTGCCTTTTGGGTCTGCCTGAGATTCACAACGATTTGAATGAAGAAATACTCAGGAATGCAATTCCACACTAATTTCTCTCATGATATGTCCTGTACCATCAGAAAAATGTCATATGAACATGTAGACAACAAGAAAAACAAGATTTTCACTGGAGCGGGTCTTTAACCAAAGTCAGAGATCGAGAGTATTTCAGGTGATGTCTTGTTTAGGCTTATTTACCAAACAGGATTTATATTGGAGGGTTTTTTTGTCCTCGATTGTTGTCATTTTTTGAGTCATTTTAGCCAATAAACCAGCCTGCCTTCAAAAACAGTTTGTGCTGCATAAATCTGCTCTGCAACTCTTCATAGACTGCCTGAAAGCTTCCATACCTTCAGCACAATCGTGGAATACATCTGATTGTAAAACAGTTGGAAAGTATTCAGTTTGTAAAAACAATCACTTTTTATTATTGTTACAGCAACTGACCAGAAGTCAGCAGATGGATGAGCTGCTGGACGTGCTCATAGAGAGTGGAGGTAAGGTCATTTATACCGCACTATCACCAGAGCTAGAGCTGCACAGTCACGGTGTTCCCCCTCAGCGGGGTCAGATCAGAACCTGCTGTGACCCTCCCTCGTCTCCTCTTTCTCTTCAAGAGATGCCCGCTAACGCCAGAGAGGAGAGGGAGAGGTCCTCTGTAACCAAAGTTGTGCCTCACATTAATGTGTCCCCAGGGTGCCCCGGCCTCCTCATCCCGAGGTTCCACCGACACTACGAGCACCTGAGCCCCTCCCAGCTCCCCTACGACCACTCAGCCAATCACATCACAGAGAGCCACCTGGAGAACCTGCTGGGATGCCCGGTCGGTCGGGGAGGGGAAGTGGCCCTTCTTAAAATGGCAGCTGAGGAAGGGGGGCAGGAAGAAGAAGGGAACAGAGATGGCGAAGGTTACAGGAGCCCCCACAACCACCACCGCCACCCACACCACCCCCAACAGGACAAAATGATGACCAAGAGAGAGCTCATGGACACGCCTCTGTCGCCCATCAGCAGCAAGGTGACGATGGTCCCTGAGGTGCAGGGTATGGTTAGCATGGCGTTCAGCGAGACGCCATGGGAGACGATGGAGTGGTTGGATCTGACTCCGCCCAGCTCGGCTACAGCTTTCAACGTGGCTCCACCCTCTGGGCCGAGCATCTTCAACACAGAGTTTTTGGATGTAACAGACATTAACCTGAACTCTGCTATGGATCTCCACCTGGAGCACTGGTGAGCACGCCGCCGCCAAGTACAGGCTAGCACCATGCTAACGAAACTTTTGACACCAGCTGGCAAGTAGCTGAAAGAACTGCTAACATCAGCTACAACCGCACCAAAGAACTTTTAGATCTGCCTCAGCAGCTTCAGTCCAAACACCAGTTTGCCTTTGAACCAGTGGGATGTAAACTAAACAGACTACAAGCCGACATCCAAAGATTGTTCGCTCCTCCAGAAGTTGAACTGCAGAGTTATTTTTGGACTTATTTTCTCCACTTTACTGAAAGTTTCTCATGTCAATGTCATGAAATCCAGAAGAAAAGGTGCTTTTTGACACAATCTTTGTCCATCTTTGAATAACTATGCACAAAACTGCCAATCAAGTATCACAGCAGAACCATGAAGGATGCAGAAGATCATGATAGCCATATCTAAAGTGCTTTATTCCAACACTTAATGCAGTATCAGTGTTACACCACCTAGACTTGAAGACACATTTTGACAATCGTATATATCGTATCCGAGTTTGTATTACTGGAAAAAAAAAGAAACAAAAGGTGAATTGGATGCTTTAAATGATCATATTTTGTAAATATCTTAACTATTGGTACTGACAGAGACAAAGTGACGTCTGCATATTTTGTCAGCGGTATGGGAGAAGACACAAACCACCGATGATGTGTATTATGTACTCAGATTATAATCCATGTAAATATGACAAAAAAAATCTCACCTTGCACTTCGACATAAATACACTTTTGTCACGGTTTGCTTGAGCTTAGAGTTTGTGTGTAGAAATGTTTGTCATGCTTTTGAAGGACCTTTTTTTTGTACAAGTTTCTGTTCACTATTTGATGTTTTTATCCACAGAATGACATTCAAAAGAGATATCAGTTTGGAAAAACACCTGGTCTTATGAGTTTTTATCACTGTTGAATATTTGAAAACATATTTTTATTAAAAACTTTCACCAGTTTTAGACAGTTTTTGGGCCACATTGAAAAACAAATCTGAGATTTAAAAGAAAGGTCTAAATGTTACAGGAATACGGTCCACAGTTATTTTTGTTTGTTTTGATATGTATTCTTTATCTTGTATTTATACTGACATTCCTTCTTTTGAATTAGGGCTCTTTTTGAGTTTTTTGAAATCTCCAGCGCTGCCATTTTTACCCTGGACGTTTCTTTAGTTGATCCTTTTTACAAAGAACACATAAAGATAATGTGAAGGAACCACTTTGAAAAGCCATGCTTTCCATGATCGTTTTACCTGTTAACAGTCATATGAGTTAGAAATGACCTGAATTAGCACTTGTGAATAGAAAAGTGTAATATATTCAAATCTGTACTGTGAAAACTGCACATTAACACAGCGTCAACTTAAAATATCTTCACACAAAGACAGTTTTCATATAAATAAAAGCTAAAACTGAAACTACTGTAATTTCACTCTGTTTTCACACTCATGTTAAGGCTAAAGCTCACACTTACGATGTCATAGGCACACAGATAAGCTCAAATTTGAGATTTTCCTAAAATATATGTTTTGTTTTTTTTATTCCTGGACTTGCCCATCCGACAGCACAACTTTATTCTTGCAATAAAAAACATGAATTTTGGAAGACAGCAATTTTTTTTTCGACTTTATTCTCCTAGCATCAGGACAATATTATGTTTTTTTTTTTTCTTGTGGCTCTTATAATCTGTGGAAGTTTCCTTTAATATTTCTAAAACGCTAAGGCTGATAATAATTTAGAAAGTTCAACAGTGGCCAGAAAATAAAGTTAAGTTAATCCAAGGCTAACCACAGTTATTTTTGTTTGTTTTGATATGTATTCTTTATCTTGTATTTATACTGACATTCCTTCTTTTGAATTAGGGCTCTTTTTGAGTTTTTTGAAATCTCCAGCGCTGCCATTTTTACCCTGGACGTTTCTTTAGTTGATCCTTTTTTCCTTGAAAATGTGAGAAAAAGTGAAGGAACCACTTTGAAAAGCCATGCTTTCCATGATCGTTTTACCTGTTAACAGTCATATGAGTTAGAAATGACCTGAATTAGCACTTGTGAATAGAAAAGTGTAATATATTCAAATCTGTACTGTGAAAACTGCACATTAACACAGCGTCAACTTAAAATATCTTCACACAAGGCAGACACTGTTTTTCCCCCACATGTAAAAACCTAAAAGAGTTTAAAGAAAACTGTAATTTCACTCTGTTTTCACACTCATGTTAAGGCTAAAGCTCACACTTACGATGTCATAGGCACACAGATAAGCTCAAATTTGAGATTTTGTGGTCCTGGTCAGCTGAAGAGTCAAGCTTGAAGTCTGCTTGTTTGTTTTGCTCCAGCTCACAGACTGTGCATTAAAAGTGGATGTACTAACTACCATCTGACACATGAGTTCGGCAGTCTGAAGTAATCACATCAGTAATCAGAGGCGTTTAAAGGAATATTCCGGCATAAATTTAAGTAAGCGGTCAAACAAACCATAACACAGTTAGACACCCCCAAGAGAGATGAATGTTGCTGACTGCTTGCTTCTCTAGTTATACTAACTTCAGTAATGACCGCACAATAGCAATACACAGTGCAAACGCGCAAACCTCAACCAAAAAGCCACTCTATAGCCGCAAATAATGCTCAGAACAGCACCTAACTTCATCAACAGTACATATAGTACTAGCCATCAAACATCTTTTTAGCTTTTCCTAATTTCGTTAGAAAAGAGACCAAACACAACTCACCCACTCTCCTTCAGCAGCCGCTTGTTTGTGGGGGTGCCCTGACGAGTCGATTACCAAGTGCAGCGGAATTTCGCAGCTCAAGGAAGAACATTTATGATTATTACTTCATGGAAATGCAATCAGACCGAGATGCTAAGGCAGAAGAACTACAGCGTCTGCAGTGCAAAATGATTATTATGATGATTATTACTTCAAGGAAATGATCTGCTGCACTCGGTGATTGACTCATCAGGAATAAGCTGGAATATCCCTTTAAGGCGAGGGTCAGCTAAAGAATAGATCACATTAGTGCCGCATGTAAACAGACATCTTTTCTTTTTTTCTCCCTCTTTGACCTCTGATGTCTTTATTTATCCTAAATAAAACATTGCTCCTCAGGGTTTGCAACAGTAATGACAGTAATAAAACCAAAAGTAGAAACCATAAACTTTTAGGGAGACGTTTACTGAGGGAATGAAATTGATAAATTTCTTCGTTTAAAGGGCTGCCCCCTGCTGGACATTGAAAAAGAATACAAATTTAACAAGTTATATCCACTTCTTACGTACAGTTTTATGCTTTTGCTAACATAAGGTGTAAAGACAACTCATTTATACCCTGAAATGTTCAACAATACTGAGGTGTATTTTTTGTAGAAATAAGTCACGTTGTGGGTCTTATTTAGTTTGATCTACCAAACCACATCCCGACTTCTCAAGAGAGCTTTTCACTTCTCCTTTTCCATCATACGACTTTTATTTTTTTAGAATAATTTTCCCTGATCACTCGACAGAAGCTTCACGTTGCTTGGCCACTGACTTGCTTTTCTTTTGTAAAAAAAAATAAAATAAAAAGTATCTGACTGCATCCTGTGTATACAACAGCAATAAACTGATCACAGCAACAACCACGTCTGCTGCTTTATTTAAGCCAAGAAAGACACGACGACACAGGGGTTCAGTTTTTTTCCACGGGAACTTTATTTGTAACCCTTGATAAAGATACAATATAATATTCATCGCCCTTAATATTATCTTATAATCTAATATGAACATTCTAGTAAATTGCAATTTTTACAACATGTACCCTGGAGACTCATGTTCACCAGCGGTAAGTTAGCTTCTTGTATCCCACGAGTGAAAACAGATGTGGAGACTGTCATGCCCTCAGTGTGTTTGCACCATTTCACGTTACAGATAAAGAACAGATTGGACACAATTCTCCGTTTTACTGTGAAGTAAGAATCATGTCTGCTCTATGATGCATCTCCTACAGTCTGGATGTTTCATTAAGAATCCAAATTTTAACCCTTTAAGGACCCATTTAAAACATAAAGTCACTAATATTGGGAAAACATGGGAGGAAAATAACTGGACTTTTATTTGCTGCAGTAAAAAAAAATGTTACGTGGAAATTAGTGGCTAAATTTTGCCCCTAGTGGCTGCCAAATATGCCATTCTAGCAAGATGGCAGATCTCTACCGACTCCATTTTTTAAGGACCACTTTTAGGACAGAGAGTTTGGATTAGTGACTCATTTTAAGCTGTTTTATCTCCAAGTCTTGTGCTGCATTCGAGTTACCTCGGAAGTCAGATGTCCGAGCTGAAAATGACGTCACACCCGAGTTACCAGCATTTCAGAAACAAGATACCTACATCTACGAAAGTTATTTTAGTGTTTGCCTTATCCGAATATAAGAAATGCGCTAAAGTAACTTTTGTAGATGTAGCAATCTTGTTTCAGGCCTCCGATTTTCCTTTTTTCCGACTTGGTAACTGGAACGCTGGGGACTTGGGTGTGACGTCATTTTCAGCTCCGGCATCTGAATTCCGAGGTGACTTGAACGCGCCATTACTCGTGGCTCTCTGAGGCAGATCGACTGCAGATGGGTCTTAATAGTCTCTTGCTGTAGCGCCCTCTATCTGTCCTTGCGGGTGAACAGATCAGGTGAAAAAGAGACTCACTGAGATGCTTTTGGATGTTACACATAGTTCATAGTGGGAAACATTCGATCATCAGTGCAAACATGAGAAACATGCCGAGTCATGGACAAACATGCTGAGTCATGATGGCCATTAGGGGTCAAAAGCAGAAACAGATCGAGGAGAGATCTTCCTCCTCTACAGACGTAGACTGACGTCTTTTAGCAGCATCATGGGTGACATTTTCAGAAAGTCCTCACTGGGACTCTTTCAAAGTGTAGTTTCTACTGTTTGCCTGTCGGTGGCAGCACGGTGGATCTGTGATCAGTGTGGATGAGCGGTTTAACTGTACAGTGCTTTGACAGGCTGCTGAGGAGCTTTCAGGCTCATTTTTAAAAGGAAGGGCATGAAGAGTAAACATTTTTATTCTACAGGAAGGGATTAGCGCTAAGGACAAAAATAAAGGAGGAGAAACTTTCTTTAATTTGCATTTTCATAATGAAGCAAAAATGTTGAAAAAAGCCTGAAATGTGAAGAAATGCAACCATGATTTGTTCCTACTATTGATAGACAAACTCAATGATGTCTTTTAAACCTTAGTATTAAGATGCTTCATTACAAATAAGGTAATTCATAAAAGTTTAAAAAAATAGTGGTAAATTTTTCAGAATAATATTCAGATAAACCTTTAAGAATAAAGCTGTACCTGAATGAGAATGAAGCCAGAATTTTATGGGAATTAAGTCGCTTTTTTTTACCAAAATAAAAGCAGAATTTTTCCAGAATTAATTTGAAATTTTTATTAGTACAAAATTGCAATTTTAAAAAGAATGAAGTTGCGATCTTACAAGGATAAAGTCTCTTATTTATTTTTTTAAAAAGGACTTTATTCTCATAAAATTAAGTCAGAATTTTACAAGAATGGGGTCCTCATTTTAAGTCAAGATTTCACTAGACTGTAGTCATAATCTCTAAAGCACTGAGCTGTAAACTTACAAAAAGTAAAATTATAATTCTGCTAGAATTATATCATTTTATTGTGCCTACTTTACAGAATGACGCCATGATTTATTTCAGTTGCAATTTTGTATCATAAATCATTTGTATGAGATTTACACAGTTCTCCACATTCCTCCTTTTTGTGCATTACTCATTTAACTAAAGGCTTATTACAACTCATTCCCTAAAATCAAGACTTACACTTGAAATCTAGTGTTTCTTCATCCACGCTACTATGACTCGATTGAGTGTTTTCTGGCATTTCTAGAATGACTTTTATTCCCAAAATGCAAATTAAAGACACTCCTCCTGTTATCTTCTCACCCCAACACTTTGTACCCTTCCCTTGAAATCCTCATCATTTAATTTCATGACCCGAGTTTAAAACTGAGCCTGAAAGTGCGAGTCAGAGCCTGCCAGAAACAGCAGATTAGATGTTCTATATACAAACACATTTACATCAGAGGACATGAGGTCCTAAAGTAACTTTACATCAGGCAATGTAGCATCGAGTCAGTCTAGGTTTGTGCCCTTTTTTTTTTTTTGGATGCAATTACATGTGAGTCACAAAGTTAAAAAACAAGTTTCGAGGATCATCTCAGGAAAACCAAGAAGGCCACTGAATAAAACTTGCAGAAGTATATTTCTGGAATATTTGGGGCTTTGTCTTTCCATGTGCAAGGTTCCTACACAGTTGGAATTTCCATAACCTACTTTTTGGAATTATTTTTGGAAATACCTACTTTGCTATTTTTAGAAAACAGTATTTTAGAAGTGTGATAATAGTCTGGAAACAGATATTTTTCCATACTTTATTTTTCATACTTTTTAACTTTTTTTTGCGTAGGAACCCTGCATGTTTTGGATGTTTCTCTACTCCAACACACCTGATTCAAATGATCAGCTCATTATCAAGCTCTGGAATGGCTTACTAACGAGCTAATCATTTGAATCAGGTGTGTCAGGGGCTGCCTTTCACTGTTGTCCAGGGAACAGTGGAAACACAGTCACTGATTGGCCCGGTTATTTTCTGATTTCTAATACACACTCCCAATTGGCCGAAGTCCAGACTGTTGTGGGAAGGAACGGCAACTGAAGGAACGGCAAAGATGTCTGGCATGTAACTGGATGGCCCAGCCAGGCTAAGTTTCTGCTGCATAAACCAGTTTAGAGTTTAAAAGGTTCATTTGGTTGAGCTGAAAAAAATTCAAAGCCAGCTGACCCCAAAGGCCCAAAACTTCTCAGATTAGAAATATACTGAAAATATTGATTGTGCTAATATCTTGTTTTGTTTAATGGTCTGTTGCATTTTGTCAAGATTATCCTACCAGAAAGATGGATTTTAGCTCTGGGACTGTCATGTAATGGCAAAATAAAAAAAAAAAAAGTGCACAAACTGGAGCTGACACTAGAAGTGAGAAATGTTTCTGTCCCCACCAGGAGTCGAGACAAACTCTCACAGATTGCATATTGACAAAAAAGAAACAAAACAAAAGAAGAATAAAGCCACGCTACCGAATCCATGAGCTCTCCGCAGAGAAACACTTTGCATGCTCATCTTTATCATGAGTGAAGGTGCACACAAACTGCTCCAAAACTCTGTGTGTGTGTGTGAGAGAGAGAGAGAGAGAGAGTGTGTGTTTAGGTCTATCTGCATACATCTGTACATTTTAGAGGTGAACACACACACATATGCAAACATACAGTCCACATGTACAATCCAACAGGTGTTTTTTGTTTGTTTTTTTATGTTGTTGTTCTGTGTCACTGTTCAACATTTTATTTGGTAGATTCTGTTTCTGTGTACATCAACTTCAAGTAAATATATTTATACCATATATGTTTCTCTATCTGCTCACATAAAAGATGCATTTTCCTAAGACAAAGTTTTGTCTTCAAGTTTGTTTTTTTTTTGTTTGTTTTTTTCGGGGTGAAGATGGATGATAATATTTTACTTGAATGAGGTGACAGGAGGTGGAAAGGTTTCTATTTTTCTCATTGCACCGGGCAATTTTGGAGTTCCTCTGTTCTTTGGAACATGTGAATAAACTACCGAGGGCTAACATGTCGAGCGTCGCATCACAAAGCTTAGTGTGTTAACCCCCCTGAGACCCCACCCCATCCCCCCCCCCCAAAAAAAGCTTATCTCCTTTAGTCGACGTACATGGGAGAGATGGGCGAGGCGGGGATCTGATCCAGGATGCGACACACGTAAGAGGCGACATCCACGTAGCGCTCCTCGTACATCAGAATGAAGGGACGTTTCTGTGGGAGAGAAAAGAGGTGATGTTAGACGTAAATAAAGGATCATTGATTATATTTCTGCTCCTGATCACACCCCAATGAAAGACTGACAAGCCTGTGGAAATCTCCTAAACCCCACCAAACTAGTTTAATTACAGATGTCCAAGAACTTACCAGAAGCTCCCTGTACTTTGGCCTTTTAGATTCATCCTTTGTAAGGCTGGACAGGAAAAAAAAACAAATACAAGATGATTAATCCATGAGTATCAGTGGTTTTCTACACTGAATTCATAAAAAGTCACCTTAGCTAATCACTGCACACCCTTAAGTGAGATTTAAACAAACTCAAACAACTGTGGTCTGCATTTTCACCACTAGATGGCACAAATTCTTCAACCCCAACTTGAAGTGTTCCTGAGGGCGCTCTCTAACAACAGGCCTAGATGCTCCAGACAGTGCTTAAGAACAATTTTTCCCTCTTCATCGCGCTGTGCAAGAAATGTAACACGCTGAAATCCACCTCCTCATACCTGCCATTTATCGGCGAGCCGATTAAATCGACCAATTTCAGCCCGTTTGAGACTAATCGGTAATCTTTCTTTTAGTTGTTGTTTTTACAGATGTCAAAAGAAAGTGAGCGTAGCAAGGTGTGGGACCACTTCACCTTGAGCGAAAGAGTTGGAAGTAAACTGTTTGCTTTATACACAAAATACCTCGTTCTTTTTCAGTTGTTTTAGCAAAAAAAAAGGATTTGAGATGAGTTTTCTGCCTTTAATTCTTTAAATGTTCAAAAGGCATTTGTTAAAAAAAGATAAGTAAATATGTTGATATATTACTTAAATTAACACATTTTAAAACTTCATGAAAAATAAAAAAATTGGCCGATTAATCGGTAATCAGTATCGGCATCGGCCCCCAAAAATCCATATCGGTCAGGCCCCACTTTGTATGTTAATAAAATGTTGAACTAATCTCAAGTTCCTTTAGTTTTTAGTACAGATGCGTTAAAACTGGCAGTTTTAAAAAAAAAAATCGTGATAATAATCAAGATCAGACGATATGACAAAATATATCATGATCATCTGTTTGGCCAAATCACCCAGTCCTAGAATACAGTTGTTGTAGTCTGCACACTGAGCTGTGAATGAACTCACCATAGGTTAACAAAGCTGATGAACTTTGGGGAGAACTGTCTCTCCTCCGAGTTGCTGAGCTGAGGCGGTTCACCTTTCACCACTTGAGTCAGCTGATCAAAAACACTGTTCCATTTTGGGTACGGGAACCGTCCTGTGGCCAGCTCATACTGAAATAAAGGCACAAACAAAAACATTATAACACACAAGTATCACACGGGTCAGAGCTTCGTTATTGTTCTTCTTCTTACCAGAGTGATTCCCAAACTCCAAACGTCAGAGCGAACGTCATAGCCCTGCCTGGAAGCACTGGGGTCTATTCTCTCAGGCTGAAAAACAAAGGGAAGTAGTCTTAGTCTGGTGCTGATGTGTGACATTTTAAGTTCTGTTGGATTTAGCTGAAAGTCTCTGATTTAAAGTTCCTGATTTCTTACCGCCATGTACGGCCTGCAGCCCGCGTCTCTGGTTTTTGCTATGGAGTCGACCAGCTGGCCGCTGATACCGAAGTCACACAGCTTTATGTTCCCCCGTCGGTCCATGAGAATGTTGGAAGGTTTGATGTCTGTAAACAAATAAAAATTAGAATTCAAATAATAAAAAAAAAACAAAGAAATAATCTGAAATGACTACAGGTATGAAGAAGTTATATTTGCGACTTTTTAAGACCTTTTAAAAACACCGTAAAGAAAATTTAAGACCAAAGTTGCGATGGAAATACAGACCAAAGTGAAAATATATTATTTTACAATTAAAGGCATTGATGCCAGTTAAAAAAGTACAGTAAGGAAAAATAAAAATAATCAGTTGTTCAAGAACATTATTCAAATGTGTTTATTAGTGAAAGAGCATTTCTAATAATTTCATAATTTTCCTTGAATATTCCTTGAAAACTTTTTAAGGCCTTTTATTGGTAAAAATGTATTTAAGACTTTTTAAGGAGACGCGGTCACCCTGTATCTTTATAACACGGAGTATCTTGCACATACTAGCACAAAAATACTGGTTCTGAATTTTCCTCACCTCTGTGGATTATCTTCAAGTTTTCTTTTAAGTGGTTCAGTGCTTTAACCGTCTGTGAAAGACAAAGAAAAACACCTCAGCTCTGTTTTAAAAAGACTTACACACTCACAGATCGACTCAAATGCAGGAAAAAAAGTGCCTCATGTACTCACAGCTAATGTTATTTTTCCTAATATTTCCTCTGGAATGACGTCATCTAATGCACAATACACATATTTGTAGAATTTGTCTAATGAGGTAGACATAAGCTCCATACAGATCCAACAGTCGCCCTGAAACACACAGTGAGAAGAGGAACATGAGACGCCTGTGGGATAAATGCTGCTGTGTTGAGATGAGCAGGCTGTGGTGCGTTCAGGGTCATTCATCTCCAGCGGTACCTCTCTGAAAAGCGCTCCGTAGAACTGGACGATGTAGGGACAGTCGCTGCTCCTCATCACCACGTCCAAATCCATCAGCAGCTGCTTCTGCTCCTTCTCATCCACAGTGGAACGAATCCTCTGAGACACAAAAACACCAACAAACATGTTCACAGATCAGAGTTACTCCTGCCATAAGAACGTGTTTTGAAGCATTTAGTCCCCCTTCTTTTTCAGTCATTTACACTTTGCAAAAAAAAAAAAAAAAAACTTTTATCTACATCCATCAAACCACTTCTTTGTGACATTTACCACTTTGTAAAAATCGCTTATCCCAACAGTATTTGAATGAGTCAGCTGCTCACCTTGACAGCCATGATCAGTCCCGTGGGTTTGTGGACCATCTTGTTGACGGAGCCGTATGCTCCCCGGCCGATCTCCCCGAGGTCCCTCAGATCCTCGGCCGTGAAGTCGCAGTGCTGCTCCGGAGAAATCTTCAGCTTTCCCGACGACTCGATGCTGTGCGTTCGCAGACGCTCTCTGTCAGGAGAGGAGAAGATGAAGAAACAAAGTAGTAGTTAACTGGCAGGTTTAAGGAGGTGTTATCGATCACTTCTCCTCTTTCATTACTTTTCACAACAAGGGGATGAAAACTGGATCTTCACTCCACACTCAGCACAGAAGTTTAATATGTTTAAGCTGTTCTGAGAGTTTAAATTGATATAACTGATTATAAATGCTTTCGTCTTTTATTGAGAAACACCAAGTTTCAGAAAACAGATCTCTTTTAAGTTGTTGTAAACATCTGAAGTGAATAGTTTAATAACTTGTCTTTGCTGCCCTCTGGTGGTGGTCTAAGCTGATTTAAAACTGTGGGAGACTTGCATAGTTTTAGGGCAGTGGTTCTCAAGTCCAGTCCTTGATCCCCCACTGTCCTGCATGTTTTGGATGTTTCCCTGCTCCAACACACCTGATTCAAATGATCAGCTCGTTATCAAGGCTGGAATGGCTTCATAACGAGCTGATCATTTGAATCAGGTGTGTTGGAGCAGGGGAACATCCAAAACATGCAGGACAGTGGGGGCTCGAGGACTGGACTTGAGAACCACTGCTCTAGGGTGACCATATTCTGAATCCCCAGAATGAGGACACCCCACAAAGTGAATCTTGAGAGTTTTTGGGGTTGGGTCGAGTGTTTTTTTACATGCTTCCAAGATGAAATGAGAATCCCATCCTCCCTGTCTGTACTCACATGTGCGGGTTTTGGAAAGAAGGGGGTGTTGGGTTGATGGGGAGCCTGGAGGCCGGTTTCACTGGAGGGTTTGCGAAGTTCAGCTTCAGAGCTTTACGTTTACCTGTCAGGTAAAAGAGAGACAAAAATCCAGATCCCACAACATGCACACACACTGTGGCTCCACCAGCCGGAACAAACAGAGGACACACACACTCAGTGTGGTATAATGCTCCTCTTCTGTCTCTGCACACTTGAGATAAACCTTTTCATCTGTGATTTTTGTAAATTTAAAGAAAACCAATTGAACCCAAGTGGTCGCACATTATTGTGCTTTGAATATGGGAATCTGACCGTTATGCCAGTGGAGAGTGGCAAGAATAATCAAGACATACAGATCTGTTACAAGCTGTTTTCAACCGCAGAATGAACTCTGGTTTATCTCAAGTTTTTCTCCAGATCAGAGGAAGCTCAAAATGCATTCTGAACTCAAGCCGAGTGCCCAGATAAACAGAGGTTCCCAAAACTCAGAAACTGCACCAGGCGCTTTGGTTTTTTTCAAATACCTTTTGGTCCAAACACTGTATTTCCTCAAAAAGTGAGCAGGACCTACAATTATCTGTTTGTTAAAGTCACTGATCCTGGATTTGAATGAAGCTTGTGTTAGAAGAAGGCCTTTATATTTATATTTAATGACTGGTCATCTTTCTGAGTCAACACCTCTAAAAGTCTTTTCAAATTAAAACGCCTGTTGCTATTAAATCAATGGTCTTTTTAACAAGACTTAGACTGTGATACAATTACAAAAGAACACAGTTGCATGATTACTACACAGAGGAGCTTGTTTGCTACTACAAAGCGTAGAATAATTACTGGCCTATGCTGGCAAATGTTTGTTCCTACAAACCACAGTTTAGCACCTAAAAAGTAACTAGTAAAATGCATGTTACTGCAAAACACAGCCAGGCTTTTAAATGATAAAAACGGTGAGGCACCAAAATCCAAATCTTGTTTGACTTCCACTGATAGTTTATTAATTACTTATGATCACTCAGGCGATCCTGTATTTAGAAGGGGTGGAAATCACTAGTGGCCCCACCATACGGTACTATCACGATACTTGGGCCACGATACGATATTATTGCGATTTTTAACATTTTGCTATACTGTGAGTATTGTGATACAATATATTGCGATCTGTACAATTTTTTCAACTGTTTAGCTAATTTAGCATTTGTCTTTCTTTTATGTTTGTCTTATTTACACAGTATTGTATTTTTATGAAGCACATCTTGCAAACGATATATATATTTGTTGCACTAACTTTCTCCTGCTCTATGATGTCACCTCTGACAACCACACTGGACTAACAGTTAATTTTATTTTTCCCTTTGTCAGCGATTTGACTTCATATTCACAATTAATTTGAAAATATCGATACCTGGTAAATGAGACGATATATCACCAGATAAAATATCGCGATTCTATGCTGTACTGATTTTGCTGATTTTCCTGTGTTGAGGAAATACAGTTTTGTAATTGTGCAAGGCAAAGAGGTTGTTATCAGAATAAACCAAAAGAGCCTCACTGCAGGATACAGTTATTGGGAGTCCCTGAACAAAAGAAAAGTCCATTGAAAACCTTTTCTTAAAGAAATGTGCAAATCAAACCTGAACAATTCCCCTCAGATATCAAAGTGACCCAACACTTAAGCAGCACGTGACACAAAAACTGGATCTCTAATTGGCTCAACAGTATCTGTCACCTGCATGTACAGGAGCGATAACTTTGTAGTGGGCCTCTATACAATCAGACAAATTTTTATGTCCAAGAAGCTGCCCTCTGCTGGACATTAGAAGGAATACATGTTGGAATCCACATGCTCATTTATCCACTCCTTGAACAGTCCATTACTGAAATGCATCTTGGTATCTGTTTGATTTTGATGCTTTGTGCCTAGTTTAAGTGTTGAGTCGTCTTCGCCATGCCCTGTTCAACAGGCTCTTCAGTGCAAACAAATCCTTTAATCTCTAAGCCCCGGTGCAATTCTCGTATTCATTTTTTTGCCATGGCTGATTTTGTGACAGCAGTGAACAGTGGACAGACTCCCCAACTACCAGAGCACCACACAGGCTGGTCAGTAGTTTACAGCGGCTCCCAAACACATCTCCATAAAGAAAAGGAAACCGCTTTAGACTACTGAGATGCACCCACAGAGAGCAGAGGTCGGTGTGCTTTTGTGTGTGAGTCTATGGCTTACTTTGGGAAACTGCAGACAGGCTTATCTGAAACCCTGAAGTAAAGAAAAAAAACATTTCACTACATGTTCTTTGGGTTTGTTTGTTTGTTTGTTTGTTTGTTTGTTTGTTTGTTTGAGTGTGAGAGAGTCATGATCAATATGTGACATCCCATCAAAAGCCAATAATGAACGTGGGATTAAAATCGGGTGACTGGTGTAAAGAAGCACCATGTTCAGGTGGGCCTGGGTGGGTGTGCTGCCATGCAACAGTAGCTGAAACGATGGCTCCTCCAGTGGGATGAGAACTAAATCACTTCTATTAGTCCAGTGGCAGGAAACTGTTCATTCGTTGTGTGTGTGATCACTTCAGGTCACCTCTTCTGTAGCCATTTCTTTGACACCTTGTTACATTAACAGTGAGACCTTTGAGCGGTTGAGGTTTGACATCTCTTGGTGGCATATGCTGATTCTAAGTGGTACATCACTCTAACCACTCTATCCAGCTGCTGCTCTTTTTGGCTTTTATTAGAATAAACAATCAAACATGGTTACAATAACCAATGTCATTTTGCCCATGTCAATATATTCTGTGTCAAAAAAATTCATAAATAAAAGTTGGTTTTGGATTTGTGTAGGTAGGCTATGTTCTCTTGTCCCTTTAAGACGCTGTCCTATAGCATTACTAAATGATAATCCCAGCATTATGAGACATTAATAAAAGCTGTTTGTATGTTGCACAGATGATAAGATATTGTAGGGTTAGGGCTGGGCGATAAGGGAAAAAGTTTGTCGCGATATTTTTTTTTCATGTCAGTCAATCGATATTTATCACGATATAAAAAAAATCACTTGTCAATCTTAAATGTTCCCCTATAAGGTCCTTTCACACCAGGAGCGTTTTTTCATGCGATTATTCCAGACGTCAATATCTTTTTTTGAACCCCTATCCTGTCAATACAAGCGTTCACATCAGCGACGTCTTCCTGTCCTGTGATATTGCGGCATTTATTTTTCCAGATCACGGGTTAAAGTTTCGCATATTGGGTGTCCACTTCTGACCAATCAGATTACGTGTTGTTGCAACGTCTGATTCACCGGTATATCCCTAGCTGATTGTTTACGTGTCAGAGAACAGAGTGCTTTTTGATAAAAAAACACAAATATATATATATATATATATATATAAATATGCTTTATATCTGAATATTTCGTAATTTTGTGTCGTATATTTGTGTGTAAGGACCTTTACTCTTAAATGAAATTTAACATGTACTTGACATAATTTGCAGTGCACACTACTCTGCTTTATGTCTGACCTAAAAAAAACCAAAAACGAAATACCTCCTTTTCATTGGATATTTGTATAGTCTACCAAAACATGGCAGAATGCCGGCTATTAAAAAGCATATTGACCATGTTTCATATCGATATCGAGGGAAGTTAATTTTTGATATATATATCATTATCGTTTTATCGCCCAGCCCTATGTAGGCTGCAAATTCCTTCTTCAAGCTTGCCTTGAGTCAAATGTCAACATACTTTGTGGGATGTTTAAGATTTTATAAGCAGTAGAAGAGCAGCTGTAGATCAGATGTTAACAGTGATATACCATTAAGAATGCGGATGTGTCACTTCAAGACAAATATTTCCTTATCTGTGTTTCTGCAAGATCTCCTGACAGGTTAAGTTTGAAGCAGTGTGTCTCATTTAACGGGGTCTGTCGACTGTGTCTACAGAATATCACTCTTAACATGGTAACTGGATTAAATCATGCAGACATGAGGATAAATAAATCAGGTTTTACAAAAAATCAAACAAAAGGAAAATAATGTTGAAACGAACAGAAAGATGATCAAAAAGGAAGGGGAGGTGGATAAGGAACATCTGAAGGGTTTTCTTTGCTGAACACAAAGAAGATAAAAAACCTGCAGACTGAAAGCTGGTAAAATAAATGTGAATACCTGTTTCATTCTGACACCTCCAGCAGCTGTTGGTTTCTGAAAGGTTTAGATAAAACATTTGATACCAAACATCTGCCACACAGTGATTTCATGCAACTCTGACCACTGGATTTATGACCGTATACTGCTTTTATTATTCAAAAAGGGTTGTAAAGTCAGGTAACCAATAAAAAACATCCATTATCCAGCAGCTGCCATCAACACATCTCATATCAACACTGCCTGATGTTCTCCACAGCCCTACATAGAGAGATCATAATATAATAAACATCTGGTTTATTTCACATGTAGGTTGCACTATAGTTAACTCTAAGAGATATGAAGTTACTGAGGATGTTGTTGGTTTACAGTGTGGGTTAAATTAGATTTATTTTCATTGTTTTCATTATATTAGTTACTGTTTGTTGATTTTTTTTCTTTGGTTTTTCTGTTCTGTCTCACCTTTGAGGTAGTGTGTCTTGTTTTAGTTTCAACTGAATTGAAAAAGTAAATATTGTTTATTTCAGCTACAGCTTTTAGTCATTTTCTCTAAGTGTATTAGTCAGAATTATTTCCAACTGTTGATTTGCAAGGGAAAAGCCAACATTTACTACTGCACTACAGAGCAGTATTAATAGCATGAGATGAAGATACTTCTGTGACTTGCAAGGACTTGAAACGACACGCTTAATCACACTACTTAAATAAATGTATGCCATTGTGCCATATAGCATATCTGAGCAGACAGATGACTGTTGTAGCTCTTATCAACGTATCAAAGTTATTAGTCAGCTACTACAAAATCTAGAAACTTCTATCATTGAGCTGCATGTTTTAACCTGACCGGGCTTGGCATTTGTGGATAAAGTATTCATACTTCTTTGTTTCTGTTTGGATCAAATGTACCTAAATATGATAAGTAATGAACAGTTTTATGAGACTGGTTCTATTAAAAGCTAATGTGTTCAGTTTATGCTATCACATTATTAAAAACAAACATTGTTGCGATGTTGTTTTTCCATAATACAATGCTACGAATATTTGTCTGCACAAGGATTCTTAAATTAAGACCATAAAACAAGATCTTAGACTTTGACTGCAGGAAATGACAAATATATTATAAGAAAATACAATGTCGAGTCAGAGGAGTGTTATTAATTCACTTGTCCGTTGCTGTTTCACCTCTTGTGATTATTTATAAAAGGCAGGCAGGTATATTTGCAGACACTGATTTACAACCTGGAAATTGAAGCCAAGTCATTTCTTTTAAATGAAAAAATTGCTGGTTTGTGTATTTTAAATGTGCGTTTTCCTTGTTTCATAGCCAACCGTGACTGTGCTTTTTCTTCTTTGTTACACTACTAAATTTTAATATGTGTTTCTTGTAGTTTTGACTGTGTCCTCTGTAAATCAGTTCAGGTCTCAGATTTGCTGCATTTAATTAAGCTTTGCTTCATTTAATGAGAACAAAGATAACATTAAATAATAACGAGCTCTGTGAGGGGTCTGGTATTCATTTTTCATTATGAAAATATTAATGTTTAAGTGAAGAATATTGTATCTTTATGTTACATGGACTGTTTTATTGCCTTCATTTATTTTTTAGACAGTGGCCTGGTTCACGTAAGGGGGAGAGGAGGCCTTGGTGTTACTAGCTCTCTGGTTGTGTTAACATCGGTGGATACAGATTCATTAGATGCATCTTAAGGCTAATAAAAATACTGGGATCCAAATTGTTGATTATATCCAGAATCTCCTTCTTTAACACGGTTACAAACACTTTAACTACAGGTCTGGTACTTCCACAGCACCTCCTGCATCACTGCTAACCCGTTAGCTAAGTAGCTTTGTCAAGCGACAGCCTAAAAGCGCGGCTCAGCCGGAAACAGTGAGCTTTAGCTTTCAACATTAAAGTCTACATTGTGATAAAGCAACCAACTTCGTGACTTAAAACAAAAAGTCACCCTATATTTACAATAAGTTGAGTATTATAAAATGCATGGACGACATTTATGGCCTACAATTCATGGTGGCGCTGGCAAGTTATTAACAGAAATGGCCTTACAAAACTGTGGGCTGGTCGGCTACCACAAATTACATATACATACAAAACAGAACTTAGTAGATAACAGATAAAAGTTTCTGTAGTACTTTTACCTAAAAAAATATTTTTTTAAAATTTCAATTTAACTCACCTAAAACTATACCACATACCTAATAGGGATAACGAAAGCGCACAGAGATTTATTTTGAAAATTCTAACCGGAAATACACAGGTAACCGCTGTTTCTTGACTGTGGTTTCTGGGAAGCTACAAGCTACCTTTTCCCCTAACTCCAGCGTCCCCAGGTGAAACAGAAAAACACGAAATAAAGGTAATAGTCACCCACCTTGCATACTGCTGCTCTGTGTCTGCTGGTGAAAATGGTGCGACGTGGATCCGATAATGCTGCCGCTGTTGCTGGAGCTGGTAGAGTTGCTGTCAGGACTGGGAGTCGCCATTGTTGTGTTGGGTTCCGGCAGCAGCGCCCAGGCTGCAATGCAGAGAGTGAAACTTCGCCCTCTCTCTGCCTCCGAACGGGACACTGCGACACTTGAACGCAGCAGCTGCACCACGGCCACGTCTGTGCCGCTGTTGCCTTCACGGAGTGTCGGAAAATCAGTGGCGGTAGCACTATTGCACGGTGAAATACCCAACATGCCAACCCATTTTTTAAAATCAACTGAGGAAGTGAGCAACCCTTGTTTAACCACTTTATTCTAGTCGATATGTACGATGGCTGAGAACCGCACTGCTGCAAATAAAAAAATAATGCAACAAAAAGAAGTCACAAATTCAAAAACAAACAAATGACAGAATAATAGGGAAAAAAAAAAAAATTAAATACAAATTCCAAGCATTTTTTCCTGATTATTTTTCTTCAAATAAATAAGTCATTTAGACATGTATCAACAATTTAATTAAAAATATATACATATAGAATTAAAAGGAATAAGGTCAAGCAACAAAAAGATTTTTAAACATTTTGTGTATTTTCATATTTTCATACTTTTGTGTGCTATTATTAACATACTAAAGACATGCAAAAAAAAAAAGAATATTGATGAATACGTCACCATTATAGATCTATTTTTTATATTTATTGATTTAAAGAATGAATCAATTTTACAATGAATATATATATCACACAGAATTAAATGAACAAAAACATATGTAAGTTTCTTTTACTGATCTGTCGTTTTTGTTCGTAGCATATTTCCACTATTCATAACTTTCTATTGACTCTAATGTAATGTGATTGAACATAATGTGCGCATACAAGCAAATGTGCTCTTTTATTATTTTTGCTGTATTTGTTTATCCATATCTTATCCATATTATTTTAACTAGGTTAAAACGTGCTTTTAATTTCTTTCTTATTACCACAAGACAATGTCAGAGTTATGATATAGAAGCCATTTCTACCCTTGTCTGTTAATAGCGTATGAACTTTTATCTGCCTAATTTCAGAAAGACAACAAGAATCTACAACTTCACATAAGGACCTGAATGCAGCATAAAAAGCCAAAGATGAGCTGATTCTGGTATTCATGTTGTTTTTATTGTTCATTGCAGTTTTACACAACATGTTCAATTATAATGTCAGTCCACATTGAAGCATTCCTCAATGTTCATTACATCCCTCAGCAAACAACAGAATAAAAAAATCAGTGTCATAAAGAAAGTTATGAAACAGCTAAAAAGGCAGCAATTAAGATAATCTCAACTTTCAACCTTAAAAATAAAAATACAATCAGAGTAGAAGGTGTATAATCTTCTTTGTCACAATAAAAAAAAATCAAAACTTGTAACGAAATCTTATGAGGTACCGTTCTTGTTCTGTTGAGGTAAAATGCTGTGACACACTGCATTTATAAATACAAAGTGTGTCTGTGAGTGTGTCTGTGTTTCAGAGGAGTTGATAGTCTTCAGACCTTACCGAACATTCACATCTTTGGTTAATAGAAAATAAAAACAGTAAGTTTGCACATGTTTAAGTTAGTGGTTGTTTGAAGTAGAGCTTGAGATTAAAATTAAATAAAAGATTCAGAATTTTAAAGTTGATCTATTTCTTTGCTGCTCATGTGTCGGGTGTGTTTGATCCACTGATGTCTCTTAAAGACTGCAGTTTCACTCACCCTTCCCTTCACAGTTGTACATCTCATCTTCACATTAATGTTGCAGAGAAAATAACTTGTATTATGACTTCTACCTTTACAAACTTAAGAGCAGACAGGTGCAACTCATGAGCCTCTTCATCTCTAACATCCAACACACAAACTTTTTATATTAACATTTTGCCTGTGACTAAAAAAATCTCTCCTGCAATATCATCTCACAGAGATCCAGCAGGGAAAACTTCGCACTGTGAGGATCATGTATGAAAAACAAAACTTGAACATTTTTAGGAGGCTGTCCTGAAATCTTCCAGATATTTTCAGGAGTGTCAGAAGGGCCTGAGTTAGTTTTTTTCCCCTTTTTCAAAATTAAAATTAAGGCTATCAGATTCAATGCATGAGTGTAACTTCGGCATTACTTTGAGCCACAAAAGTTCAGAGATATGTCAGCTGCTTTTTACCAGAAGTGAGTAAAGTAAAATTATAAGTTGTTTTACGAAAATGCAAATTGTTACCCAGCTCTAGTTTACAGCAGAGTATTGAGTGTGTCACCAGAAAGGAGACAGATGTATGTGTATTTTTCCCTCCAAAGTGGCTTATATGATTCCCTGACTTCTTTGAGAAATGCAAAGATATACCTCTGAATATAGCAGCTTTACAATATCCTTCTCTAAATCCAAAGAATGAGTCTATAGACGGTTTAGGAAATCTGTAAACCTGTCATTGCATTTACTATGTTGCTTTTGTCCTGAGCAAACATCAACACTCGGTCCCTGACCCTCCCGTATCCTCTCAGCTCCATCCTGTCCTCATACACAGAGACGGTGGCGAAGGCGTTGCCGTCAGGTGGAGTCTCTATGACCCCCTCTAAAGTTAAGTGGTGCACACCCCCCTTTTTGTCCCTGTGGTATCCTCCGTCGTGGTCGTGTCCAGCCATGAAGCACACCGCGCAGCTGTGAGAGCGGATGATGGACAGCAGCTCGTCGTAGTTCCAGGCAAGGCAGATAGGAGTGGTGGAGCGAGGGTGGACTGGGAGATGACCTGTGTGGGAAAAGAAAAAAAAAACTTAAGTGAAGCAGCACCTGAAAGCAGATGGCACCATGAGCCTCATAACATAAAATCTCCTCACAGTGGCTTTAAAATAAAGAGTACATCAAAGCAAATCAAACGTTCGTTACATCAGCTTCAACTAAGATTATGTCAACACTGTTTCCCACAGCTGTATGATGCCAGGTAACACGGTCATATGATAACATCAAAGTTTTTGGCTGCAAAAAGAATGAAGACTTGAGTTACAATGGTTTCTCCCTATGATCAATCCATGATAGAGACCTCACTAACTCCTGGATTTCGGAGTCTACAAAACTTAATTCTAAAAGAACTTGAAAAAGACAGAATTAAGGTTTGTAACTGAAGCTTTACTTACTGACAATCGTGACTTTTTCTTGTTTCTCATCAGCCAGGGACAGAACAGAGTCAAACCAGTCCAGCTGAACTTTACTGAAGCCTCCATTAAACATTGTGTATCTCTCCTCCATACCTTTAAACACTGAAACACAAACACAGAGAACATCATCACCATCTACACACTTGTTTAACTGTGAAGTATCTGTGTTGTTTGGGATATGGCTCAGGTTTAATGAAATGTAAATGGTATGATCACATCAAAGATGGTCAGTTTGAGGAGAATGCATTTTATTTATTCTTTACAAAAGACAACTTAAAAATGTCTTTTAAAGTCAAAGCTATATCACTAAAGACAGGGTGAGGGCCAATGTTTTACCAGACATATCATTCTTTCTCTCAGAACTTATACCTGTGTTTTACATGATGTGTAAATTTACGGAGATTTCCGAGCTAGTTTTACTTTCAGTTTATTTCAAAGTTCTCAATCTTAAAGTTTTGTTTTAGATTGAAGCCACGGCCTTTGGTTGATCACAACTCTGAACCTTATAAATTCAACGCTCGGTCCAGACTCTTCTTTGGAGTTCATTTCATTTTGCTTTTGCTTTTTTGCATCAGTAACATCTGTTGTGACTTCTTTTTGTGCATTCTTTTTTATTTGCAGCAGGGGCGATTCTCGGCCACCGTATATAAGAGTGCCAGTAAAAATCTCAATCAGAAAGAATAAAATAATGTATGTGGAAACTCAAAAACAAACAAATGACAATTAACAGAAAAAAGGGGGGGAAATACAAAATCCAAGCATTTTTTCCAAATCATTTCTCTTCAAAATAAGTTATTTGGACACGTATCAACAATTTAATAAAAAATATATATATATAAAATTAAAAGGAATTCTGTCAAAAAACAAATAAGAATTTTAAACATTTTGTACCTTTTTTTCCATTGCCACTGGTTTTTTTTTTGTGTGTGTTGTTGCAGCTTTTCCTTTTTTTTCATCTGCACCGTTTCTTTTTTTATTTGCAGCAGTGGCGGTTCTCGGCCACCGTATTGATGCAATAAAAAGACTCATATATTTTGATGGCAGTAAGATTAATAAAAAGTGCGGTGTACCTGGACAGTTGAGGTCTTCGTTGGGGTTGTGCTGTCGGATCAGGCTCAGAGAGTCCTTGTACTGCTGGCTGCTCTCCTCTCTACCCAGCAGACCCACATCATACCCGTCCAAAATAACAAAGGTGAACCCGGGCACTGGGCTGAAGCTGTACGCGTAGATCTCACTGTCAGCAGGTGCTGCGTTCACGCTCCTCTCTGTATGTAAAGTACTGTTGAGCCTTGAACGCAGCAGCGCGCTCCGGCTGAAGTTATAAAACTCGTGGTTCCCCCACACATGATGAACCTCCGCGGGCCCGGAGCTGAACTCTGACAGCACCGTGTCCAGAGCTCGATCTGAGGCGTCGTGGTTCTTGTTGAAGCCGTCAATGATGTCTCCGAGCTGGATGATAAACTCCGGTTTCACCGCCGCCTCATTCCAGCTCTTCAGGGCGTTTTTTAACAGCTGGAGGGAGCTCCGGTAGTACCGCTTTCTAGTCCGGGTGTAGTTCGACCCGTCAACCAGATCCGCGTACTGAATGTCCGCTATCACACCGAAAGTAAACAGCGGCTGTTGTTCGGGACAGTTCTCCATTTTTGGTGTTGTTTTCAGGATGACTGCTGTCAGAGAGCGGTCACTGAGTCTGTTAACGGCTGTGAGTTTACCGGTAACTCTGAACACATACCTGTACCGACTGAACACAGTCACGTGAAGAGACACAGCCAGGCTGCCGGTGTTCGCTTTCCTCTGTCGTCCTATGGTCGTCCTACATGATGACAGATCAAAATCCAGCGTTTATCTGCACTGCCGGTGACAGCCGGGTACAGCAAAGTAAAAGCACGGACTTCCGACTATACCTTTCAAAATAAAGGTCTTCATAAACCATACTCTTGTAGCTTTCATTGATTTTTGAAATCACTAATTCACTTTTTTTATTTCTTCAGAAAACCATAGTTTTTCATTTGATCTCCTCACTGTAGACGCATATTTCTCATCTCATTCTCCGACATGGTACTCAAAAGCTTGACCGAACCTAATGTTTTCACTGTATTTTGACATTATTTGGCTTCAAGTCTACCCCAGACAAAGTAGGCTTGTATGGAAGTAAATCTGTGCCATCTGGTATTGAATTTGAATTTCTAAAACTGCTTTTTTTTTTTTTGCATCAAAATCAGACTTTGAATTTCGAAACTATTGAATTTCAAGCGTGCATTTTTATTTCTGACAATTATTTTTTCACAATGATTAAATAAAATCAGTGTAAAGAAAAATCTTTACAATCTTTCAAAAGATTTGTTTAGTAAAAATTTAACTTTAAAAAAACTGTCTAAAAAAAATTCGACTTAAAAAAAAAAAAATCAATGTAAAAAAACTCTGTGTCAAAAAATTCTGTGTAAAACAGACTGACTCAACATTCAGATAGCCAGGGAGAAGCAATCCATTTCTGGCTTAAACATCCATCATCTGGCCAATCAAATCATGTTAGATTGGTCATTTGGCACCGACTCCAGGAATTGATTGCTTCTTTAATACAGCTTTTTGTACCGAGGTTATAATTTCACTTAAAGTAATTTGAAGAGCCACAGAGGGGCACTGCGCTGAATGAGAAGTACACTAATTTTCCATTATGAAGATTGAAGTTGCAACAAAATCTTAATAAAACAGCAGAAAATACAAACTTGTCAGTTCATTTACACATGTCTTTATTTCCAAACAGAAGGGTAAAGATACAGGGTTGTGATTTGACCACACAGGTTAGCTCTCTGTGCCCTCCTCTGCTGGAGCTTTTTCCTTTTCACCTCCTGACAAAACAACACAATACAACTGTTTGATTCTTTAAACTGATTTCTCATGTTGATGAATGACAACATCACAACAAACTACAGCTGTAACAACAACAGCCCAAAGTTCAATTGTAGCTCCAGGAAAGCATTTATTATGCATAAATCTGCCTCTTGCCCTGCCTATGACTAGTATGCTAGTTCCTTATAGTTCACCTGCATAGTCTCTGTCTGGAGTCCATGGTGTCAGACCAGTGATACACTTTGGGACCCACTTAAGGACGGCGGTAGAGGCCAACTCACCCCACTCGCCCTCGACCTGTTCCTGCTGTAAAAACAGGAGGGAGAGAGAGATGAAGCTGCAGATTCTTGGAGAGGTGGAATAGGTGTGTGCTTATCATGCTCATGAAAACATCTTCAACACCAGACTCACACGTCTTTGGTATGCATATGACACATAAATGACTCAGCCATGTTATCCATGTTTCTACTGTGACATCTAAACCATATGATTTGCACAAGGAGACATGGGTACCCATGGTTGTATGTGCTGAATACAAAACTGTATTCAAAGGGTTGTGAATTAAACCACAAGAAGTTGGTTTTACATGGTGCTGATGATAACTACTGACAACCTGGCTGTTGGCCTGTCTTCACATCACAAATAAGCAAAGAGTTGCATTATTATTTGATATATTAAAGATAGAGACCTCATTGGTAACTGATGAGGAGGAGTTATTCTTAAAATGCAACTCTAATGTTGTTTCAAAGATGTCAAACCTTTTGTCTGCAAACAGTTTGCCTTTTGCAAGTTTGAGATCTTAGTTTGTCACTGAAATCATGCATTCAAATCAAACATGCAATAAGAGCAGAGACTAGTGCATGCTTAAAAAACAGCAATCCAGAAAGCGTATTCAACAACAGAAGAGATTCAATGTGCATGAAGAGACACTCTCAAATTGTAGTAATCTCAAACCATCATGCAAGACAACTCAGTGATCGTCATTACAGGAAATAGGGGACTGTATATAAACACACTGTTAGCACCTCCTCTGCTCCTCCCAGAGCCCCATATGTCTGATACCCCTCCCTGGAGGCCGGGTAAGGCGACCTCTGTGACTTTACATCTTTACCGTCCTCCTCAATACTTGCTGGCTGGAGTCAAGACAGTTGTTTTGATTAAAACTTTGTCTGTGTCATCAAAGTAGCATTTTTAACCCACATCTTTACCATGACATTAAGTACATACACTCAGCAGGCGTTCAGTCAGCTGAAACAGTCAGACTGAGTTGGTGTTGGATTACCTGCTCTGTTTGGTGGTATTCTCCGTGCTGCTCACAACCAATGTCAAAAACATACTTCCCCGGGCCACACGGCTGGAAAACAACAATAAAGGAAGAGAAAAAAACACTGTAAATCTAAGGTAATGAAATCGCAGCTGTTTCATACTTTACTCAAACATCTTTCTTGAGGAACAAATGAATAAACATAAGTAATATTTTCTTTCAATCAATGGCAGAGAAACTTTTGAAGAGTATACTGGGATGGGACTCACATAGTTGTTGACAAAGTTCCCCTTGTATCTGTGGTTGGAATAGATGTACTCTCCACCGGACTCCATTTTGCCGTTTACCCATGATCCTTTGTACTTAGAGCCAGTTTCATGGTAATGGTAAATACCCTGTCCGTGCCTAGAAATCAGTTTTTTTTAAATGAAAGTACTTCCAAAATTTGGTAGAAACATTTGGTCTTTCTAAAAAGTAGAAGGTTGTTTGTGGTTTTGTGGTTTGTGGTTTTTGAGCATAAAACCTAATTGTAGCCACTGCACCTTTAAGAAATAAAAAAGTCACAATGGCAATGAGTGTGCTTCTGAGTTTTCACTGAAAATTGTGTTAAAAAGCAATGAACGCTGAGTATTTGTTGTCATAAATGAATCAAAAGTGACTTTTAAAATGAATAAAACTTAAAATAAAAAGAAAAGATATGACTGAAGTCACAAGGTAAAGTCATACAGATTCAAATTAATCTCCTGGTTTTACAGCTTTAGGTTTACCTCAAGTTGTGCATCCACTCTCCATCATATGTGTCTCCATTGGGGTAAGTATAGACACCATGACCCTGTCTCAGATCCTCCACCCATGAGCCTGAAAAACACACACAACAAAAAGACTCAGAGGGAGAGGAAAAAAGAGTTTGGTATTTCTATCTGTGTCTGAGTTAAATCTGGGCCTGAAACATAAACATAAACTTTGTCATACCTTCATATTTAGAGCCGTCTGGGTAGTAGAAGATGCCCTGTCCGTGTTTCATGTTCTGGTAATAATCGCCTACATATCTCGCCCCGTTTTTGAAACGATATGTCCCCTGTTGGCCATAAAAGTAAATATAAATCATAGACTGTATATAGAATGGACGCCGTCTGCCTCCTCGCTGGGTGAAGCCACTCCGAGAACAGCACCCTCTGTTGATGGGCTGCAGTATAGGTCATAAATCCCGCCTCTGCCAGCAAAGCTTATGGGGCTGTGGACCAACTTTAGAAATTTATTATACAGAACATAAATTTTTCTCCCCCCTGCTTGCAATGTTGACATGTAGTTATTGTAAGACTGGTTTGTGCTCAAGTCCTATTTTTTTTGGGAAGCTCAGTTTTTTAAAGTTATTAGGGGGTTCATGTTTGCTATGATTGACACCTGATACAGCCTATGGGCGTTCAGGGATTGCGTAGCTCTCCCGGGGGATACGCTGTTTGAGCAGGGCATCATCACAGTGACTCTCTGCGACTGCGCGGCCCGATGCGCACAACGCTACTGCACAGCGCTGGTTTCAGGAAATGAAGAAAAATCCCGGAAATACCGAGAGCTTTTTGGCTTCAAATCCGTATACGGTAGGCAGAACCAGGTTGTCCATACTATATACTGTCTATGATATAAATACAGGAGTTCAAATCCGTTCACCCTATCAGGTGCAGGGCTGCGAAAACATTGACCAATGGGAGCCATCCGTCCAGGACAGCTCCTATTGGTCAATCTCCTGCTCCGCCTCTCCATCCAATCACCTGGCTGTATTCGACACACCCCTCTTCTGTAGTGTCGACTCGTCCCCTCCCACTCTCCCGGCTCTCCTCGGAACTCTGAGCGGCTAAAAGTAGCATAGCAGCTTAGTTATAGAAGCTGTGATGGAGAAGGACGCAAAAACAAAACCCACTTCTGCTTGCCCCACCGCCAAAAAGTGGGAAGAAAATGCAAGCAGACAAGAGAAAGGGCCGAGGCGAAGAGGAAATGTGACCAAGCGTGGAATCTTGAGCGGTGGAGAGCTCCGCCAGGATTTGGGCCTGAAAACAGACGCCGTGACAGCAACGTTTTCATTGTACAGGTAATTTTTGCCTTTTATCGTGGCAAATGTTGCATAAATAACTCTTATTAGTCTCTGCAAAGTCAACATGGTAGCTGTCCAGGCAGCTGCAGACGGTACTCGCTAGCAAAGTTGTTGTTTACTGCCGCTAGTCACGAGCACTCCGACATGGTGAATCCTATTTAAAGCAAGTGTACGATCTTTTACCAGTCGGCTTCTTGGTCTGCCAGAGGGGGTGTGTCGTGGGGAGGCTGATACAAGTTCAGGGGGGAGTTAGACGGGAGAGGTTCAGTTTTTTTCAACTGCTTCTAAGATCATCAACCATGCCTTTAAGGTGAAACTTTGTTCTTGTTTCCACACACTTGTCTCACCTCTCCGTGTCTCTGTCCGTTCCCATATTGTCCCTGATAAACGTCTCCGTTTGGTAAAACAGCTTTACCGACTCCGTGTCTCTCTCCGGCTTCATTTCTTTCTCCCTCATATTCCTGCAGCGGTAGTATAAACACAAAAACATCCATAATATAACTTCTTTTAACTTACTCTCACATATATGCACAAAAAAGACACGAACCAACTGTTAATCTGTAGCCTGATGCTCGTTTATATTAGCTTTAGTCACTTTACGTTATCAGAACCACTGTCTTACTAAACAAAGAAGGCTTGTTAAAGCGTCTTACCGCAAGTTTACTTTGTTCATCATCAAAACCATCAGATCCGCCATCAGACATTTTCTAACTCTTGACGAGCTGGAGTTTTGGATAAAAAAAAGAGTGGCAAAAGTAGTAGTAGTAGATGCTCAGCCAGGTCTTTGCGGTCAGAGGTGTGGATGGTTGCCATGACAGCGGGGGTACACACGTGACTAAGCGACGTGTGCAATCTAGTTGTACATTGCTAGATGACTCGAGGCGTCCCCTCACGGCGGCCATCTTACTTCAGTATACCATTCCGGTATGCTCTATGTTTAAAAATACTCTTAACTCGCTGAAATTTTTACATATTTACAAATAGTTTTGTTTATTACAACGTGGCTATGACTCGGGATGCTTGGACATATTGAAACCGCAGCTTTTCGTTTAGAATAAAAGACAATCATACAACATGAGGCAGATATTTATATTGAAAATAAATACATATAATAATGAAACTAAAGTAGCAAAATCTTGGAGAAGAAAACTGTGCACCCATAGTCCATAGTAACTTCATAGTTTTAGTTATGCAGGAACATAACTAAAACTCTGAAGTTTGTTGTAAAACAAACCATTTGAAAATTGGTTTAAAATTAAGCAATCTATGGTTATTTAAATGCTTCATACACTGTAGACTGTAACGTCCAGTGGGCGAACTGCCCTGTAGCAAGACGGCCACCATGCGTGGACGCTGGTCTCCATTGGCTAACAGCGTGTGTAAGCCATCTAGCGTTTATATATACATCTATAATTGAGTTTACCTGTACATCAGGAGTAGATTGATAAGTTTACTTTTAGTTAAGGCTTATGTTGTTGTGTTTCCCTGCAATACAGTTGTATTTTGTTGATTTTTGTAACCCACTTTCTCTGCACGTCTGCTGGCTGGCACTAACTCTCAACACTCCCCCAAGACTCTGTATTTTGTTTTTTATGTGTGTAAGTAGGGGAGAGTGGGGTAAGTTGAGCCAAAGTGTAAGTTGAGCCACCCCCTGTTGCTTGGAAATGGTAAAAGAAATTGATCATGTGACTTAATATTTAGGAGATGGGCATCAATTCATGGAGTCTGTAAAGGTTAGAAGCACATGGGTGAAGGGGTTGGACATTTATAAAAAAAAAAAAAAAAGGTGAGTGATATGGCTCAATTTACCCCACTCCTATGGTCAACTTACCCAGTGTTTGGGATAAGTTGACCATAGGAGACAACTTTTTTTTTGCATGCTATATTATCAAGACAGTTATGTTAACACTCATTCTGTTGGTTTGCAGGGATGCACAACATCTTAGGCAGATACACTAGTTAGAGACAAAACTATGATTGCCTTAATGTAGTGATCTGAAATATGAAAAATGGCTCATCTTTCCCCACTCTCCCCTATGGAGAATATGATAAAGAGAGTTGGATGCAGGATTTGGATTGTGGTTGAGACCTGGACAGAATATATTGACTAAGAGGCTTTTGCATTTCACAGGAACTTGCATATCACAGTGGCTGCTGATCAATTTCACCTTCACAGCAAAGTACAAAGTCTGATACCATGGCATTGAACTAATGTGTCCTGCAAAGGACAAACTTCAGGCATTGCCCAATTTTGCCTATAAGACAGCACAACAGAGACACCTAGTGGCCTTGCTAGGCTACTACCTTACACGTCCCTGAGGTTGGGGTGAAGATATTATTGAGATACAAATCTGGATGAAAACCCTGATAGTGTTGTGTTTGCTAACCACGTCCTCACTTTAGCTCTTGATTTTTTCTTAGGCTAAATTTCTGTCTCACAAAACTAAACAAATAAAGAAAAAAATGTAAGGATGAATGAAACATAGAAGTTGAGACATTTCATTCAAAGATTTCCACAGACAGGGATCAGACCAGTGACACCAGAGGGCGCTATGGTGCACCTCCTTGGCAAGGTGAAAGTTTTGATTTTCTACGAAATACTGGGGTCATAGCAAATACCTTTCAAGGCCACTGAAGCATCAGGTCTCTGTTCATTATGATGGGGGATCCATTGTTCACAGCTGTCAATTAAGCATTATCAAAGTGCATCTGTGCCAGATAATAGACTGTGTGACCTCTGCTTAGCAGCCCTTTATTTAGACAACTTGAACTTGACTTGACATTAACTCATAAGCCCTGAGATTTTGCCATCTGTTGCATTAAAGATTAGAATTAAGGCTGGTTGAAATCCTTTGCATTCACTCTGGCTCTTGGAGACTCACGAGGAAAATGTCTGAAGCACTTCTTCCATCAGTAGAATCACTGGTGCAGGTTAAAAAAGGCAAATGAAAGAGGGAGCATTGATAATCCACATTGCATCATTGTTCTCACCCTGATTGTCCTTTTGAGGACAGAGACCCTGAGAATACCTCACTCCTCTTTTATTACCCGGAGTAACTCAGTAACAATTTTAAGACAGAGGCAGAGCTGAGGGTTGGTCTGCTTCTCGTTCATGATTTAACTCCCTTTAACCTGCAACTCATGGCAGCAGAATTACAAATGAGTGACAGTTTTTAGGCCTTAGTCCAGTTAGTCTGAGAATAAAATCACTTAAATGCCCAGATTTATTTTCTTTGTTCTTAGACAGAGACCAGAAAAACATTTAACCTGATGGAGTAAAGGGGTAACCTCAAATGCTGAAAATAAAGCCAGTCCTAAAAACTGCAGTTCCTCAAACAACCACTTGAGGCTGTCCCTAAAAGTGAGTAAATCCCCATAGAGACCTATGTTAAGACAGTGGTTTTCAAGTCTAGTCCTCGAGACCCACTGTCCTGCATGTTTTGGATGTTTCCCTGCTCCAACACACCTGATTCAAATGATCAGCTCGTCAAGCTCTGGAATGGCTTAATAACGAGCTAATCACTAAACAATAACCCATACATCATGATATTTTTTGCATTACCTGATTCTTGCAAACAAATAGCCCTTTATTTAAAACAGCCTTTGTATTTCCACGTATTGTCCATTTTTGTTCATGACACTCTTCTGAGAATTTTTTTTAGATTATTCTGGTTTATCATTGTGCCTCTCCCCGCCTTCCCCTTCCGTCCTGCAGTGTCCCTCTTTGGAGAATGATGGCAGGACAAAAAAGAGGCCTCCAAATCTCCCACACAACCATTAGTCCTCCATAATCTCTAAAGCCATCCCAGAAGGGTCCTGGGGAATTCCTGTTGGGGGATTCATCAGCTATGCTTTTATTTATAAGCCTTTCAAAGCGATCACAAGATGATAGACTGATACTGTGTAATATTTAAAAACATTTGATAATCCACAGACAAGATATGATTAAGTTGTTCTTCAGGACTAACTTTCCAATATAACATGGAAAGGGCCTTTAATATAAGAATCACAAATAGAAACTTTATCATCACCAACAAGAAACTTTATTTCTGCAGTGGTTTCATGGAAGAAAACATGAACGTCATGCTTCAAGTCCAAATAGACAAGGACAGAGGACAGAGTGTCGGGCTTCAGTCCTCAGTTTGAGTAAAATCAAGAAGAAATAAGATCAGACGATAGAAGAAAAACAACACATTACAAAATATGGAAAATTATTACCTGTTTGTGAAGAGGAGAAATAAAGCAAGTTAAAAATAAATGACATGAAGGAATGCGTGATTAGATAAAAATGGAAAGTTACATTTTGTGAATCAGCTAGCTAGCCATAATTTGCACAAAGAAATACGTAATCTGATTACATAACACCAGCTGTAATGTGTCAAAAAACAGAGGGCGGATAAGGAAGAATTAATCAGCTGCTTGTGAAGTAGGTGAGTAACAGCTTTAAAAAAATAGACATACAGAGAGTTATTGATTGATTGATTGATTTATTGATTGATTGAAGTTTATTTCGAATATGCAAACCAAAAATACAAAAAATAAAACAAGATAAGTAATGCAAAACATTTAAACATAAAACATAGACATACATATTCGAAAAGGAGTGAGAAGAAGAATAACCTATGCATAAAAACAACATAACAAAATAAAACAAGAAAGTGCTACCCAACACCTTTCTCATCCCTGTTCCTTTTAAAAATGGTGTCTTCATACCTCATTTTAAACTGTATCATGCTTGAACATTGCTTTAACTCCATGGAAAAGTTATTGTGAATCCGGAAACAATGTTTTAGTTATTTATTATTTGATCATTAGTACTTTCAAAATGTTTTTATTCAGTTTTAATAACAACAAGCAACCAGGAGTCAAGTTAACTTCAAAATAAAAGCACAATTTTACACTGCAGGAAATTAAGCAACCCAAACACAACCATGAAAAAGTATCAAAATAAAAGCATGAAAAACTGCTATTTTACAAGAAGTGGAGTCACAGGGCAGGTTATGTGGATAAATCATATATTTTGACATCATTAGAAATGGATAACATGTAAGTGAGTTGTGTTTATTAATTAAGTTATGTGTTGCTCCATCTTAGATTACACTCCTAAATTTGATTGGTACTGATATTTCATTTCCAACTTCTCCATAAATACATTAATAATGAGATTATCCTGATATTTTTTTGCCAGTCTGTGAGGCCATTATGATTGTAAATCTGATATCGTGACAGCTTGAGCTCACAGGTCACCAATTTGTATTCTTAATATTTTATTTCAGCAAAAACAAAATAATAAATTTTAAAAAAAGGGAAAAAAAACAGCTGGAGGTTTATTTGAAAGCTTTAACTTTGTTAATTTCAGTATGTAAATTTGAAATATTAGGATATCTGTAAAACAGTATTATTATTATTATTAAAATGTTAAGATATAAGTCTTCCATTCATAAATTTTAGAGGATTCAAAAAGTTTTATTTATTTATTTTTAAACAAGACATGACACAGAAGTTTGTCCCTTTCCAGGTTTCCTCTGTGGGCCCCTCAAAACACCCACAGCTTTGTTATTGTAACAGCTTTTAGGCCCCTCTCTCATTAGGGCCCTGCAGTATATTCTGCCTGAAATACTTAGTGTCATACCAATGTGGACTTGTGCATACTGACTTAGACACTTATAAAGGGTTTCTTTATGAGGGGGATTTGTAAGTGTGAGGTTCTTAAATAGCCTCTTAATGTAAAAATGTGACGTTAATGGTTCTGTTCGGTCCTAATCCTCAGAACAGAGCTCTGGAGATGCTGAATAAACAGTGCGAGTGTCACTGTGTGCCGACAGTGTTTGAGCATCCATCAGGGGTCACTCTCCTCTGACTTCATTCTTTTCTTGAGCTGGAGTGGATTTAAAACAAAAGCTGGGTGACATCTCTGTGATATCACATGCCAGAATAATCACCGCTCTCCTCCCACATTCATTACAGGCTTTGACCTAAATATAGGAGTGATGGACAGAGAAGGACCTTATAAAAGAAACAGGGGTCAAAGGCTTGATCATTTTTCAGCTGGGACTCTGCTGGAGGTGAGGAAACACTGCTGTGCCATTGTTTTGTGGGTGTCGTTCTTTCAGGTGTCTGGATACCTCAGCAGAGGTAAGACTCTAATGCTGATACTCTGCATGCATTTTGAAGCGATCAGGACAGTTTATCCCCTTATATTACCTGCAGCTTTTCTCCAAATGAAACGTTTCGACTTATTTTACTCAAACTAATCACTTGATGCAAACTAAGCTATGCAGTCATGAGATAGTTCACTCTATCTACTAACAGTGTGCAATGAGGATTGTGTCTTTCAGATGCGCAAGATAACACGTATGTTTACCTCAATGAATATGCAATATGAAGCATTTCTTCCCCAGCTTGCAAAATACAGGGAGGAGTAAAAGCAACTTAGTGTATTTAGCATAAGCTTTACAATTTACTGATTTTGAAGATACTTGGTGATTTTGACTTTGTCTAAAAGCAATACATTTGAAGATGGTGCTACTCCGGGCATCTTGTTTTGCATACATTGTGGTAAAGGGGAGACTGGATTAAAGACAGGCATGAATTTGATTCAAAGTCATTTTTTATTAGCTGTTTTGTGGTATTTTTCATTTAGATTAAATAATCTTCAATAGAGAAAAACATGGCCTGTACTTGTTGCAAAACACAACTATTGACAGCTGCTCGCCTAAAGCCTGCAGGAGTTCTCCCCTTAGAGGGATGCACGTCTCTGTCCTTGCATGCACTTGTCTCCTCCAGTCAACTTAAAGTAATATTCTGATGTCTTTGTTTTAGTTCACAAATCTGTTTTTTTTTTTTCACTCTTTCACTAATACCTCCAACAAGACTGAATTTAGTTATGCTGTCATTCTGCTTTCTCTCCCAACTATCCGCAGTAGTAGCCCTTTAAGGCACCAACAATTATGGCCAGAAAATTCTAATTTTTTTGGAGCTGAAATGTTTATTTCATTTCCTACTGAAAACAAAAAAAATCAAAATGTCATTAAAATTTTTACAAATATATTTATTTATCTCGTTTGATACATTAGATGTTTTTGGAATCTAATAAACTAAAAGAGGACCTTTTTATCATTTATTGGACTGTATTCAGGTGTTTTTTTTTAGTAATTTGTTGATCATACTGATTTGATAGAAATATCATAAAAGTATGTATCAAATATGATACAAAAGGCATTAAAGGGTTAAATATAACACACAAAATTCTCATTTAAACACCACTGCCTCCACATTCGCCTGCACTTCACCAAAACCTCAAATTTGTTGAGATGTTCACTCGATTTAGTCCCCTTTATACAGTGGATGGGAAAAGCAAATCAAAATGTCAAAATCTGAAACACTTTAACAAACTTTAAACAAATCTATATTTTACAAATCATTTTTTCAATTAAAATAATTTATGTAACTAGCAAAACACTTTTACCAGAGAGAAAACAAATTTACAAGATGCAAAACACTTTTACAAGCTTTGAGACAAATTTACAAATTACAGAATTTCGGTGGAAAATGTGCCAAAGATCGAACATGACCGTTCTGATCTTATGGCATAAATTTCTGTATTTGCAGAAGAACCATTTTTTGTACAGAACAGTCCGGCATTGTTTAGCTTACTTTTGATAGTACCCAACCTAATGTTAACATTGTGTAAACTTGCTGTCATGTCCACAATCACACTGTAGGAGTGGCCCTCGCTGAAATAATTTGCACAATAATCTATTACGTCTGGTCCGTCCGTTTCCTCCACGTTGTTTAAAAAGTCCAGAGACCGTCCAACACGAAAAGCAGAATCGCATTACTTGGCTAAGTTGGTTCCACAAAACAGACAAAACATAATTCACTCACCAGCATTTGTAAACTTGTAAAAACTCTGTAAATTTCACGCCACTGTGTCTTCCCTCAACACCTTCCGTCAACAGAAACTGACTGACCTCCAGGTAATCACTTCCGGGTCACACTCAGTATTTGGCACATTCCCTTTCTGTCAAAATGTTGTAATTTGTAAATTTGTTTCAGGACTTGTAAAAGTATTTTGCATTTTGTAAATTTGTTTTCTATCTGGTAAAAGTGTTTTGCAAGTTACATGTTTTTTTTTTTATCGTAAAAATGGTTTGTAAAATTTGTCTAAAGTTCATAAAAGTGTTTCAGATTTTGTACTTTTGATTTGCTCTTCCCATCCACCGTACCTTTGAGAGGACTCTCAAGATCAGTACTTGACTGTCAGCATTTTGAAAAATGTCTGGAAAATGATGACAGATAAATTATACTACCATCACTACTTAAAAGACTTCATATTTGTACATTTAAAATCTGCCTTTTGACCCCTGACCCTTCAGCCCCCTCTGGGGTGAGTTGCAGAGATGAGTTCAGATGCTGAGATGAGTGTTTTTGGGGAGGCGGCCCCTTACCTGAGGAGACCTGAACGAGAGAGGATTGAATCCCAGAACCGGCCGTTTGATGCCAAGAGCGCCGTGTTTGTGATGGACCCGAAGGAGCTGTTTGTGAAAGGAACCCTGCAGAGCAAAGAGGGCGGCAAAGCCACCGTCAGAACTGATGCAGGACAGGTACGCCAGCTGTAGACAAGGCTAATCCCTCCTCTTCTCTCATTAATGTCCAGCTGACGAAGGCCGCCTCTCTGTTTACAGGTCGTTACCGTGAAAGATGACGAAATCTTCCCCATGAACCCTCCAAAGTTCGACAAGATCGAGGACATGGCCATGATGACCCACCTGAACGAGGCTGCCGTGCTGTATAACCTCAAAGAGCGTTACGCAGCGTGGATGATCTATGTGAGTGATGAAACATTCACGGTTTTATGACGCTCATAACTACGCACAACAAAGCAGGAGGAGACCAGCATCTCCATGTTGACCAGAATCAGGGCTGCAGGTAGTCTGGGATGCTGACATACAGTAATTTGCTGTATAACTTTGAGATGTGACTGAAGTTTTTTCAGAGGAATATTCCACAAAAACAACAACGTAGATTTAACTCAGTCTCAGTCTCTCTGCTGTTGTTGTGATTCACTGGAGGAGCCTTGAATCTTTTGGATCTTTAGTTTGCATTTTCATTTACAAGGTGACCATCACATGATTTATCAGGGGAACGATGCGTGAAAGTGTGCGTTCACAGAGTCTTTAAATCTGAATAATTTTTGGTGTATGTGCACTTTAAGTTTGGATTGTGCTGTTTTATAAATGAAGCCCCTGGTCCTGGTCCTACCTGACAGAAACAAAATCTCTGTAGATACAGACACTGCCACTTTCTGGACTGTCTGGGGGCATATCTTAATCTGGATCTGCTGTATTTTCAGGACGATAAATCGCAATTTTTTTTACGGGTTTGGCTGGGTTTGCGATTTATATATGTTTTTTTCTTCTTTATTATGCATTTTTCGGCTGGTACGACTTATAACTTATAGTCTGGAAAATACGGTATTAATTTTGTCTTCTACCATTTTTGTTCCAGCACAGATTACATTATGAAAATCAACAATATTAATCTGCTTTCAGTGCCCAGGATGTCCTTTTTTGTCTATGTGGTCGCTAACTTCTCTGAATACGTTCTTTTTTGCTTGTACTGGTATCTTTCCAGAGTTCAAAAATGTGTATTGTGATAAATCTACTTTGTGTCAAAAAGCTAAAAAAGTAACCGGCTCACAAACTTTTTAAAAAACCTAATATTTTTCTAGCTTCCTTGATAAAGAGTAGAGCTACGGATATTAGGAAGCAGAAAGTCATGATTAAATTTTGAGCTTTATCTTGTCAGAGATCAAATTAGATCAAGAGTGAAATTCAAGCTGACACAAATCCTTGATTAAAATATTTTCTCTCCTGTTAATCTACAAACACCTTATAATTAAATCAAATAAGTTTTTTAATTTGTTTCAGACGTACTCAGGACTGTTCTGCGTCACTGTGAACCCCTATAAGTGGCTCCCAGTCTACAACCAGGAGGTGGTGGTGGCCTACAGGGGCAAAAAGCGCCAGGAGGCTCCTCCGCACATCTTCTCCATCTCTGACAACGCCTATCAGTTCATGCTGACCGGTAAAAGGGAGGGGAAATGTAAAAATAATTATGTTTTTTTCAGCTCTCTTTAAGACACAGTTCTGATGTGAATGCTGCGTTTCTTTTTTGCAGACAGAGAAAACCAGTCTATCCTCATCACGTAAGCTGCACAGGGATGTTAATTCTGCAGCCTTTCTCTTATGAATCCATCTTAGAGGACGTTAAAACATGTCTGCTGTGTGTGTTTTTGTCCTGCAGTGGAGAATCCGGTGCAGGAAAGACTGTCAACACCAAACGAGTCATCCAGTATTTTGCGACAATTGCAGGGACTGGAGAGAAGAAAAAAGATGCTGCAGCCGCTGGAAAATTACAGGTTAAATAACTTTGTTGTAAAACTGAGAAGAAAAAAAACACCTTTGCAATATTTTATATACCTCCTTTTTTTATTTCTGAAGGGAAATCTGGAGGATCAGATCATCTCTGCAAACCCTCTGCTAGAAGCTTTTGGGAACGCCAAAACTGTCAGAAATGATAACTCATCCCGTTTTGTGAGTTAAAATCCAGGTTCTACATGTTCCTAAAATGCATCCCTCATGTTTTAGTCTGAATTGAGGGATTGGATTTGTTCATCTTCAGGGTAAATTCATAAGAATCCACTTTGGGACCACAGGGAAACTGTCCTCTGCTGACATTGAAACTTGTGAGTAAACTTGTGAATGAAAACACAGGAGATTTTCAGTCAAGAGGATTTTTAATCATAGTAATCTCATTTTCCTTCACAGATTTGTTGGAAAAATCCAGAGTGACGTTTCAACTGTCTGCAGAGAGGAGCTATCATATTTTCTACCAGATCATGTCCAACAAGAAGCCTGAGCTGATAGGTAACACAGACGGCATGTTCACTTGACCAGAAGGAATTTGAAATACCTATTAGAGTTCAGATCAGATTTGACTCCTACATGAATGATGTCACTTTTTAAGGGACATCATTGGAAAAATTTGAATATCTTGGTGACCATTTTATGTATAAAGTTAATCTTGTAGTTATGTATTCCATATTATAGACCTCCTAACTCCTTGCCCCCCTTGCATTACTGTTGGGGGCTGTGGCTCTAACTAAGACATGGTTACTTTCTTTATTTTTCCGCAGTCAGAGGAGGGAGTCCTGTAAACAGCACTGTCCGATTATCTTTTATATTATCTTGTAAAATTCCCATGATAAAGTCAGCTGGTTCCAAGGGCAATTCTGTATTCAATCATCTTAGGACAGTCCTAGAAAATTAATCCTTTTTAAAAATGTTTGTGGTTTTAGGCGCCTCCGGTGGATAAACTAGTGAGCATGTTTTCCTTAAAGGGATATTCCGACGTAAATTGAAGTTATGGTCAAACACACTGTAATGCTGAGTTGGACACCCCTTCGAGAGATAATTTTTGTTGACTGCTTGCTTCTCTAGTTATACCAACTTTTGTAATAACCGCATGATAGCAGTACATGGCGGTCCATGTCTCCACACGCAAACCTCAACCAAAACGCCACTCTATAGCCGTAAATAATGCTCAGAACAGCATCAACAGTACATACAGGGTCCCAGCCATAGTACTAGCCATCAAACATCTTTTTAACTTGACCAAATTTCTTTAGCAAAGAGACTAAACACAACTCACCCACTCTCCTCCAGCAGCCACTTGTTTGTAGGGGAGCCTTGACGAGACGATCACCGAGTGCAGTGGATCATTTTGCACTGTAGACGCGGTAGTTCTTCTGCCTTAGCGTCTCGGTCTGATTGCACTTCCTTGAAGTAATGATCATAAATGTTCTACCTTGAGCTGCGAAACCCCACTGCACTCGGTGATAAAAGAAAAAGACCAGGCGATCAGTAAAAGTCTATACTTGATAAACTTTTTGATTAAGTTTGATCTAGACCATCCTAAAGAGAGGAGAGAAAAAAACCCAGACAGATTAACTAATTCTGTAAGGAAAGATTGTGACTTCCAGATTCTGATTCTGATTAAAAAGTTTAAACTAATCAGCCCTGGCATAACATTTAGCAACTTAGTTGACACAGTTTACAAAAGTTTTTTGATAAGCACCTGTAAATCAAGATGTAATGCAACCTTTACTTTCATAAAGATCCAAAATATATTTGCACTACTTACAATCCACTGTAAACACTCATAAATTCACCTGCAAATATCTTTGATAATTATCTTTACAGGTAATCGTAATACAACCAATATGCATTCCTTTAAAGAATATACACATTGGTATTTAATTTACAGTTTTGATGGCCCAGTAGGAACATGCTACACTGCTTATAAAACCTGTTGAAAGGAAATTTTTACAGCCAAAATAAATCACATTTTGAACTTCTTACCACAAGTTGATTAAGAGTCAGAAGAGTCTGGTGTACCGTTACTGTCATGAAACAGCCGTCTCATTAAGTATCATACTAATTTTTATAAGCAGACTGCTGATCTTCTCCCTCAGAAACTCTCCTGATCACCACCAACCCTTTCGACTACCCGTTTGTCAGTCAGGGTGAGATCAGCGTGGCGAGCATCGACGACAGCGACGAGCTGATGGCCACAGACGTAAATCACATTTATGGTCCCATCTTCTCCCTCACTGGTTACAGCCACTTAAACTTATATTAGCATGGTTATGATGTGATTCCAGAGCGCCATCGACACCCTGGGCTTCACTGCAGATGAGAGGATCGGCATCTACAAGCTGACAGGAGCTGTGATGCATTATGGGAACATGAAGTTCAAACAGAAGCAGAGAGAGGAGCAGGCTGAGCCAGATGGCACTGAGGGTAACTTCTATCTCTCCTGTGTCTCATTTCCTGACCCCCCTCTGTTGTAATCTTTGTCTGATGTGATCTCTGTCTGTGCTCAGTGGCTGATAAAGCAGCATACCTGATGGGTCTGAACTCTGCAGACCTGCTCAAAGCTCTCTGTTACCCCAGGGTCAAAGTCGGGAACGAGTATGTCACCAAAGGGCAGACTGTCCAGCAGGTTAGGAGACCACTTTGAATAATTTTACCACATACTGTTCCCTATAAGAGGGATTACAACAGCATGGCTCTGTAGTAGAAGAGTCCTGGTGCTTTATTGGCCGGCCTGCAGACTTGTCACCTGTTAAAAACATTTTGTCACATCATGATATGAAAAAATATGACAAGACCTCAGACTAAAGGTTCATTTATGCTCAGCATTACATGTGGATCCGGATATGGACGGAGCTCTCCATCCGTGCTTCGCATTCTTTTCGTCCGGACGTAGCAGTACCACCAGAAACCTTGGGGGCAGTGTTGTTGCTGTCACTACCCGATACACATTTCGAAGAAGACAATGACAGGACTTTTTGAGGATTGTCATCAATTTCTCTCATTGGTACTACTAAAGAAAATAATTATTCGTCCTCCAACCAGAATTTAGTAACCACCGCCTCTTCCACGCTGCCTCCGTTTCTGTCTCCTATGCAAAATATACATTATCACCAGTGTTGTTTTCATGGACGATGACGTCGATGAAAATATTTCGTCAACGTCATCGTCAACAAAAACAACACTGCAGAATATATGTTTAGCGTTTGGCTGACGAAATGCTCATGAATTTTGCAACTCTGTTCATCGTCCACCAATAACGTTTTCGTCTAGTCTCGTCTGGTCAACGTAAACGCACATTCGTCTCGTCACATTTTAGTCATCGAAGACTTATGTTTAGCTTGTCAACGTCACGTCTTCGTTGTGGAAACTGTCGCTGTGTTTCTTTTTGTTTGTTGTTGTCAGAAACTTTAGACTCTGGCCCGCCCCCTGGTGGATGTAATGGTTAACATCCATGCCAACATAAAGGATGCGTGGAAGTATGTGGGCAGTGACGGAACCATTGTTTGAAACAGACATTTTTATACGCATGGCGAGCATAAATGAGCCTTAATGAGGAACAAAAATCCTATATCAGGCAAGAACAGGCCAACATTTCACAACAAAGGTCTTTTCATCCACATGTTCAGTTCTCACTGTCACACGTCTTTCTTCAGGTCTACAACTCTATCGGTGCTTTGGCGAAGTCGGTGTATGAGAAGATGTTTATGTGGATGGTCCTCCGCATTAACCAGATGTTGGACACCAAGCAACCCAGGCAGTTCTTCATCGGAGTCTTGGACATCGCCGGCTTTGAAATCTTTGATGTAGGTTTGAATCAATCAGAGTATTCACGATGAATGATGGAGATACATACTGAAGGTTGATTGTTTTGCAGTATAACAGTCTGGAACAGCTGTGCATCAATTTCACCAACGAAAAGCTGCAACAGTTTTTCAACCATCACATGTTTGTTCTGGAGCAAGAGGAGTACAAGAAGGAGGGCATCGAGTGGGAGTTCATCGACTTTGGGATGGACTTGGCTGCCTGCATTGAGCTCATAGAAAAGGTTTGCTCACACAGAAAAGCTCATGTACAAAGATAAAGACTGAAGGCTTTAGATTATGATCTTAATGAAACTACCCTGTCCTCTCCAGCCAATGGGAATCTTCTCCATCCTCGAAGAGGAGTGTATGTTCCCTAAGGCTTCAGACACCACCTTCAAAAACAAACTTTACGACCAACATCTGGGAAAATCCAGCAACTTCCAGAAACCCAAACCAGTCAAAGGCAAAGCCGAGGCTCATTTCTCCCTGGTTCACTACGCTGGCACGGTGGACTACAGCATCACAGGCTGGTTGGACAAAAACAAAGACCCTTTAAATGAGACTGTGGTTCAGCTCTACCAGAAGTCCAGCCTCAAACTGCTCTCCTTCCTCTATATTTCCTACTCTGCAGTTGATGGTAAGAGCTAAAGACAGAAGTAGTTGTGTAACAATCAACTACCTTTATAGTTCTTCCTCCTTTTTAATGATCAATTTCTTTTTATGAAGTATAGAACTTTATAAACACCTAATTTATCAGGTTTGTTTACAGTAGAAAATCCATGTTTATGTTGGGTCTACTCATCTGCAAATCTAGCAAACCTCTCCTGCCTAAAAGCCTTAAGACAAGAAGTTCAAGAAGTTTCTAACATAAATCTAAAAGTGTCAAACAAGATCATTTAACATCCAGGTGATTTTACACTGATTTGGACTGATAACAGGTTGTATTGTGGTAGATATATCACTGTGCATTTTGAAGACCCAGAGTTTTCACAGTTGCTGCTTCAAGCTGATCAAACATGGAGGCCGTATAGCTTTAATTAGAGATGTTACATCCTAAGAGGCGACATGTAGTTGTTTGTTTTTATGTGTTGTAAATACAGACAGTGAAGGTGTTAGGGGTGGGAGAAAAAATAAATACAGCATAGTATTGCAATATTTTGTCTGATGATATATCCTATCGTCTCATTTACCAAGTATCGATTTTTGGAATTAATTGCTAATATGAAGTCAAATCTATGATGATGGAAAAATAAAATCAACTGTTTGTCCAGTGAGGTTGGCAGAGGTGACATAATCGAGAAAGTTAGTGCAACAAATATATATAAGGTTAGCAATATGTGCTACCTGAAAATAAAATACAGTGTAACTAAGACAAACATAAAAGAAAGCCAAATTTTAAATTAGCTAAACAGTTAAAAAATAAATAAATCCCAATATATTGTATCACAATACTAACTGTATTGCAAAATGTTAAAAAACACAATATCGTATTGTGGCCTAAGTATTGTGATAATACCGTATCGTGGGGCCACTAGTGATTCCCACCCCAACTGCCCTATCTTACACCTGCATAAAATTGACATGGTGTGTGTTGCAAGTGTCATTTCCTTTTCCCACTCAGTGCAGTAATCATTTACACTTCCTGCAACCATGTTCGACCAATAGCAAGCAACTTGAACCTTGCTTTTGATGGTTGAATGTTTACAATAAGAACTCTGCTCAGTGAGTTACCTGATCTGTGAGCTCCAAGGTCAGGTTGTGGAGTCTGTCTTATGAGTCTAATGAGTCCTATTGGGATCAGGGTTCAGTCACTGCATACTTCTCTGTATTCACCCATCACCAATGTCCACTTATAGTTCAACTTTTTGGTGTGAATAAAAACAAAAATCTTTTCTTCCAGATGATTCAAGTGGAACCAAAAAAGCAGCAAAAAAGAAGGGCTCCTCCTTCCAGACTGTGTCTGCTCTCTTCAGGGTGACGTCATTGTATTAATACGCTGAGGTTTTGATAGTGATAAAGTAGAGACAAAATTATGAATCATTTTTGTCACTTAAGGACGTTGATTTTCTTTCACAGGAGAATCTGGGGAAGTTAATGACCAATCTCCGGAGCACCCATCCTCATTTTGTCAGGTGTCTGATCCCCAATGAAACAAAGACTCCAGGTATCTATATTGAAGTTTTATACCCACACCTTAAACGTGTTGTAGCTGTGTCTGTGTCTGTGTCTATGCTCATATGGCTGTGCTGGCTGTAGGGATAATGGAGCACCACCTGGTCATCCATCAGCTGAGGTGTAACGGTGTACTGGAAGGAATTCGAATCTGTAGGAAAGGTTTCCCCAGCAGGATCCTTTATGGGGACTTCAAGCAAAGGTAAGAGGGAAAAAAAGTCATATTTTTTATTCTTTATTTCTGAGACTTTTTGTTAGTGAAAATTTCACTGATACGGGTTGTTCTTGTAGGTACAAAGTACTGAACGCGAGTGTGATCCCTGAGGGACAGTTCATCGACAACAAGAAAGCTGCAGAGAAGCTCTTGGGGTCAATCGATGTGGACCACACACAGTACAAGTTTGGGTACACTAAGGTGAACTATCTGAAGTTTGGGCGAGGTGGGGTACAAAGGAAACCATATAACAGAGAGGGTTATAACTCGAACCCTTTCCTGAACTCTTGGGTCCTGAAGGTGTTCTTCAAAGCTGGACTCCTGGGTCTGCTGGAGGAGATGAGGGATGAGAGACTGGCCTCTCTGATCACCATCACTCAGGCTCTGTGTCGAGGTTTCCTCAAGAGGAAGGAGTTACAGAAAATGTTTGAGAGGAGGTTAATCACTGGTCGTATTTTCATCAAATACTGCAGGTCTGTATGAATTCACTGATTCTTTTCAACCCCAAACATTAAGTACAAACTTCTTCACTTCCCAGAGAGTCCATCTACATCATCCAGTACAACATCCGCTCCTTCATGAACGTGAAACACTGGCCGTGGATGAAGCTCTACTTTAAGATCAAGCCGCTCCTAAGGAGCGCTGAGACGGAGAAAGAGATGGCCAATATGAAGGTGGAGTTTGCAAAATGTAAGGAGGATTTAGCCAAATCTGAGGCCAAGAGGAAGGAGCTGGAAGCCAAAATGGTTTCTCTGCTTCAGGAGAAGAATGACCTGAGTCTGCACATTCAAACTGTGAGTACTGAAAATATGATATCTGAAGAGGTGCTGCCACTCTGAGGCCTGGGCGAGGGTTCAAGCATGATTTTCTCTTTGGGGGTTGTTAGTATAAGTGACAAAGAGCGGAGATGCTGACAGGTCATCTTTACAATCAGGCGCAAAACTAGAGCAAACTGCACAGAGCTGCTGAACTGATAACTACAGTTAGATCTTGAGCTAATGTGAGTGATTGACATCCAATTCTTGGTGCTGTTGGTGGCTACAATCCTACCCTAATGCTGGGTTTACATCAAACGATTTTCACAGTCCCAGACTAAAGGAGGGACTTTTTTACTGGAGTTGTGACTCCAGTAAAACTCCAAGATTCTGGCGTGAATTTAAGTTATGGTCAAACACATAGTGACACTGAGTTAGACGCCCCCTGAAGAGATGAATGTTGTCGATCGCTTGCTTCTCTAGTTATACCAACTTCAGTCAATCACCGAGTGCAGCGGAGTTTCGCAGCTCAAGGAAGAACATGTATGATCATTACTTCATAGTACTAGCCATCAAACATCTTTTTAGCTTTGCCTAGTTTCTTTAACAAAGAGACTAAACACATCTCATCCACTCTCCTCCAGCAGCCGCTTGTCTGTGGGGGGGCCCTGACAAGTCGATCATCGAGGATCATTTCCATGAAGTAATAATCATAATATTAATCATTTTGCACTGTAGACGCAGTAGTTCTTCTGCCTTAGCGTCTCGGTCTGATTGCATTTCCATGAAGTAATGATCATACATGTTCTTCCTTGAGCTGCGAAACCCCGCTGCACTCGGTGATCGACTCGTCAGGGCTCCCCCAATAGACCAATTGATGAGCTCTAACAAAAGCCGAAAAGAAAACCTGACAGTCAAATCAAGAAGAACAGGAATGTATGAAGAATAACTGGTGATAAAAAAGGAGCAGATAGTGGTATTGTGGGCAGATCAGCCTTGCCTATTCGACACCAACTGCAGGGTTTCCCCTACATGTGATGGCACACCGCACCAACTAAATAAAAGCCGCCACACCTCAACAATGAAGTTTTTTTACGCGCTACCTTGCACTCAGTATGTATCAGTATATGTGGCGCACACGGGCTTCACCGCCCCCCTCAAATCACACACCACCACAGATAGCTTCCCCACCTGTGGGAAACACTAAACTATCAAAAAATGCTAAAAGAATCTTTGTAGTCTGTCGTTGTAGTCTTGAAAATTGTAGATTCACAGTCTTTGTAAATTCTCAGTCTGAGACTAGGCTAAAAACTCTCAACACTTGTCTTCAGATGTGAGCAGGTTCAGTCAGATTTGATGGTTCTAGCTGTTTATTGACACTGTGTCAATTATGTTGAATGTGAGACGAGGGCTGATCTTCACACAGACCTCTGAGTTAATAATGATCTAGAATAGTGCGCAAATTTTTTTAGCCTGTAGAGGAACATGCCACCTGTTTAAACTGCCACAAAAAGCTTCCAGCCAGCTCTATTTTGACTGTGCAAATACAGTAGTTACAGGACTGTGCCTTTTTTTATCAGGACAAGGAGAGTCTAGCAGATGCAGAAGAGAGGTGTGAAGGTCTGATAAAGAATAAGATCCACCTTGAGGCTAAAACCAAAGAGCTGAGTGAGAGACTGGAGGACGAGGAGGAGGTGAACGCTGAGCTGACCGCCAAGAAGAGAAAGCTGGAGGACGAGTGCTCAGAGTTGAAGAGGGACATCGACGACCTGGAGCTCACTCTGGCTAAAGTGGAGAAAGAAAAACACGCCACTGAAAACAAGGTGCGTGTCTGCTGGAGAGTGGACTGAGTACCAAACTCAGAGATCGCTGAGTGTACTCACAGGTCATCGTTTACTTCATCTCCAGGTGAAGAATCTGACCGAGGAGATGTCCACTCTGGATGACACCATCGCAAAGTTATCCAAAGAGAAACTGGCGCTTCAGGAGGCTCACCAGCAGACTCTGGATGACCTGCAGGCAGAGGAGGACAAAGTCAACACTCTGACCAAGGCCAAGATCAAACTGGAGCAACAAGTGGATGATGTAAGTCAGCGGGTGATATCTGAAATCACAGCATGTGCAACTTGAAAGCTATTTCATCAGATTTTGAGGACATCAGGAAATAAACAGAGAAGAGAGCAGGGGATTATATAAACCACTGTGATTTAAAAAGAGACTATCCCATAGAGCTTTGGTGATTTTACATCTTTTGTGTAATCATTTATGATTTCAAGGGCTTCATGTTTGTACAACATGAGCTTAAATAATATGATAGTTAATAACCCATAATGAGTTAACTAAGGAAATTGTCACAGTGTGTAAAAAATTAAAACTATTTTTTTTTCTTCCAATAATAATGAGAAAAACACATAAAACAGCATTTATTGAAAAATACCCCTCCCCCAAAAAAAGTTGAACTAAATCGAATGTTTTTAAAATTATTTGGATAATATGTGTAATTTTAAAACAGGTCAGTGTAGAAACTAAAAAATTTTCTTGTTTTGATGTTTGATGCCAGCCACATATGTCATAGGAAGTTTGGAGAGGAGCCTTTTTTTATCCCTACATCTTTTACGAGCACTCTGTAAACTTCGGGGAAAATGGGAGACCAGTTTCTCAAAGTTGCTGGCTTTGCTTTATCGTGTTTCTGTTTAGTTTCCCTTTTGCATGATACAGCTTTTACCTACATTTGCTGATGCAGCGACAGATATGATCACAGAGAATAGTTTTTGAAAGTTGACCCCATGCAGTGATTTCAACTACAGTTATACCTGTTTTTAACACCGTGCCATCCAGTATTTTTTTTAGCCTTGTCTCCTTTGCACAGACACTTCTTCGGATTCTTGAAATCATTATTGATATTTTGAATCGCAAGTGATTGTATCTCCATTTTACCAGAGGAACGTTAGTCTGTGGAGGTGTAGTAACTCCACTGTTATTGAAGCTGTGTCCATGTTTTAGCTGGAGGGCTCTCTGGAACAAGAGAAGAAGATCCGAATGGACATCGAGAGAGGAAAACGAAAGATTGAAGGAGATTTAAAACTCACTCAGGAATCCATAATGGATCTGGAAAATGACAAACAGCAGCTGGAGGAACGTCTTAAAAAGTATGTGCCGGTGTTTCTAAGTTTCTAAGCATCATCATAGACACAGTCTCTCAGGATTCCTCTGATCTGTTTGTGATATCACAACAGGAAGGACTTTGAATTCAGCCAGCTGCTCAACAAGATTGAGGATGAGCAGAGCGTGGCGGTGCAGTCTCAGAAGAAAATCAAGGAGCTCCAGGTATCAAGATGACTTAAAGGTTACCTGAAACTGTAGTAAAAACAAGAAGCAATGTTTGATGTTTTTCCCAGGCTCGCATTGAAGAGCTGGAGGAGGAGATCGAGGCTGAGCGAGTCGGCCGAGCAAAGGTGGAGAAGCAGCGATCTGAATTGTCGAGGGAGCTGGAAGAGATCAGCGAGCGGCTGGAGGAGGCGGGAGGAGCGACCACCGCACAGATTGAGATGAACAAGAAGAGAGAGATTGAGTTTCAGAAACTGAGACGAGACCTGGAAGAGTCGACGCTGCACCATGAGGCCACGACCGCCGCTCTGAGAAAGAAACACGCCGATAGCGTGGCCGAGCTTGGAGAGCAGATCGACAACCTGCAGCGCATCAAACAGAAAATGGAGAAAGAGAAGAGCGAGTTCAAGATGGAGATTGATGATCTGTCCGGGAACGTCGAGACCATGGTGAAGGCAAAGGTAAGAAAAATTAGTCATGATTAAGTATTTCTCACCATGTAATAAAAACCGCACACCCTTCTTTAATCTATTTTCTGAATTTCAGAGTCACTATGAGAAGCTGTGTCACTCTCTAGAAGACCAGCTGAGTGAATACAGGACAAAACATGACGAGAACTCTCGTCTCATTACTGATGTAAACGCTCAAAGAGCTAAACTTCAGAATGAAAACGGTAAGCATTAAGAGACTGTAACCTTTTTGTTCAAACAGAAACAGACATCTTTGTATTTTTCTAAGGTTTGTCTCTGGTTCTGCTCAAACAGGTGAGTTATCTCGTCTTCTGGAGGAGAAAGAAGCCATCCTCTCTCAGATGTCCAGGGCGAAGTTGGCTTTCTCTCAGCAGGTTGAGGAGCTGAAGAGGCTGGTAGAAGAAGAGACAAAGGTTTGTTACTGTAATGCAACGGGCTAAGACTAGAGACAGAGATGGGGACTTGAGTTGAAGACTTAAGACTCATGTCGCACACTAACGTGACCGCAGACTAAAACCAAGGAGTGGGATTTGGATTTGAGGTTTTGTTTCTCACCAAGCAGCACTGAGTAGGTTTGTTGTCGTTAAGTAATTTACAGTCTGACATCCAGGTTTGTAAAACATTAAAATTAGATTGTAGGGTTTGGAGGTGTACATAATGGTATCATCTGCATATAACTGACCGATCGCTAAGCTTGCCCCTTGAACGCAGATGAGCCAACGGCAGTTTAGTATCAGTTGTATTGAGACTGGAACTCGTACATCTGTCGCTTTCAACTCTATACAGAAGCATTAGAAGTCGAGATTTTTCATCTGTTTTATGGCATTAATTTTAATATAACAAAGAAACATGATAAAAAAAGGTGTGCATGGGGTAGACACAAGGTATCCCGATAGGATGGGCGATGGGGTGTATTTCTTCCATTTCCAAAACCAAAGAAAGACCGAAGTAAATGTCTGTGATGGATTAAGTTGTGTGGCAGACCACACAGCCAACCTAATGTCCAGAAGATTGATAAGGATGGTACGTTTGTTCTAAGGTAAGTTACACCAACATAGCTGTATATCTACTAACTTTACCGACTGTTATTTAATTGTCATTAGCGATTAACAGAGCTTGCGCCTCTGGTAAACTAGCGAACTCTAATGTTAGCCTAGGTTAGCACACTAGCTGAGTGACTGTAACACTCAGTGCCTCTCCAGATTAGTTTAAATAATTAAAGGTAAATGAATTTAATCTTACCCTGCAATACAGAATTTGTCAAGACCCTCTTGTGGTAGCATTTTGACACCGGCAGCGGCCATTGTAAAGCACTGCTCAGCTCCGGTTGTTTGTCCGAGTTAGCAACAGTAACTAAGGGGGGCGGGGCTTAGCGATAGGTCAATTGTGTGCCAAACAATGTACATGATGCAACAAAGCTGCCAATCATATTCAACCCTTTTCAGAGAATCAAATAACAAACTTAATTAGTGTCAGAAACTATGTTTGAGGAACCTTTGACCCATGCCCCATCCCTCTCTTTTAGGCTAAGAACGCGCTGGCCCACGCCCTGCAGTCGGCCCGTCATGACTGTGACCTCCTAAGAGAGCAGTTTGAGGAGGAGCAGGAGGCCAAGTCTGAGCTGCAGAGAGGGATGTCCAAAGCTAACAGTGAGGTGGCACAGTGGAGAACCAAATATGAGACTGACGCCATCCAGCGCACCGATGAGCTGGAGGAAGCTAAGTGAGACGGGTTCAGGGAGTGTTTCCATTTTCACAGGGTCTGATTTTCCTGGCTCAATACCCACCAAATAAGACATATCAATGAGAAGTATCAAATGTTTTTAGAAATACGTGTCCAAAACAGCAAAGAAATAGACCGTTTTTTGATGGTGCAGGGGTCAACTGCAAAAAATAACCTGCGATCTATTTTTAAACATGACGTGTCCCTGCTCAGGAAAAAACTGGCCCAGCGTCTGCAGGAGGCTGAGGAGGCCAATGAAGCTGTGAACTCCAAGTGTTCGTCTCTGGAGAAGACAAAGCAGAGGCTGCAGGGAGAGGTGGAGGATCTCATGGCGGATGTGGATAGAGCAAATGCTCAGGCTGCCAGTCTGGACAAAAAACAGAGAGCTTTTGATAAGGTAAGTGAGACATCATTTGAAATATATATATTTGATTTATTGTTGGTCATTTTTTAGACTAATACACCCGTGATTCAATCCAAACTTAGTAGATGGTAATAACTAACAATCTGTGCCGTCCTCAGATTCTGTCTGAGTGGAAGCAGAAGTACGAGGAGAGTCAGGCGGAGCTGGAAGGATCTCAGAAGGAGTCTCGCTCCCTCAGCACTGAGCTCTTCAAAATGAAGAACTCTTATGAAGAAGCTCTGGAGCATCTCGAGGTCTTCAAACGAGAAAATAAAAACCTGCAACGTACGTTTACCACCGGAAAAACAAAAGAGCTTCTTTCTCACCTTCTGAAAATAAAGGATCTGTACTATTTACATAAATGTTTAATCCAGTTATTCGCTGTGAGATGAAGGATTTAATAGTTTTAGTGTTGATTTATTCATTAATTTAAATATACAATCTTTTTATTGACTTTTAGAGGAAATCTGTGATTTGACTGAACAACTTGGAGAGAGCGGTAAAGCCATCCACGAGCTGGAGAAAATGAAGAAACAGGCTGAGACTGAAAAGACAGAGATCCAGACGGCTCTGGAAGAAGCTGAGGTAACATTTCTGAATATAATAAAGAAAAATAAATGTATTTACGCCTCTAAAAATCATGTCAATAATCAATAACATTCCTTTCATCCAGGCCTCTCTGGAGCACGAGGAATCTAAGATCCTGCGTGTGCAGCTGGAGCTGGCTCAGGTCAAAGGAGAGGTTGATCGCCGACTGTCGGAGAAGGACGAGGAGATGGAGCAGATGAAAAGAAACCATCAGCGTGTCGTGGAAACGATGCAGTCGGCTTTAGACTCTGAGACCCGCTGTAAGAATGACGCCCTGCGAATCAGGAAGAAGATGGAGACGGACCTGAACGAGATGGAGATCCAGCTGAGCCACGCCAACCGTCAGGCTGCTGAGGCTCAGAAACAGCTGAGGAACATCCAGGCTCACCTCAAAGTGACGTATTGTTGACCTCCAGCTCTTACACAAGAATGTTAGATTCGTTTTTATTGATTTAACACAATTTATCATCTTTCTGCAGGAGCAAACCCTGCACCTGGATGAGGCCCTGAGGAGTCAGGAGGACCTGAAGGAGCAGATGGCGATGGCTGAAAGGAGGAGCGGCTTGCTGACGGCGGAGGTGGAGGAGCTTCGAGTTGCTCTGGAACAATCGGAGAGAGGCCGCAAATTAGCTGAGCAGGAGCTGACGGACGCCTCTGAGAGAGTGGCTCTGTTACACTCTCAGGTGAGCTGAACTCTCTGCTGTGATGGGGAAAAGATTTTTTAATACTTAGAATAAAAGCTGTAAATTTTTCAGATTGAATGATTTGTAGAGAAGTTACTGCTCAGGCTATGGAGCAATTTCTGGTGCTGAGAGACTAAACAAATGTGGAGAAACCCGCGGTGCGTGAGTGTACACTTGGATGTAGGGTTGCTGCAAAAGCCAATGAATCCTTGGTAACACCAAGTTAGACACCCCCCGAGAGATGAATGTTGCCGACTGCTTGCTTCTATAGTTATTCTAACTTTAGTAACGACCGCACGATAGCAATACACAGAGGTCTACGTCTCCAAGTGCAAACCTCAACCAAAACGCCACTCTATAGCCACTTATAATGCTCAGAATAGCACCTAACTTCATCAACAGTACATACAGGGTCCCAGCCACAGTACTAACCACCAAACATCTTTTTAGCTTTGCCTAATTTCTTTAGCAAAGAGACTCAACACAACTTACCCACTCTCCTCCAGCAGCAGCTTGTTTGTGGGGGGCGCCTGGATGAGTTGATCACCGAGTGCAGTGGAGTTTCGCAGCTCAAGGAACATTTATGATCATTTTTTTCATCGAAATACAATCAAACCCAGACACTAAGGCAGAAGAACTACTGTGTCTTCAGTGCAAAATGATTAATATGATTATTTCTTCATGGAAATGATCCACTGCTCTTGGTGATCAACTCGTCAGGGCTCCCCCACAAACAAACGGCTGCTGGAAGAGAGGTAGTCTCTTTGCTAAAGAAACCAGGCAAAGCAAAATTTATACTGGAATATCCCTCTAACAGATGAATCTTATGCTGAGGTGCTAAAAGCTAAAGTTTCTTCAGAGTCTACTTGAGGCTGGCTGCAGAGGACACGCACACACTCTTCCAAAAAATAGTCCTTCTTTAGATTCACTGGAGACTGAAACAGAGCTGTTATCAACTTTTTTGAAGCTTTAAAAAAAATTAAACTTTATCCTGATGTTATACTTCTCTTTGGCTGCAGAACACCAGTCTCCTGAACACCAAGAGGAAGCTGGATGCAGATGTGAGCCAGCTGCAGGGAGAGATGGACGACGCGATCCAAGAGGCCCGAAACGCAGAGGAAAAGGCCAAGAAGGCCATCACTGATGTAAATATCAATCCCTTTTTTAAACTTCTTAAACTGAGTGGTTTACAGCTTTACATAGTGTGACTGGTATCTGCAGGGGGACATGGATCTGTATTTTAGACCCTACATGCTTTTCTGAAAGCTGTTGTTTTCAGCTCCAGCTTGGTAATCAGCAATAAAATGGAGCTAAAGCAGAGCTTGCTGTTTGTACAGGCTGCCATGATGGCAGAGGGGCTGAAGAAAGAGCAGGACACCAGCAGTCACCTGGAGAGGATGAAGAAGAACCTGGAAGTGTCTGTGAAGGACCTGCAGAACCGTCTGGATGAAGCTGAGAACCTGGCTCTGAAGGGGGGCAAGAAGCAGCTGCAGAAACTGGAGGCTCGGGTATCAAACCTGTCTGTGTGAGACTGATGACGCTGTATTCAGAGGACAAAAAATGAAAGGACCTGAGGATGTTTGTTTCTGTCTGATAGGTGCATGACCTGGAGGGGGAGCTAGAGAGCGAACAGAAAAGATCCTCTGAGGCCGTGAAGGGGGTCCGTAAATATGAGAGACGGGTGAAGGAGCTGACATACCGGACTGAAGAGGACAAGAAGACGGTCCTGAGGCTGCAGGACCTGGTGGATAAGCTGCAGCTCAAAGTGAAGGCCTACAAGCGGCAGAACGAAGAAGCTGTAAGATCACTAAACAGCCAGAAAAACAAAAAACAGCTTTGTCATCCGGTTTCTCTTAAGTAACATTTATGATTTATGTTCCAGGAGGAGCAGGCAAACACCCACCTGGCCAAGCTGAGGAAGGTGCAGCATGAGCTGGAGGAGGCTCAGGAGAGAGCTGACATCGCTGAGACTCAGGTCAACAAGTTGAGAGCCAAGAGCAGAGAGTTTGGAAAGGTAACTCCACACACATTCACATTCATTTGAGAAATTGTTCCGCAAACTGCAGGACTTGACGCTAACTCTTTTCACAAGGAGCACATGTTCTCCTCAGTTAAAAAAGTGAGGAGTACACAAAGAACTTTAGGGGCACAATGAAAATTGATCAAATAATGTGTGTCTTATTGGTCGACATAAGTACATTATTTGAAATCAATTTTAGGTCAGTTGGTCACACATAATGGAAGCTATTGAAGAGAATGTTCAAAATTTTCCTTAAAATTTAACACAAACTTTTTAGAGGACAAATTAGGGAAATATAGGGGTGTGTCTTCCTGTCAGACTTTAGTACTACTATCTTAAATCAACTTTAGGTCAGTTGGTCACGTGATATGGAAGCTATTGAAGGAAAACAGCCTTTTTGAGTACATTTACAGGTAATTTATTGACGGTGCCTTATTCAACACCCGACGTTGACAGCGAGGATGCCGAGTAGATTTAACCGCGCTGCTGTTGCTGTTCCCGGTTATGGAAAGTGAGAGGACACCGGCACAACCGGAGTGAATGTCCGTTGTATATCCAACCTAAAACTAACTTCACTGCAGTATTTACATGAAAAAATATTAGTTGCCTTTGCCGATTTTTTTTGATGTGCAAATGTGCCCCTAAATACATTTTACAATTCTATAACAATTCTATACAATTTACAATCTTTACAATTCACATCTATTTTTTTTCGCAAATGCGAGTGAAACCGTTGCACTATCAAGCCCTGAACTGAGTTATTTTTCTGTGAGAAAACTAAACGTATTGGCTATAAAATCTACAAACCCTCTGGTGAGTCAGCTGTTCAGTTTTTCATGGAGTATATTCATCTTAAACCCATGAAACAATTCAAGATAAAGATACCAATCCCTGTTACAGTGAGAGCTGAAAACTTCTTCGTTTCTAAATCTATATTATTGTCAGTGCTGACGAGGAAAAACTGATAAATAGACTGCGAAAAAGGCCAATTTACAGGCTTAAAAACAGTCATCCACGCAGCACAGCACACTGCAGCTTCATTGTCCTCATCTTGTATACAGTCTCACCTTTTTCAACATTTTTTGCACCTGCTTCAGCATTAGTCCTGTTGAAAATAATTACACACTTCCTCTTTTTACTTTTCCTGTCCCTTTTCAGGCTGAGTCTGAGTAAACCTTGCAGCCATGATGATGAAGAAGACATATCCTCTGTTGGAGTTTGTAGTTTAAGTAGAGACTCTGCAGTGTGAACAAACCTTACTGAGCCTGTTTACTACTGGTGTTAACGTGTCTCCTCACGTGTCACTGGCCTTTAACTTTCACATACAAAGAAACTACTAGTCCGAAAGCCCATCATTCATCATTATTTCTACATGTGGGCTGACTCATCAGATCTGGGTCCTTTAGTCCTTCGGGCTGTTTTTATAGATGCACGCTTATGTCAGACAAACAGAGCAGAGGACAGAGACAGTGATGCCACCTATACCTTAATCTTTGTCAAAAAAGAAAACTAGACTCTGTAGAAAAATAAGAATACACTGTTCTGGGTTATGAATAATAGTTCAGTGAGAATAAGCCTGTTAATATTTTTCTCTTTACATTCATTTTTAGGAACTTCTCACAGTAGGTTAAATGTTGGTCTGTGTTCAATGTCTTTGTCTCTTCCAGCACTTTTTGCAGTGTAGTCCAAGAGAGTTGAAAAGATCACCCAACTTTTGGTGCCCTTGGTTTGTTTTTGTTGTCCTGTGATCGAAATATTGTTTGATTTTTACTGAAATCATAGCTGAGTTTAAAATCTTGAAATTATGAAAACCTTATTTTAAGATTTCTTCACAGTGGTGGAGCTCTAAATACTTATCTTACCATCCTAAAACTCTACTTTAAGAGGCACATGCAACATTTATGTGTGCTGCAGACAAAGAGAAGAAGACACTGTGTTTTTAGTTTATCAGGAAAATTATGGCAGAATTAGAAATAGCTGGAAAATAAAAGATCCTTGACTGATGTAGACTTTAACAGACATGTCTAAATGAACTAGTCTAAAGTTAAACTTTTGTTGTAGAGGGATCAAAATCATATAATTTTGTTCTCATTCTGAGTCAAAGATGGACTTGTGGTATTGTTACAACCTGAATCAGATCTCAGTGTGCCTCACTGTGCCTATGGAGTGTTTCCAGCTGTGCTTAAACCTGTCCTGATTGGTTCTTTTAGGTCACATGTTAACAGCAGGTGTAAACAGAGTGTTGTTTTGCTGTGAGGTTGTAGGGAAATAAAGATGTGTGGAGCATAAAGTTTGTCAGTTTGATTCTTTCCAACACAAACGAAAGCGGCCTGAATCTGTCTGTTAGCTTTGTGGTGCTAAACATCAGATCAGAGGGGTCACAGTGACAGATCATGTGTTTAATTAAAGAAGTGTGGGTCTAATCTGAGCATGTGTTTGCAGAGCTCAGACATGACATCCACCATCACTGTTAAAACAAGAAAATTCTCTCTGGGAAATTTGGAAAGGGACATTGGGGCTACTGCCGGAGTTTGTAAATTAAGATGAGATTCTTCAGGGATTTCAAATAATTAATACCATTAGCATTGTGATATTATATACAAGGAGCTAACCTACAAACAAACATCCCTTTTCAAGTTTTTATTTATACCACAGAAAAATAAATGGAGTCCGAGCAGAAGACATTTAAAAAACTCCAATAACAGTTTTTTTTTTCTTTATTTTGGCTTGTCCCATTGACTTCAATGCAAAGTTTTTCGATCCCGATCAAACCACACGCTTTGGTGTATAATTTGTCCTACAATTCTTCAAGTTGTATGAGAGCCCATTACTGCTGTTTCTTTTAGAACTGATTTAAAGGTTTCACTCATCACTTTTGAAGCACTTCATGGTCTGGCCTCAGAATACATATCAGACCTGTTAGTTCTGTCATTAGTCTTACTATGAGAAGTTTAATTCAGTGGGATTTTAGTTGGACTATGAGTATTTTAGAGTCAATTAAGAGTGAATTAATCCTACCAGGCAACAACTCTTACACTGCACGTTCCATCTATTTCCATCCTTTATACTTTTGATGAGAACATTTTTTATCACCTCTTGATAGTAAAAATAAATACATCAATGTATCTTTCATTTTTTATGCCCAATTTATTAAGTATGTCTTTTGGTGTGATTCACTCCTCTGAGGATCTACGGGTCATCTTGCCTGAAGAAAGCCCTCACTCCTCTCCTCTCTTCCACCTGTCTTTCATCTCAAGAAAAAAAGTATAAAGTTTCAGCAGATTGATCAAAATAGTCTTAACTTAATTATGGTTTGTCGTAACAAACTAACCAGTATTTTCTTCAGCCACATGATGAACCTCTGGAGTCTGAAACGTTAGATCAGGAAATTTAAGTTATCAACACTTTTATACCTCTACGCTGAGTTCAAACTGAGATCAGATCTTATGTCACCTCCACTTCTTCCTCTGTCGATCGCTGATGTTGTTCCCAGTGGTATGCAGCTCCCAGTCTGTCCCCCATCATGTCCAGTGTGATATTGAGGACTGTCTTTCTCGCTACGTGGAAACTCTCGTCAAAGTCCAGCAGAAAGAAGCTTTTGGAGCGCTCTGTGAATCTTTTATAAACTGCCGTGACCATGTTTTTGCTCTCTGATGTGCAGAAGTGCTGCAGACGATCTCTAAAGAAGAAAGAGTTTAAACAGAAACAGGATGCTGCTGCATCTGCCAACAGTCGGCCAATCAGAGTACAGGAAGATTCAATCCTGAGTTTCAGATCTGAGTCTTTGATCTTGATGTTTGCCCGGCTTGGGGGGTCTGTGACCTCCACATGGAGATGTGTTTTACTCAGAAGGATGTCCAGAGCTGTCTGCACCACCTGAGGAGCTAAAGGCCGGGTCTTTCTCTGCAACTCTGATACTAGCCCTGGTTTGTAGCGTGTTCCAGTGTCGGGGCAGACAAAGAAGTCGGGCAACTTGCTGGACAGCTGGAGGAGGCAGTTTCGAACCTCCTGCTCTGCTTTGGAGCGGATGATTGGCAGATACATTTGAAGGCCCTCCAGTGTTACCTTCATAAAGACAAAAAAGGGAGGAAAAGAAGGAGAGAAGTGAGTGACTAAAAGATGTAAGGGTCTATGTCCACTAACAGCATATCTTGTGCTGGCAGCACCCACAGTTTCAGAGCATTTCTCATTCTGTTGACTGACTGATTACTGTCGTTAGGGTACGAAAGTCATCTTACAGCAGTTCTTCTCTTGGGTTGTGACTGTTCAAGGTCCTTTCACACCGGGACCATTTTTGTCGTGCGATTATTTCAGACGTCAATATGTTTCTTTGAACACGTATCCTGTCAATTCAAGCATTCACATCAGCGACGTTTTCCCATCCTGCGATATTGCGGCATTTATTTTTTCGGCTCACTGTTGTTTTTTTAAAGTTTCGCATACTGTGTGTCTTCACTTCTGACCAATCTGATTGCGTGTTGTTGCGACGTCAGATTCACCGGTATATCCAACATGGCCGACCGGCTGATTGTTTACGTGTCAGAGAACAGAGTGCTTTTTGATAAAAGACACAAATATTACAAAGATAACGACCTGAAGGACAGTTCGCTAAACGTCTTTGTTTGAACTTTCATCTGTGCAAACATATGCTAACGGTTGTTACCATAGTTTCATGGGCTTATCTTATCGCCTCTGATTGGCTATAAGTGCTGACCGTTTTGCTTGAGCATGTAATGATGTTTCCAGTTTTTCAAGTCAATCAGACGTGAAGGAGGTGGGACTTTCTGGGGCAAAAGTCTTCCCCAGGATGCGTCTTTTTTCCCCCCGGAAAGTCACAAAATCGCATCGGGCTTGATGTGTATAGTCAGGCGCGTCAAAATTTGCCTCCGAATATTTCGTGATTTCACGTTCTATATTTGCGGTGGCCCTGGTGTGTAAGAATCTTATCTCTGTTTAAATTTGTTCTGCATGCTTAGTAATTTTTTTAGTTTAAGGTAATTTTGCTAAAGAAATGTAAAATCAAGGGAAAATAATCTTTTTTAGGCAAGATCAGCAGGTCTTCGTCTGGAAAAATATAACCCTCAAAAGATGAGTCTTGTTAGTTTCTGCTTTGCCATTTTTGTTGATAAAGTTTATATCAGAAGCCCCGCCCCTTCTTGATTTTGATTGGTCAGTTAGGGAGAAGAGATATTGATGAGTACAGCAGTGAGAGAAACAGTTTATGCCACAAGTGTTCTTGCATTTACAACTCTGAGCTCCGAACAAAAAAAGCTGCACTGGTTTGTTTAGAAAATACACATGCCTGGTGAAAAAAAAAAAAAAAAAAAAAATGCTGTCAGTGGAAACAGGCCCTAAAATGTAAGATTTGATATGTACCTTCCTTCCGAGCAGCTGTGAGAGACGTTTCTCTGTCTTCAAGTCCACCACAATCTCCCACTCCATCTGATCGACACAGAACTTCCTCGCTGAGCTCCAGGCCTGCACACAGAGACCAGGACTGATCAACAGGGACAGGTAACGTTTTATTTTACAGACCTGTATCTTACTATCAGTGTCAGAGTGGCTGACTGTGAACTCATCCTCTGTATAGCTCAGTTTCAAGCTTGGTATAGCTAAGTTTGTACACCTCTTTAACTTTTTGTAAGCTGTTCTAAAACACCTAGAGCAAAATCCTTTTATCACTTATCTATTACTTCATTTAGTTTTACTTTTATGATGTGTGAATCAGTCAGTTTGTTGTGTTTACCTGTTCAGCCAAGTGTAGCTCTCTTGCCTGCATTCTTTTTGCCATTTCTTGGGACCTGCGATGAGAAAAAGAAATTCTTGTGATTTATTGTCTCATTTATGCATTTATTAAGTGTGATCTTTTCCCTCAGTATCAAACTCACTCATCGATGAAGCTCCTTCCTCTCAGCACCCTCTGCTTCATGTCTTCAATACTCAAACAATCAGGAACTTTATCCTCTAGCTTCAAGAGGACAAACTGCCTCAGGAGCATTTTCTGCAGGGCACATTCAGATTAAAGTGTGAATAATATTTTTGTACACGTATGTGCATTTATAAGAATGCCCACAGTGACAGACTGACCTCTGCTCTGTAGCAATGCTGCTCTCTCTCAGAGAAAGTCGGTGGTCTCATATGTGAAAACTGGTCAAGCATTAAGCCAGAGTTCATGTTGAACTAAGATGAAACTCCTGAAGAATGACAGGAACCAAGCATTAACATCAACTTGATCCAAAAACAGACTTTCAACAATCACCAGCGCTCTACCGTACTACATATTTTGTCCACAAGGGGGCATCAAAATCCACACAAACTAAAATATTCTACTTGTCGCTTTAAATTGACTTGCTGAAACAGTAATGATGACATTGTTACGTACCTGAAGTAAAAAGAGAAAGTTGGAGGAGTTGCCAATAAAAAAGAAGTGCAGTCAAACGGTTGGAAAGCTGACTTTTTAAGGAAGAACAGAGGAAGAAACTCTGGAGCTCCTCAGGGTGGCAGTTGGTGTGTGAATGAATAAGAGAGCTTCATCTGCATTACTTGGATAAGTCTCCATGGAGACCAAACAAAAACAAGACAATAAAACAAAACAAAAATTAGTTAGGACAAATAAAAATGGTTAAGACTTAACACTGTGTTTCTGTGTCATGTAAACCAAAGAATTAGCATTAAAGTTGGAAATAAATGAGAATTTTGTTGCTAGGAAACACGGATGCCAAGTGATTGTTTACTTCACTTTCTCCGTGAAATGCTGAAATTAAACCATTTTATGTGCCGAGGAACAAAAGACAAGCTCATAAAGTTAATGACCTAGACAAACCCTTACTACAGCTCCTTTAGATCCCTTGAAACTATGCTGTCCAAGCTGTCAACTGAGCTGGTTAACATGACACTGGTTTATCCCAAGGTTTCTGCCTTTCTCCTCACTCCTGCTGCTAAACCTGCATACATAGTAGGTTAGTATTGCGTCTAAACTATAACAAAGAATTTGGTCCTGACCTTTAAAAGCATCTTGAGGTAAATTTAGACAATAGAGATTGGAGTTATGTTTTACATGAACATATTAACCAAAAAAAGATTTTTTTCTCAAAGCTTAAGCAGAGAAAAAAGCCTAATGTTGTGATGCTACTGGTTGTAACGTCAACATCAAAATGAGCTGGGTTCATTTCAGTAGGTGAGCATTAAGATTTTTTTATTGCTTGACTGTAGAGCAGAGAAAAAGGAAGTAGAACTGTAGGCTTCTGTTTCTGTGCAGGCTGTTATCGTCTCTGTAAACATCAGTAAACTGTGATGTTTGGTAACTGAGCTTTAGAGAAATGAGGAACTATCAAAGTGAGGAAGGTTACATAATATGATCGTGTTAAAATATGAGGCTATTTTGAGGCTCAAAGATATTTGTTTAAAACTGATTTCAATTTGAACTTTCACTAAATAAAGCAGCCTTAAATGTAATTGTGATTGTTGCCTTCAATCTTCATTCCCACCGCTGAAGTCCTACTACAATGTGAAGAACAACGGACCCAATGTGGAAACAGATCAAAGAAAAAAAAATGCACAAAGTTAAAGAAATAAAAACAAAGTAAGATACAGTAAAACAGGGTTAAAGTTTTAAAAACGAAAAAATGAGTAGACATAGTCTTTTTAAAGAGCGCTTCAACGAGCAAGAAGTGAAGCGCTGAAGCGGAGCTGTGTATTGCCACAAGTTTCTGTGACAATAGACAATGTTTCCGGTCAAGTTTTTCAAAATAAGAGTTCAAGCATTAAAATATGAGAAAAGGAAAGAAAGAGAAAATTTTGAGGTTAGCTGATTATACTTTACTATTGTCAGAAATTTGGAAGAAAATTGTATTCACAATATTTGGGCTATGATAAAATGGCTATACCTATCAGACGATTAATTTGCTCAGTGAAAATGTTGGATTGATGTCATGATGGTCTCAATAAATACCTTAAGTAGGGTGACCATATTCTGAATCCCCAAAAAGAGGACACAGGGCTGAGTTGTGCGCACACATGCAACATTTTGAGTGTTTTTACACACTTCTAACTCAGTTAAACGCATAATCTGAATCCCCAAAATGACACTTAAGCAGGCCTCCTTGAAAAAAAACGGTGACGTTATCTCATCTTTTTATTTTTTTGCAAAACATTGGACATTTGAAGGATTATTTTAATTCTCCCCAGACAGGCTGGACAGCCCCCCAAAAGAGGACATGTCCAAGTAAAAGAAGGTGTATAGTCATCCTATCTTAAGTCTTCTTTGTAAGCACAGTGTGGGAATTACTTTATTATTTATTGTCCCATTTAAAGCAAAAGAGACAAAAGAAGGGCAAAACTTTGATAGCATTTTCCCAGGATCGAAAGTTGTGACCATGGCAATGAAAGCTATTTCCTTATCAAGCTTTATGCCAAACTGAAAGACAACCTGAGGAGTTATTGCTTAGTTTTCAAGTTAGAACCTTTATGCCTCTTTATGCCTCCAGTTTAAAAATGAAATAAAGATATATTTCAAGACACTAACTGGAATAATCAATAAAAAAGTGATTTTAACTATGACTTTTTACAAAGCCTTGAGGTCCTCTCTATCTGAACTGAATGTATGATCCTAATGTCATAATTTTTATTATAACATGTATTTTTGTATGCCGGACTATGATTTTTTTGTTTTTTCTTTTCTTTTCATTTTTTTCCCCCTGCAAAGTCTTGATTTCTCTTAAACGAATGTAGCTATCTCATTTCAATAATGTGTATTGTCATTGTCATTGCTGACGAATTGAAATAAAGGTTTGGAAAAACAAAAAAAAATCAGAATTGCGATAATGTTCTGTAATGTTCTGTTCGATGTACTCGATTTGAGCGTGTGATGACGTTTTATAGCAATCAGAGGCAAGGGAGATGGGACCCTCCCCTACCATCCTATGAAAAAGAATCCTGACCGGAGCGTTATCACAGCGACTCTCGTTGACTCTCCCGCCGAATGCGTACAATGCTACTGCGCAAGTGGTGGAGTGCGTACAACGCTACTGCGCAATGTTGGCCCCAGGAAATGGAAAAAAACGTGAATTACTGAGAGCTTTTTGGCTTCAAATCAGTTTACTGGTGGAAGGCAGAACCAAGTTGTCCATAGTATATGAAGTTTATGGCTGTGTCCCAAATGGATCCCTAACCCCTATATAGGTGACTATATGGGGGTTAGCGCCATTTTAAAGGGGTGTCCGAAACCTGAGTGATCAATTCTAATGCCCCATATAGGCAACTCAAAATGCCAATAGAGCATTGCAAAATGTAGTGACCATCCGATGGTCACTCACTGGTGACCATCCCGTCATGCCATGTAGTGTTCGAAACCTCCAGGGATTGAGCTCACTACATAGTCAGCTACATAGTGAAATCCCATAAGGGGTTTAGGAGTTAGGGATTTAGTGATTAATTTCGGACACAGCTTATATTTCAGTATCAATGTGCTTCAGTGGCGGCTGCTGGTCTTCCAAGGAGGGGAAGCTCATTTTTCTGGCCTACATCATAATTGTATTTGTTTATTAGTATGTAACAGAACAGAGTCGCCAAACACAACGGCAGTCATTTTTAACAAAGACAAGAGTCGCTGAGGATCGGTAAGGTCTCCGGAGCAGTTAAGAACAACGGAATGAATAACTCGGAAAATGCTCTGGTAGATGTTTTATTCTTCAAGATCGCTGATTCGCTTGTTTAGCTGTCAATCAAAAAAGGATTTCGCCTCAGACAGCTCATCCAATCATGGATGCAGAAGCTTGGAGTCCGGGAGAAAGTCGGGACCGCCCTCTCGCCATAGAACTCCAGTGAAGCTGGGCTTCCGATGGGCGGGACAAAGCCCAGCATTTATCCAATGAGCGTCTAGTTTCGCTGCTGGAACAACCCACTTTAAGCTTCCACATTGAAGTCAGCAGAAGCCCAGCGTCCGGCTGTTTAAAGCGCTGAGGCGCTGCGAGGATGAATGAGAACGAAGTTATGCCGGTTACCTGTGATCATCAGCTTCTTATCACAGTGTCTGAACAAAAGATGAAGGCTTTCTAGTGCGTATTTAGTTAATGAAATGTACACACAGCAGTACGTATTTCACCACTTTTTCTTTTTTTGGGGGGGTGACATTTTAAGGGAAGCCGAGCTTCCCTTGCAGTCTTAGAGCAATCGCCACTGATGTGCTTTGACTGTTTTCCATAGACTGCGTGTTATTTTTCCATATAGTCTAAAAGTGATATTTTATTTTGAAGTAAGCAGTATTCCATTTCCGGTTCCTCGCCCTCACTCTGTGTAACTTGACTCCTCTCTCGTATCTTCAGACGGAGGAGATTTTAATCAGTCTATGGTGAAACAGGAGGGCAGGAGGAGCAGAGCGGACAGCAGGAGGAGAACCTGTTCACCAACTTCAAACAACTTCGTTTCTCTGAGCATCAGGAGACACGCACTCTCTGGATTTTAACTCACACGTGTTTTTAAAAGTTTTGACTTTTCTTCACGAGGAGCGCTTTGGACTATTTTCATCTTTGCCATCCTCAAAAAAAGTTGGGCTGGAGATGTCCGGGTCTTTCTGCAAGAGTCTGTACTCGTTCAGCGGGGAGCAGCACCAGCAGGGTCTGAGCTTCCAGGCCGGGGAGGTCATCAAGGTGGTCCAAGCTCTGCCCGGAGGCTGGTGGGAAGGCGAGAGGGACGGGGAGAGGGGCTGGTTCCCCTCCAGCTACGTCCAAGTTCTGGAGGTAAGGACACAGAATCCATCGTCTCATTTTGTTTACATGTCTAACCCTGAGTGGATGTAACTTTTTAGTGCTTTTTAGTGCACCTTTGACTTTCTGTTGCGTAAAAAACTCCCAGAAACACACATTCAGAGTGACCTGGGTGAAGACACCCACTGACACACACTCTCGTGGATAAAGGCAGCATTGACAGATGCTCTAATGAATAGTTTTCCCGTGCTGTGGTGGTTATCAGATTAACTCTCACCCCTCTGCCTCACTGACCGGCTGCACACTTCCTCATTCCACGCGCACATTCCTGTCATACTCTCAGGTCTCCTCTCTCTGTGCGCGTGAATGCTCAGAGTAGCACGCTCTCCTCCCTGCACACCCAACACACCCCCTCCATTCCCCTTTGCAGTCCTCCTTCTGCTGCTGTGACTAAAACACCCCACCACTTTCTGAACGTGTTTTTCTAGCTTAAATGACTGAATTTTGAATGAGGTTTGGTTTGTGTCTAGCAAGGACTGTCTTTACCACTCAGCTCTGTCCTCACTAGGGCTGGGCGATATGGGAAAAAGTTAATCACGACATATTTTTTTTTGGATGTATGTCAAGGTACAAAAAAAATTAACAATGCTTATCAAGTGTAGTAGCGCCAACGTCAGCACGGGGGGCCTGGTGCGTGACATGCCAGCGCGGCCATTTTGACAGACATAACAACACTAAGCGCATTGGAGTGAATGTAATTAGGATGACGTTTGGTTCTAAAAACCAACTATTTATTAGCTGACTACACAGTAATGGAGAACGGAATGGAGAGAGCAAAACTCTCCATTCCGTTTAGCGGTGGTAGCATCTCAAAATCATCTTCTGACCGTACAGTGTGTTCATATGGGTCGAGTCCAGCAATGTCCGCAATTTTGCTTAGGTTACGCTCTCTTCCTTCATTGTTCAGTTTGTCCCTGTACGGTATGTTGAGTCCAAGTTTTGCTCTCTCCATCCCGTTCTCTGTTACTGTGTAGTCAGCTAATAAATAGTTGTTTTTTAAAACCTAATGTCATTCTAATTTCCTTCATTACAATACGCTTAGTGTTGTTATGTCTGTCAAAATGGCTGCGCTTGCACGTCACACACCGAGCCCCCTGTGCTGATGTCGGCGCTGCTACACTTTATTGGTAGCATGTCTTTTGCAATACAATAAGCTACTGCATCCGTGAGGTCTTTGTGTCTCTTTGTTGTTTGTGTCTCTTTTGTCAAAAGGCGTTGCGCTAGAGAAAGCAAACTGAATGGTCGGCTGTTTCAGCTGCACAGGTGCCATGGGCTCCTTGCTCTGCTTGGGGTTTGTAACCCTTTGCATTGCGCGTGCTCTGACGTATGATACTGCTTTTAGTTGGTGAAAAAGATTTGAGGTATTCCTCGACTTTGCAAGAACATGTACTCGACAAAATTTGCAGTGCACATTACTCTCCTTCATGTCTGACTTAAAAAAAATATATGTTCACCACCGTGGTTTTCATGTCAGTGTTGTCAACGATGTCATCATCTTTTGAGCCTTCATCTGCATTTCTGTCAGGGGTAGCACTACTTTTCGTTTTTTTTCTCACCGACAGTGCTGTCAGCTTCATGTGGTGAAGTGCTATGGTTGCGTGTAACAGCAGCTTGCTACTACGCAGTTGTTTGCTACTTGGTTCTAAGTCAGCACGATTGGTTCAGCGTGAAGCGGACCCAGAGCAACTTCCCTTTTCATTGGTTATTTGTAGTCTACCAAAACATGGCAGAATGCTGTCAATTGAAAAACATATTGACCATGTTTTTTATTGATATCGTGGCAAATTAGTTTTCGATAGATATCGTTATCATTTTATCGCCCAGCCCTAGTCCTCACTGCTGCTGTTTGTATCAAGTCCATAATCTAAATGTGAGGACGTATTAATTTGTCAGCAAAAAAGAACCTCCTGAGTCCAGTCTGGATCTGATAGGATCACTAAAACCTGAAGCACATCTCTTATCTTCTTGCAGAGCAGTTTGAGGAATGCAGTGGGCGGGTGGGGCGGCAGGGTGGTGCAGCTTGGAGGCTGTTTTTTAGTGGAAGAGCTGTCAGTTTCAGGGAGCATGCATCCTGCAGAGAATTTTGAGGGACTTTGAAAGAAGCTGTAATCTTGAACTGTAGCCTGTCTGCAGGGAGCCAGATAAACTGTGCTTCTATTTCAGAAAGCAGCTATTTATTCAATAATTTATGTCTTTTTACCCACCTTGTTTCTGAACCTTTGTGCAGACAGTAAGCTAAGGTCCTGGGACTAAAAACTCTTCCAGAGGACATAAAAGAAGCAGCCCTAAAACATGCTTGTTAATGAGAATATGACAAGGAGGACCATGGTACACATTCAGACAGCAAACAGTGGCGTGTGACAGCTTTGAAATTAGTAAGGAGCCTCGCATGTAGACACAGAGAAGGGGTGTGCATGGACAAAACATCCCCACTGTCCAACACAATCATAAAAGTGGCGGCAACCAGTCTCTTTATGGGTTCAGAAACAGGGTTTGAATCAGAAATAAATCTTTTTCCTCTCACCAGCTGCTCAGTGTGAGATTTAAAAGAGAGATTCAACAAATGAAATACCAGAATATGTGAAAAGGTAGACAAACTCAGTCTGTGTGCTCTGAGAAGTGGAGAATAAAGGCTGATTTGATGGCTTAGATTTTGCATTCAACCGTGTTTAAAACATGTTTTTAACCATTAAAGTGTTAAAAGACTAGTCTGGAGTAGATGCAGAGCGGTGTATTGCAGTATCATCAACGTAAAAATGTATGTTCTCAGCATTTCAATGAATATTACTGATATGAATAAAAAGTAGTGGTCCAAGGACTGACCCCTGAGGCACTCCTTTGATTTTTTTCAAGTGAGATTGAAGTGTAGCCCACTGCCTGTACTCACACTCACTGTGCTCTTCCTACAGGTAGTCAACAGTTTACTGCACTCATTTATCGTTCAGCTCAAGCCTTATCACCAATGGTATTTCAGTCATTTTTTACAGCTGTGGCACTTATTTCAGAGCTTTCAAAGGCTTATTATTTTGTGCAATTAATGGCTGAATTTCAGTATTATTCAGAGTTAATCACATTTTCTATTGCATGTTTAATAATTTAGTTTGCATTTGAAAACAGATTTTAGTTCATAGTAATTGTGTGAAGTCATTCTACTTTTGAGGGTTTTTAGGCTCTTAATTTGAGAGGATGGGACAGTGAAGAGAGCTGGATATACACAGAGCAAACACTTAGACCTCACAGCCAAGTTCGTATTTGCAGTCTGCTGCCATATTGAAAGTTGAAGAGGTCTTTGCATCAGAGTACTGTGTCCTGGACTGCTCTGTTTTCAAAGTATAATGCTATATGCGTGTTGGTTACTGGTGCTGAACTCTACAGGTGAAAAGTGACACTCTAGATGTACCTTCATCTTCATATTTCGAAGTGATGAACTGATTCAATAAGTTTTACAAGGTGTGATCTACAGCCTTGTTATCCAGGTAATTTGAAAAGTTGTTGCATCTGGGATAACTGAGAAACTTGTCAAAGGTCAAGTAGGGCTGGGCGATAAATTATTGTTCACGATATATCGTCAGAAAAATCCTCCATGATAAATATTTGCCATCTCATGATAAATACGATAAATGCAAGTTTACGGCCTGATGTTTACAAGTTGTGCTCTTTTGCAGTAGAGAGTAGGACATGGTCCCCAGAGACACTCTAGTTTCTCTCCCTTTCTTAGTTGTCATTTACAGACCTTTTCATTCAGTGCCTCCTGCAGGACAGGAGCATCAGTGTTGCAGCAGCTTGATTAGCAGGGTTTTCTTTTCTCTGTTTTGGCATTGTGCATTATATTTGCCTATTATTTATTTAAAGGTTGAGGCGTTTCTTTCAGATTTTGCCTGTGGTTGTTGATTTGCAGAGTGTTTCTGTCTTTGCTTTTGTTTTGAACTTTTGTAGATTTCTGAATTGGCTTTGTGAAGCATTTCTCTTCTTAAAAAATCATGTGGGCCAATATGGAACCAATATAAGGACATCTAGTATTCATGTGACATCATGAAGTGGTATTATACTGTAGCTGTGAAGAGAATCTGACAATGTACACAATCCTAATTGAAGCTTTTCTATTTAAGAGCCTGCCTTAAGCACATACCCAGTTGGACCCTAACTGAACATGTTGATTGGAGGAAGCAGTTACAAGGGTGAAAATTTATACCCACTTTATTAGAGAGAAGCATCTTCAATCAGAGTCATTGATGATAAAAATATCTTTGTTTGCAGCCTTGAAGGACAGCACAAACAAAAGATGACAGAGAACGTGTGTGTGTGCGTGCGTGTGCATGTGCATACGTGCGTGTGAGGGCGGGAGTTTTGTCTTCTTTGTATAACCCTGTCAGTCCCTTAGCTGGTGCATCACACTCTTTATAAAACACTGATGTTTAGATAAAGGCTCAGCCCTGAAGCTAGGCTAATTTAAGCTCCAAACAACAGTCTTATCTGATGCTGATTCTCTTCAGTTTGTGGGTAAACTGTGTGTGTGTGTGTGTGTGTGTGTGTGTGTGTGTGTGTGTGTGTGTGTGTGTGTGTGTGTGTCTGTGGTCTGCCGCTCGTGTCGGATGTTTGTGGTGTTGTGTGTTGAGATTCTTACCACCAACCCTCCTTCCTGCCACTCAGCTCTGTTCTCTGCAGAGCGAAACCAACTAAAAATAACCAGAAGAGATGAGCAAAATCAACCTGTGGGGAGAGGGGGAAGACTGGTTTATTTCATCTGGGCTTTACCTGCTAAAACACACAAACAGGGGGAAAGATTCTCCTCCATTAATATGTAAATGATGCGTTTCAGTTCCTCCAGTTTTACTCAGATTATTGTAATGATTGGTTTTTACCCTCACTATTCAGACAGAAAACAAAGCTGACTTGTTTTCTTCGCCCTTTAACTTACAAATGAATTCAATCTTTACTCATTTGAGAGAACTCTGCAGAAAAAAAAAGCTTTTTAATAACTGTGATGCCAGCTTTTGGAGTGCAGTTCATAGTGCCTCATATATCCCATAAAGCTTTAGAAGACTATGGTAGTGTTGGAAGCTGTGCTCTTTGTTTTGTTTTCTGTATTAAAGGTTTGTTGAAGGATGTTACACACATTGATCAGAACATGTTCTGAACCCATGTCTGTTTTTTTTTTTTTGTTTTTTTTTCTTCAACCATGAGCGAACAAAGTCTCTACTACAGCAGGATTAAAGCTCTCAGCAGTCAGAGTCTCATTTCGGATCAGTATAAACAAAAGAGAATCAAATTCTGGTTTGTGGACTTCTGCAGGTGTATTTTTGACCTGGTGCTGACAAAGATCCAAACATTACTGAATGTTTCATCTGTTTGTCCTCTTTTAAAGAGTAAGGGATACATCATCCTCCTAACTGGTGTGCGATGCAATCATTATATCCCTGGTGCCAAATACCTTTGTTTTAATTTAAGAATATTACAGCTGTTGAGATTTCATCTTTCACTCTGTCTTTCTTTGTTTTTTTTTTTGTTCTTCTGTCAAGCAGATACTGTATCATGTTACAACACTACATCTGGTATTATCTGTAGGACAATCAATTGTTGTATGGTATTGTGGGTTACCCTGAGATTATCATGTATTCTGCTGTTTACCATCCTGTTGATTTGCCTTTTTACAAATAACTTCACTGGTTGATAAAAAACGATAACAGGCTTTGTTTTTTCTGATCATTTGGATGAAAGATATTGAAAAACTACTTGGTATATTCTGGACTACACATAATGAAACACTAGATTTCCCCCTGGCTTTCCTTGAGTGTGTCATCTGTGGGTCGTAGTGACGTGCTGTGGTCGGGTGGCATAGTGAAATGACTGATGTTGAAACAGAAAACACTTCACTCTTTCCTCTTTCTGGTAGTTACTTTAGAATCACTGTTTCTCGGTATGGCAATCTACAGGGTGCAGTGACTCGGTTTTCCTCTCTCTAATAAAGGTGAACGATCATAGACCCGTGCTGCTGTTCCTCCATCACCTCTCAGAGATTTGTCCAGCTGGTACAGAGAACAATGCAGCTCAGATCTGCCTCTGTTGTCATCCCCAGTGTTGTGTTTTGTTCTACAAATGGCTTCTTTCTTCCACACAGTGTGAGTCATTCAGGACCTGCTGCTGCCTGGTGCTTTACACACTTATCAAGAACAAAGCTTTATTCTCAGACACTAATGGATGAATTTATAGTCACAAAATTCACATGTATGTTGCTCAGACTGAAGGAGAAAAAGTTTTAGTCTCCTAAATTTATCTGGTAAAATAGGAAGTTTGTTGTGGTTGATATTAACTAATGCAGGCACACACAGTTTGATATCATCTGCCAATTCTCCAACCTTAAAACACATCTTCTATGCAATAGTTAAATTTTCTCTTTGGCCCAGGAAGGAATTTTGTGCGTTACGACCTTTTTTTATAGTCTTACATAAAAGTGGACTTAACCAAAATAACATCACCTATCGGTTTGATCCAGTGATTTCTATTTTTCATAATTTGCAGTGTTGCCATCGCCATCTTGGTTTTTGGAAGCCAGAAGTGACCATTTATAGAGATGAGGGCCAAACAAATGCTAAGTTATCAAGTCTACGCAGTCTCATATCAGGTTAATCCATTAGCTGGTTAATTAACCTGTAAATTGAACCTTAATTAGTTTCTTTTCCGTGTCGCAGCAGACTAGAGTTGTCTATTTACTGCACTACAGAAGCTCACTTAAATTGTTATTACCATTGAAACAGATCAGTTTTACGAAAAAGCAGCTTCCAGATGACATAGCAAGAGGAAGAAGCTTGTTTTGTTTTTACCAGGCTGTTAATTTGTTCATTTCTGCTGTTGGGTTGAACATTTTAACATGGGGATCTATGGGGACTGTCTTACTTTTGGAGGCAGCCTCTAGTGGGCACAAGATGAACTGCAGTTTGGAGCATTTCATAGTGGGTGCATTTTTAAGCTGTTGCTTGGTTAATATACGTTTAGACTTTGGAGGAGCTAGCCATTCCACCTTAGCCGTAAGTATGTGTAGCTGTGCTCACTGCTCTCGATTTTGAGCTTATATTCAGTAAAACTATGGACTCAATCTTATCATCTAAAACCCAAACAGAAAGCAAATAATTATAATAATACTAATACATACAACCTGATTTGAAGCTTCAAAAATGTAGATGAAGCCACAGAGTGTAAACCCCAAAAATGGTAGTCCCTCGTGTGTCCACTAGAGGCTGTCTCCAAAAGTGAGTCAACCACCATAGGACCTAATGTTAAAATGTCTAACTTTACAGCAGGATTACACATGTTTACAGCCTGGTTCAAAAACAGTTCTGGTTTCTATATAAATCTCCATTCAATGCAAACTCAATTTTTTTATTAATGACAATTTAAACAAGATACATTAAAGATATGTATAATCAAAGGTGTGGCTCTTTGCCTGTGTCTCTGAAATGGTAAAAGGGAAAAATGGTCGTCATGACGTCTCTACCGAAACAAGTGGGTGACGTCAAAGGGATTATGTTCATGTTTCATATGAGCAGGAATATATTTTTGAAAATATCGGATGATAGCAGGTGTGTGTATTATCTCTCAGTGTGTCTCCCAAGTTCAAAATAAGAGACAGAACACTGTGACCTCTTTTCTTAATGGACAGCTGATACAAGAAGTCAGGTGTGCAGAGACCTGACAGTTTCTGTTTTCTCCTCTGGTAGAAAATCCTGTTCGGGATGAGACGATGACAAGCAGCAGAACACCATGACTCATAAAAACAGCGAGTGTTTGGCTCTTTAGCACTCTCTGTTCCTCTAATGAGAGGAAATGAGGAGAAAATTCTGAGAACAAAAGCAGCAGCTGAAAACCTTCGCCGATGACTCCTTTCCTCCAGTTTCTGACTGATGACTTGATGACGTTACCCGGCGAAGCTCAATGGAGGATAAATTGTGCAAAACACTTGAGTGTTTGAATGTTTTTGAGCTTCTATTGACGAATGAGTTTGACTGATTCATTCGTTTATTCACTCATTCAATCAACCTGCGTGCTTGGAGGTAATTCATCATCACCTCCCGTTGTGTTCAAAACTGTCATCACTGTTTCAGGGCAGATGTCTGTTGGCGTTATGTAATTCACTGAAGTTTTACCTGCATCACCTCCATTTGTTTTTGCAAATCTCAGGGTCACTTTGGTTTTTCAGAGCCTTTTGGCATCATAAAGTAAAACTAACTCAAAGACGTCAAAACCACAGGACAATGTGTGAGATTGCAAATTGATAAAGCTGATCTCCTGAGCAACAGCATAAAAAAACGTAGGCAACTGGCCTAGTGGTCAAGGTGTGCCCCATGATACCCCTAAAGTAGATGGCCTAGGTTTAGTTTCCTGCTGTTTCCTGCTCTTTACACTGTAATGTCCACTCAAATAAAAGCAAAGAAAAACCTAAAGCAAGTTTAAAAAGAGTTATTAAAACATAACATAGAAGTTACAAAAAAAAATGGATAGAAAATCACAGAAATATGTGATGTCAATGTCAATGTCAGCTTTATTTATATAGCACATTTAAAAACAGCCAGTGGCCTACCAAATTGCTTTACAGTAAAAAATCCAGAGACAGTAAAAACAATAAATACAATATAAGCATAAAACATATAAAAACATAACACTTAATGGGGCACTCACACCAAGCGCGAGTAAAATCATCCACTCGTTTAATTCGTGCAAATCTAGACGCGTGAATGATTAGTATTTACTCGCTTCAGGTAATCCCTGCCAATTCAACCGGCAGGATCAAGTGATAGACAAAGGTTTTTTACAATTTACCAATTGCCTTCAGGTGAACTCCGTTTTATTCCAGTTTCGGGAATTGAAATTAAAGGTATCGTATAATTCAGGGCCCCCCCACACGATCAGTTTGTCCTTCATTTTAGATACCAGTGAACAACTGTCTGTTTTCATACGTCACCCAGCAACTTTTGTGCTAACTGGTTATTGCGATGGGAATATCCGCTCAAGTTGAGACATTTTCAGCTCCCGCTCAATCACGTCATTCGCTCTGCACTGGGTAATTTTAAATGGCCTTATGATAACAAAGCTGGCTGGCTGTATGTCTTTTTGAGGTTAACAATCACTGTGACAAGGCCAAAGTAGCCGTAATACAGAATCACAAACACATAAAATGACACAAACAACCCTCAGAAATAAAAAGACTGAAACCATAACCATCCAGATATATTTGTCAGGGCAAAAGGTCAAAAGTGTTGGCTTAATTCACTAAATTGAATGATAGTAATCAAATTAGGATCAGGATCAAGTGACAGGATTTGTAGTTACAGACATGCCTTTCATAAAAACACTGTGAATACTTGGGTAAATGTCATCTTCCAACCTGTATGTATAAAATGTTGCTTCCATTGATAGCCAATCAGCTCTTAGGGAACTGATGTTACAACTACACAAGGCTAGGAAGCTTTTAATACACCCAGTCTTTATCAGGGAGCTGGTAACACACACAGGGTTATAGCCTTTAACTCAGAGAGCAGTTAAACACTCCTGTTGCTCTGAGGCCATATATGACATCCTCATAAGAGAGCAGGACTCTCCTACAGGTGTTAAAATATCAACGCAGCAGTTAATATGTAATAGAGGTCCTGCAGCTGGGTAGGTAGGGCAGTCTGGAGGGAAAGAGCCTTTAACGCCTTCATAATGATGAAAAGTGCAGACTTTCATACTCTACAGCCAGGTGTGACCTCTCGTTTTTAGAGAGGCCAGTTTGTAAAGTGGAGCCTGGATTATTATAACCACCATCTTTATTGATGAAGTACTTTATGAACTCATATATGTGTATGAATTTACAAGAATAAAACAGAGTACAATTAAAATCAATTGAACTTGTACCAACATGGTCGGCAAAATAACTTAAGTCAATAACCTTAAGTGAAGTCTGGAGAGAATTAAGAGTGGTCAGTAGGTTTGCTTACATCATTTCCCTGAGGCAGTTCTTCACAGAGCTTCTGGACCAGGCCTCCATAAGCCTCCACCCGAGGATCTCAGTGCATACTGGCTCATTTGTGAGTCAAGAGGTCAGAGATGTAACATAAAGAGGGCCATGAGTTAGTCTTTAAGGTCAGCATTGAGACTTTAAAATCATTGCAGAAACATGAAATTCAGGGAAGGAGGCTTATGTGGTCAATGTTTTTGGTTCTGATATATCATGATAGGATACAGGGTGAGGGCCTGTTACCTTAGACCAGTGGTTTTCAAGTCCAGTCCTCGAGGCCCACTGTCCTGCATGTTTTGGATGTTTCCCTGCTCCAACACACCTGATTCAAATAATTAGCTCGTTATTCAGCCATTACAGAGCTTGATAACGAGCTGATCATTTGAATCAGGTGTGTTGGAGCAGGAAACCATCCAAAACATGCTCGAGGACTGGACTTGAGAACCACTGCCTTAGACTGTATATACTATGGACAACTTGGTTCCGCCTTCCGCCAGTACATGGATTTGAAGCCGAGAAGCTCATGGTAATTCCGTGTTTTTTCTCCATTTCCTGAAACCAACATTGCGCAGTAGAGTTGTTCGCACTCCACCACTTGCACAGTAGCATTGTTCGCATTTGGTGGGAGAGTCGCCAAGAGTCGCTGTGATGACGCTTGGCTCAAACAGTGAGCTACGCAATCTTCATTCGCCAACAGGCAAAAATTATATTCTGTGTAATAAATTTCTACAGTTTGTCCACAGCCCCATAAAGGTGGCTGGCAGAGGCAGGATTTATGATCTATACTGTAGCCCTTCACCAGAAGGTGCTGTACTCGGGGTGGTTTCACCCAGCAAGGAGGCAGACGGGGTCCATTCTATATACAGTCTATGCCTGTTACATTAAATCAACACTGGAGTGTAGTTCTTCGATCTTTGCTGATATAAAAACTGGTTTCACTTAACGTATTTTAGAGGATAATGTCATGGTGTCATGATGTCAGTTTAAGTTTGAAATCCTCTGTCAGCTGTCCAGAGTTTAGCAGCAGATGTTGGCAGATTGACCCTGTAATGGTTACCTTGGTTACACCCTGAACTTATTATGTTCATGCGTCTGCATGATCAATGACTGCTGGGTCATTGTGAGTTTATGGTGACGCCATCATAACACAGGAGTAGATGTGCTACCATTACTCTTCTGTGCTCTGGCTGGCATCATCTACGCCTTAACTTTGCAGTGGAAAAATGTCGCTAAGGGACGCTACTGCACTACTGCTTTAGTGAAAAACAGACATTGTAAACTGTAGAGTCTTTGCTGGACCAACATCTTAAATTACTCTAAGCTTTACTGCATTGTAAGGTTTTCATTTCGCAGATCCTGATATGAGGTTGATGCGCTTTCCAGCCAGGTAGTCATGGCGATACAATGCATCCAAAAGGTGCTGCTGTGGGTATCTTTGCTGAAAAAAATCACTACCACCTTATTGGTGTTATTAAATCAGTCATTGCATCTCTCTGGGAGTAATTAACTTCAATAGGTATTTTCAACAAGCTGTTGACATTTGAGACCCTGTTAGTCCCTCTAATGCCTCACCTGGTGGAGTATCGGTTGTGTTTATGATTAAACTACCAAGCAGGAGTGTGTGTATCACTGATGTATTTATGCGGGTGTGGGTGGGGTGGGTTGGGGGGGCTTTCAGCAGAGGTCTGGATGGTGATTCAGCCCGGCATAATCCCTGACGTGGCGCGCGGGGGTCTGACCGCCGCTGTAGAGCCAGGTGCTTCCCCCTTCATGCTGGAAAGCTAACACCACCCTCACTCCCACTCTGATGTCATACCCAAACACAGTCATTTCTTTCCAGGGAGCGTACTCATGTGGAGCTGTGAAATTTCAGCTGAAAAGCACCTTGTTAACCACAGTGTGCTGTTTGTTTTGACACCAGTGAGACACTTTAAAGTTTTCACTTTTATACAAGTGGAGGAAATGTATCTGTGTAGAGATGAAGCCTGACGCAGGGCAAAGTAGAGAAGAGATTCTTTAAATAGGCTTGAGTTATGTTAAAGGAAGTATAATAATAAACCCTTAGAGTAGGTATGATTAATATAAAGAGGTAAATGTGGGGTTATAATGGTGGTAAAACAAACTATTTTGGGTTGTAGTCTTTGGTTGTAGTGGACTCCACTGTAGCTATTTTGAGTTATGGCTTGAACAACATTAGCTCAGTTAAATAGTAATTACAGTTATTTTCAACTAGGGCCTCATTTTCCAGCTTTTTTTCTTCATACCAGTGGAATTTGCCCAAAACCGAGTGAAAACCTCTCAGCGGGGCTCTGTAAGTCTTAATCTGCAGCGATCAGAAGGCTGGGTTATGGTTCAAACCAAAGACTGAAGGAGGTGGTTCGTTTTAAAAGAAGGGCCAGTAGAGAGGTCTTTAAAAATCTGCTTTTTCTCCAGTAGACAGCAGGGGGCAACAGCAGGGGGGGAGTGCTGAAAGAAGAGATTTACTCTGAAATTCAAACTCTTGTTTCCAGCCTTCTTTATGGCAGCATGGTGGTTCATTATGGTCCCATTTAGAGCTCAGTTGGCTCTTACAGATTGTCTTTTCAATAGTGGGGAAATTTACACCCCCCTCCCATGAGTTTGAGTAGAACAGCACATGTTCAGCTCTAGTACAGGGGCTGCAGACAGTGCTGTGAGGACTTTGAAACACGTTTGAGAGCGCCCTCTGCTGGATCAACTACAAAAAAACATGTATTCGGCGAGAGAGTCACTGTGATGACGCTCGGCTCAAACAGCATATCCCCTGGGTGAGCTACGCAATCCCTGAACGCCCATAGGCTGTATCAAGTGTCAATCATAGAAAACATGAACCCCCTAATAACTTTTAAAAATGGAGCTGCACAGAAAAAAGAGGACTTGAGCACAAACCAGTCTTACAGTAACTACATGTCAACATCGCAACCAGGGGGGAGGAAAATTTATATTCTGTGTAATTAATTTCTGAAATTTGTCCACAGCTCCATAGGGATTGCTGGAGGAGGCGGGGTTTATGAGCTATACTGCAGCCGTCACCAGAGGGTGCTGTTCTCACAGTGGCTTCACCCAGGGAGGTGGCAGATGACGTCCATTCTATATGCTGTCTATGTATCTGCCCGATGACACTTAGATGCAGCCCCTCACTTTGAACAAACGGAAAAACTGACCGTAGAATGTAAACATGCACACACTGCAAATGATCAAGGGGTATTTTTAACAAGCAGCAGGACGAGCTGCAATACACTGTGTTCGAATCAGTCTCACTTAGAGGGATATTTCAGTATCTTTTAAGTGAGGTTGTTTCCATTTCTAGTAGACAGGGCTAACTCTGCCAGGCTAATTTTGAGAGACTTTGACTCAAGCAGTCACGAAACCTAACCAGCAGAAAGCCCAAATTTGTGGACGCATCACATGAACATGTTCCTCAATATGCAGTACACTGATCCTCTGTTTGGGTCTGCAGGCTTGAAAGAGACAGAAATAAAAACAAAGTGATTCTGGCAGCCCTGATATCATGCTGAGGAAGAACGGGTGTTAACGCACTGAAGGAAGTAGCAGAGAGACCTCTGTGTGACCTGGAGAGCAGGAGAGAGCCCAAATTACTTGATGTTGCAGGTGTGTAAACTGCAAGCTAATGCCCACGAACTGAAAAAATTACTTCTGAAAATTACATGACTGAGAGTTGGTAACTGCAGCTTAAAGTGTCTGGAAAGTTCATCCAGACATAAAGAGTCCAGTGACGATAAGAGCTCAGACAGGATGGAGATCAGTTTTCAGACTTGGCTTAATAAAGGGGGAGTGTTCCTCGTTCTTAAAAGTCTGTTTCTCTGGCTTGAGAGTTTGATTTAAAAAGGACATTATTGAGTATATTGCATATGTTTAGATGTGATTCATTACCTACAGCAAGCATTTGAAGGGGAAAATCCAGATCATGTCCACCAGCCCCAGCAGTATATACACAGTGTAAACCACTGGCATGTACACTCAGGCATCAGGCTGCATCTGTTTAAAGAGGGGGGCGTGAACTGACTGCAGGAAGCTCACGACCAGCTTGTCTGAAGCTGCAAACTTTCTGTATGAGCCCAGTCTCATACTGGCAGGGTTTGAGCGCAGGATCATTGAGTGGATTTCTTTAGTTCACTGTTGAAATCTCAGTTATATTGACTCAGTGCCTTATCTTATCTTGAAAACATCAGCAGGCCTGTTCAGATTAAAGTGCACACACACTCATCTGCAGGAACACTATGTGTCACACTGGTCCAGTCTCTCGCGTCATGTCGTCCAGAGGAGGCTGCAGAAATTCACATAAACTGGACAAAACAAAACAGGCTCTGTTAGCTGATCGCACAAACACACACTCATGCACACACTGAGAAGACAATAATGACAGTTTGTGTGTGCATGTTCAGTGTATGTGCATGCTTAAACATGCTTGTGCATCCCTTCTCTTCCTCCTCCTCCTCCTCTCTGAGTGTCTGAAGACTCCTCATGTGGGAATGTGGCTTCGCTTCAGGCTCCCACATCTGCCCAAACCAAAACAATGTCTCCCAAATAAAGATACGCTCCACAGCCCCCATCGCTTTCCTTCCTCCTTCCTTTCCTTCCTCTTTCCCGCACTCCTCCTCCTCTTCCTCCTCCTCCTCCTCGGCTGTATCTTGACACATTCCTCTCTCTAGGTCTGGTAGTTAGCGGCCAGGCGGACGTGTGAGAAATGTCTCCCTGTCTGTATTTCTCACATTCAGCCCAAGTGATCTCAGAGGGCTGAGAACTCCGAGCTTCAGACCTCCAGGGAGAGATGTTTAAACTTCACTCTGCTCTGTGGCCGGCTGATGACAGCGGTGATGAAATGTTAATATGCTGCACTTTGGAGTTTGTATGTAAGTTAGTGTCATTGTTTAGTGTGGGTCACTAGAGGAATTTTGGTCGCCAGCACTGAGACTTTTATGGTGGCAAACATAAGCAATGGCCTGACAGATTTTACTCCGAGGTATGAGTGAGAAAATCCAGAAATATGCAAAAAGCCACAAATAATTCAAACATGGTTTAATTGAAAAAGGAAACACACATCCTGTTTTTGGAAGAAAAATCAACGATAGATGCCACCGAACTGGCTTTTGTGCTCTGATATCAATCCAGGTGGTCCCTCTTTACGTTAGAGTGGAGGATTCAGGGTACATGATTTCCAAAATGAATGTCAAATTTTGATTGGCTCATTTTTTACTTCACTTAAAGGGGTATTCCGGCGTCAATTTGAGTTATGGTCAAACACACCATGCCGACTCCTTGCCTCTCTAGTTATACCAACTTTAGTAAAGACCGCACGATAGTAATACACAGTGGTCTACGTCTCCACGTGCAAACCTCAACCAAAAAGCCACTCTATAGCCACCAATAATGCTCAGAACAGCACCTAACTTCATCAACAGTACATATAGGGTCCCAGCCATAGTACTACCCACCAAACATCTTTTTTGCTTTGCCTGATTTCTTTAGCAAAGAGACTAAACACAACTCACCAACTCTCCTTCAAATGGATCACTGAGTGCAGCGGAGTTTCGCAGCTCTAGGAAGAACATTTATGATCATTACTTCATGGAAATGCAATCAGAGTTCTTGTGTATCTTGTATGTGCACTGTTTTTCTGCCATAGGGTCTTGGTCTGATTGCATTTCCAGGAAGTAATAATCATAAATTTTCCGCTGCACTCGGTGATCGACACGTCAGGGCTCCCCCCAGAAACAAGCGGCTGCTGGACGAGAGTGGGTGAAGCAAGCAGTCAGGAACATTCATCTCTCTAGGGGGTGTCTAACTCGGTGTTGAAGTGTGTTTGACCCTAACTTAATTCTACACCACAATATCCCTCTAAATCAGGGGTGGGCAATCATGTGCCATGGAGGGCCGAGAGGCTGCAGGTTTTCTTTCCAACCCAAAACTCCACCAAGTGATTTCACTGATTAACTTACCTCCAAGCAGAGAGCAGGGACTAATCAGTGAAATCACCTGGTGGAGTTTTGGGTTGGAAAGAAAACCTGCAGCCTCTCAGCCCTCCATGGCACATGATTGCTTACCCCGGTATATATGTTTATATACGGTAACCTCTTTGCGTGGTACATCAAACATACATTTGTGGGTGCAGCAACAAACTCTGTTTACACACACAGGGTTTTCAGAAGAGACTTCCACTATGGAGATATGTCTGTTTTTAATGCAGTTCTGCTTAAGGGCCCAAAGATCATGCCCATCAAGTATTGGTAGATGTGGTCTCCTTTCCATGATATCACCAAACGGTTTCTGAAGATGAAGCCCAAAGATGAAGGTTTGAAGGCTGTAGCAGCAACAATGCACCCATCAGTCAGTCAAATTGGATGCATCCCCAGTTGCCCGATTGCGCGCAAGTTTTAGCCTTGTTGTAGTCAAGAGGGATGAGTTGTAAAGAAACTAATCTGTGCAGTTGTCAAGACTTGAGAAATGAGATACAGAGACCAAAGGGGTTTCTTGTTCCAGGCTGTAAACATGTTTATTCTGCTGTAAAGCTGAGCATGTCAAATGGGGGTTAACTCACTCTTGGAACTGCAGTTTTTTGCACTTCGGTGTTGCATGAAATATTTTTGGCAAGACAAAGCAGAGAGGGGGGTTGTCAGTACTTCTCCAGGGGGCTGACCATCTTATATTTCTTCAAAATCAAATCACAGTTAAGAAACTCTTCTCATCCCAGAGTGATGCAGGAATGTGGGGAGTCATGCAGATGCAGATTCAAAGTGAAAGAATTTCCTGATATCTGATATGACAGCAGATAAAAACGATGTAGAGCTCAGACAAACAAAGATTGTCTTTCGCTTTAAATCGTGCGTACAGTTTGCACCGATGTGACTCCGCAAGAGTCCTCAGGAAGCTGCTCTCATGAAATTGAGGGTTGTGAAAGAACATTTAACTTAACAGATGATTTGAACTTCCTAGTGACCTGTTAGGTAAAGTCTGCACACACGAGGAAAGAGAGAGAAGGTGGAGGTATGTACGAGTGAATAATAGGAAACAGACATTTCCCCTGTGTGTCTCACCTCTGATCCTCTGACATGAAGAGGGAGGATAGACAACGAGAAGGGTTTGAAAACATTACAGTTTACACTCACCAAACTGCAGCAGATCCAAGATCTCAGTCTGCATCCCATCATGAGACACAGTTTGTGTTTGGTTTGTGTCTGTTTACAGCTCTGCCTCAGTATGTATACAGCTGTAGTTTGTTTGCTTTCATACATGTATACACTACAAAATGTCTTCAAAATGGACAAGGTAGACAAGCATACCTCACGCTGTTTATTCAGAGATTTAACGCAGACACGGTGTGTTTGTAGGCGGAACATATGCAGGTGTACCTCAGGTGTCTCATCTGCACTGAAGCAGAAAATGATCAAACAGTGAGGCAGCTCATACAGAGAGAAACCCTCAAAGATTTTCCTCGAAGTTCAGGCGAGGATGACTCTGTACTTTAAGTTTGTTCACCGTTGTCAGGCAGATCAAAATATCAGCAGCAAAAACGTCTGTTAAGGGGGATACGTATTAGGAAAATAACCATGCTGGTCCGCATAAATGCCATTTCTCCCCCCCTTGAATCTAACATAATAAAATCCCATCTTGTTTATCCTTAAACACACGTCTACCTGCAAGTGCAGCTAACAACTTCAGACCTGTCATTTTTTAACCATTATATGACCGTTATTTGACCGTTTTTCAGCCGTTATTTCACCGCTATTTAACTGTTAGCACCCCATTTGCAAATTTGGCCCCTAGTACCTGTCTGAGTAACCACGGTTACTGCACTCTGGTAACCTCTGGACCATTAAAGACAATAATTTCCTGCATTCCTGCATTAGATGACAGCAGATGAGTTTTAAGATTAGCTGAAGTATCAGAATTACTTCCCAGCGTTCACCATTTACAAGATTTTGTATTTTTTATTTTACCAAGAAACCAAGTATTTTCTCACCTTTAAGTAATTTAAACAGAAATGGTTTTCTACTACTTTGTCCTTGTACAGAAACTAACTCAGATGGAGGATCTGTTCTTCATACAATGAAGCCAAGAAATCAAATGATTCAGCTGCTGCTATTATGCTGCTCTTTGACTTTTATTAAGTCTTCTATAAATGATAAAGTGACATCTTTATTTTCATTCTGAGGTTTGAGGAAATGGATTTATTCAATGCGCCATGTAGCTGAGGACCATTCCCACGTCCTGAACAGCTCTGCTATCAGATCATGTTCATGTTCACGTTCAGGACCCTCTCTGACTCTGAATCCTTCCAGCTGGAAACTGGACAGCTGTTCTGAAAGACCCTGACCCCGCAGACTCTGGTCCATGTGTTTCCACAGGGGTCACCAGAGGTCAGCAAACACACAGGAACAAGACCCAGGGCTACACGGCTTATAAACTATTTCACACACTCATGTAACTTTACACACACACAGTCACACTTTGTCTGTGAGTGTGTGAGTCAGGCCTGATCCTCAGTCCAGTAATCCGCTCTGTTGAAACTGGGATTGTTGGTCCTCCTCCACACAAACAGAGTGTGTGTGTGAGTGTGTGTGGGTGAATCCATGTGATCTCAGACTGCGACAGTTTCAGCTGATGACTCACCTTCAGGACAGTCACAGTCTGTGTGATAATAACGCTGATAACCTGCAGAAAAACTCATGAAGAATTCTAATTCAGTTATTGCTCAATGTTGGCGTCTGTTCAGGATCTTTACGGCTAAAAATAAACGTTTCACTGACGTCAGCGGAGAATGAACTTCTGTTCTTTGTGTTATGGGAAGCTAAGGCTGGGATTTGTGAGTTATTTACAGGGAATGATTGAGTAGAAGGTGATTTAAATCTTTAGGATCTGATCACTCCTTTTTTACCTCCTGTGACTTTTACCTCCTTAAGACAGACCTTCAGTGATGTTTTCTTGATCATAGTCATTATAACACAGTTTTCACTAAGATTCAGAAAGCGCCCTGAGTTTGAACTCCAATGGTTTTAGGGGAAACTGAGTGGAGTGTTTCCTGCTGCTGAGGTTGTTAAAATCCAGGTGAGAAACTAATGATGAAGTTTACTGCTCTGTTTTTTTCAGGCTGACCTCAGAGTTACACTGACTGTTTATTTAAAGACATTTTCCACGAGAATTGCACAAATTATTCTGAGTTTTCCAGGCAGGGAGCCAGAGTCACAGAAACACACAGACCATGAGCTATTCTGTTTTCCATAATAAGAAATGCTGCTGTGTTTGGGTCAGAGCGTGTGTGTGTGAGAAAATTCTTTAATATTTAAAATAAAATGCCGGAATCTGTTTATTATACCAGGAGGACCACTTGGGGATCTGGTTTCTTCTTTTTTAGCATTTCTTCTTTTTTAACATCATAAATATTTGACAAAAAACAGTTTCTCTTCGGCAATGTGAACTTTAACCTGAGAAAAGGTCAACACATCTAAAAAAAACATGTTTTTTTACGAGTGCACAATTTGTATTAAGTACCTTGAATCAGGTTAGGATACGTTATTCCAATGCTTTTATCATTAAACCTGCAACAATGCAGCAACTAAGACTGCTGTTTTATTACCCAATTAAATCCCACTGAGTCTCTCTAATGCTTTATCTAGCAAGACGTAGGTGGACTTCAGCACTATCAGCTCAAAATAAACTGATTTGGCTGTGATTTGATAGGAATAAATAGGCTGATAAGGTTCCTGAAATAACTGCATCATGATGCTAAGTAAAAATAAAAAAAAAACAAATCCAGGATTTGTCAGGTCTGTCTGCAAGACAAGCAATTAACTCTTAAAATGCTCATTTTTTTTAATGGAGTTTGGTTTGACCATCCTTGACCTTGCCTCATGAGGAATTCTTGGTGGTGAAAGTTTCTTTTGGGCACAAGAGCTGAATATAGTGGAGCATTTGCTTTACAAATGCAACAGACATTTGAGCAGTTGAGTACATCCACTGTGGTATAACTGATGATATTGTGGTCTAATGTAAAAGCACGTCTGTTTCTCTCATTTCACTGCATTTGTTTGTGAATCAGACCTACTTAGTATTTTTAATTTAACATTTCTCTAGAGCCATAGGTCTGTTTTTTTATGAAAGATGATTAGAGCCACAAGAAGAGAAAAAATTAATTCCAGGAAGGAGATTTTTGAAATTTCCATTTCAAGATTAAAGATGAAATTTTGAAATAAAAGTTGAAATTTAAAAAAGTCAAAATTTTGACTTAATCTTGAAATTTTGACTTTATTCTTAGAATTGTAATTTTTTTGATGTTGAAATTTCAACATTATTCACAACATTCTGACAGTTTGTAAACTTGAAATTTCGACTTTGACATAATGTCGATTTTTTTAATCTCAAAATGTTGACTTTAATCTCGAAATTTCAACTTAAATCTCCTTCGTTTTTTTTTCTCTTCATGTGCCCCTAATCCTCTTTTGTAGTTTTTGTCTGGTGTATCTTTATCTTTATCTTTATAAACCAGTAAAAGTTTCGTTTCAGTACTACAAAGAGGTTCAAAACCAGACTGAAAACCAGACTCAAAACTAGACTTTCACATCCGTCATGATTTACTAGAAATGTTTGCAGCTTGATTGAAAACCACTCTCACTAAAATCGAAAATACAAAAGGCAGCATGTTTAAAGAAGGTTAGTATCTATTAATGGAAGATTACTTGGACTGACACCATCTGAGGAGCAGTTTGTCGGCCACAGAAAGCAGATGAAATCATTAAGCAAATGGTCTGATATTTGTGAAGTGACAGTTTGACCGCTTTAGCTGAAAAGTACAATCGTTTCCTCAGTCTCATGTGGGTCATTCCTTCTTCCTGGACACTTACTGCTATGATGATGAGTTCACGTCTTTAAACAAGTATCATGTTGTGAGCATGTGCAGATCTCAGATAGCAGCAGTGATTGTTGTGGTCGCTCTCTATCCGTCACGATGATCCTCTGTTTCCTGCCAGCGGCTCTTCTGCAGGCGGAGGATGAGGAGCCAAAGGCAGCGTGGAGTTTACGGGGTTAACCATCTGGATCGCTGCATTATTTAACGCTGCATATGTCGAGACAGGCCGGCTCTGAGATCCATCACACTTGAAACCACCAAGGTGCTCCCATTCTCTCACTCAGGTCTGTTTGTTTTCATGTGGGTGACAGGGGAGGCAGAGCGTCACTGAGCTCTGACAGGAGGAGATCTTACTGAAAGCCTGATGCTCAGTCTGAAGCAGTGGATGCAAATGTGAGTTTCATAAGAGACACAAGCTAAGGGGAGAGAGTCCGTATTTATATTTTAATTGAACTCTTTGCTGTTTTCATGTCCAGGATTTTTGCACATGCTTGGTGGCCTTCTGACTGCGAGCTGCCCACTCCCATCTGTCTCTGCTGCTTCATGGAGACATTTAAAGCTCAGCTTAGAGAGAAACAGTACTGTGTTATCATTTCACTGATCATAAACATGTGACCAAACAAGAGCAGCTCCCAAAGAAATGGTTGCATGGTATAATCGTTTTTGGCTCAGATTGAATGTGGCCTAACAAAGTTTGTGAGCATGAGGAAGTCTACGCTGGTAACGTCAGCGCAGACTGCTGTTTCCTCAGTGCAGACTATCATGCAGCCACAGGTGAAGAGAGGAGTTCAGGGGGAGGAGATGGTGAAAGTGAGTGTGTGACTGAAAAACCATGGAACAGAGTAAAATGTGATGAGAAAGAGGATTTGGCTAAAATGAGTGTGCACACAGTCTAAGCAGCCAACTATTGCCTAGCAAAATTATACAACACAAAACAAGAACTTTATTTCTCCTCATAGGGAAATTCAATTCAATTTTATGGCATCTGCATCTAATTCTTCATGTTCCCACAGCAACACCTCAAATTTTAGGTCCTCGAGGGTTCAAAATGATATTATTTTGTGTGCACACTGCACATACACGTTATCCCATGCCTGCATTAATCAGTTCCCCTATCCAAGTCCCCACATATAATAGAGACTGGACAAATCTTTGGCGTTGTGGGTGCAACACTTTTGGAAGTGTGGCAGGAGTAAACTTTTCACTCAACAGATCAATCCTCTCCTGTTTTCATTTTGTTTGACACCATCACAGTGAAATTCAATGCAGAATAATGGCATTGGTTAAACTCAGAGCAACATGTGAGAACGACTGAAGAAAGCCTCACACACACACACACACTCAGGTACTTTAGCACTCAGCTCTGTAACTCAATCTGCAGTATCGACGTTTTCTCCTACAGTTCTTTTTTTTTAGCAAACAAACGGGCGATCATGTGACTCTGACAGGACTGAAAATAACTCAGACATGAAATCAGATCATAGAAAGGAGATTCATGTTTGCATAATCCGCTTTAAATCGACCGACCAGTTATATAAAAACTATAACAGCCGGAGCATCTTTGTTTTTTGTAGAAGAGAATGATGATGTGCATTCAGTTATAACCTCTTAATGTAGCATTACATGATGAGTAAAACAAAAAGAACATGCAGACTGAAGCTGCAGGACATTATTCTTCCTGAATAGATCGATCTACACGTGTTACAGAATTAAGGGTTATGCTGTGATTTACACTACAGAGTTGTTATTTTCAAATTTGTAGAGGTATGAAATGATTTGAAAACCATCATACTTGTACATACTAGTGCTCTATCTCTTCAGGGGTTGGGGTTGTATGTGAAATCTGTAATAGATATACTGTAAGTGAAGGATCTGTTATTGGCAGGAATTCTGCGGCCCATGAGCTGCCAAGAGGTTATTATTTGTGGCTCTCTTGCCGCTAAAGCTGAACAGCGCCGCTTTACATGATGGTTTCTCCTGCCGAGTTGAAAGAGTTCATCCATGTTAGAGATGTTTCATTGTGCTTTTGCAACTTCTTTTCATTTCTGTGGGAAATTTCTGGATCATTGAAGCCGACGTGTTTCTCAAAGGAAGTTGCACGAAGGACAAATATAACAGTTGACCACCGAGACCATCAAAGAGGAAACATGGCCGCCGCGCTGTCAGAGACGCTGTAATTACACGCAGTCGTAACTCAGCCTGCAGTCCAGTGAGAGAGGAGACTTTTCTTCATCTCCCCTCCTCATCCTCAGGTCACAATGACTTCACTGTCTGAGCTAATGCTGCTCCCACCTCTGGAGACACTTCTGCTTAAATCAATACTAACTGCTGCATGATTACACATAAAAACAGCTGATTAGACAGTAAATATCCATGAAGAAATGTTTGCTCAGAGCTCATACTCCCATCCTCCCTCTGCTGTGTGTCTTATGCTCACCAAAAGCATGACTGTTTCCACAAACCCCCATCCAAATACAACTCCTTTAGCCCCTCGTGTGATTTTTTTACAGTCAGAAAAGATGGATAGAGGCCATCAGAGTCAGTTTCCTCAATTTGATCTACAACTTGATGGGTGATTTGAAGATCTGTTTGACTAAAAACTTAACATTTTTGGTTTTTAGCTGTGTCATTGTTACAACAGCAACGGCACCTCTTATTAGATTTTAGAGAAGTTTGAATATTTATTGATTTTTCCTTTTCTCAGTTCTAAAAAGAACACGTAAGAAGGTCGTATTAAATCAGAGTCTTTTGTTTGAACTCCACTGTAAGGCACATGATATTAGGGGGGCTGTGAGCTGAGCTGCTGCAATTGCTCAGCCTGTTTTTATAGTAAGAATAAAAATAAGAAGGACTTTATTGATCACCGAAGGGAAATTCAATTGTCTGTCATCTCATTTGTCATGTCTATAAAAGTCATCTACTATTTACAGAAGAGTTGTACAGTCTGATGACTGTTGGTACAAAAGATCCTCTGAATCTTTCTGTCCTGCAGCGTAGAGAGAGGAGCTGTCCACCACCATTGGCCCTTTGGTCCATTAAGGTGTTGTGATGGACCAAAGGGCCAATGGTGGTGGACGTGATGGTGGTGACGGAATGGTCACCAATGGTCGGTCACCAATGGTAGGTGACTGCAATGATCATCCTCAGTTGACGTCAAGAACCCACCTTGATACCAAAGGCAAAATGCACCACAAGCTACACTGCAGTTTATATAACATCAAAGCATTTGTGCATATTGACAGAGCAGTGATGCATTAATCTGGGGAAAACTGTCCCTTTCTGTGCAAATAAGCCTTATTATAATCAAAGTTCCCACACACTGGCACTAATTACATAAAGTTATAGTGACATTTTAACCATCTAATGAGTGTTGGTAAAAACTTTGCAACCACATTTATAATTCACACTTCAACTTTACACTGATCATGACAGCAAAGCCACCTCCAGGGGACTCAGAAATGACAAGCAGTATCTATACAAGATGCTTCTCCTCCACTTCTAGTTCATTGTGTTTGTTTCAATTATCGCGGAACAAGTGTGTGCAGTAGCGGGTTTCAATGCTTGTAAGAAAGCCAGTTATGATACTAAATTTCATCATGTCCTCAAAGACATTAATGTTCGAGAGCTGAATAGCTCCTACATTACCTGCCACTTCTGCTGAACAGGCAGTGTTAGGCTACAAGGTAGCATAAATTGGAGCGTGTAGAGCAGCGCTGTCTCCTCCAGCGACTCAGAGGCAAAGTGCTAATTAGCAACTTGAGCTCTGCTGAAGAAAAGCCCCACTCATCATTCATTTTTTCCACTCCGCAAAACCAAAATTGTGCTTACTCCTCCTTCTATCGTGGTGACGCAAGCGTGTTTTCACCTCGAAAATAATTTGTGCGAAACAGCGATGATTTGAGCGATACTTGAGGCATCAATCATTTTTTTGTAATCGAGGTACTCAAGGAATCGTTTCAGCCCTGTATAATATTATAAATCAGAGCTTGCCTTGTCTTTTCTTTCAGACGTTTTCAAGTAGGGTTTGGGGGGCTGCGAGCTGAGCTGCTACTCACTTAAGTTCAGCCAGTTTCTCAGATGAACGCAGGTGCAGACATCTGGTTTAAAGATAACAGTTTGGGTGATGATGATGTGACTTGAAAACTTAAGAAAGTTGTTGTGGTGGAAAGGCTGTCCAACAGGGGGGCTGTTAGCTGAGCTGCTACTATACACAGTAACAGTAGTTACCCCGTCAAATCTGGGTGAAGGCGTCTGGTTCTAAGATACACTTTGATATGATGGTGATGTGACTTAAAAACTGGAAAAAATTGGTGTGAACTGACAGCTGGTGTATTTAAAGTTTGGTGAACAGCACCTGCCTTGTACCTAATCAGTAACATCCTGTGATGGAGAAAACACTCTTGACATCTAATGGAAAAGCCTTTGACTTCGATTTACCGCCAATTTTTAAATGTTATGATGAAGCATGTGCCACTATGCATCCAAAAGCATGTGGGTTAGGTTAATGTGTGGGCAAAATTGAATACAATGACTTTTTTTTCCAAGTTAAAACTATTAAGGTGAAAACTTTTTTCTGTCTTTTGCCTCCACACAAACTTGGAAAAAAGTGTAGACATCCATATCTCTGCAGGTATGGTTATTTGTGTTCCTTGGACAATATGTTTTCCTGTCACTCCGCCTCCTTTTGCTGTATTCTGTTAAATTCCTCTGGAATCTACGGGGACCGGATTGAGTTTCTTTGCAGTTACTAAAACTAACTCCTTCTCCTGGATGTGTTTGAATGAACCCAACTGTGGCTGACATGGAATCCAGTCTGTCTCTGCAGAGTCTCAGGCATCGTCTCCTCCATGTGTTAAACAGCCTCGGCTTGTTGTTTTGCTGATAATCAGCTGCAGATGTGTTCAGCGTTCGCTCTGTTCCTCAGCTGTATGATGTGAGCTCACACGCTCGGTCTGACTGCACAGACGCTCTGTTGCTCCTCGTGTGGCAGCGCTGCAGCCCGGCCTGTAATGATGATGTCATTGGTTGCTGGTTGTGAAATTTTTGAGGAAATGAGAACCCCGTTGAACCCGGGGAGAGCGAAGCGTGTCTCTGCTGCATCTGTGGTGCAGCCTGATCCTCAGTGGTCCCGTTTTATCTGCTTTTATCTGTAGAAATCATTAGAATGTTCACAGACTCTGAGGGATGAATCTTTGTGTTGGAGCTGACATGGATTTTAAAATTCAAATGTGTGGTTTTTGTCACTCACTGATGTTGGCATCTCTTTCTCTGTTTCCACAGAGGACAGCATCCCTAAGCCAGCTCCCTGCGGAGGACCTCAGAGATCCACTCCCTCCACAGTGGAAATCCTACATGTCTCCACAAGGGCGGCGATACTACGTCAACACAGTCAACAACGGTAAGAGACAAAGAAATGTCACAGTTCAGTTAGGGCTGCAAGATTTTGGCCAAAAATACAATCACGATTTTTTTCTCTAAAATCTTGATTTTTGATTGCGTTTTTTTCAGTCAGTGACAATTTCACCAAAATTCACTTTAATAAGTTTTTCTATCATCTCTCAGAACGAAACCACTGAAAATGATGTAGTGCATACGCCAAGCCAGTAATTGGTTGATGAGGAAACACACAAAAGACAGAAGAAGAGTATGGAGTAGATTGTTTTGGCAGGACACACACTGGCACCATAAAAAGAGTTATGCTGTGTATCACATAATTGTTACGAGAGATGCAGATAGGCATCCACACGGAGATGAAATCATAGTCATTTACGGATTAATGCACTCTATGATCCATTTTCAAAAAGTACCATCTACAGTCACCTGAAATGCGGTTTCCATGTGGCTGAAACACCGATATCACAAAAAACTTTTGCATTTACTCCTGGATCATTTCCATGAAGTAATAATCATCATATTTATCATTTTGCACTGCAGATGCGGTAGTTCTTCTGCCTTAGCGTCTCGGTCTGATTTCATTTCCATTAAGTAATCATCATAAATGTTCTTCCTTGAGCTGCGAAACTCCACTGCACTCGGTGATTGACTCGTCAGGGCTCCTCCACAAACAAGCTGCTGCTAGAGGAGGGTGGGTGAGTTGTGTTTAGTCTTTTTGCAAAAGAAATCAGGCAAAGTTAAAAAGATGTTTGATGGCTAGTACTATGGCTGGGACCCTATATGTACTGTTGATGAAGTTAGGTGCTGTTCCGAACATTATTTGTGGCTATAGAGCGGCGTTTTGGTTGGGGTTTGCACGTGGAGACGTAGACTGCTGTGTATTGCTATCATGCGGTCATTACTAAAGTTGGTATAACTAGAGAATCAAGCAGTCGGCAACAGTCATCTCTCGAGGGGTTGTCTAACTCAGTGTGTTTGACCTCAACTTATATTTACGCCAGAATATCCCTTTAAGGCATGCACTCCATATATAGAGGCTATAGTCCTTGATGCAGCAGTTACAGGTTACCCAGACCATTTGCTGTGTATCACCCTCCAATAAAACCAGCATTTTAAAAGCTATTGGTTTACTCCTGAATCATTTCCATGAAGTAATAATCATTTTGGACTGTAGACGCGGTAGTTCTTCTGCCTTAGTGTCTAGGTCTGATTGCTTTCCACGAAGTAAAAATCACTTTTGGCTTCACAACACATTTAAAAGACAGATCTCAGTTGACAGGTGACATGTTGAATGCCGCAGGACTGCCACTGGTAGTCAGCGTTCACCAAAGAATCCTGAAAAGAATAGGAGCAAGCAGATCAGATGAAAGTGATCACTGTGAGTCTGTGGTTTACGTTACTTCCCCAAAGTGTTCCTGGAAAAAAAGTAATTACAATATCCTGTGTGCTGAGTTTCTTGTGGTTATGTGGGGTATTTCCTCAAAATTTTGTGGCATAACTGCTAAGAAATCAGATGAATGAAGAGAACTCTGCCGTTTGAAGGGATGCTCTGTGCAAAATTTTTATTTAAGTCAGGGAAAGATTATTCCAATTTTCCAGTTTGAATCTGTCACTTTGTATGAAAAGATTTCCTTTCCTGGGTCCACATGCATCTCAGATTGAAAATAAAGTTGTTTTTATTCCGAATATCCCGTAGAGGAGCTTGTATTCATCTCAAAAAGTAATTTCTGCTCGGTAATGGAGTCAAACTGTCCCTCAGCAGCAGTGTTGATGGTACCAGAGAGAGACAGAGGGCGACCAAGAACTGATGCTGTTGATAGAAACATGTTTCTCTCAACACAATCACTGCTCAGTGTCACACAAACACACACACAAACACACAGTGCCATGGAGACAACTTAATACGTCCTCTGTTCTGCAGCCTGTTTACTGTCCCTGTGTGACCTCAGTGTAAAACCTGACTGATGGTTCTAATATCAGGTCCTGACTGCGCTCATGTTCCTCCATCTACCAGATTTAATAAAGTCAGACAATGCAGGTTCCTCCACCCTCTCCAGGTTTCTTTCATTTCTTCTTCAAACATGAAACACCGGCATTCATCTCTGAGCTTTAAAACATATTCACCATAAAACCTGTTTCTGAGCACGAAGATGGCGCAATACGAACTCTGAGCCTGACAACATGAAAATACAACAAAAACTTCTAAACTTTACAGGCTTTACATCATAATGATGGACAGTCAGTTTGAGGAGTGCTGATCCTTTCTGAGTTTACTTTGAGTGAGCGTTTGTGTTGTCCGTCTGTTTAGTAGTGTATGTACTGTATACTTCACCACTTTGCTCAGGTTCAACTCAAGGAGCAAAGAATGGATTAGCACAACAAATTAACACAGGTTTTTTTTCAAGATGAACAGAAACAGAATCACAGTTCAGATCCAATTCTCCAATTTTTTTTTCATGCTCTTAATTTGAAATTTTTAAGATTTTGCGCTTAGGTCACTATATTTCCTACCTTGTGAGTCTATGTTTTTTTTTTTTTCGAAGTACTTCTGGTCAATTCTAACGCTGCGTTCCAGTTGTACTCGGAAGTGGGGATATCCGAGCTCCGAGTCTGAAATTCACCCCTGACGTCGGATTTCCGACTCGGATAGTCGGACGATCCTTGCCAACAGTGACTTGACGACAACGTCATAACTCAAGATGGCAGCACAGTGCATCAACAGTAAAGAGTAACAGTAAAAGCTCTTGTAATGTATTATTTATTAGCACTTGTGTTTCGTTTAGGTGAAATTAAATAAGTGGTATGTTGTGCTGCCCAACGTCTAACTGTAAACACGGTGCTATGGTGTTTGTAGAGTAAAATACTGTGTTGTTCGTGTTTACAACTGGTATAGCTAACAACAGCTGACAATGGCGAACAGCAGCTAACAACTGCCAACAACTGACAACGGGGAACGACAGCTGACAATTGTAAACAACATGTAACAACGGGTAACTGTAGGCGTCCATCTTGGTTTTCCAACGTGTTAACTGGAACGCCGTTAACTTGGGTGTAGCGTCATTCCCAGCTCCGACATCCAACTTCCGAGGTTATTGGAACGCAGCATACACCCTAACGTCAGTTTTTGATTTGCTAGCTAGCGCAGCGGCTGTCTGTCACTTCTTCTTTGTCTCTCTGATGTGTGGAAACTAGCATGAGAGACCACTCGTATGAACTCGCAGTATTGCTTAATTTGCTATGTTAAATTTTTTTTCACAATATATATATGCATATATATATATATATTTAAATAATCAGTTATCCTCAATATTGGTATCTTGCAACAGCTGTAGCAGGGATCCCTTGTCTAAGTCCCCTCATGCTCTTTGCTCTCCTTGACACCAAATGAGACATTATTTTATTTACAATTACATCACAATTATTTACAATAACATCACAATTACAATTTTTATTTACAATTTGATGAAATACGCTGTAAGCCATTGCCTTTTATAATCTCAGTAAGCAAACCAAAAATGTGTATAATGTACTTTTTAATGTCTAAAACTGGTGCGAGGGGTCATACAGTGTTTGCAGGGGCCAGTTGAGCAGCTGGAGAAGAGGACCAGCCTGTGTCCACAATTGTTGTTTAAAATCTTCCCATCAAACGATACATCTGACTGTCAAAAGTCAGCGAAAAGAGGTTTTTTCCCTAAAGATGCAGCAAGTATAGCAATTATTAAATAATAAATAATTACCATTGTAGAGTTATTCCAACCAATCAGAATCAAGTTTAGCCTGAATAGTAAAAGTCAACCACCCCCCACCCCCGCTGATTCACAGTCACAGGGTTTTAGAGCTGTTTCATCGAAACTGGACTGGCTCTTTACTGACCCGTGTCCGTCCTCTAACCAGAGTTATGGTTGGCAGTTTCTTCAGGGTTTTTGTCGTTTTTCATCTGAAATGTTCACCTCAGGCTTTTCTCTGATCATGGTCTCAGCAGTCAGTTTGTGGGCATGACAGGATCTAAAATTAGAGGACTCCACCCAGCCACAAGACCAGGGGATCCGCTCCACCTTTTTCTCCTCCATTCTTTCTCTATTAGGATAAAATTAGATGCTGAATGTGCTGGAGTCAGGAAGGTGAAATAACAACCTCCGTTAGTGTTTCTAACCCTCTTTAGTATGTTATTTTTAGACATTTCAACTTTTTCACGATTTCTTCTTACAACTCTTTTATTTAAAAACTGCAGGTTTTCTTCTAAAAAGAGGGAAAAGACTTTTCATATTTTTTATATAAGAGACAAAAAAACAGAATATTTGCTGTAGTGTTGTGAAAGTAAGCGCTAACCCCCTCCAGCATGTTATTTAAGATGTTGCTGTAACACACACTCTCTCTGCTTCATTTTAAATTCATCCTGAAGTGATTGTTTCCAAACATCTGATAACATTTTTCTGTATATTCAGCGTCTCTGTTGTTTTTTCAGGCCCTTTTGTTTGGCTAAAGTTCAGTTAGATGAGATACCGTCCTATGTGTGTGTGTGTTTTTGTGAGTGCATTTGTGTTTGAGCATCGTCATAGTAACAGAGCACTGCGTATGTGTGTGTGTGAGTGGGCGGGGGCGGTGCGTCCTTGTGTTTTCCTTCCTGTGTTTCTGGGTGCAGCCGTGCAGGGTGCTGTGGTTTAAACCAAACCCTCCGACCCTCCCAGTCTGACCAGTAGGATGATTTATAAACACGTCAAACCAGAAACACTCAACCGTCCCAGGGCTGCAGCTGCAGATTCACTGAACACACGCTCTCAGTTCAAACTGAGTGAAGTTTCATAACTGATAAAATGATTACATAAGTAATGAGATCCTTGAGGAATAGTCTATGAATAGGGATGCTAAAAATATATTAAAATTAGGAACATGTGGATAAATAGACATGTTTAATTGATATTTGATCATCTTCATTTAGTTCATCAATGTGTAAATGCTTTGGTGACACCGACGCCAAGAGACATAGCAGACAACCATACGACTATATGAGAGTGTGGCTCCTTTGAAAAAGTCACAAAAGTTACTGTGAAGGTCCTCTCCTATCCTCTTTTTCCTAAATCTGCAAATGTCTCAGGCTCATGTGAAGGTCGATGTAAGGAGTTATGAAATGACAATTAAAAACTCAGGGAGAGGTGTGACACCACTCAGGTAAAGAGGCGGAACAAGACGGCCTCCAGCCTCTCTGACTAGAGGTCTGATAAAACCTCGTGTAACTCTGTAAATGATTTCTAAAGCTTTGAATAGAGTTGTTACAGAGAATTATGGGTCATCTTCCTTTTTCTCCTATCATTAAGGAGTGTCTTTAACTGAAGGAGTTAAAGACCCAATCCAATGAAAATTGTGTTTTTCTTGGTGTCTACATGTACATATGGCATTTTTGTGATGCTACAGGACATATGAGAAAACTAAGTGAAAAATTGCATTTCTGAGTATTTCTGCATTCAAATCACTGTAAACTTCTCACAAACCAAAACGGCAGGTTCAGACACAGTGACACAATCAGACCAATAACAGTGCGTTTGTTTGTTTTCATTTTCTAACTTAACTTTGACATTTAGAGGAAGTAAAAATTATGTTATCTTAAAGTAAAAGTGTGTATTTTTAATACTAAAACAGGAAATAAGGTAACTGATAAGGTTACCCAGAATTGTTCTGGAAATTATTTTACAGTTGACCAAAATTTTACAGTTGATGTTTAAAGACATACACATAATCTCCAATAATATATGCATACACTGGAATGTGTATATTAGTCTTGACAGATCACAGTTTATACGTGTTTATACATTTATACAAGCAAACCCACACACGCTATTTTATGTCATAATGACAATGTTGGCTCAGCTGTCAGTCAAATCCCCGCCCGCCCACTCATACTTTCTGCTTCGTCCTTTTTCCTAAATATCCTCTGTTTCTGTTTTTCCTCTCTGTGTTTGAGAGAGAAGATCCCTGAAGCCTTCTCTGACACAGAGTTTCCTTTGTGCGACTGTGAACAGGCTGTAATCAGTGTTAAAAAAAAAAAAAAAAAACAGACAGGAGGCAGTGAACGCATCATGAGCCAGTGTCATATGGCTATGAATAAAATATGTGAATGTCAGAGATAAGTAGGCCGAACCTCCTCTTCTCTGTTCACAATCAGGGTTCATTCATTCACTTCTATCAGTGTGAAACAGGCACGTGTACAAAATAAAAGGCAGGTTTTCAACTTTAAAGGTTGGTGAATCAGACAGGCTTCAAATTATAGTTTATGCTGCACATAAAACCAAATCCATGTGAAAATTGAAATGATGAATTTACATCATTCAGATCCATAAAGGGCCAGATGAAACGCTCCAGAGACGGTAGAGAGGATAAACTGAGCCAACTTCCTCTCTTAGGTAGTTCAAAATGACTGACAACCTTTTAGACTTCAACTGGTCTGTAAAATGATGTCTGATGAGAGTGATTTTACCTGCAGGTTTGAATCTGACAGGTGTCTGATCTGATCTTTCACCTGTATGTAAACCTGTTTGACAGGGGTGATCAGAAATCTGCATTTCAGAGCCAGTTGCCTGGAGACCAAAGTTAGAGGGGCTACACTGTAAAGACAGAATGAGAGGGTAAACCGGGTCTGAGGTATCAGTATGATGGAGCTGGTTCTGAAATGCAGATTTAGATCAGTTAACACAATGTTGTTGCACTCCCATTGATATCATAACAAAACTTGTATACATCCCACCCAAGGCAACGGCTGAAGTTCCATGTGATGTTCTCCATGATGCTGTTGCAGACTCAACATCCTAAGGCACTAGTAATATCAGGAGACTCCAACTCTGCCCTGACTCATTTTACCCAGTTTGTTGACTGTCTACCAGAGAAACTAAAACCCTGGATACATGCCAACATCAAAGAAGCTTTCAGACCACCACTGGGCAGGGCAGAGAGATTCAGAAGATCCTTTGTACCAAGAGCCATCAGCCTTTTTAATTCTTCTATTAATAGCAGATAAATGAAGTCCCCTTTGGGAATAAATAAAGTTCTTGTATCTGCATTATTGTCCTCCCATACTGGAGGCAGCTATGTTGCCTTTTAGTCTGATTAAGAGTGCATATTTTTGGGGAAATTACGTCAATGGGAAGTCCCAACTGAAAAGACTTTAGAAGTTTTTCCAGTTTCTTTGAAAGCTGCTATTATTTGATCAAATACACCATTAACTTTTGTGTGTGTGTGCGTGTGTGTCCTGTATTACATGTCCTCTATAAAACCACTCTGATTGATTGATTGATTGATTGATTGATTGATTGATCGGTGTATAAACACATGTATTTAACCTGTAAAAGTAAAGTTAAATTAAATATAGTTATTTATTTTGTAACTTTGTCAAACTAAATACCAACAATAGAGGAAGCATAAAGCAAAAGTTCAGACTTTTGTTGTTCAGTTCATCATGATGTTCTTTGATTGACACTCTCATTATGCGCTTTCTCTTTGTGGTTTAATGTGGGGGTGTCCACAAACTTGACAGGGCTGTTTTTTTCCAGAGTTCTGTTAGAGCGGGACAGAGCATCAGAGCCACACTAGAGAGTGAATAAATCAGAGATTTAAAGCCTGTAATATACAGAGAATGAAGTTGTTTTATGGCTAAAACAGGATTGGTCTGTGTAATATTTTGAAGGGAGTATCAGTTTTTTCTGTTTTTTTTTTTTATCAGCCGTTCTATTTAATCAATGACGTCAACCTTTAATATGAGTTGCAGAGATTTAAAAGAAATTATTTGCTAAAAATACTCCAGAAATGAGCTTGTTAGGAGCAGAAATGCTCTGGCTGAACTTTTCTGTTGGGTTTAGTGTTGAGAGTTGCTCTATAGATCGACTGCATTAGTTGTTTTGGTTGAGCTTTTGTGCTTTGAAGCATAAAGAGTGGGCTTTATTGGAATATAAAATGTCATACTGATCATCAGACAGTCACAATAACAAACAATATCCTAGAGCTAACTTGATTATAATCTGTTTGTCTGCATTAAACTCTCACATTTCTGCCTATATTGATTTGTTTATGACAAGCGATGGAGGCTTTCTGGGACACTAAGTGAAGTCCATACTCTCGATCATAGAGGCTGAGTGTCTCTCCGTCATTCTGCAGCCGGTCCTTCTCTCCATGCGTGTCATCTGAGCTGATGCTTTGGCTGGCCGTCCTCCTCCGTCAGACTGAGCCAAACCGAGCCGAGCGAGCCAAACTGAGCCGAGTGAAATCAAAGCTCTGAGCATGTCCGTGCCTCTCCTCTCTGCGCTGACAGTGAAGGGCTCATTGAGCTCAGTGCTGAGCTGATCGTGGAGTAAAAATCAAAACCAGCCCCGTATTAATGTCTGTCATCTCACTGTGTCCCCCCCCTCTCCAACATCTGCTACAGCTGGAGTCAAATCAGGACGGATGGAGGGGAAGAATGATGTCCTCTCAGCTCGGTTTAATGTGTAAAATCTGTTTCGCATGTTTGGTTTGATGCTGGTTTCGCCCATTATAGTAATCATAACTGTTAAAAACAACAGATGGTTGATAAAAGAAACATTTCTTTATTTAATACATTAAAATAACTGAGATGGAGAGAAGCAGAAGGATTTTTTTTTCATGCTACAAAGCCTCTTCATGATCCACAGCAAGCATTTCAGGATTTCAGACTGTATCTCTGCTGTAGTGTTGTCAAAAGCCCCTCAACGACAGATTCAGAGCCAAGTTTACCTCAGAGTTATACAAACCAGGGATTTGTCCAGCTGTGTGACACCAAATATGTTTAATAGGGGAGCTTTACAGCTGTGAATAAAGGTGCAAGATGATGTGGAGTGCAGAGGCTTTACAGTCAAAGATAGAGGACAATACTCAAGTCCAGTGTTGGGACAGTCTGACTCTCAGCCTTGAGAGATTGTTGGGACAATGTTCAGCAATTGGCTGATAATCTGTGTCAGTGATTAACTTCACAGATGTCTGATAAGATGGATTAATCAAAAAGTGTGCTGCTTTGGCTCAGCTGACAGTGTCTGTCCCTCTGGATCTGATTTTACTCACCAGTCTGCCTAATGTCCCGCCCACAGCACTATCTGATTGGCTGGATGTCAAACAGCTGTGTGACATAACTGTTAAAGGGATATTCTGGCGTAAAATTAAGTTAGGGTCAAACACACCGTGACACCAAGAGATGATTTATCAAAGAGACTAAACACAACTCACCGTCTCTCTTCCAGCAGCTGCTTGAGTGTACGGAGACCTCCAGGCAAGTACATCAACTGCAGTGGAGTTTCGAAGCTCAAGGAAGAACATTTGTGATTATTTCTTCATGGAAATGCAATCAGACAGAGACGCTAAGGCAAAAGAACTACCACCTCTGCAGTGCAAAATGATTAATATGATGATTATTACTTTAAGGAAATGATGAAAAAATGTCTGACCCGTGCTTGCTCGAATGCAGAAGGGAGGAGTCGATGATGCTTATTACAACAGGGCTGATTGTGGGCTCAGTCACCTGCAGGAGATGTGAAGGTGTCGGATTGAGAGAAATATTGTCAATAGATGGCGCCCTTGCTCACTTATTTTACTGTTCTGTGAAAGGTTGCTCTGTGCGTGCCGATGTGACGTCATTATGCTGTATGTACGCCTTGTTGTGTAATCAGAAGAGTGGGCACGGTAACTGGAGTTGTGTTTTACGCCAGAGTGTAAACAATGAAACCTCCTGTACTGACCTCAATAAATAAGTCAAAGGCTAAAGAGAAAAGATTGAGTCAGGTAAACGAGTCACAATCGGAATATGTGTTTACATGGACGCGTTTCGGAAAAACGATCGGCATAAACCACCTCTCTTGATCGGAATACAATTTCTTTCCGATTGAGCCGAATTGGATCAGAATCTTCCGATCGACATGTTCACATGACGCATTTTTATTCTGATCGTGCATTATTCCGGTTATTTGTGCCCATGTAAACCCAGCTATTAACATTCTTAAACTAAAGGAAATACTGTATTTACTATAGCTTAAAGCTCAAGATAATTTCAGGATGTTTAAAGCGACAGATTTAACGTGGTGTAGGTTTCAAGTAATCAGGGACTAAATTTCAGGATTTTGCTCCTTTTATAGAAAAAGCTGTCTGAGTAAAAGATGTTTTACAGACTAAAACCTTACGATCACATCCTGAAGCTGCTCTGGTGGATCTGCTGCAGCTTTCTCTCCTCTGTGCTGAGGAGGACGTCCACTCATCAGCAGCTTTGGAAATTTAAAAACACTCATTCAATCGTATTTATGGGAAGAATATTTGGATTAAGGTTCTGACTCAAACACCAAATTAAGCTGTTTTATAGAAGACGATATGTTCTTAAGTATTTTTTGAAATCATAACAAGAAGCTTCCAGAAAGTGTGACAACTTTTGAACTGTTGCACTTTAATTTACCGGAGGTCTGTTTTTGACTCTACTGCTGACTCTGCAAAGTGCACAGTTATCAGCTGTGCATGAAATCACTTCTTCTTCTCCCAATTCTGTTAACAAGAGCAGAAAAATCGAGAAGTCTGTGTTTCTAAAATATTTCTTTCTGTCTCCTTCCTTAGAGACGACATGGGAGAGACCATCCAGTGCACCTGGGACCCCCAAAACCCCCCTCAAACACAAGAACTCCCTCCCAGCAGGTAAAGCAGATCTCTCTCTCTCTTTCCGTCTCTTTCTGCATCTAAAGTCACCATCCCTCTAACACCCTCATGTTTCAGCGCCCCGAGGCTGTGAATTCTCTTAAAATTCCTCAGAGGCACAAAGCAGCCGCTCATGAGCTCCAAACAGACACTTCCTGTGACTAATTTTATCTGAAGCCTCGACCGCAGAACTGAGCCTCCTCTGTCCTCCTGTTGGCTCCGCTCTAAAGACAGAGACGCTCACACAGAGACAGGACGGTTTGTGACATGTCCCTCACTCTGCCAACGGCTGGAAGCAGACCCTCGCTCATTTATACCCTCTCCTTAAAAATCAACCTCTGAGTTTCACCTCATACCAAACAGGAAAAAACTTTATTATTGTCTCACAAATCAATGCTTTTCAGGAACTTTTTTAATCTAACACATAATTTTATTCAAAGTTTGTTCACCCATAGAGATTTATCTATTAGTTACAATCTTTCCTTCAGTCCACAGCAGCTACAAGTTCTCTTCTCTTTTGTACATCTTCCTATATTCTTGTGTTTTTCCATTGTTGAGACTTTATGCTTTGTATCCCCCTTTTTCTGTACGGATAAGTTCAAGCTTATTCCATATAACACCTGGACTCTTCTACTAGGGAGCCATGCTGTAGTAATGCACGCAGAGTGTATTTGGACATTGTCTTGCTGTGATATAAAAGCCTTTCTTGAAAAAGTACGGATGGTAACATTTGAGGCACCAAAATATTTTCTAGCATTAATGGAGATTTCCTAAATGATTTCCATGCCATGATAACTTATGCATCCCTTTACCATTAAAGGATGCTTGCTTTTGAACTGTGAGCTGAAAACGAGCTGGATGGTCCCCTCCTCTAGGGCTCAGGACTTAGGGTCCATGATTTCCAAAAGGGAATGTCCAATTATCATTCATAAGACCACAGCAGAGTTTTCTGCTTTGCCTCTGTCCACCATGAGCTGAACCGTTTCAACCTACGTTATAGATGCAGTGAAGTGAGTGTAGAGAAGTGATTTTAAGCTCATGCAGTGACCGCTACTTCAGAGTCATGTCAGTTTTTAATGCAGTGCCTCCCGAGGGTCTAAAGATAACAACCATCCAGTGTTGTACCATTTTTTCTGCCAATTCTCTGCCAATTAAATCTTCAAATTTTTTACTAATTTATGCTGAGTGAAATTTTTCTGCTGTGTGTTTATATTTTTCACTTGCTCATGCCGTCTCTCACACAGTGAAGAGCCTCTTTCTATCTTTACCCAGTGCTGGTTTTACGTCCATTTATGTTACCAACCTGTTGCATATTGACCTACTGTAAAATTGGGTGTAAAAGATGTACTTTTAACACTATTTTTGTTATTTAAAAAGTGAGTTGGGTACTTGACCCCAGTGCGGCCAATACACCAGTACAGAATGCAGTGAGAGTTATCCCATTGTGTAAGAAGATTGGTATAAGGAGCGAACAACTGATCTTGGTAAAATGGTTAGCGTGGGACAAGTCTGTCCATGCCTCATGCTTCTCTTCTCAGTTCAGCTGTACTGGTAGTTAGCAGGATAGTGAAGAAGCAGATGGTTTGAATAAGATCTTCACAGCTGTAGATAAACTGTGCATTGTGGACTTTGTTGAATGCAGTGCATATCTTCATGCCAGAGGACAGTTTAAGCCCTTTTGTCCTGGGACACCACCAACTTGCACACATTATTTGAACAAGTAAAAATTAAGTTTAGCACTGTTTTTTTCAAACTTTGAAGCAAAATAGATTTTCCATGTATCAACAAAGCCATAAAGTAATGAAATGTCTCTCTCTCTGGTCTCTCCTCAGTGAATGGATTTCACTCAGGTGGGAGTCCGTTGCATCATGCAGAGAATTCTCACAACAGTCTGATGAGGAAGAGCAGCACAGAACCACAGGTGAACCCATCTGACTGTCTGACTGTTAGTCTTCCCTGGCAACTTAAAAAAAAAAACAGTAAAAAAATATGCTGAGTGATCATAAACTCTGACTAAAAGAGGTTGAGCCATGGTCAACTGTTTCCACAAACTAAGATAACCCTGATGACGTCAAGCACAGAGAGACGATCAGATGTGACTGACGCACTCAAGTCTGATTTAGAAATACTTCATTTCCTCCCAAGGAGAAATTTAAATGCACAAGGAAATCATAGAACACGACATAACAAATGTATTTGTTAAACAAAAGGCATGACAGTTTTTACAGAAAGTATTGCATAGATATTGTCAGCGTTGCAGAGTTAAAATACACTCACCGGCCACTTTATTAAGTACACCTGTCCAACTGCTCGTTAACACTTAATTTCTAATCAGCCAATCACATGGCGGCAACTTAGTGCATTTAGGCATGTAGACATGGTCAAGACAATCTCCTGCAGTTCAAACCGAGCATCAGTATGGGGAAGAAAGGTGATTTGAGTGACTTTGAACGTGGCATGGTTGTTGGTGCCAGAAGGGCTGGTCTGAGTATTTCAGAAACTGCTGATCTACTGGGATTTTCACGCACAACCATCTCTAGGGTTTACAGAGAATGGTCCGAAAAAGAAAAAATATCCAGTGAGCGGCAGTTCTGTGGGCGGAAATGCCTTGTTGATGCCAGAGGTCAGAGGAGAATGGCCAGACTGGTTCAAGCTGATAGAAAGGCAACAGTGACTCAAATAACCACCCGTTACAACCAAGGTAGGCAGAAGAGCATCTCTGAACGCACAGTACGTCGAACTTTGAGGCAGATGGGCTACAGCAGCAGAAGACCACGCCGGGTGCCACTCCTTTCAGCTAAGAACAGGAAACTGAGGCTACACTTTGCACAAGCTCATCGAAATTGGACAATAGAAGATTGGAAAAACGTTGCCTGGTCTGATGAGTCTCGATTTCTGCTGCGACATTCGGATGGTAGGGTCAGAATTTGGCGTCAACAACATGAAAGCATGGATCCATCCTGCCTTGTATCAACGGTTCAGGCTGGTGGTGGTGGTGTCATGGTGTGGGGAATATTTTCTTGGCACTCTTTAGGCCCCTTGGTACCAATCGAGCATCGTTGCAACGCCAAAGCCTACCTGAGTACTGTTGCTGACCATGTCCATCCCTTTATGACCACAATGTACCCAACTTCTGATGGCTACTTTCAGCAGGATAATGCGCCATTTCATAAAGCTGGAATCATCTCAGACTGGTTTCTTGAACATGACAATGAGTTCACTGTACTCAAATGGCCTCCACAGTCACCAGATCTCAATCCAATAGAGCATCTTTGGGATGTGGTGGAACGGGAGATTCGCATCATGGATGTGCAGCCGACAAATCTGCGGCAACTGTGTGATGCCATCATGTCAATATGGACCAAGCTCTCTGAGGAATGCTTCCAGCACCTTGTTGAATCTATGCCACGAAGAATTGAGGCAGTTCTGAAGGCAAAAGAAAAAAGTTGTTGCATAATCGGATTCTAAACAATGTTTTTTTTTATAGGACTTTCAACATTTATGTAAGTCATATAGCAACTTATGAAGTAATAACTTAGATGTAATAAAAGCTCATAATGCAATAAAATCATGAGTGGATAACGTAATAACATCTTTATGTTTAATATAATAACGTAAGAGTTGATTATTCTTTGACATTAAGAACTTTTATTACGTTTAAGTGATTTCATTGTGAGTTGCTACAAGTCATAAACTAAAAATGCACAAAAATTAAGATTCAAGATATTTTATTGTCCTCCGGTTATACAGGCGTGTGAAAGTTTTGCTGGACGGCTCCATTTAGAGGGCTACATGAAAAATTTAAGATATATGAATTATTATAAAAGAAAGATATTAAATCATGCAGTGAATAATAGAAGGTAAGTGTATTTTTAAGTATTTATGCTGGAAAGTAACTAGCGCTAGAGCTGAGGGAATAGTTACATTTCAATAAGAATCTTGGTTATGGCTTCACACAGTCATAAAAATATGAGAACTGGGACTGAACTATTACAGTACCTGCCATGTTGTACTCGTTTTGTCCCTCGTAGCGGATAGAGCGTACCTTAAAGGGATATTTCGGTGTAAATTTAAGTTTAGGGTCAAACACACCACAACATTGAGTTAGACACCCCCTCGAGAGATGAATGTTGCCGACTGCTTGCTTCTCTAGTTACACCAACTTTAGTAACGACCGCACGATGGCAATACACAGTGGTCTACATCTCCATGTAAAAACCTCAACCAAAACGCCACTCTTTAACCACAAATAATGCTCAGAACAGCAGCTAACTTCATCAACAGTACATATAGGGTCCCAGCCATAGAACTAGCCACCAAACATCATTTTCAGAGACCAAAACACAACTCACCCACTCTCCTCCAGCAGCAGCTTGTTTGTGAGGGAGCCCTGACGAGTTGATCACCGAGTGCAGCGGAGTTTCGCGGCTCAAGGAAGAACATTAATGATCATTACTTCATGGAAATGCAATCAGACTGAGACGCTAAGACAGAAGAACTACCGTGTCTACAGTGCAAAATGATTATTATGATGATTATTACTTCAAGGAAATGATCCGCTGTACTTAGTGATCGCCTGACTTAATTTTACGCCAGAATATCCCTTTAAGTCAAAGCTCTTACAGGGAAGTGAAGAATTGATGCATGGTCTCTTTCAACCCTATTATTGCCACATTTTTCATAGAGAATATCCATTTAGACAGATGTGCTTTGGTGAACAAAACAAGAGTTTTAATTCCTCTACAAAGCTTTTAATATGTGTCTGTGATGTAGCTGTCAAATCATGAGTAATCATTCTTTAAAAATATGATACCAGATGTATTAGCTGTTTCTGGTTCAAAAATCATCATCCTCCAGACAAAAATCCATATTTCTGTACAGATCTTTTCTGTTATGTCCGACTCATAAGACAGCAATCTGAACTAGTCAGTGTCAAAAACAGGAACTTTCAGTGACACACTTTGTCCATAAGGATTATGTTTCAGTGTCTACAGCCTGCTTTTCTATAGAAGGATGAACTGGAGACACTTGAACACTTTTAGTACATTTTAGTCACTTGGATCCTGAGATATATAAAGCGAAGTGTCAGGTGAACAAACAGACTGTAAGTTCATTTTTATAAAGTCTGAACAGCTTGTGTTTGATAATAAAAACAAGAGATGATGTTTACTTTCCTCTCTGAGATGATCAAACCCCCGCTCTCTCTCTCTCTCTTTCTCTCTCTCTCTCATTATAAGCAGAGAGGCTGATGGTAGTTAAAGCAGATTAATCCCTCCTACAGTATCTGCTCCCCTGATCGTAATTAACCAACAATCCACCCACCACTTTTTCACTCAGTATCCTCATTTCTCCCCTGTACTGCAGCTCCAGAGCACGCCATAAAACACACACTCAAACACTGAAAATTCAAGGTTTTCTTTTCTACCTGACTTTTTCTGCAAGAGAGGAAGTTCAAACTCAGATTCTTCATATCATATTTTTTATCCTAATTTCAGTTTGTCTCCTCATACTGTTTCTTTGTCCTCAAACAGAAGTTTAACAATCACACACACAGAAAGAGAGGCAGCCATGTGTTGCTTTGCTCTGCAGAACTATCCTCCCTACTCTGCACAGCAACACACACACACACACACACATGCTAACACACACACACACACACACACATTTAAACACGCCAGCAGCAGCAGCAGCAGCGGCAGAACCAGAGAGAACAGCAGACAGACGCTCAGCGCTCGCCGGGAAAACAACTGTCTTTGTGTGTGTGTGCTGGTGCTGCTGTGTGTGTGCGCGTGTGTTTGTGCGTAGGGAGTCATGTCTGACACGGAGGACGGAGGTTTTGACGGGGCATCCTTTTTCTCTTCCCCACAGAGTCCGGGATCAACGTCGCCCACTAGGAAGCAGAACAAGGAGACCACAGTGACGGTGAGTGGAGCAACTAATGCAACTCTTTAACTAACCATGAACTCGCTGCTCTCGCTACAGGAGCCCAGAGGGGCCAGATGAAATGCAAGCAGAGGGAGATTAAGTGCTTTTACCTGCGACATTAGAAAGATAATGAAGGAATGTGTAATTTCCAGGAGTGCACAGGTGAGATTTAATTTTCCAGGTGCGTGTTTTAAGCCTCAGTCGTGGGCAGAAATCGCATAAAAACTTAAATCCAACCTGTTTAAACACAAAAACTAACTCTTACCTGTTAAAAAGCTGTAAATCTGTTAAATATGTATCCACTGCTGAGAGGTGCATGCTGCTTGTTTTCTGTTGCTAGTATACACATGGTGACGTCATCCCCTCCAGCATCCAGATGATTTCTGTTGTCAGGTCGTTGCTTCCTGTTGGCTCTCAGTAAACAGCAGAGCAGCTCCTCAGTTTCTCTCACTCACTGTAATTTTTTCACTGTATATGCGAAACTAAAAGCTTGATCTCTGCTGCCATGGCAACCACAGTGATGCCGCTGATATGCACGTGGTGGAAAAAAAAAAAGAAACATAAGAGGATGATCTGCTGAATAAAGATTTAGTTTATGATTAGGAGGAAATGATTTGCGAAGCAGGACATGTTCCTGTATCCACATTTCAATCAGGTTTTTTAATCATCTTTTTGCTTTTCTAATTTTTTTATACTGAGGTACTGGTCAGTAAAATCTATCGAAACCAATAACTTTATATTTCCCTTTCTCGTCATATGTGACATTTAGCTTGAATTGGAGTATACAATGCAAAATAAGACGTAATAATGAAGCTTCGACTTGATAAGAATAATAATTCTCTTTTTTTTTTTTTTGAGCGAATACTGAGTCTCTTCCTCTGAGCTTTAATTTATATATCAAAATGTATTTACTCATGAAGTGAATGTCAAACCTGCCAAACCTCATGTATAGGTCCGCAGGGTCCTTTGAAAAGTATAAAAGTCACAGAATAAATTTAGAACAGATTTAAAAATATTAAAATGTCATAATGAGCAGATAAATATTTTAATGGGGATCATATTTTGAGATTTAGATTGATCTAGGGCTGGGCGATAAACCCAAAATTTACCAATACTGAAATTTACGACAATAACCCGACGTCATTTTGCTCATGTCAATATATTCGGTGTCAAATAAATAAATAAATAAATAAAAAGTCGGTTTTGAATGTGTGAAGTAGGCTATGGTCTCATGTCCCTTTAAGACGCTGTTCTATGTTAGAGACGTGACTCCACCCCATCCAGTCCGTAACAAAGAGGGAAAGACAGGAGAGGAGACGCAGGACGGTTCAAAGCTGTAGAAGCTGGAGCGGCGGCTGAAGTAGACGAAGTTAATGTGGGAGGGGCTGAGCATCTTGTGGAGTAATTATCATCTATTTATTGTTATCAAGGGGAGCTGCTCAATATATCGTGATATTGATTTGAGGCCATATCGCCCAGCCCTACATTTAGCAATGGAAAACAGCTGACTGTAAACAGTTTGTCAAAATAAAGCTAATTTTAAGTCCGACAGTGTTTGACAGGAGTCATAAAAACTAAGGATTGTTAACCTTCACAGTCTGTTAAAACTCCCTAGTTAACATTTGTAGATACATATTAAAATAAAGTTAAAAATGTTCCTTACATAACCAGTGACAGCTCAATAATGATTCTAAGATCTATAAAATGGTTTTAAAATGTATAGATGCTGAGTAACAGGACGAGCTGTAGAGGTTTGAGACAGCTCTGCCGATGATGGACCACACTCAAATGTGTCTTGACAACTTTGCTCAAATGTGTTTCTGATATTTTATCCAGAAAAAGCCCTAAAAGCTCTGAAACTCTGTCTATATCGAGCACAACAGTATACAAATCCAATACTGAGTACTTCTGCTGCCCCACTCTGAGCCGAGGACAGAGATTCACTTGTTGGAGAGGGAGTTAAGTGAAAGGTCGGCTGATCAAGGTCACCTAAGGTCAGGAGCGAAAGGGCTGCAAACAGTGTGTGAGTGTGTGTCCATGTTAATGCATCCTGGTCCTCTCCAAAGGAATTGTGGGTCAGTTTAAGCCCTGTTAGCTGTCCATCTGTGGACCTCAGCAGTGATTAAACAGACTCCACTTCCTCCAACAAATTATAAGCTTCATAATCCAGGATACGGTTGAGCTGGAGGCAGTTTTCTTGTTTTTCTCGTGCCTTTCTATCTCACAACGAGCTCTGGGAAAGTCATCAGCAGAAGTGAAGTGGTCGATCTGCTCTGAAAGGTTTTGGCTTTCGACAGAAGTTTCACTCAGAGGTTTTCAAGAAGAAGAGTTCATCCTCTCTGCAGGCTGAGATCTCCTGATGTTAATGTCTGAGAGGAATAAAGCAGCGACTGTTTGTCCTGAACCTGCAGTCTGTTTGAAGACAGGACTTCTTATATGTGCCCTGTCTTTGAATTTTGTAGTTTATTTTATGTTTGTGCCTCTTCATCCTCCTTCTTCAAGTCAACCTTGGGCAGCTTTGACGTCAGACACTTTACCTTCTCACTGTGAACACAGTGTATGAGGTGTAGATACTTCAGGCTGTGCTCTTTATTCCCGTTTCTGCTCAGAAAACTGAGCGCTCTTACAGAATATGATGTGAATTTTTATCAGAGATGTCCTTTGAGTTTTGTGTTTTCATTCTGCCCCATCTCTGGTCTGTGTCCTTAAGTGTTCCCACGGTGACCATCTTCATGAGCTCATCTTAGTGACCTCACCCACTGGTTTATGAGGTGGAGTTTTGAAGCCTATCAGAGGCGGTCGCCATATCGGAAATGGTGACTCAACCTAGCGTCAGGGCTTTAAACCTCCTCGCTAAGACCTGCAGTGTGTGTGCCTGTCAGTCTAGCCTTCAAATGCAAAACTCATAATCTCCAAAAGACCTCCAAAATCAATGGTTAATAAAAATTCACCCTCCAGTGTGTGTGTGTGTGTGTGTGGAGAAAATTGAACTTTTTGTACCAAAACTGTACAAGGCAGGAAACATGTTTATTTTTGCTGCTAAGATTGGCTTGTTTGAACTGGTGTGTATGTGGCTTTCAGTGCTTTTGGAGCCAGCCTCAAGTGGACATTCAAGGAACTGCAGTTTAGCACTTCCATGCTGGCTTCATTTCGATAGACCAGAAGTTAAATTCAGAGAAAAAATAAATTCATCAGCATACGCTAAGCATCCCTAAAAGCATGTTTTCTTTTGCATTGTTTCTGTTATTGCTGTTGTTTATTTACTCTATCCTTTTATGTTCCATTTTCATCTGCAGCTGGTTTCCTCTGGAGCTGTTTTAGCTTTACGCGTCTGAATTTGCTGTTTTCTCTCAAAGAGAGCCTATCTCTGCAGACAGGCTCGCCTCCACTGCCACTTCTGATTTCCCTTAAACTGGCACAAATATACAAACATATTTACGTATATATTTCATTTTCATAGTAATGTATTTAGAATTTTATATTTCTTTTCAAAGAGATCACAAATGTGTATATATTAACCGTAATGGGATGATCATCTTCACTTCACTAATTTTTATCAAACTCTCAAACTTGTAAAAACAAGTCTTAACTGCTGAACTGAAGTATTTAAGTTGAACTCACTAGTGAGTAGGGGTGGGCATCACCAGTGGCCCCACGATACGATAATATCACGATACTTGCGATTTTTAACATTTTGCAATACAGTGAGTATTGTGATACAACATATTGCGATTTATACAATTCTTTCAACTGTTTAGCTAATTTAGCATTTGTCTTTCCTTAATGTTTGTCTTATTTACACTGTATTTTATTTTCATGTAGCACATCATGCAAACCTCTTAATGTCAGGTCCATCTCATTTGTGCCCTGCTTTTATTCCTAATGTCTTTCCCCAGGTGCTGCTATATTCGTTGCACTAACTTTCTCCTGCTCTATGATGTCACCTCTTCCAACCTCATTGGACAAACAGTTGATTTTATTTTTCCATTATCATAGATTTGACTTTATATTAACTATTACTTTAAAAAAATCGATACTTGGTAAATGAGATGATACAAGATATCACCAGACAAAATATCATGATTGTATACTGTATCGATTTTTCCTCCCACCCCTACTAGTAAGCCAAACAAATGTTACAAAAAATAAGTATTAATGAATTTTGAAATCTTTAACATGTTTGTGCTGGTGTTCCAGTTCCTGGATAGAGTACGTTTTCTTGGACATGAGGGTCTCAGTTTTGATCAGGTTTTTATGTACCCTGTTATGTGAAAAGTGCTGGTCTAGTTTAAGTTTGAGGATCTTTTTTTTTTTTTAGGATTTTTGGTTTTAATAAGACAGGAAAGCTTAAGAGTGATGAAATGTGAGGATAGAGGGGGGAAATGATTGGCACCAAATCATGCCAGGATGACCTGAGGATCTTAGCCTTCGTACATGTGGTCTACTGACTGTGCTCAGATTCCGACTGAACTCAGATTTTGCTACGTAGCGAACTCAGAAAGAACAAGAGAAACTATGGCGTGAATACACTTAGTCTCCGTTTTTGACCACTGCAGACTATTGGCACAGTCACAACCTCAGATAAGTTACTCCAGGAGCGACAACAATGAAAATCCCACATAGACTCTGCACAAAAACATGTTGATACCAAACCAGGTTAGTATTTGGCTTGTCAGGGGGTATGAAACACCTGGTTTCTCTGTTTGCCTGTTAATACCTTATCCTGAACTCAAGTCCGTGTAAACAATCTTATTGTTGGTCTGTCCCAGATCAGAATATGCACACATTTAAAACTACAGAGTGCATCATCAAGAACCTTTTGTTTTATCAGGAAATTTCACAGAAGTAAGGATTTATAAAGTACGCTAAATCCCTAAGTCAGCTGATCCTCTTGCCGTTTATATTTTTAGCAAATAGATCAAATGAAAGAATTACAGCTCCTGAGAACAGAAGGTAGTGGAGTTACATGCATTGTGCAAAACTCTGCAGCTCACAGTGGGGCGTCCTGCAGCAACATAATGAAAGGCAGTCTGTTTCTTTTAGTGCTGTAGGCTGAAGTGAAAAATTCAGAGTGTGTATTTTAGATTAAAAAAAAACTACACAATGAATACTCTGAATAGTCAAGAGAAGTTAATGAGCAGAGCTGAGCTGGTTTCAAATGTCGCCTTATCTTGAGTTTGTTCTCCAAGCGGCAGATATGAGAGTGTTTCCAAAGCAACCGAGTGCTGCAGACTACCTTAAATACCAGAGCAGGAGTCCGTGTGTGTGTGTGTGTGTATAATCTGTCAGCAGACTCTCACAGAACTGCTGTACATCTGCACGAGCCTCAAAGCAAACTCAACTGTTATGATCCAAAAAACTGCCCCATTAAACCAACCTCCCTGTGGTGCTTTCTGTCTCTCTCTCTCTCTCTCTCTCTTTCCCCCTCTTCCAGATAAACTGTGTGACGTTCCCGTCGTTGGCCGTGGTCGAGCAGCAGCTGCTGAAACCGAACGAGTGGAGCTACTGTGACTACTTCTGGGTAAATTCACTGAAACATTAAAGAGCCAGTAAATGTCTTTTATTCTGCCCTGCAGCACAGACTGGCTGTAATTATCTGACAGAGTACATCATTAAGGTACTGTAACCTGGAACCAAAACACACCTTTAACAGCTGACAACAGGCTGGCAACAAACAGCAGCTTAAAGTCACCTAAAGGGAAAATAAAGTCACTGTAATTCATGCCATGTACATATTCTGGTCAGAGCAGTGTATAGTTCAAATGTTTTGACAGAAACTGCACATCCACATGGACAGATATCAATTACCATTCAGGCAAACTTCACTGAAAATGCACAAGAAGTCAGAAAAATAAATATGTCACCATAGTTACACCTCCCATAGGACCAATCAGATGAAGGCATGGCTAATTCTGTCATGCGTTTAAGTGAATTTGTGTTAATTTTAGGGTTACGGTTAGGGTTAATTTTTAAGGCTGAAGAAGGAAGGTTGAGTTAAGGTGATAAGCAGAGCCTCTCTGTTGTTTGTCATGTAAGGGATAATGCATGGCGAACCCTAATGGAAGTTAGAACCACAAGTCCCGCCCTGAACCACATGTTGATTTCTATAACTGCACTGCCATGCTTGTAAGCCACCTTACACTGACACTTCCCCCCTCGCTCTGGTTTCAGACATTAAAAAATTACGCTATGAAATTGTAAATGCTGTTGCCAGTGGTCTCATTTTTGAGCATCAGTATAGATTCAGAGTGTTGATTGCATTTTGGCAATCACTGAAATGATCTCTTACATGACTTTATCCACACACAAAGCGAGTGTTATTGCTCATATTTACGCTCTAATGTTTCTGTATTTATAGTATGCCACATATTTATTGTGGTGTTTATGCACATGGTAGATTTTCTTTGCAGGGCGCGGGGATTTTACAGCCCTCGACCTCAGCACTAAAGCGTCTTTGTCAGTCCTCCAAATCTCTCCTAACAGTAAAATGTAGGTAAATAAAAACCATGCAGTGTGTACCTGTGACCCCTGAATGTGACTCACGCAGAAAAACACACGCATTCACACATAATTTGTAGTCTTAATAAGAGGAGGCAATAATCCAAGGAGCCACTGCTCATAAAGATGTTTATTACCTCTAAGATGTTTAAAATATATGTACCAAGTGTCGATGAAACATTCTGGTACGAGAGTGCTGCAAAGCATGAGTTAAAAGTGTGGTAGAAATGAGCAATGACAGGCCTGAAGCTGCATGAATTTTTCAGCTTAAAAAAAACAAATTTTAGTTTTTGCTTGTTTGGAGCAAATAACGATGCAGAAGAATGAGGGACCAGTTTTACCAAAACATGCAGCAGGAATTAAAAGATCAGCTTCAGCAGTGAGGGTCGAAGGACCTGAGTTTAAAATCCTCTGTTCAGTGTTTTCTTACTTTAGCATTTTTTCTTCTTCACTCTCTTTGTCATCTCCTTTTTCCTCAGCTTCATTCTCACTTCTCTTTGTTGTACTCTTGTTCTCCTCATGTTTGTTCGTGACCTCATCTTCAGTTTGTCTTTCTTGTTCACTTTCATCAACTTCTGATTCTTTGTCGTCCTCATCTTGAATTCGTCTTCATTCTTTCTTTCTTTTCTTTGATTGTACAGTCTTCTCCTCTTCTTTGTCATTATCGTCTGTATCATCTTCTCCATTTCCTAAACTGTGGGAGCTATCTTCTGCGTAGTCTTCTTCTACGTCGTTGTTTTCTCCAGCATAGTCTTCTTCTACACCGTCATCGACTTCTGCATAGTCTTCTTTATGTCATCATTATCTTCTGCATAGTCTTTTTCTACGTCCTAATCTTGTGCAGACTCTTCTTTTACGTCATTGTTATCTTCTGCATAGTCTTCTTCCAGGTCGTCATCATCTTCTGCATAGTCTTTTTCTCGGTCGTCGTCTTTTGTATAGTCTTCTTCTACATCATCGACTACTTCTGCATAGCCTTCTTCTATGTCATCATTATCTTCTGCATGGTCTTCTTTAATGTCGTCGCGATCTTCTGCATAGTCTTCTTCAACGTCATTATGTTCTGCATAGTCTTCTTCTACATCATTATCTTGTGCATAGTCTTCTATGTTATCTCCTGCAAAGTTTTCTTCTACTTTATCATTAAAAGGTATCAACATGGATTTCAACCTATTTCATAAATGTAAAAGAAAAAAACTCCTCATAGGAGCTTTAAGCAGGTAAATACTGTCTCTGATCAAGACTTCAGAGAATTTGAGATCTAGATTTTCCTAGAAAGCACTCAAATACTGCAATGAAGTACTGTATGAAATACACGGACATGAACATAAGATTTGTGTAAAACTCATAGTTTGCTGTAATATGTGTATCATATTACAATACTACAGTATTTACAGGATATTTTTAAGAGCTTGTAATAAAAACTACAGCACAGTAAAATAAAATGAAAAAGAAGTTTCCAAAGAAACTTTTATCATCTTTTCTGTTGCCGACAGGTGTTCAGTTCCGCGCAGCTCTGAAATGCAGCGTATTTCATCAGACCAGGAAAATTCTGATTTTATGAAAACATCAAGGTTTAGTAGTTACCAGGTTACTGTAAACACTGACTCATTTCTGATTCTTTAAGGTTGTAAACAGCCTCTCCGTGTGTGAGGAAGCAGGAGGTCAATGTATAGGTGTGATATTGTCACCTTCCTGTTTCTTAGCGTGTGTAATTTTGTGTGTTTCTCCCTCAGAGCGACAGAAAGGATCTTCAGGGAAATGGCAGCATCAGCGGGTTTGAAGTCCTGCTGCAGAAACAGCTGAAGGGGAAACAGATGCAGAAAGAGATGGCCGAGTTCATACGAGAAAGGTATCACGCTGTCTTTTCTTCTTTTTTCACCCTCAGGTAACCATGGAAACCACACAGCCAACACTCAACAAACCATTTCCCCTTTCGTCCAAGCACATCAGCGTGTTGCTCAACACAGGAAATGATCATGGAAACAGTCAGGTTGTGTAAATGTTGTGTGGTGATGAAACTGTGTTGTTCCCTCTCTTAGGATCAAGATAGAAGAGGAGTACGCCAAGAACCTCTCCAAACTCTCTCAGATCCCCCTCGCCAGCCAGGAGGAAGGGTGAGTGAACAGACTCGCCGATGAAATAACCCCCCTCTCTTTATATTGTGGCTGCACCTTTCCCCACACACACACACAAGAAAACATACACAAACACTCTGTGAAGGATGTGAACCAACTTTCGGTAAAGACAGACGTGTGTGTGTCACCTCCTGGAGGAGAAGAGTTTCACCTCGGCAGTCGACGTGGAGTTAAAGAGGCTGTGAATCATCCATATCTGGGCTCTTTCTTTCAAAGTTCAGTCAGAATATTGATGCGATGGTTTAAAGCACTCAAGAGGACATATATTTCTAAGCAGGGTCAAAGGTCAAGGCCACCTGCTGTAAACAGCCATGAAGCTGAAAGAGACAAAGCATCAGAGTTGAACCAGCCAGTGAAGATCCCCAATTTGATTATGATCCATCATGATGGATCAAGGCTGTCCCGGCATCAGATTTCATCTCACGCTTTGAAGTTGCCATATTTCCTGGATTGCAAACTTATACTTTTATTTTGAAGGGCACTACTTCCGTTAGCAGATTAAGCTGAAAACATACAGGATCCGTATTGAGTGCGTTCTGTCAGCGTCGCACCTCTGCTCCGTTGAGCAGCGCTGTCTATCGCACACAGGATGCGTATTTGGAGCGTGGCAGCAGCGTAGTGGTCAGCTCGGCTCAGTATAGAGGAAACAACATGACCACAACAGGTTGTTTTGCCTTTCTGTGGTCGATTTCCTGCTAATCTGGATATAATTCAGTGACTGATGTTGACTGCGTGTGAAAGAGCAACATGATTTTACAGTTTCGGTTTTTGCAGGTTTACTCGTGTTTAATAAAGTAAACTATGTTCCTTTATGCTGTTACCTTCAGACAGAGTTAGCAGTTGGAAGTCCTGTTGGGGATTGACTATCAGATTGTTCTGTGATACTGATAAATCCATAACCAGGAAGTATTTCTCATCTACATGAACTGATTCACAATTGGAAGTTCGCATATGGTGTTTTATTTTGAAATTTACCGGGTTACATGTGCGGTTTTCATGCTTGACATCCTGTCTAGAACAATCCTCTCTGTGTAGATTGACACATATTGGAAGTGTAGAGCAGATAAAATAGACTTGGCTTGTATCTTTATCAGAGCCGGGCTTGACATGCTTTTAAAACGGAGCTGCAACGGAGCTGAGACACGTCCTGTATGCAATACTTCATTGATTAGAATGGCAACCTATTTGCTGCATGATATGCAACGCTGATGGAACACGCTTAACACGGATCCTGTATCTTTTAGGCTTTAGTTACAGCGCTGAATGCCAACAATTTAAAGAACAGTTTGAAAGTACAACAGCTCAATTGATTAGAGATCAAGAGAGACACAAGCTGCTTTTGGATCACAATAAATGAGTTCATAAAAGAGACAATGATGTTTTGTTTCGTGTTTTCATGTCTGCGGTTTCAAACGATCGGCTCTAATGCCTCCACAATTTTCTGTGGTACTGCAGCCTCCAGCCTGTATCCCCAAGCTTGCAGAGGAGAAGACTTTTGAGTTTCATCTTTGAGGAGTTATAAAACAAAAGCTTGGAGTCGGCTTTGAGTGATTGTGTTGGGTATAAATGTTGAAGTAGCCGGCCAATTAGCCGGTCAGACAGACAGCTCTACAGTCAGCGAACCAGTCAGGCAAGACGCCCCAGAGAGAGTGGGTGTGTGAGACACTGAAGAAGTCTTGTAAATCACTGCACTCTTTGATCTGCGTCCTGCAGCAGACTGAAGCGTTAAACAGAGGGCAGGAGGGCAGGAGCGCCGAGAGAGGAAGGAGAAGAGGAAGAGGAGAGGGGGATGTACAGAGGTGTGAAGATGAGTCCAGTTTGATTCGAGGAGACAGACTCTCAGTTGTACATGTTTGAGGTTGTAGGGGAGCAGTAATGGAGGAAAACCCTGCAGGGAGAGAGAGTTAATATCTACTCCTCTCCTCTCTGGCCTGACAGCAAAAGGGGTTTCATGCTGAGGCTGAGCCTTTGTCTGATCCTCCGAGGGGAAACGGGAACATGAGAGCAGAGCTGAGAGGGTCACAGCTGACTGAAAACACCTACAAAGACCAGAAGCTGTGATTTGTTTGGATGCCGCCTACGGCCCGGTTATTAAACTCGTCTTTATTAAGAGATTCCTCCAGGACAGAGAGGGAGAGCGCAGCAACGTGACCAGATATCACTGCAACATGGCGCTGAATAACAGATGTTTTGGGAGGGAAAATTAAAGTCAGATGCTGCCTATTATTATTCAAAAAATGAAGTATTGTTTTTTATCTTTAAGTTTGCTGTGATGGCAGATTCCCTCAGGACATGCCCCCTCAGTCAGACCAACATGAGAACATCAGCAAGAGAGACCTTTTTATTGTCAGTAGCTCAAGCTGCAGCTCTTCCCTTTCTACCACAGTTCATGCTCTCAGGCTGCCAAATCAGTTTCTTCTTTTATAAACATTCTAGAAATACATTTTATTTTTCACTTTATGCCCTTCAGAGGACACATGACATCATGAAGAGGCTGTGAGCTGAGCTGCAGTCAGTGTATTTCATTGTGCAAAGCTTGTTTTTAGACAGGGATTCCATATTTATCAGGAGTCGTTTCTTTTAGATGGAGTAAAATAGATGAACAAAATCTTGGGTGGTGTCAATCTGAAGGGAGTGGAAAGCGTTGGGAGTAGAGCTGCTGCGTCTTCACATCGGAGGAGTTAGTTGAGGTAGTTCAGGTATTTGATAAAGATGCCGTCTGGACAGCTAGATATAGGGATTGCATATCCCACCTGGTCTGGAAACGCCTTGTGGTTCTGGATAGTGTTGCTCCGTAGGGGGAGGTTTGGGTCAACTTGCTTTGACTGCTGACCCCATGACCTGGCCTCGGATAGGCAGGAGAAAAAGGATTGATGTGTTATTTGATTATTTTACTTTGTGTACCTTGTTATTTCAAAACTCTCACAATGGATGCATTAGCATATGCATGTGTGTGTCACTTTATTTCCAGACCCTCTGCAGCAAACCTCATTTTGCAGAGAAGCAAAGTTTAGTGGAATGATTTCACTCACTTCATGCGTTTTGCAGCTGTGGTCTGTTTTTAGTTTGACTTAACAAGTTTCTGATGGCAGCAGTTGTAAGCTTTTGTTTGCAAACATGAAACTCTAACGTAATCCTGATTTATCCTCGAATAAATGTGTAGTCTGGGCTTAATTTTCCGTTCTCAGAAAGTGGTCAAACTTGATGCTGAAAATAGCCAGCCCACATAGAAGTTTATCTGTTCTTAGCCCCTCTTGCCCTGCCTACATGTGTATCATATAATTCCTCTCCATGTGAGCCTGCTGTTGCAGGGTCAGAGTGGGAAAAACTGTCTCATATAGAATCCAGATTATACCAGCCGGCTCGATCAGCCCACACCCAGAACAGCGCAGCACAATACTTTTATTATCCTCTCCCTCAGGCCGCTCTGTTGTCAGATGGACAATCAGTGTTTTGTTGGTCAGTTCCTACCATCCGACCCGCAGAACCAGCCGACTATTTATTCCTGAAGTTACCATTTGTTTGGTAGAGATGTGGCCCAGAGGCATGTGATCACTTAATTCTGCTGAATGGAGGCAGGAAATTAATTCTCCCACAGATACAGTACTTTGTTGACAAGTGATAGTCAGCTCAGTTATAGGTGGAATCATAAGATTTAAACATTTCTGCCTCATCTTGTTTGAAATGGAGAACAGTATGTCCATATGCACCAGGACACTTTTGTTTAATGTGTTGAAGACCACATGAATCATCTCCATCATGTGCTAAACACCCATGTTAGAGCATAATCTTTGACAGAGTGTATGGCAGAGTGAAATGGGATTATTTTGTAACATATGATGGCCTTGGTGGTGACATTTTTAAGCAGTTTCCTTTTTCTCTATTTGCTGTTTAGGCGATGTATCTAGTCACCCTCAGATTCAGACAGATTCCCTTCTGACCTGATTAAAGTCGGGCCAAACAGGAACATTTGCTGAATGAACGACAAATATGAACTTTGAACTATCAGTAAAAAAACAGCTCTGTAGAGGTTTCTGTTATTAACCAAGATGATTGCTGCTACCTTGGAGAGTTTTCAATCTGCTTTCGCATCCAAAACCACACTGATATATTGATCAGTATCATTGGCCAACAATCATTTAGCATAAATAAGTCAATATTGGTGCATATGTGCAGGATGTAATGGAAGGGGCTGCGAGCTGAGCTGCAGCTAAAGGAAAGGGCTTCTTTTTTATTAGGAGTTGTGACTTTTAAATCAAGACAGATATTCTTTTGCTAATATTTGTGGGTGGTGTCAATATATCACAGCTGTGACATCAGGAGGGGCTGTGAGCTGAGCTGCTGCTACTTTATTTATCGGTGCAAAGACTGTAGGTAGACTCAGACAGTATTTAGTGTAACACATAGATTGTATGGCAGAGAGTATTGAAGGAAGTCTGATATTATTGGTTGATATTTGCCCAATTGATGTTCAGGTTAAAAGTATCATATGTAAAGCTTTTTAGTTAACAGGGGGTTTCAGGAGGGGGCTGTGGGCTGAGCTGTAGCAAACTTATTTCTAACTGTGTAAATGTTTTATACAAGAGCTGAATCACCTCTACCTTTCTCTATTTCTACTAGGGGTGTTCCAACAAGGGTACCTCACGATTTGATCCGATTTTGATTATGGGAGCGTTGATTCTTTGATTCGACGATTATAATGATTGTCAGTTCGTTTCAATTATTGGTGCCACGGTTCTTCGATTATTGACATTTTTAATGCTTTTTTTCCATACGAGATTGATTTTGTCTTCACCTGTGGCTACATTTGTAGATAAATAGCCTTTCAATTAACTCAGTTCCTCTGAAACTACTCTCAATAAGTAAATAACGTTTTTTGAACTAAGTAACTGAAGTAACTTAAACTTATTTTTGCCTTGCAAATCTTGCAAATCGTGCAGGTCTTGTCAGACGTCTTGTTTGCTCTCTCATAAAACCCAAAGTACTTCCACACAGTTAGAGTCAACCTCGGTGTCGAGAGAATCGGCCGCTCTTTGGAGGCTGCTGAAGCTGTTGCCATTTTGCAAAGAAACTAACGTGCTCCGATTGTTGTGGTCCCACCCACTAAACAGTCTGGGCGGCGTGCGCATTAAGGTTCCAGTTAAGGGTTTTTTTTTTTTGTTCCGGCCTTGCAGGAAATCACAGATGTGACCAATTTATTCATTTTTTTTTTTTAAGCGTCAACGTTAATTATTTGATGCTGAATCATCATATTTTGAGTGTCTTCTGGAAAAGTGATAAAAAGTTTTACAGCGCACACACGAAGTTCTTGTTTGCTGATGTAAGAAGTCAAAACTTTGAAAAGCCGGATTTGATAAAACTGTATGAACAGCTGCATGTGTGAGATGTGATATGATTGAAGGCAGGGGACTGTAAATATTCACTCAGAACTAAAGCATGGACAGTATGTGTTTGGGTGACACTGAGGTTGACCCACTTTTGTTGCTGTAGTGCTGCAGGTGTTGGACTTTCCTCTGACAGTGCGAGGAATGTTTTGGCTGTCAGTCCGAGGGAATTCCTCGCGTGTCTGTGTTCATAGCGAAGCTTTGAAGTGAGCCGCTCGGACATGAAGATGGTCGGCCTCGTGTCTCTGTGACCCTCTGACTGCTCAGTGATTGTTTTACAGTCAGCAGCTGGGGCAAATATGGAGAGACGTCTGCCTTCCTATATCCTCTGTTAAAGGAAAAACTGTCCCGTTACTGTTGCATCTTCAAAAACAAACAATTAACATGCCTTACATTCCCAATTTATGTCCATGATGGTAAAATAACAGACGCAAAGATGAAATAAAGGGCATCAGTGGTTTACGTTGCACATGTGCACCCTATAAAAAATATGAAAATATAAGAAGCAATAATAATTCAGTTTCACATAGATATCTCTATTGTTATATGCTTCAGTTATTTGTAGCTATCAGTGAATCATTTTCTCTTTTTGGAAACATTGAAATTTTATTTTTGTGATATTTGAACTTTATCTTCTAACAAGTTATTTTTTTCTCTTCTACTTTTAGATGTAATATTAGGACTCAATTCTTAAAATCCTAGTTTTTTTTTGTTTTTTATTATTTTTATTTTAATTGTGGCCCTAAACTAAAATGTTGGCCCACAAAGCCCTTTGAAAGACCAGACATAATTCTTCAATTAAAAAGCAAACAAGCTGCAAGTTAGAAGCGCTGTAATTGTGCCAAAGTCCAAAACAAAAGCAATGATGGAAACAAAGAAACATGAGATGTACAGTGAAGGCCAGCAAACATAGAAAACAAATGCAATTCAGACATAAAAACTGGGCTCTACAGTGGGTCTGTAGGAGGTTCTTAATGAAATATTCAGTCATTATTGACTAGAGAGCTTATAAGAATGCGGAACGATAGACTTTACCACAGCAGTGTGTGGGTCAGAGACTGTATAGTAACTGGACGTAGCTTTGGTAACATAAACCATTGATTGGTAAGGCAGAACTTTGGAGTGTATCGACTGTGGTTGCCGGATTGGAAATGTTGACTCAACTTAACTTTTAGTTGGTGGGCCTTGAGCCCCCTCACAGATAGCCACAGTGTGCCCCTTATCAGCCAAGTAAGCCGTGCATCTGATTCATCAATATTGTAACCTCAACATCTTCGAAACTAACATTTAAAAAACAAAAAAACTGACTCTTCATACAGTGGCGGCCCCTGAACATTTTAGACCTTTACTTTTTTTAGACCAGGATATAAACATATATTATTTCAGATATTCAGAAACAGATATTTATTCAGCCTTCGACATGGACTTTTTTGACAAAGCGTGTACGTGGTTTCTGGTGCTCTTGCAGTGAGCCTCAAGTGGACACTCAGGGAACTGCAGTTTCTAGCAATTCACCATCAGCTTCATTTCTCAAGACCAGAGGTTGCTACATGGTGTGGTCCCACTGTCTACTTTGTATAAACATGAATTTATAACACGCACAAGCATCCCATGTAACTTTAACCGTGGAAGTGTTTGTAATGAACAGGCATGTGTGCTTAAGTTAGCGCTTTTAGCTGTCTGGCAGTTGTCAGGCAGTTTAACTGAGGAAAAAACACAGGGCGCCCCCTACAGTCCTCATCATATCTTGATCTGCATCATTTTTCTTTTTCTTTTTCTGTCTACCCTCCCCCACAAACACACACACGATTGCATCATTTATGTATTTATTTAAAAATCCAAACACTAGCCAGGCTTTCATAAAGTAGTAATTATCTTATATAAAGATAAGTGATGTCTAATTATGACGGCATGTGCGGACTTAATTCTGATGCTGATCTCTTAAACTAAAAACACTCTCCTCAGAGTGATGGTCCCCAGCTGTGTTTAAAATCTGTGTCTCATGTCTCTCTGTATGTTCCAATCGTGTGCTGAACTGCCGACCTTGATTCTGCAGATTTACTGTTTCTGCTGTATCTGTGAACTTTTGCACCCACTCTGCCGCTGAACTCCATCTGCACGTGTGTGTGTGTGTGTGTTTTCGTGTGCATGTCTTAAAGTGAAAGTGTGTGTGGTCCTCTGCTGTGTGAGATATTAAACAGTCTTCCTCCTCCTCCTCCTCCTCCTCCTCCTTTCTCTCAGGACTCTGGGGGAAGCCTGGGCCCAGCTGAAGAAGAGTCTGGCAGACGAAGCAGAGGTTCATTTAAAGTTCTCCTCAAAGGTAATCCATCACACCTCTCTCCTCCTCTGATCATATGCTTCCCTTTCGACGGCTGTACATGTATTTTCTTTATGCGTGTGAGTCAAGGTTAAACACGACACGTATTTCCTTTATGCCTTATTCAAAGTTCTCTCATGTGGAGGTGTTTTTGAAGATCTGGTATACTCTCCCCTGAACAGACAACTTTAGTTCCTTCTTTTGTTTTGTCTTCTTCTTGTCATTTATCATCTTGTCAGTAAGCTTTTGCCCTAAAAATGGAAACTCACACAGGCGGTTGTTGCATAACTCTCTTCAAAATGATAACTAAGATGGCCACAGCCTTTAGTCTTTAGCAGAAGAAAGCTAGCAGATCTGTACAAAGTGCCAACAGGCTCTTATAAGCACATCTGTGAAGAGCTGTGTCATTTTCCACCTGCTGTAGTCATCAGTCATCCATACCTAAATTGTCCAATTGAAGGTGCATCCACATTAGCACCTGTGGGTGTGTTGTACTTAAAAATGAGGTGTGGTTGGTCTCAAAGGTGAGGCAAGTACCTACACCTTAGACCAACAAAAACTGGGTCTATTTTCTCTTGGAGTGGTACTCCTCTGGTATTCAGAGGGCACATTAGTGAGACAATAAAAGGGCGCATAAGAGTTAATTCCTCTGCTTGTTACACACTAACAGCAGTGCTTCATCCACTTCATAGTGCAGGGAAATTGAGGTTTTCATTGGTGCAGGGGGCGAGTATTTGTGTCCTTGTCTGTGTGCATAATTTTGGTTGAGGCGGATCAAAGGATGCCAGAAGAAGAGGACACTATCATCTCCATCTCCTCATGCACAGGCCAAAAACTCCAGACTGGCAGACTGACATCGAGTTCTGCACACTCTCATACGCAAACACATGTTTACACACAGTTCAGGATCTTCGTTTTCCATCACCATCATAACCACATATATTTACAGATATTAATTAAAACTGGGCAACAGTCTTCTTTGATTTAAAGCACACGGGACATTAGTTAACTTTCGATCTTGTTCCTTACTGTCAGTGCATCTTGGGTTTTTTAATAATCAGTGAGGTTATACTTCTGTACATCATGCATGATGTATGCATGTCATTAATTTGAAATGCTTGTGGGTGTTAGTGCTGTTTTAGCAGATATCAATTCATGCAAAAACATGACTTGTGTTTTCTGAGAGGATTAAAATCTGCTGTGTAAATAGTAACATCCCTAACTCTGAAGAGCACTGAGACACCCTGAGTAGTTTGACCCTGACTTAGCACCAGATTGATGTTTGGTGGTTAGTACTATGGCTGGGAGCCTATATGTACTGTTGATGAAGTTAGGTGTTGTTCTGAGCATTATTTGTGGCTATAGAGTGGCGTTTTGGGTGAGGTTTGTGTATGGTTCCTCAGACCGCTGTGTATTGCTATCGTGCGGTGGTTACTAAAGTTGGTAAAACTAGAGAAGCAAACAGTCGGCAACATTCATCTCATGAGGGGATTTCTAACTCGGTGTTACGGTGTGTTTGACCCTAACTTAATTTTACACCGGAATATCCCTTTAACTGATAGAACCTGAATGGACATGTCTAAGTTACTTATGTCTGCCGTGGGCTTTAGACTGAGCATTTAACAGGGGTAAGGGCTCATGTGTTGACATTGAAGACTGCAGCACATATAAAGTATATAAGACAGGAGTTATTGGTCTACCCCTGGATAGATCAGTTAGTTAGTTTGTGCTCATGTGTGACTGATGAGCACAGAACTTGACACGTGTCATGTACAGTATGGAGTGATTTGGAGTTTCCATCTGATGAATACTGAGCTCATTAACACAGAGAGAGTTTTTTGGACAGTGTGTGACTCGATACTGACTTTAGGTTCTGCAGACCATGTGACTCATGAGGCAGACAGACTGTCTTCAGATGTGGTCACACACAGTTAAAGGTTTCCTGATGGCTCTGTGGGCTGGAGCGCACCCATATGACACACTCATCATATGTCATCATATACCAACACCCTCTCTGACACTGCAGTTGTGATTTCATGCAAATGGGGAAAAAAAAGAGCTGAATTGAAAATATGAGCTCAGTTTCTCACCTGGATGGAGGGGAAGGGATTTTAATTGCAGCTTGTGAAGTTGTGGACTTGTGTGTCCTGGGAGTTAGAAGGGAGAGGACATACAGAGGACAGAGTCTAAGCTGGACTAATGGAGGAAATGGAGGCTGTGGTGGGATCCTGCAGAATTGTACTGATGCCAGTGTAACCAATGTAGTTAATACCTAATCTAGGAAATGGTGGCTGAAGTACCAGGAAAAACCAGATGAGAAGTTTTCACCAGTTTGGTATTTACTGTAGTGCCCTGAACTTTTTGGTACCTCACAGTGTGACTACATTATCGTCAGGACAGGGAGATAATTATATGAACACTATACCATAAGTATGAAGAACATGCTACATGATAAGCGACTTTTTCTGATGGGTTTGGTATTGTAAAAACTTGATCAAACTGTGTACTTAGTTATACAGTATGTTACATCCACATACATGTTGTAACTACACAGATTTAAGTATCTTGAACTAAAGGTGGTACTTCCTAACCTGTGAAGGACTGAGTTTTCTCAAAGTTGTTTCATGGCTGTAAAAACTTTTTGGGATTCAGAAACTAAGAAACAGGAACTTACCTGCTACAGTCATCAAACTCAAGAGGCAATTCAAGAAGATTCTTATACAACCCTGAAAACTTTAAAAAGAGAGATTCATCCCTCCAGATATGACTTACTTTGTTCCATCCCCTATCTGTTTCTGGTGCGTCTCCATTTCACTGTAAACAGTATGTTACACAAAGGTTTAACTCTGGCTAATTCTTCAGTATGAAGTACTCATGTGAAAAGTGGTCTTTAAATTGTGATTATAATATTTTTAGCTAAAATCACATTACCTGTGTAATTTTCAAGAACTTTTCTTCTGCAGATCTCCATCAGCTCATTAGCAGTTCGCCTCTAAGTCATGGGTGGAGACAGCGCTGCTCTGCACACTCCTCTTCATGCTAGCTTGCAGCCTAACATTGCTGGTGTAGTAGAAGAAGGAATGATGAAAGCTAATATCATAATTAGCTTTCTTATTAGCAATGCAATCCGCTAACGCACACACTTGTTCTGTGATCGTCACGGGGCACTGGGGGCGGAGCTTGGATTTGTGATGTAGGAAATCTCACTGTATCTGAACCTGCTGTTTGGGTCTGCCAGAGATTCACAGCGATTTGAATGCAGAAATACTCAGTTTTTCGCACTTATTTTTTCTCATGATATGTCCTGTAGCATCAGAGAAATGCCGTATGAACATGTAGACGACAAGAAAAACATGATTTTTATCGGAGTGGGTCTTTAAGACAATCAGATCATGGATCCAACCTCCATTCAAACAAAAGTTTTAAAGTTGTTTTCTTCTCTTGACTTTTACCATTCAAAATCAAAAACAGAAGTGAGGTCTCTCTATAACTTCCTGCTTACTGTGAAACTTGGTGTCAACAATGAGCTGGCGTGCCTTTGAAGGATGTACAGACCTAATGAAAGACGGTGAATAATATGCAGGTATATCTGAAGGGGTGACTTTCTCTTCTCTTTTGGTCTGAGACCTTTGCGGCTCTCAAATTACTAACTGGATCGGACACAAAGAAGCTCATAGAAAATAAAATCTTACAGAAGACTCAAGATTAAAAAGGAATAGTGTCTTATCACATAGTCAAAGCAGTACGTTGTCTCACTCGGCTTTGTTTTCCTTTGAGAAATATCCCAAATGTGTGGAGGAAAGTGTAGTAAAGATGATATCTTCTGTTCTGGTTGTTGTTTGGATCTTAAATTGAAACCGTTTCTCCCGTAAAGTGGCTCAGGCCGAGGGGATGATGACATCATGTTGAAAACAGCTGCAGGAAATGGAGCTAATTATGGTTTTGGGATAATTAAATCAGATATGAAGAGAGGGGATTGAAGTGATTTCCTGTTTTGATTGATAACATTATGATTGCTAAAGTGCATAAAGTTGGATTTATTACCTCAGTCACCACTTTATATGCATGTATGAGGATGTGACATGGGAACAAACATGATACGTTTTATTCCTCCCCTGCCTGTGGGTGCTGATCGTTGGTCGTTTTCTTGTTTCGATCAGCTGCAGAGCGAAGTGGAGAAACCTTTCCTCACGTTCAGAGAGAACTTTAAGAAGGACATGAAAAGGTTCGATCACCACATCGCCGACCTGAGGAAACAGTTGGTGGGACGTTATGCAGCCGTGGAAAAGGTACGAAAACTACACAGTAATGCAGACGAAAGCAGCACTGAAACTTTGCTTTTCACAAATACATGGATATAGAAATAAATCAATCAATAAAATAACATTAATAAGACTTAAGAGTAAATACTGGATGTTTTTGATTGGTTAGCTTAGCTGTCAATCATCCTGTTTTGGGATTCAGTGCTCCAGGCTTCTTATTTAAAAACTACATAAAGCTTCATTGAGGATTTTTTTAGGTGACTTTAAAATAAAATTAAAATAGTATTGATGTCTTTATGTGTAAGCAGAATAAAAAGAATATCAATGACAAGACTGACAATCTGGATATCATCATTTATAATACCTGAAACTGGTGCAAGGGGGTAGCTGAAATATTTATACAATTTCCACAAAAAATATTCACACTAAATGATTTATTTGACTGTCATAAAGTCTACAGGATGATATTATTGTATTAAGACACCACATAAGTGCTTGGAAGACAAGATAAGTAAAGCTTGCTTTGTCCACAGGGGGCGCCAAAGTCAACACAAACCAAAAGTTCCTCATAGGGGCTTTAGAAAAATGATATAAATCATATTTTTTCAAACATGTTTGGTGTAAATTGTATGATACACAAATGAATAAATAAATTGATGTCAAGTATGCTGAATTTTAGCATTATAAAACTGTAAAATTAAATATTTAAATGATTGGCTCCTTATTTCCACATTTTAACTGGACGTCCAACGGTTTCATACTAATTTGGCTCCGACTGTGGAGTTATTTCAACACTGCTCTGTCTGCTGATTAAAACAGCAGACGTCTGTTTCTTGGATTGTTTCCTGCTTTTTGTAAAGAAATTGGCTGAACCCTGAAGTCAGCCACAAATCTGTCTCATATCATCTGTTGTCTGAGCAGAAAGCAGGACGTTTCTCTGATAAATGTATCTGACGGACAGTCAAGCATTTAGAGCAGGAGGGAGAGTAGGATACTGGACATGTCCAAAGTGTGCAGCTGTGAGGTCTTACATGTCTCCGTCTCTCTGCACATCAGGCTCGTAAAGCCCTGGCCGACAGGCAGAAAGAACTGGAGCTGAAGACGCAGCAGCTGGAGATCAAACTCAGCAACAAGATTGAAGAAGACATCAAGAAGGCCCGCAGGAAATCCACTCAAGCAGGTCAGAGCCGGGGGTCAGGGGTCAAACTGTGGGGTTACAGTGGTCACAGTCTCACCCAGGTGTGTGGGTTTTAAAGAGGAATGATGGTATTTATGTACCTGGACGCTCTGTCGGCAGATTGTAAACCCTGAATACCACAGAGGAACAAAAGGAGAGGTTTCAGTGTAGAAACAGAGCAGACTACACAGACGAAAACAGAACAGAAACAGGAGTGAGTCATCTACTGACACTCTTTTTCTCTGTGTTAAATAGAGGTTAAGATGAATCCAAATTTCTGCTATTGTCTGTAATGTTAAAATGCCACAATTATGTTATAACAACAAACTTTGAATCAAGGCAGCAGCCGATCAGCAGCTCCTGGGCTCTGGGAATGACTCTTTTTGTTACAAGGATTTAGAAGTCATATTTAACTGCAGCCAGCTTTGACTCCATTTCTAGAAAATGTCTCTATCCTGTTTGGCAGACGATAAATGAACCCACTTTGGTGTGAGGTTATCTTTACATGCTCTAGTACAGTTTCTCTGCTCATGAGTGAAACTTTGCAGCTTGTCAGGAGAGAAAACTACAGAAAGAGACTGAGCGTGGGATTGTTTCTCCCGTGTTCACTGGTCTTCTGCAAGTGAAACTCTGACCTTCTCGCTCACCAGTAGTTTTTCACTCTTGTCAGTTAGTGGGCGGGCAGAGTCCCAGTGCTTTCACTTGATTATGAACCTTAGTTCCCTTAAATGACAAGAGGAGAGAGCTGGAGAAGCAACTTAGAATAAAGGTTCTGCATTACATTTTGTTCTTCAATTAATAGAAATGATAAGTTAAGCAAAGACAGAAATAGTCAACTTTGGTGCTTGTGTTGTATCCTTACTCGCTGCTTCTTATTGTAATCACTGTGGATTACTTTTTTTTTTACAAATTTTTTACAGTCACTTATTTATTGATAAGATGGAGGTGTGCTGGCTTGTATACAGTGATAAATCCCTGTCCAGTTTGTTGTAAGAAGAAGCGAAAAGATGTTCCAGCTGCTTTTACAACCACAAAGAAGGAAGTGAAAGTTATTCCAGCTCTTTCTGTTGCGATGAGAGGCAAGGTAAACAAGCTCTAGTCTGCAGCTGTAGTTCTTAGAAGTGAAGTCATGCAGGTTTTCATAAGTATTAGGTTATATTTTTAAGTGTATAATATGAACAGATTTACATACACAAGATTGTTCTGTTTGTTTAAGCATCAGGCATCATTTTAAGCATGCCGTTATTAAGAAATAAGTCATTTTTACACTGTTTAACAGTTGTTCTGCAAGTTTAATATTCAGATTAGAAATACAGACATAGTTTCACCTTGGTTTATCAGAAATGATAGAAGATACTGTATCATGACATATCAGATAAGATCAGATCATAATGTGTGTGGCTGATCATATTCAGGGTACTTAAGTGACTGTGCCCTCACAGACTGACAGACAAAACAGAAAAGTTTTAAAAACAGGAGAGCTGTTGAACTCCAGGAGAATAAACTCCTAACTGCGCGTGTCCAGCCAAAACATACTCTATAGCATGCTCTGTACTCACTTACTGGCTTGGCATGTGCACTACATCATTTTCAGTGGTTTCGTTTTGAGAGATGATAGAAAAACTTTTTTTAAAGTAAAGTTTGGTGAAGTTGTCACTGAATTAAAAATCGAAATCGAAAATCAAGTTTTCAGAGAAAAAAATCATGATTTTATTTTTGGACAAAATCGAGCAGCCCTAGTTTGAAGGTTCAAGATTGTGCACACAGATATTATTCCTGTATCGACTGTTTAAAACTTCCCTGTTTCCCTGCATTTGTTTGCACTTGCACAAAATGTTCCTTCAGATTGTTTTTGTTCAGATTAACAGAGGTTTGTGAAAACAGAAAATGTATGAGAGTATTTGCATTGATAAAATCATCTACATGGGAAAATGGCAAATTTCATTTTCTGGCAGGAAAGATAAAAATGTTTGTCAGTGGAGGGCGATGGAATAACTACTTTTAGTTAAAAGATCGTCTTCCTCTTTGCCAAAATGGTCAGTCTCAGAAAGGATCTTTTCTTTATTCTTTACTTGTCTGACAGAAACTGGAACAGCCTTATTCACTGCTGCAGTCTAAAGAAATGTACTGGAGCAGTTCCAAAACTTTTTGCACCTTTTAGTCACTTGGACCCCAAATCTTTCACTGTCTGATAGTCTGATTCCTGTGAACAGAGATTTTCTGAGCAGGATCAGAGATGTTAGACTCTCCTCAGTCCTGAATGCAGAACTCTCACTGCTCTCACTCCACGGCTAACTCACTCCTGCAGTGTTACTTTCACCCTTCACTGGAGCTCACTCTTGAAATCTGCAGTGACCCCCCTGACGCTGTGTTTGTCTTGAACATGAGTCATGAGCTTTATCAGCACTTTGAGCCAGACTGAGAGGGTTTTTTTTTTATTTTAATAGAAGGATGAGAGAGGACTGGACTGTGTTCACACCAGACTGACAGAGAGGCGTGGGCAGGGACTGACTCCAGAGTCTGTGGGGGAGACACAAGCACATCCAAACACATTAAAAATCTGATTTTAATCCAACCCCATAAAATCTTTCTTATCACTGAGGGATTTAGGATTGATTGTTTTCAATCTCTGCCTCCAAAAATGTGAAAAAGTTGGTAATCAAGACAAAACCAACCTCATTATTTAGTTTATGAAACGGTGCTTCCTCTCCTTCACTGACAGATTCAAGCAGAGGGACATTTTCAGATGTGATTCTATTGTTGGTCCTTTTACTGCTCGATTCAGGGTCACTTTTCATTCCTGTTCAGTTTTTTGTTCACACAAACTGCACCGAGTTTCCAGTGAAGTTGCACTGATTTTACTGCACCATTAGTTTTGGCCATGCTGTGTCGTTCGTGATTACTCTGCCAAGACTTGAGTCGTCTTGTTTAACAATCATGTTTATATCCATGATTCCTGCCATCGTGGAGCAGCAGTGTGATCCATTCTGATGATTATACAGCTTGAAAAAATAGTTTTCCTGTCACTGAGTGAAAAAGTCAACAAATTTCTTATCGGATATTTTTTTTGCAGCGTTTAAAAAATAACTTATGTAAGTGAAATTATACAGGAAATAAAAGAGGACCTAAAATCATCTCCGAGGCTATATTCACGCTGCAGACCTCAAACATCAACTCGCATCTGTTTTTCTATCTTGAGCTGTTTTTTTTTAATTATTGCTTCTTAAATGTTGTGTGTATCAGATTCCTGTGTGGTCCTGAGCTGACCTGCAGGTGCAAAACAACAACAACAACAACAACAAAGATGTCACACAGAAACACACACTCAACATGGCGTTGATGGAAGTTAACATGGCAGCCACTGTGTTAAGCATGCTCTTTAAGTGTAATTTGGACTTTAAAGTTGTGGGTTTACAATTATAGAGGCGGTGTGATGCATTTTACTGAGCCAGAGAGTCGCAATTTTGTAGGAATGAAGCCGACCGCAGAAACCAAACCAAAACAAACAAAGTCCGATCACAAAGCTGCTGTCGATTCTCAGCTGGTGGCATTCCTCCAGACATGAGCTTTTTAGTCACCTCCTCATGGCATCCATAAAGGCACAGGCGGCCCTTTCTAAATCATCTGAATCACACATGTAAAAACTATGCCAGTGTGATTCTGCACACACAAAATACTCTCAAGAAACAAAGGCTATGATTATTTGTTTGTTCTCCACTTGAAAGGTTGCCATGGTGCCATCAGAGCAAGTGTGCACGATGGAGAGCTTGGTGTCAATCTCAGGCCCATAAAAGTCTGGAGGTTTTGTATGTGTTGTAGAGACAGAGGTGAGGGTGTCCTCATCTTGTGGCCTCTTACTGAACCTCCTTAAGCCCCCAAAGTAAGGCAAATTGAAGTAAATGAACTTTTGAGAACTTCGGCTATGGCTGCACGATTTCGGTCAAAAATAAAATCCAGATTTTTCTGAATTCTTGATATTTTATTCAGTGACAACTTCTCCAAACCTGACTTGGAAAAAATAAGTTTTTCTATCATCTCTCAAAATGAAACCACTGAAAACGATGTAGTGCATGTGCCAAGCCAGTAAGTGGCGCTGTAACGCTGCACAGGAAATGCACTAAAGACAGAAGAAGAGTACGGAGCATGTGTATAAATGTTGTTTTGGCCGGACACCTGCAGATGCAATAAAAGAGTTACGCTGTGTATCACATAATCATTTATAGAGATATGCAGATAGGCATCCACACAAAGAGTAAATGGTAGTCGTTTACAGATTTATGCACCCATTTTCAAAAAGTACCGCTTACAGTCACCCGAAACGCTGTTTCTGCATAAATAAAACGCCAATAAAACAAAAAACTTTTGCGTTTACTCCCGAATTCGTTTCTGTGTGTACGGGTTGATACCGCCTTCAGACAGACTTTGAAATGGGGAGTGGTTTGCTCTTCATCTGAAACTGTGAAGCCGTACCAATTCCACATGACTCTCTCTTGCTCCTTTTAGCCTTGAAATTATCACCTCCTTTTGTAAACGCCATGTTTGTTTTTCTAACATTATCATAATTAACTAATCCAATTACGATTTAAAATCGATTAATCGCGCAGCCCTAACTTTGACCCTTGATCATCCCATATATGCCCTGTGATTGTGACCCTCAGCCTGCCCCGTAGTTAAGGAAGTCAGGCAGCAGAAACCTTGTTGATGGCGAGCTTGATCAAACCTCTTAGATCAGAAATGGATGAAGAAACAGAAACTCACCCTCAATGCTCTGCTGTTGTGTGTGTGTGTGTGTGTGAAGTGGAGCTGCAGTGTTGACAGCAGCAGGTTCAGCTCGTAACAGTTTTAATTAAAGTTGACCTGCAGAGAGAAAAAATAACAGTAAACAGGTGTAAACTCTCCACCTGAGTGTGATGCTATCACTCAACCAGGCTACACACACACACACACACACACATACACACACACACACACATAAACAGTCATCCCTCCTCCGTGCTGCTTATGCAACCAGGCAGAGAGAAACAGCAGCAGTTGTTGACAGTGTGTGTCTGAGTGATGAAGACTACAGTGTGAGGAAGAGGAGGGGAGACCGATGACAGAACAAACAAAGCGAAGCATCCATCTGCTTATAACACAGACTCATCATGACTCACACACAGATTTGATGCCTCAGTACAGCAGAGTTTGTCCATTTCTTAAACCATCTCCCTGAGGTCATCATCAGCCTTTCATAGAGCTCAATGTGTTCAAATGTGGTACCAAGGAAAACAAAATTTAAATATTGGTGATAAACATGAAAATGAGAAACCAACACAGAGCTAAATATCTTTTTAAACATTGCTGCAACAACAAACAGAACAACCTCTGGTCTTAAATGTGTCTTAAAAAATGAAGAAAGAGAGAGGAGAGACTAGATCACCAAGAGAGCATTGTTTTCTCTTTGTGGATCAGCCAATCACAGCTTTTGAAAGAATGTGTCGACCACGCCCCCTTCACTGAGATTCAAAACTGCTCTGAGACCTCTACTCACTCCTTGCTCAAAGGTTTTTCTTTTTCTTTTCTTTTTATCAAAGTTTGGAGCTCGCTGAGATGATTCTCAAAATGTTTCTGAGTATGCACCATGGAGCTTGTGTAAAAAAAAAAGAAAAAAGTAAGAGCGCAGTTTAATATTTTACTCAAAAATAGCCAAAATGACCCAAAGAGTGCCAACAAGAGGATGGTAGAAACCACCCAGAGGAAAATACTTAAGTTTTAGAGTCCCAACTAAAGGCGCTGATGATTCCTCGATTAATCTTACCTGCAAAGACACCTCTATCCTTACCCAGCTGGGGCTCTGCGCATGTCCGTATTTTAACACAAGACTTCAACAATAATATTTGTCTAAAGTGCAGGAGCTGGAACACGCCAATCATTATCATCACCATTTCCTCTCTGATTGACTCTCACTCATGAGGAGTTTGTTTTCCTAAATGAACAGAGAGATATGATCTTCCTTTTATCACTCATGATGGTATCATAATAAAATCTGTCACCAGTCAGATTGTCTGCTCTGTCTGAGATAATCCTGTTAGCAGTGAAATGGGGAACAGACACATCCGATAGTGCTGCAAGAGCACCACCTAGTGGACAGACTCTGCACTGTACTTGTTTAAAGAACAGTAGTTGAACTGAGTTTTTATCAGGTCTGTTGGAGCGTTCGTTGTGTCCTCATGTTTTATCTCTTGAGTCATCCCTCTGTGTTTTCTCTCAAACAGGAGACGATCTGATGCGCTGTGTGGACCTCTATAATCAGTCTCAGTCCAAATGGTTCGAGGAGATGGTCACCACCAGCCTGGTAAGAATTCGCCGTCATTAATGAATGCGGAGAAATGCCCCCTGTGTTAGAATGTTTATTTCTGCATGTATTTGAGACACTGTGCATGACAGGGAGTTTGGTGAGTGTCTCAGTCTGGTGCTTTTAAGCTGTGCATGACTGAAGTGAAGGAGACTGGTGAGGAAGTGGTGTTTTTGTCACACGGCATCCATAGATCATCCTCATACCAGGAGCAGTATGACGATATGAGGAAACAATACTAGCCAAGCCCTCTGTCTCAACAAAAACTCTATTCACATGGTGGGCCTAGTTTAAAGTATGTTTGTCCGTATGAGTCATAAGTGTGGAGTGTGATAAATAGTGATATTGTGTGTAAACAGTCTGAGAATCACTGTCCACTCTGGTCCTCAGGAGCTGGAGCGGCTGGAGGTGGAGCGAGTGGAGATGATCAGACAGCATCTGTGTCAGTACACCACCCTGAGACACGAGACCGACATGTTCAACCAAAGTGTGAGTACCAGTTAAGCTCCGAACCAAACTCACTGTAACTGAAGGGGAGGACAGAGGAGAAGACCTGAGTTACACAGACAGTATAAATGGTTAATCTTAACAGTTATTTTTCTCATTAAAGGGATATTCTGGTGAAAATTTAAGTTAGGGTCAAACACACCGTAACACCGAGTAAGACACCCGCTCGAGAGATGAATGTTGCAGACTGCTTGCTTCTTGTGTTATACCAACTTCAGCAATGACCGCACGTTAGCAATACACAGCAGTCTATGTCTTCACATGCAAACCTCAACCAAAAAGCCTCTCTATAGCCAGAAATAATGCTCAGAACAGTACCTAACTTCATCAACAGTACATATAGGGTCCCAGCCATAGATCAAGCCACCAAACATCTTTTTAACTTTGCCTGATTCTTTAGCAAAGAGACTAAACACAACTCACCCTCTCTCCTTTAGCCGCCACTTATTTGTGGGGGAGCCCTGACGAGTCGATCACTGAGTGCAGCAGATCATTTCCATGAAGTAATAATCATCGTAATGATCATTTTAGTTTTTCTGCGGTAGTGCCTCTGTCTGATTGCATTTCCATGAAGTAATGATCATAAATGTTCTTCCTTGAGCTGCGAAACTCTGCTGCAGTCGGAAATTCAAGTGCAGCAGTTTGTGTGTGGAGATGTAGACCGCTGTGTATTGCTATCGTGCGGTTGTTGCTAAAGTTGGTATATCTAGGGAAGCAAGCAGTCAGCAACATTCATCTCTCGAGGGGGGTCTAACTCTGTGTTACGGTGTGTTTGACCATAACTTCAATGTACGCTGGAACAACAACAAAAAAAAGTACATTTTCTGATGTATTTGTGGCACACAAAGTGAAATATTTTAAAAGATTTTAAGTCCATTTTTGTTTTAATGTGATGATTTTGGCTTACAATTCATGATAGGTATCCAAAATGATCAGAGTATTTCCTGAAATCAATCATAAAAAGGGTTTTAAAAACAGTCGCCCCCTGCTGGACAGAAGAAAAAGAAGAAAAAGTTCCCTCAAGCATTGGCTTCACTTTTTAAGTCAAGAAGCAATAGTCTTCATCAATCCCATAACTTCTAAACTTAAACCAGCAGAGGGAGCTAAAGAGAAACATCACTGTTAAACTATGACCTGCTGTTCTCTCCTTGTCCAGACGATGGAGCCGGTGGACCAGCTCCTGCAGTGTGTGGACCCTGTTAAAGACAGAGAGCTGTGGGTAAAGGAGAATAAGACTGGAGAGATCAGACCGGTGGACATCGAGATCTGACCCCAGATCTGCTGTTACGCTCTGACACACTGACCCAGAGGACGTGAAACCTGAGCTGGGATCTTAGCCCCACCCCCCACTGACTCACCTGTGACTCCAAACAGACTAAAGGAGGATCAGTCAGCGCTCACTGCAGCCTGGCGAGGACAATGGCAGTTTTGGGGGGGGTATTATTAAAGATGTCAGTTTTTCTGTTATGCAAGCTGATCCAGCGTAGGAGAAGAGGAGCTGTGTGTGTGAACTGTGAGCTGAATGTGCAGGAAGCAGCGACATTTAGCAGCTTTATGTGATGCAGCAGTGTGTTTGTGCTTTGGCTCTGTGAGGTCACTTATATGTGACTTAGGAACAAAAAAAAAAGTTTAACAGATGCTGCTAAGCAAAATGCATTCTGACCTGAGAGTGTTATATTACTGTGTACCAGAATTAAACTAAAGTATTTTAATACTAATACGTTCAGGTATTGACTGTTTGCTAAGCCCCGCCTCCTCATGCACAGATGCTTCTTCTGTTTAATCTTATGCAGCACATTTTGAGAGCACTTGATCTGAAGAGGATCTCATGCAGATTTACCACCTCAATGTGAAAGTAAAATAGAAACAGCAGATCTGAAACGTTGTACTGAAATCAGTTTTTAAGCATTCACTTGTCGAAGAAGGTCCACTTAGGCTGGGAAGCTCTGAGTCATCCCAGGTCACCATGTTTGAGGATGTATATAGAGGGGCATCAAACGGTAATTTTTTAACTTATCAGGAAAAATATTTAAGTGACAAAAACTATCTTCAGTAAAGTCTCAATGGCATCAATGTCTGATAGTCAATACATCAAAATGTAGTATCAGTACATGCAGGACTAGACTTCAGTTCATGTTCGGTCTGTAGTATCGATCAATCAGGTGTCTCCAGGCTTTAATGAAAGCAGGACAAACAGACTGTATGGAGAGCAGAAGCAGGTTGAACATAATCCACTGTAGTCTGAGTCAGGTGTTACCTGGAGTGATGGATCTGGCCTTCATTGAGCTGGACTGATTGTAAACTTTGTGATTTATAATATTAACCTGAACTTAAAAATGAACAAAGATTGTGAAAACAGCACAAGGAACAAATATTGTGCGGGTGAGTTTATTGACACTGTAGATGAGATCTTGACCATGCACCATAGTACGTCTAACTGCACGTGTGCGGAGCAGTGCCATTCGAATAGTTAAAAGATCAAACTCTCAGTGTCTGCTGACTTTTTATGGTCAAAGTTTGTGATAAAGACACAAAGAAGAAACAGCTTTAGTCGCAAAGATCATTGTGTTTTCCAGTAACTGAGCAAATGTCCAAATCCTTCACTGTGTCTGTGGATAGATACTCTCAAACTTAGGACTCATTAATTACAGAGAAATCACAAGAATATCTACAATGAGGCTGAGACCCCCCAGACACAGATGGACAGACACTCCTCTGGAGGCTGTTACCAACAAAGAAATGACTGTTTATTTTGTAGGAATATCTCAGGGGATTAATTCTCCTCCTGTTTTTGATGCCTCTCGAGTTGCTAATTAGATTGTTAGAAGTTCACAGTCACGCCAGAAGTAGATAAACCCTCTAACTTTTTCTTTATCAGCTGATATGGGTTGAAATAGTAATAATCTACCTGTATTTACAGGTTTGCAAACATGGAGCACAGCAGGATAACAAAGATGAGCTTCCCACCCTAGGTAGGATGTTGAAGAAAAAGGGCCACTGTTTGAATATTTGAGTTATATTGGAGATTCAAAACAATGGCGCCCATAAAGAGGTCATGAATAATGGCAGAAACACCTCTGTGTTGTCCTCCATAATACAGTAACATCCTCATGTTTGTTGCATTCTGTTCAAGGCTTGAAAACAAAACCACGTGAGGAGTATCCCTCTCATCAGATCCCAGTACATGTACATGCTTGAAGGTTTGGGGTTTAGCAGATCGTCAGTTTCTCAGCACAGACATCATAAATCTGGTCATGCCTCCCTACCAAAAAAAAAAAAAAATCACACATTCAAAGCTCAAGATCTCTCATCTGTACCTGTTTGTCTGCATTCCTATCAAGACTTATAAATCAGCCGATTGCACTTTATACCCAAATGATTTTTAATAAGTATACTGTAAATTTTTGTTGATATGAAATCATAAAGAGAATTTAGCTGTAACACTTTTATTACTAATGAAAGTTGGGATTGTTGTGTTTAAATGTGTAAATATATGCAAAGAGTGACCAATAAAAGGATCCAAAACACCCTAAAGATGTACTCAAACATTTTCAAACATTTGGTTCTGAAGTTATTTGAGACAAAAAAAAAAAAAAAAAATCAGTGTTTTATATGTCGTGGTTGAAACAGACCCTTTTACTATCCTGCAGATTTGCAAACGTCAGTCTGTGTGATTCAGTGTCGGTGCTGCAGCCTGCAGAAGCTAAATGTTGTGCAAAATACTCTACGATCACCATGTCCTGTTCAGTGTTACCGCTTAGTGTTACCTGACTGTTGAGAGAAGAGGATCCAGTTATTTTGTACATTAACAGCAGAAAGTTGGCCTTCTTCTTTAATAAAATGAAAATATGCTAACATGATCGTTTCCCCTTTTTTATTCTTCACTTTGTGTTTGACATGATGAGGAAATTTCAAACAGATTCCGACACCTAAAAAATGTAAAAGTCGTTTATTGCAATAATACAAAAAAAAAACATTTTCACATTCAACATTAAAATGCTTTGGTCAAAAAATTAGATTTAGTGGAAATAAAGATGTGGTTTAAAGTTTAGACAGAGACACACCTGGATTCTTTTGGAAAGCTAAAGTAGAAACATCAACGCTGTGCTTTTCATAACAGACTGTCAAATAACCCATTTATTGGCTGCACTTCGCTGCATACTACACTTAACTAGGGAAGCCCTAAACAGACATGCATACTCAATATTTCCATGATAATGAGTGCACCTGGGTGTTCTTGTGACATTGCAACTTATCTAGTTAGTTACTACAAAACAAGGAATATTTGCCACTTCAGCATGTAACACAAGAAAGTTTAAACTGACCCTCTGCGTGGCAATCTCCAGCGTTCACAATGTGCAGTTTTTGTGCAGCCGTGTAGCTCTTTCTAAACCTGCTATTGAATTCGCACACAGCTAATTGTTGATACAGTACGGTTGTCAAGTCGCATCAGCAAACTCAGCTTTTGTCTAAAATGAGGCAGTTTTAAAGTCAAACCAGCGCTCCAGGATTATTTACCTCATAGTGTGTCTTTAAATGCATGATTATGACCTGATGAAGGAGAAGAGCTGTTAAAAAAATGTCACAATTGTGCGCTGTGGGTGCAATGTTGGTTAATAAAGCTGGTGCAAGATTATAGCCTCATCTTCTAGGTAAGAAAATGACGTGACAAACCACATTAAAATACCTAACTCTGCATTTCATTCTGGTATACAGATCTCACCTGAGTATGGGACGCAACTCACTCTTTAAATGAAAAAAATAATAACTCTAAGGAAATAATAATTCTATCTTTGTTTGTCCTTTAATTTTGGTGATACACGCTGATTTTGGAATGTCACTTGAGTGCAGGTGAAACCAATAGACCTCTTTCACAGTACGCGGAAGTTAGCATTCTGCTCACTTCCGGTGTTAGCGTGTGGTGGAGCCACTTAGCATCACCCATAGACGGCCATTCTTTTTCACGATATTAACAAGCTCACGACTCGTTTTTTTGAAAGGTAATGTAATATTTTATGCTTTGTGCTGTTTTACTAACTCCTGTTCTTCATAATACTGTCCGGATTTTGTACTTTACTTTTCGAGAATTATGTTTAATAGGTCTGGAAATTTTCTGATGATGGTAACCATTGCTCTTCAGTAATGATCTGGAAACTAAAGAATAATTGTCAGCTCAAAACCTACCCAGTTTTGTGACTTTTTTAATCTATGCTACTCAGTTTTGAGAATATAACAGCAGAAATATGCTAGCCAAATTGGTACAGCTAGCAGGTTGGCCAAAAACCAAGGGGTGGCAAATCAGAGAGCTATATGGTAGCTGTTAGGTCCATATTTACTGTCAAAATGTTTTTTTTTTTTAGCTGGCTTTACAAAGATACAGATGGGTTAGCTCAAAAGTCAGGTCGGTTAGCTGCTGTTGTTTCCAAAGTTTGATAGAGAAAGACACGTTTCTTAAGGCAACTAATGGCAGGTAGGCTGCTCTGGACAGTCTGTATTTTAAAAATCTAAAAAAAATTTCCAATCAAAGGTGGGGTTGGCAGGATTCCGTTAAAGAAGCATCTTTTTTGTGGTGTTTACACAAAAAAGCTTTTAATAAAAGCAAATAGCTATTAGTTATTGATGATGTTTGGGAATATCACGATATCGCTGTGTTTTGTTATTTCTGTGTAGTCAACATTTTAAAATTTCAGAGTGGCCCGCTCTTTCTAAATGTGAACAAAGCCATTCTTTGCCTCCCCCAACCTGATTGGTTGTGAGCCAGACGCTGCTCCCTCATGTTGTGAGGCATGCTCCATACCCTTGAATAACATTCATGAGCCCAAACAAAGTTAGTCTGCTACAATATCGGACAGTAGAAACCAACCTGAAAGTACCGAAAATTGTCTGAATCCTCCTTTGGTTATGACTACCAACACAAGCAAGAAAACAAAGTAAATACCGAAGACTCTGGCGGAGCAACAGGCGCTAAAAAGGAGGTAGACCACCTGGACAAGAGCTAAAAAGCCGGGTCAACATCAGTGAACGCTTCGGGATCTTACGGACCCTGTAACCTTTCTGCTGGACAGGTAAACTGCTTTAACAAAGTAAGTGTCTGTAACAGAAGTGTTTCTTGTCAAAAAGGACCTGCTGCATGTTGTTAACTGTTTACCTCGGGTTCTGGAGTTGCACTTTATCCTAGTTGTAGAAGTCCTCCAAGCATTTTGTTTGCTGGTAGTGTGTTGGCATCTACAGTAGCACCAATGCTTTTTATTTCACGTTGACTAGGCCCCATTTGTCATTATCTGAAATATTTATCTGCATTATATCTGAATTTAATTGAAACGATATGAGCGAGCAGGAGCGTCTGTTTGTGGGCGGGGCTTGCTGGAGCAGAGAGGGAGGGGAGAGGAGGAGCTGAGGGGAAAACTGGTTGGGAGGGGTAGTGTTTACATTCAAGATTTCTCCTAAAAACTGTCATCTTCTCAGATCCTGCCTACCCCACCTTTAGTACCCACAATACTTTCATTCTCATCATCTAATTTGCTTGCATTAACTCAAGCTTTATATACTCTATATACTGTTGACTGAATAACTGTGAGACTTAGAAATGGCTTTAAATATTCTTCAACAATCTGTGACGTCAGCTGAAGATGACACTCTTTGGTTGCCACTTCAAATGTGTCTTAAAATACCAATAATGAGGAGTGAAGGCCTGTTAGTTTAATGTCATCAGATTTCTTGTAGGTTTTTAAATCACCTCTTTTCAGTTATTGTCATGAAGTGTTGCCATTTAATGAAATTCAACAAACCTTCCAGTACAGTTTTCCATACTTAATATTTTTACATTCAGATATTACATTATAAAGACGACGTAAAAGTGTGTAAAATTAAAGCTGGAGCGTGTTATAGAAGCTGTGATTAAATGATGTGTTCAGACCAAAAGGGAAGCTTTATCAAAACATTCAACCCAAGCAGAAAACTCTCGAACCTTTTGTCCCCAGATGTTCCTGAAGTCCGAAACACACTGTTTCTCTTGCCTCAGTTTATCAAGAATGGAGCTCACAACTGTGCTACCAAACAAAACCCGCCCCCTATTGGTGTGAACACATCCTACAGGCCTTAACAGGAGGAAAGGAAGGAGTACATTGTCCACTCAGTCAGCTGAAGCAGTCTGTTTATGACCTGAATGTGACGTGAAACTGCCATTTCAGCCCCTTTGCGGTTTCAAACTTCGTACCATGTTTCACTTCTTCCAGATGATGATGCACTGCAGCACCTGGAGGGAGACAGAGCTGTCGGCTGGGTTTCTAATCCACCATGAGCTTCTTCAGGGAGTTGAGATACGCAGGGATAAGGGAGCTGACGGACTCCTCGTCATCATTGAGGATCTTCTCTCCTCGGCCCTCTGAGCCTGCAGAGCTGGGGGACCTGACCAGGCTGGGATATGGAGTGCTGTAACCCTGGAGGAGAAGACAATCATACCATAGAGTCTTTATTATTGCTGCAGCATTATTTGCGTTTGGCGTCAGGGGTTCACCCTTATCACTGCTCACAGATTTATTTTACTTGAAATCTGAGAATTGATGAGAAAGCTTAAAGGGATATTTGGCATAAATTTAATTTAGGGTCAAACACACCGTAACACCGAGTCAGACACCCCCTCGAGAGATGAATACTGCAGACCGCTTGCTTCTCTAGTTATACCAACTTAAGTAATGGTGAAGAAAGAGCTGAGCCGTAAGGCAACAAACTTTTTGTGCTGCATATTTGTCAGTCAAATGTAAATGAAACAGTTAAGAATCAGATTTATGTAATAATACCAATAAACCTCATGTGTTTAGAATAATTAATGAAGATTTATGCATTCATCATTCGTATCTCAAATTTGTTTCTCTACTAAATGTTACTTAAACGAATCTTAGTTGTTTTCAGAATAACAGATTTATGCTGATTTTAAAAAATTTGAATGAATAAATAATCATTTAAACAAAATCAAATCGCTGTCAATACTTAACTATGCCCTGATTCATTTTTCTGAGTGTAGGAGCCTCAAATAGACCACCAGATGTCAGAAATTGGAAATGTACCCCCCCCCTTTTTTTTTTGTTTTAAAAAGTATTTTATTCCTTTCTTTTTTAATTTTCAGGATTATCCTTTTTTATATTTCTTTGTTTACATAAACTTCAATTTAAGGGGGGGAATAAAAATGTCCACTGGGACCAAAAAGGGCTGAACTTTTAATCATTAAAAGATCCTCATAATCTTTGATATCCTTGTGGATATTCTATTAAAGCTCCTGTGAGGAACTTTCTGTCTGTGGTGACTTTGGCGCCCCCTGTGGATATTGGTATTGGGATATTTTATGACTAGGACAATCATGAGGTAAAAATCCTATTCCTAATCGGTATCATTACAGCCCTGACCTGGATAGAAATTCAGTTTAGTTGATCAGTTTATGCCACATATTTCTAACGTCGCATGAATCCAGAGTAGGAGTGTTTACATCCGGTCATTGTTTTCTTACAGAGGAGTATCCTTTGCCGAAGCTGCCTCTGTTCTTGGTCCTGATCTTGGTGAGGGCTGACTCAGCGATGTCGGCTCGCTCCTCAGCGTCATCCAGCTCGTGGACTGTCTTCCTGTACTTGGCCAGGTTCATGTTCGCCTGTTCCTCCTGCAGAAACAAGAGGGTCACTTTACCTTGTCGGTGTTTTAGAAACTTCCTGGGAGAGTAAGGGAAAAGGAGACATACCGCCTCCTCCACTTGTCTCTTGTAGGCCTTCATCTTGTTCTGCAGCCTCTCCACCAGCTCCTGCATCCTCAGCTGGTTCTTCTGATCCTCCTCCGACTGAAACAGCAGCTCTTTAAGTCGGCGCTCGTTCTTACGCAGTGTCTTCACCGTCTCTGCGTGTCGTTTCTGCTCCGAGTCTAGCTCCAGCTCCAGCTCCTTCACCTGCAGAGACCAGACAGTTTTTAGGTGCATCTTTACATCTGGCATCTCTCAATCCCTACACTCAAAATTCTGATATGAACGTGTGTCTGTACCTTTCCCTCTAGTTTCTGGATGATCTTCTTCCCTCCTTTCAGAGCCATCTGCTCAGCCTCGTCCAGCCGGCTGCTCATGTCTTTAATCTGAGCCTCCAGACCCTTCTTCACCCTCTCCAGGTGGAGCGTGTGCTCTTGCTCCAGACGCAGCTCCTCTCCCACCCTCGCCAACTAAAAGAGTCACCCCATTTATTACAGAAACACTCTTTAAAACAGAAGAAATCTCACATCTGCTGCTCTGACATCTCCGTTTTACCTCACAGCTGGCCTTCTTGCTCTTATCTGCAGATCCTCTCAGCTCCCCCTGCAGCTCCTCGTGCTCCTGCTGCAGAGTCTGCAGATCCACCTCCAGCTTCCTCCTCCCGCTCAGAGCAGACTGGAGCTAAAACACAAAGAAAGTCATCAGTTTGGGGTTTCACTTTGTTTTTTAAAGACTTTAGAGAAATCTGCTCCCTGGTATCACCTGGTTGTTGAGGTCACTGTACTTCTCGGTGGCCTCCTGCAGCTCTGTCTCCTGGCTTTTTCGTGCCCTCTCTGCGCTCTCCAGAGCTGCACGAGTCTCCTCTCCCTCGCTGACCAGCAGGGCGCAGCGTCGCTCCACAGCTGCCTGCTCCTCCCTGCGCTCCTCGTGGCTCCTCACCTCCTCCTCCAGCTGAGCCTGCAGCTCCTGAAACAGAGGTGAGATAATGTGTCAGGGAGAAAGTGGTGCATCTGCAGAGAGGCTCCTGGTACACCGTGATCAGATCAAACCAGACCTTGATCTGCTGCTGCATCTTCTTGTTGTTCTTGCTGAGCTCGGTGTTGTTCTTCGTCAGCAGGTCCACCTGAAGCTCCAGCTCGTTGATGTCAGACTCCAGCTTCTTCTTCAGCTTCAGACCTTCTGCTCGGCCCTTTAGCTCCACATCTAGACTGGCCTGCAGGGACTCCAGCGCCCTCTGGTGGCTTTTCCTGATACGGGATGATTAAAACAGAAGTTAAGCTGTGAGCAAGTGTGCATACATCACTGCAAAGACAGAAAAGGAAGGATTGCTGAGACAAGCCTTACCTTGAATTGAAATATCACTTTAGTGTAGAGATGGAGGGAGGTAAAGGACAGCATGAAAAACAGAAATTAAGGGTTTAAATCTGATCAGAGTTTGTTTATAGAGCAAACTAGTGCTGGAAAAGGAAGCCAATGGGACATGGTGCAGTAAAAAGGAGCCATGATGCAGAGCTGTAAACAATCGTAACAGCAAGAAACACACCAGTTTGCAGTTTTGTTCCGAGTTTCACGGTTGTAATTTAAGCATTTCACCCCCAAAGTCCAGATTGTTTGGCCAACTTGAGTGATCTCAGGCCTAACACAGTTGGACGAGGTGGACTTGTGCCAGTTATGGCTAACTGGCAAAAAACAGAGGGAACTTAAATCTGTCAGGCTCTCAAGTAAAAAGGTGACTGGTTGAAAGAGGGAAATAACCAACAAATGGAGCATGATATCTTTAAGTTAACCAGTACAAGGAAGCTTTCGATCCTGATCACAATCTCCCACAAGTAAAGTAAATAAAAAAAATATGCTTTGACAGACAAAGTAGAATATTGTAAATCCTCAAGTATAGGCCAGGTCTATTATGTGTTTTGACTGCCTCATGTACCAGGAGCAGGCCTTTATATGGAGCAGGCTTTTATTAGAGGCAGGCCTTTATATGGAGCAGGCCTTTATTAGAGGCAGGCCTTTATATGGAGCAGGCCTTTATTAGAGGCAGGCCTTTATATCGAGCAGGCTTTTATTAGAGGCAGGCCTTTATATCAAAATCTCTGGTTATAATTACAACTGTTTATAATTTACTCAGAGTGAGGGTCTTACTGAATCACTCCAGCCAAATAGACATTACATTATTCGTAATAATTTAGGGTTTAATGCTCATGTGTGTCAATGATGTTGGCATCAATTTAAAGAGTTACTTATGTCTTTATTTAGAGCTAATTACAACTCAGCATGTGTTTGTGTGTGGGTGTAAAATAGCCTTAATGAAATTTTACACATCTGTCATGGACTGTAAATAAATTTAATTTGGCTTTATCGGGGTGCGCGTTCACGGAGCAGCTCTGAGTGGGTGTAGAGATGCTGATGACAGTTAACTCAGTCACAACAAGAATAAAAAAAAGGAAAAAACAGCACAGAGATGACCTGTGATGAGCTTCATTAATCTGCGGTGGTTTAAGTCTAATTAAACAGGATGCATGTATGGTTGTGAGTGATCATGGTGAACTCCAATAAGAAATATAAATCAGCTCATGGTCTTGGTTAATATTAGGATCCCCGCCACAGATAAAATAAAAATCATTAATTGAGGATTTACAGTGAATGGATTTTAACAGCACAGAAGAAATTAATTATAAATCATAGTGGATAAATGGCTGCAATTAATGCACCGGAGGAGAATACGATGACACCATAAAGAGGAAAAAGGAAAGAAGAAGCTAAAAAGACAACATCCCATCAGAATAAATACGGATAAGGAGACGTATAAAGAAATGGATGAATATGTTAATAAGTGAATGTGATCCAAGAGGGGGTCAGAAGAGGACAGAAATATGCGAAAGGACGTTTTGAAGTTCAAATTGACCTCAGAGTGAGTCTGTAAAAAGTAAAGAAAGTGTTAATAAAATAGCTTTACTCCACAGTGAATCACAGGAGGAGCAGAGAGTCAGAACTTTGCTGCTTGTGATCCCTTTATAGATGGAAATAAACACCAAAACAGCTTTGAAAACAAAAGTCTTCTCTCTGTCTTACTGGGATATTTCATGGTACGACATCTGCTCTATAAATGATAAAACAGACAGTAATATAGGGATCTCTCTCTCTTTGAATTGGAGTTAGAATAGGGATGGTGTAGCATGTGAAGGAGAGGAGAAAAAAATAAGCATAAAGAGAAAGTTGATGTACCTCGCAGCTTCGGCCTCCTCCTCTTTCTCCTGGAGTCGGCGCTCCAGATCTCCTTTAGCCTGAGACAACTCCAGCTGCAGCCTCAGAACCTTCGTCTCCTCGGCCTGAGAGACAGACGACAGTTTAATGAGATCTGATGTTCAAAGAGCACATCCTGCTCTCTGTGTGTCAAAACAGACACGCAGATTAATCTCTGTACCTCCAGAGCGGCCTCTGACTCCTCCAGCGAGGCCTGCAGCTCTTCTTTCTCCATCTCTATCTTCTTTTTGGCTTTCTGCAGCTCATGAACACTTTTACCTCCATCTGAGAGCTGGTCGGTCAGGTCAGTGATCTCCTCTGAGCACAAACACAAATGAAGAAGTTGGGAAGTGGGTTTGATGAACATTTATACTGACAGAATGACCAAGACTGGTCTGACTTTGCAGAGAGCAAACTGAGGGCTCCAGATCTTTATGAAAAATGTGTATGTATGTGTCGTCTTAGTATATGTTCATACCCTGGTAGGCTTTGTTCTCCCTGCGTAGCGCCTCCATCTGCTCCAGAGACTCTTCATGTGTCGTCTTGAGTTTAAAGAGCTCTGCGGCGTGCTGCCTGCTCTCTTTCTGACATCCTTCCACCTCGGCCACCAGCTCCTCACACTTCTGCTTCCAGTCCCCCAGCTGCTTTTCCAGGACGCGCTGCTTCTTATCCAGAGCCTGACCGCAGCCGCTGGCCTGGGACACATCATCAGAGGTTACAACTGAGCATGTGCAAAATAGACATGATGAAAGCGGAGGTGTTGTTGTTTGTTGATTCTGTCCTGTGCAAACTTATCTACTTATCTTATGTTAAGCAAAATTATGTGCTAAGAAATGCCTGCCTTTGTTCTGCATCGTAGTTCAGGCAAAATGTTTTAGGAAGTGTATTAAGGTATAAAGTTAGGGCTGGGCAATATGGGAAAAAGTTTATCACGATATTTTTTTTCATATCAGTTGATATCGATATATATATCACAACATAAAAATGAAATTCAACAGTGCTTATCGGCAGCACGTATTTTGCAATACAATAAGCTACTGCATCTGTGAGGTCTTTGTGTCTCTTTGACGTTTTGTCGTAAGGTGTTGTGCTAGAGCAGTCGTTCTCAAGTCCAGTCCTTGAGGACACACCTGATTCAAATGAACAGCTCGTTATCAAGCCATTACAGAGCTTGATAACGAGCTGATCATTTGAATCAGGTGTGTTGGAGCAGGGAAACATCCAAAACATGCAGGAGAGTGGGCCTCGAGGACTGGACCTTGTTTGTTGATAATCAATACCTGAATGATATTATAAAACTTCAGACTTAAAGAATGAGAAAGGACATTTTATGCGTCTTGTTTTTTTCTTCATTTGACACAAAAGGAAATATTGAAATAACGTCCACAGAGAGTTTATCATCCTGCAGCCTCACGCCTCACGCCTGCTCCTCTACCTTCTCCAGGTCCATGCACAGCTCCTCCACCTCCCCCTGCAGTCTCTGTTTGGTTTTCTCCAGTGATGAGCATTTAGATTGTGTCGCCTCCACCGCCTCCTCGGCCTCCTGCAGTCTGGCGGCCAGCTTCTTCCTGTCACACACAGACACATCATTCAAACCAATCGTCACAGACATTTAAAGCGTAGACCGCTGACCGATTGGTATCATACTTGGTTTCCTCCAGCTCATCGGCGTGCTGGATGGAGTCCGATTCGTGTTTGGTCCTCCAGTGCGTCACCTCGCTGTTCAGTTTGGAGACGAGTCGCTGGAGCTCCTGTTTGCTCTCCTGCTCCTCCTCCAGCTGCTCCTTCAGCACCTCGCACTCCTGCCGCACAGAGCTCAGGCTGCTGCTGAGTCCCTGCTTACCCTGGGAGACACCAAAGAGAGGCGTGTGTAAACATTACCAGCAGGAGGGTCTCTTCTTCATCATCGCCATAGTGTCAATCGTTATTGACCTTGAGCTCCTCGTCCAGCTGCTTCTTCAGGTCCTCCAGCTGGTTTTGGAGCAGAGCTTTGGAGCGACTCAGCTGACCCGCTCTGCTCTCTGCCTCCTCCATCTGTCGACCCACGTCTGCGTTATCAGCTGACAGGAAACACAACAACAACAACACTGATTATCTGCACACTGTAGCAGACTGTAGGTGGTGGATACTGTAGCAAACACAAGGAAAACAAGCAAACAGTGAGCGTCTTTGTTTGGTAGATATGATTATCTCTGCTGGGCTGCAGCAGCAGATGGAGGTCATGCCAAGTTTCAGACTGAGAGAGAAATAAAGTAGCAAAGACTGAACGCTGTGAGTGATGCATCATCCAGTAGGAGTCATTTTATTCTTTAAAGTGTCACTTTGCAGGGAGTTGATGTGGAAATCATGAGAACTCTTCAGCTGGAAAACAGTTCAGAAATGTCTCATGAGTTTTAAAAAGTTTTTAAAGCCTCAATAAATTTCCATTTGGGTCAACTTGATTTATCATGTACATTAAAAGGAGAATGCACAAGTCAAAACAAGATGTCAGCAACAGTAATTCAGAGGATGCTTTTGTTATCATGAACTTAGTATCTAATATGAGCCTTTACTTTGTTTGCATCTGTAATTCAGAGTGAGTTTGTCATTGCATTGTCATTTTTATTCTCATAAAATCTAGATAGTTTGTTTGCTTTTGATCAACAGGTCTATACAATGAAAAAAACAGTGAAAAGCATTTTTCACTTATAAACAGAAACTACACCAGATCAGAGGAGTTTACCGAAGCAATCGACACAGACTGCCTGACTATGACATGTTTATTCAATATGTTTTGTATGCCCTGTAAGCCTTGTGTTTCTCTTTCTAATATATATTAATACTTTTTTTTTTATACAATACATTTATAGATACAATACATACAGAAGCAAGCAGTATGTTTACATGCACTTTAAAAGTCAATTTATTGCAACAATCCCTACTGAAACTGGACTTGTAACGTGCATGTAAACACATTAGTCTGACTGAAATTAAATTTCTCAGAATCAGCCTAATACCTGGATAACATGGTTCGAGATCAATTGCCAGGTAGTAAACAAAACCTCTACGGACAAAGAAGAGACGTCAAAATGATGAAACTTTAACAACAAACAGCAGAGAGCTGTAAAAATCACATCCTGTTAGCTTCTTGTTGAAACGTTTTCCAGGCTGTTTCAATTGGTAAAAAGTCAACCAAGAGACGACTTGATAGTCACAAGATGAAAAGGGTGGCATGTGGCTGCCTACTTAAGCAAAGGCAGACATGCTCCTGTCAATAACTCAATTCTTACCTGGTGTATGTAAACTGGTAAAAGGACAGCAGCCCAGTTGAATCACCTAATCGAGAACTGACCAAAGCTACAGTAACTTCAATAACTTTACACGTACAATCCGTAGGGGAGGTCCATATTTGTCCATGTAATGTTTAAGTTTTTATATTCTATAATGTCTCAGTCCTAAAAACATTTTTGGTGATAACTATAGCTATAGCTTGTTAAAATGAGAAGTAGCATAATGTTGTTTTTGTGTGTGTTAGTGTTGTTTATCCGAGTCAGAAGATCACTAGCTTCATGGGAATGGATGAAAACTGCAGATCTAAACTTAAACAAAGACCCTGCTAACCCTCATTTCTCACCTCATGGTATACCTCTCAGCTCCTCCCTATGTGTGAAATGACTGTTTTTATCAGGGCAGTCTGGTGTCTTTATAGACAGTGATGTAACATCTGTTTGCATCCTCCTATTAAACAAAAAAAGCTCTGTCTCTGCAGGGATCCTTTCTGCAATGTTGTCACACACTTAGACATAGTTTGAGCCTGTCGGGGACAGAAACAAGATCTTTCAGTGGATCTACTTTGATCCACCTAGGATGCCTTTGCAGTCTGTGTCACTGCTGCAGGATAACCTCTTTAAACCTTTTAGTCACATATTACAGGTGCTGAGTACCTGTGAGTCTGTTCTTGGCCACACTGAGCTCAGTGAGCGCCCTCTGCAGGTCGTCCCCTCTCCTATTGGCCTCTGAAAGCTGCTCCTCCAGCTTCTTCGCCTGAGTCTCTGAGGACGTCTGCAGCACAAACACATATTCTGTTACACTCTGACACAAATGGCGTGTTTTAAATGAAACCTGATAAACATGGAGATCTGCCTGACCTTAGCTTTCTGCAGGCTGTCCAAAGAGGCCGACAGCTCGTCCACCTCCATCCTCAGGTTCTGTTTCTCCTTCTCCAGCTTGGCTCTGACCCTCTGCAGAGACTCGCACTGCTCGCTCAGCTCCGACATGGCGTCTCCGTGACGTTTCCTCAGAGAGACAGCGAGAGCTTCAGACTGCAGCGAGGACTCCTCCAGGTCTCGCCTCAGACGCTGCAGCTCGGCTTCCCGCTTCTTATTCACCTCCATCTGATGATCACGCACAGGATTGATGTTATGGTCTGAAATGTAGGTGTCTAACAGGCAGAAACCTCGAGCAGAACTAGACTGATGTTAGACAGTCATCTGCTGAGACTGGACAGAGGAGAGACTGATAGAGAGTGCAGGCTCTAATGTAGTCACATAGGTCTTTGTGTTAATAGTTCACCTGTGAGGCTGTGACTCCGCCCACTTCCTCCAGCCGGTCAGTGAGGTCATCCAGCTCTCTGGTTAGATCAGCTCGCTGCTTCTCCACCTGCAACAAACAGAGCAGAATAAAACGGATTACAAACTTTTACAGTGAGGCTCAGTCTGGAGTCACATGAGAGTCTCTTCCTAGTTCTAGTGCAGTGACAGTTTATCTAAACATCCATCATCAGAGAGAGTTCAGGAGTCAAAAGTCAGGTTAAGAAGACAGAGGACTGTACTGGTGTCTGAGCAGCTCTGACTTTGCTCTCAGGATGTTTAAGCTCAGGGGGATCCGTGTGAGTTACAGCCCACAGGGGGAAGCGATCCCTCCAGGGGTCAGAGGTCATAAGAGGAGCTTGTAACCCAGTAGAACTACACAGAGGTTAGCTGCTGTCAGACTGTCAAAATATTATCTGTGAACTCCTGTTTCCTAAGCCAGTCAACCAACACTGTTTGGAGATCAGTCCTGCACTTTTGCTGTTTTACAGAGTTTTATTAAATCACCCGGACAAATTTCGAATTGTTACCCCTGCTTGTTTTTCACTCTTGGAAGATAAAAAACAATTTTATCTTTCATACCAAATCTATGTCTTAGATCTTATTTCAGATTATTACACTGTCAGGCACAACAAATCAATCATTCCTTTAACTTTGAATTTCAGGAATATTTTACATCATTTCACATTCAAAGATTTTTAGGAGAAACTTCATATTATCCGTCTAATAAGATCTGTAATCCGACAAGTCTCAGTTTAACCCTGGAACACTACCGCCGGTTGATTTTCACCCGACCAAACATGTTTACGTGATTTTCATTATGTTGCATTTGTCTGAGTATTATGGGTCCCTAGGTAGCTTCAGCATCGCCTTTGACATCTTTGAAGGAATATTTGTTTCCCTGAACCAAAACCTGATTTTTCCTACAGGCAGGTGTTCGGGTTATTTTCACCCGGCAATAGTGATAGAGGGTACGTAGGCTTGGGTGGATTTGATAGCTGCATGTAGGGAATAAGGTAAGTAAGAGTGGTCCTGGAATTTACATGCTATCTTTATTTAGCGCAGTGGTTATAAATAACTATAACAAAGTCGTTATTTTCAAGGGAGTTCATATGGTGATAAGAAATATTTTAGTCAGCTAGTCATTTTTACTCACTCACTCAGAAAAAAAAATATACACACACACTCTACTGCTCTCTCTAACTCACTCTAACTCTACTGCTTAAATGGGGCTCACAGTGTGATGAGTTACTTTGTCGAGTCAAATAAGCCTGTTTGTAAAAAAGGGTTTATATTTGTGCTTGAAATTTTCTGACTCAATAAATCAATCCCAGTAAAACTGTTATCTGTACCAGCTGTAGCTAAAATAAATCCTGATCAAACCCAAACCATATTACCAAACAATCAATCCTAACTGACTTTACTGTGTCGTAAAATTTAAAGACATATAATAAGCATAAAAATAAAACTTAAAACCTTGGACAGAATAAAAAACATGATGTTCTTGTGTCTTATAAAACAAATAAAATACATAGAGCTTCAGAAATGCAAATAACAAACTCTTCTCACGCCAAGACATGGCTCAGCACACATGGAGGGAGTTAATGAATATACACACACACACATACGCACACACACACTCACACACAAAGATCGGTGCTCTGTAGTTAGAGCTGGTCATGTTTTTACTCGATGTTTTACAGCTGTTTTAAAGACGCTCTATAAACGCTCGGACTCCCTCACAGCTCCAACGAGCCACAACACACCTCAGGCAGAACGAGGGAAAACAGATGATCCTCAGCAGGGGCCTCATCTTTTAACCCCCACAGCCCCGCCCTGTGTGTGTGTGTGTGTGTGTGTGTGAGTGTGTGTGGAGGTTAACACAGAGCGCTGGTCTCACTCATCACTCTCCTCTGAGTCAACAGCTCGTCTGGATCAGCACCACCTAACTCCACTCACTCCGGGTCAGAGCTCCTAAAGACTCTCCTAAAGGCTCTAAATGGAAATGAGGGGATTCGTCTTCGTCAGCATCAGAGTGTGACAGAGTCCGAGTGTGTCTAAGTGTGAGCAGTGTGTGTTTGTGCTCCACAGCTACATGTTAAAGCTTTCAGGTGGGGTGGTTGGATGTTAGGGTGTACATGGTGTAACATTACAGTTGTCAATTACCCAGCATAAACACATGTTCCTCTGTTATTGTTATAACTGCATTTTTGCACTTTTTGTCTTGTCTGTAATGCTGCTGTGACAAAAAAATTTCCCCCATGGGGGATCAATAAAGGACTATTCTATTCTATTCTATTCTATTCTATTCTATTCTATTCTATTATGGTAGTACATTAGATTAAAGGGATAATTTGGTTTTTTGAAGTCACATATTATTTTAATGTCAAATCCATACATTTAATCAGCATCTTCACACAGCTCAGAGCAGTAAACCAAGAATCCCTGCAATGTCTGTCCAGGGGCGTTTCTTTAGCCATAGGATATCAGGGGCTGAGCCCGGATCCCCCCACCCAAGAACAGGAAGAATGGGCTTGTGGTCAGGATCGTCTTTTTGATACATTACCCTTGTATGAGCAGGGACAACTAAACAGCATTGCATCGGCAGAAGAGTCTGAACTGAAGACTGTATATACAATGGACAACTTGGCTCCGCCTTCCGTCATTATACGAATTTGAAGCAGAATTGCTCTCAGTATTTTCTGGACTTTCTCCACTTCCTGGAACCACCACTTGCACACTAGCATTGTATGCATTTGGCGGGAGAGTCGCTGAGAGTTGCTGTGATGACACTCGGCTCAAATAGCGTATCCCCCACGGGTGAACTACCTAATCTTCGTACGCCCATAGGCTGTATCAACTGTCGATCATAGAAAACATGAATCCCCTAATAACTTTTAAAAATTAAGCTGCACAGAAAAAAGAGGACTTGAGCACAAACCAGACTTACAGTAACTACATGTCAACATCACAACCAGGGGGGAGAAAAATGTGTATTCTGTGTAATAAATTTCTGAAGTTTGTCCACAGCGCCATAGAGATTGCTGAAGGAGGCGGGCTTTATGACCTATACTGTAGCCCGTCACCAGAGGGTGCTGTTCTTGTGGTGGCTTCACCCAGCGAGGAGGCAGATGGTGTCCATTCAGTATACAGTCTATGGTCTGAACCAAAGCATCAAACTAAGGCAATAAATTCAGTTATTAATCAAGTAAAAGAGTAAAAAAAAACATGGATATAGCACAGATTTTAACACAAGTACAGCCTCGATACAAATTCCTGATTGAATAATAATTTTAGTTAAAAGATAGAACATTTTTTAAGCAGAGTAATTACTTTTTATTGACTGAAATCGACTCAAATGTTTTCATTTTTCATCTTAAACACCACATCTTTGTTTTTAAATTGTTATCATGTTACTATAAGTTTGAAGCTAATGCCAGTTATTTCACTTTGACAGTATATGAGCATAGATTGTAGCAGTGTTACTTTGGCACAGAAAAAAAGGAGACTTGTTTGGTTTCCATTCTCTTTGAAATGGTCCCAAATCTGAGAGGTTCCACCCCATTTTTCTTGTAAATGCTGATCCTCTGATTCTCTACATTTTTCAGAAAATGTACAGAACAACAAAAATAACAGTGTACTTGGGTGGGGGTGTGCATGACTCTGCTTTTTCATTTGGAAACAGACTCAGTGGTTCAATCAAAGGGCCGTTCTTTTTTCTTTTTTTTTTTTTTTGATTGTTTATGCAAACCAAACTCCATCAGATCACTTCGGCATGCCAGCTGTCCACCAGATGGCTGGATGCTATGACCTTTTGATGACACTTTCTTTCCAGGAGTTTCCAGTCATAGCCTTTGAGATTTTCTTTTTCCAGAATCAGAACAAATAGATTTGAAGTTAGCAGCTCAGCCGGCAGCCTCTGAGGCCCCACTGGGAGCGCTCAGGGGAAGTTTTAATATGAAACTGATATTTAGTGTTTTCACTTGTTTGAATCAATGAAGAGTGTGTCTCATTATGATTCAGCTCAGTGCCTCTTCTGACGCTCTCTGTTAATCAAACATCAAATCATTTCTTGTCAAGTTTCTGAGAGGCCTGTTGTTTCTGTGATTTTTATTTGATGTTGTCCTCTCTTGTCCTGTTTATGGGAAAGTTCTTTTTGGACACAAACTTTATCCTGTTGTCTTTTAACACTGAAATGCATGACTGTATCTGAGTATTTACCATGGAAGAGTTGAAAATTTGCCGTTTCTTCAGCCTCCTGCACCTTCATCATGGTTTTAGGCATCAAAAGTTACCACTAAAAGTTACTGCCATGTTGCCGCCGGTGTAGTTTACTTTTGAAGGCCATAAGAAGGCATCAGTATCAGTTTCAGCCTGTTTCTTAACCAGAAAAATATATCCCCATAGTGCCTTTGAATCAGCTCTTGAAACTCCTTACTGGTTTTAATCAGTTTTAGAGAGAGGAGGGCCTTTGCTAATAATGTTAGAAATTCACAGACAAAATGTTCTCTATTAAAGGGATAGTCCGGCGTAAAATTAAGTTAGGGTCAAACATACCGTAAGACCGAGTTAGACACCCCGTTCAGATTATTACTTCATGGAAATGTAATCAGACAGAGACGCTAAGGCAGAAGAACTACAGCGTCTGCAGTGCAAAATGATTATTATGATGATTATTACTTAAAGGAAATGATAAAGTAATGATCATAAATGTTCTTCCTTGAGCTGCGTAACCCCGCTGCAGTCGATGGACTCGCCCTGAAGTCTTCATACAAACAAGCGGCTGCTGGAAGAGAGTGAGTTAGCTGTGTTTAGTCTCTTTGCTAAAGAAATTAGACAAAGCTAAAAAGATGTTTGATGGCTAGTGCTATGGCTGGGTCCCTATATGTACTGTTGATGAAGTTAGGTGCTGCTCTGAGCATTATTTGTGGCTCCAGAGTGGCTTTTTGGTTGAGCATATGGCTCTCTGTATTGCTATCCTCTAATCGTTACTAAAGTTGGTATAACTAGAGAAGCAAGCGGTCCACAACATTCATCTCTCAACGGGGTGTCTAACTCGGTCTTACGGTGTGTTTGACCCTAACTTAATTTTACAGCGGAATATCCCTTTAAGCATCTGAATCATCAGTTTTTATATTTTGTAAAGCTTGTAAAGCTCATCCCTCTGAGACATTTTTGACAAACTATTCAAAGATATTGATATCCCACACATCACATGCTGGTTAGATGCTTTGGTTCTTTTGAAGTGTGTGTGTTTCTGTAAACCCTCCACTGTACATTTGTATGTGTGTGTGTTTGTGTGTGTGTGTGTGATGCTGCTGGCATTCCAGTTTGTAGAAGCTGCGGTGGAAAATAGCTCCGTCTGTCAGCCTCTATCTGCTGATCCTATCTCTGAGAGTGACCTGAGGAGCAGAGTCTAACAAAGAGAGCCTGTCTGCGGCTCAGGTATGCTGTATCTGAGATAAAGACTTGCAAGTCTCTGCCTGCCTCTCCCACCGCTCTGCAGCCTTAGAGACTGAGGGGTGGGGGGTTAGCACCATTAGAAATACCACCCAGAGAGGGAGAAGTGTGCAAAACATGCCTTCAGGGCCCGCTGTCACTTTATTCGACACTCAGGGTGAAATACGCACCTCTTCATTTTTGCCTTTTCCTTTTGAAACATGGAAAGTAGGAAATAAACTCTCACGTGGAATCTGCAGGCAGGTCTGAGAGGGGCGGCCAGGATCTGAAGCTAAAACACACTGAGGATTTAAGAGCGTCTGGTTTAAAACAACAAGCACTTAAAGTGGCCATCTCTGTTGAGACGAGGTTTATATGAACCAATCCGCTGTTTTGAAATGGTTTCACATTTTAAAGACGACACAGTGAAAACGTAGACACAGTCAGACAGGGGGCTGCGGGTTGTGTGGTTAGCTTTCTGAGTGGATTACAAGAAACAGAAGGTGCACTGATGGAGCGAGATTGTGAAAAGTAAGACATAATTCAAAGGGAGAAGGATGTTGGAGTCCCTGAACGCCTCTGGGGTTGCCCTGTATGTTAATCAGAAACATGAGGTCCTCCTCCTGAGTTTATTATCACAGGTGCACATAGTTTGGGGTGACTAGAGGCGAGGCATGAACACATGTACCCCACCGGCTACAGACGTATCAGAAATCTTTTTTCTTTGCTTTTCTTACACTTTTAATGTTCCCTACATCCAGGAACCACAGACTGAGAACATCAGGTGAATCCAGCAGCTCAAGTTTGACACATTGACCATCACCTCAGCATAGCTTGAAGCAACTTTATTCCAACAAGAGGATGAAGCTGAAGAGGAGGCAGTCTTTAGCACACTCTAAGTTATCAAAGTGTTACTCTCTCTTTACAGCTCTCCCAGAAATGACACCAAAATATTTAAAGCTCCCCATTCTGAATGGCTACAGTTTGGATCATAAAGCCCACCTCCTCCATGTAAACAGATGGGACATGGCCTAAACTGTAAAATCAAAATACACATCAAATGAAAGGTTCTCAGTCATTGTTAATGTTATTATAGTTAGCTCTCATCAGGCTGATTTACATCTTTGTGCTCATTTTCTGAAAAGTTTAGTTTGAATCAGTTATTTGATGACGTAGTCTCAGTAGTGTTTTTGGAGGACGGGGCTTTGCTGGAGGTAAAACATCCCTCAGACACTTAAGCAAAAACAACTTCATAGCTAACGTTGGTTGCTTTTTGGGGGGAAGCTAACACAGGTCTCTTTGACTGTGAGAGCATGACCACTACTCCCTCTGTTTTATTTTAAACGACCCAAGATAACATTTCAGGACTCCTACAACATCCTGTTTCCCTCCAGTTTTGCCACACCAGTAAACCAGTAACTGTGACATCGGCCCTATAAAGACAAATGAATCCATGCAAGACTAAGACTGAATGAGCCAACAAGTATGGTAAGCACAGTCACAGATAGCTGCTAATCAACTAATCCCACCTGTTAAGTTATACAAACTTTAGCTCTACATGGAATAAGTTATAGAGACCAAAACTGTTTTTATACCAGGCTGTAAACATGTTTATTTCTATGTTAAAGTTGGATGTTTTAACATGGGGCTCTATGGGGACTGACTCGCTTTAGGAGGCAGCCTCAAGTGGACACTCACGGAACTACAGTTTTGACACTTTCATAGACTCATGGATCATGTGCTCTTTATTTTGCAGACGCAGTGGATGTTACATGATGTGGTGTTTTTATTGTGTACTGACCTTTGCCCTCATGGCTCGCTCAGCCTCCAGCTCCTCCTCCAGCTCCTCGATTCGAGCCTGATAACAGAGGAAATAGATTTCAGTGAATCATGTGAAAGATTAACAGTCTGTTCGGACTCAAGTAAAAAATATGAGTGTGATATGTGATGTGAAGCTCTTTCCCTCTGCAGCTTTCATATAGCTTATTGCATCCCGGCAGAGAACAAATGGGGCGTCACCTCACAGCCTGTTTGCTATTTCAGGGTGGCTCTGGTGTGTGGTGAGGCCGTCTCTCTGCTTTCTCTTGGGATTTGGCACGCCTCTGGCTTTTTTTCCTCAGGTAGCAATTTAGAGCAAGAATGTGTGTAGTCACCATCATTATCTGGATCCTGACCCCGAGCCGGGTCTGCTATGTCCGCTCAGAGAGACCAAAACAATTCGCACAGGACAGTCGAGGAATTTCTGTCATGTTTTTGTTTTCTCTCGGTTTTACAGTCTGGCTGGCAGCTTGACTTTCTCAAGCAACAACCCAATTACAGTGCAGTTTTTACACCCTGGTTTTGTTTAATACTTTGAAATACGAAAGAGAAATTTCAGTGTTTCCTCTGGTTGAAAGAAAGACATCTTTTTCTTATAATTTTATTATCCCAAAGTTTAAAATATTAATTTCAATATTTAAAAAAAAGGAGTTACTTGGTTGATTAATTAAACTTTTTTCTAAAATTTAAGAGTTTTAGCATCATCAAGACCTATACAAAGATAGTTATATTTACTATGATATGGACCGCTGTAACCTAGTGATGGACACGGCAGTTCTTTTAGATGTACTAAATTACTAGAATAAGTTCACTAAAAAGATTCGTTCAAAAGACTCGTTCACCAAATTACCGAATTATTTAGCAGGAGAGGCCTGCGACTTTGACTTCTTGACAGCTAAGCGTTTCAGGATTCAGTTCAATTCATTGCTTCTGGGACCAGGAGACGAGAGTGTTTGGCTGTGTTGCTTTGTCCAACAAAAATGATTCCAGAGAGTGTAGTTTATTGCATAATTCGTTCACCAAGTGATTCAGGCGTCGGTGCATGTGGTCCCTCGTCTGCTGGCCGCTGGCCTGGCAATACTGTCTCTCACTTCAGCTCAACTGAAGTGAGAAACGAACGATTCACTCAAGGGGAAGTGATTCGATTCAGTATGTTCACTTAAAAGATACGGTTCTTTTGAACGAATCGTTCGCGAATCACACAACACTACTGTAACCCACTCTTTAGCCAAGCTATTGCAATATGCTAATGTATGTTTGTGACTGCAGCAGCATTTTTTGCCGTGCTCTCTCTGTCCTTTGGCTTTTCAGGCACACTGATTATCAATTGTGTTATTCCTTTTTATGGCAATCCAGCCACACCTAGTCACATGCCACAGGGTAAAGCTTAAGCTGTCTGCATTACACAGTGCAAGTTTTCCATCCATCCATTTTCTACCGCTTAGCCCCTTGGGGTTGTGGGGGGGCTGTAGCCTATCTCAGCATCTTGGGGTGAAGGCAGGGTACACCCTGGAAAAGTCACCAGTTCATCGCAGCATTGACATATTGAGACAAACAACCATCCACACCCACAATCACACCTACGGGCAATTTGAAAGTGACCAATTAACAGAACTCTACTTGTGCATGTTTTTTTGGGATGTGGTAGGAAACTGGAGTAACCAGAGTAAACCCACAGAGAAAGAGGGAGAACATGCAAACTCCACACAGAGGTGCCCTGACCAGGACCTTCTTGTTGTGTCTAACCACTACACCACTGTGCTGCCCCAGTACAAGTTTCGTTGCTCATTAATTCCCTTCTTTCTGTGTCCTGATTACATGACGACCCATAGTGCACACAGTAGATATGCCCACTAACTTGCAGTCCATGAACACAGTTTCGTTCTTAGCCCTTGGTTTTGTAATTATGTCCTCCTCTGAAGGACCAGAGAGTTGCAGAAGACTGACGGTCCCAGGTGCTGGACTAAATCCAACTCAGTGTGAGATATGATGAGATTTCTGTAGGTGAAAATGACAAACTGTACACTAAAACAATCATTTTAGCTGCTATGCGTGAGATGCAACTTCGAAATCACCTCCTAAAATCGGCTACAATCAGTCATCAGCTTGTAAAAATGTTCACCATGGATTTTAATACTGTGCACGGATCACAAATCCGCAGGCACCAATTACTGACTGTGCACAGGAGATTTACACATAGCTCGTTTTTTTCTCAGCTGACACCTCATTATATTACATATGTGCTGAGTAAAAGGCCAAGAAGACTGATGAACTGCTTTTTGCACATCAAAAATAGAGTAAACACAACTTTGTTAAAATTAAAAAAAAAAAGTCCCTTTTCATGAAAAAATGTGCTTACATTAAGTTTGATTCCAGCAACATGTTTGTAAAAAAGTTGGGGCAGGAACAACAAAACACTGAAAAAGATAATAAAAGTAATAATTTTTCATATAATTTAATTTTAAACTTCTGAGGGACTATATCCAAACTAACTAACTAACTTTTAACAGGTTAGTCACATGACCTGGACAGGCTGAGTCTCTCAGAAGCAAAGATACAAAGAGGTTCACCACTCTGTGAGAGACTGTGTGAGCTAATATTTTCAAGCAAGAATATTTTAAAAATGTTAGAATCATGTTACCAGGCATAAAACTGCAAAGACTTTTGGGATTTTATCATCTATAGCACAAGACATGAAAAGATCCAGAGAAACTGAATAAATCCCAGAAACTTGAAAACCAATACTGGTTATCAGCCAGCACCTCATTAAAAACAGACATGACTCTGTTTTTGTGTAGGCTCCATTAATGCTGAACAATATCTACAGGTTTAGGAGCAACATCTGCTGCCATCCAGACAAAGACTTTTCAGGGAAGACCTTCATATTTCAGCAAGACAATGACAAAACACATTCTGACAACGGCGGTTACAACAGCATGGCTCTGTAGTAGAAGAGTCTTGCTGAGAAACTGGTATACCTGCAGTCCACTTGTCAACCACTGAAAATGTTTGGAGCACCATGACAGGAAAAACAAACATGATCATGGAGATCATCAACTGTTGAGCAGCAAAAACCTGTATCAAGCAAGAATGGGGTACCATTTTGACTCCCAAACTTCAGGAAGTGGTCTCCTGAACAGGCTTAGAGTTGTGTTGAAAGACGAGGTGATGCCACTCTACTGTTAACATGGTCCTGTCTCAAATGTTTCTAAATGTGCTGCTGGTATCAAATTTTAAAATAAAAAAATAAAAATGTCAGTTTCAACATTGGGTATGGTTTTACAATATTTTTTAGCCTCAAAATAATTTGCAACAATCCAAATCTGTTTTTACCATCATTTCACATATGGTCCCAAGATTTGAGGGGTCAGGGTCGGTAATTTAATGGCTGGCAAAACCTTTGGATTGTTCATATTTAAACCTTTTGTAAGAAATGATGCTGACATTACTTAAAGCTCCAGTGGGGAACTTTGTGTTTGAGTCAGTTTTGGCGCCCTCTGTAGGCACCCTATCATCCTGCTGACTTTTACAGACAATTTTATAATTGATTCTGAAATGGAAATTTTAAAAACTGTCTGTTTGGGATAACTCAAATTTGAGGCATTAAAGTTACCGGGTAACACTTTACAAAAATATAACTCGTAAATGGTAAATAGACTATTAATAAATGGTAAGCAGATAGTTCATTAATGTTTAATCATCATTTATAAATGGCATATAGACCATTAATAAATTGTAAACTTTACAATTTTAAAAACCTAAACACTTAACCTTAACTTTACAATAACCACCAAAGTAATGTTTATAGGTGTTTATAAACCACTTATTAATCATTTACAAAGTGCTACTGACACACATTTTAATCTAGATGTTTTACAACCAATATTTAAACCCTATATAAACCTTTAAAAAATAGTCCGTTAAGAATTAGTGAAAATTATTAATCATAGTTTCATTGCTTGTTAATGGTAGAGGAACAATTAATTTACATTAATAAACTATCTAATTACTATTTATAAAACATGGTTATTGTTAAGTGTTACTATATCAATAGTATCAAAAAAGTTACTATATCAAAAATGTTGTATACGGTCTTGCTCATGTTGTTTGTCATAAAAAGCCATTAGAATGAATTTTAGTCTATTTCATAGACGTCCAACAAAATCCCCATATGTGTTTTCATCGTGGAATTCATACAACACTATGATGAAGAGAAATTAAATTTGACACGACCGACTGACTGTTTGTACTTTTTTTATTTTACTAATTGTAAAATATGGTTAAAATTTTTTCAAACCTTTGTAAACCAAAAATCCATTTTCTTTTGTGGTGGAAAACAGAATAATTTAAGCAAACTAATACCATCGTTTTGAGGATTTCTTTCCTTTCATGTAACAGCCAAAGCCTGTTGTAAAACTCAAACAAGTCATAACTCTTAAGTTAAAAACTATAATGACCGGGTTGCAAAATCAGATTTTACTCATAAATTATTTGATGATCGTTTTCAACACAGAATGTTCTGGTCCAACTAGAGGTAAATTTAATATCATAGAAAATAAAACAAAAAAAACAACCCTAAAAAGAGTTTTTTTCCCCTCTCAAAGCAGCATTTTCACCTGTCTAATTAAAATGCTTCCTGAAGCAAAAGCTCCCTTTCAGCAGGATTGAATGTGCCAAACATCATTTCAGTGGATTATTCTCCAGCAGCCAAAACAATCAGAATGATCTAACGTGAGTAAATAACCCGCAGCAACATTTCTCCGCACTGATCAGGAGCCAAACCCTCGTTTTGTCCTGCTAATAAAAAATTATTGCCGGTTTCCCAACATGGCTGCATCCCTCCAAGTCTTGTCATGTTCTGCAGCGTTATCTGCTGCTTCTATCTGTGTCTCAGTGTCAGGAAGTGTGTCTGACATGGCATGAAGCCCGAGGCCAAACACTGCAACAGCGCTCACACACACACACACAGCTGCACCGCACACACACAGAATCACCTTTTTGAGAGCAAATATGAACATGCACGCACAAGGAATTATCCAGCATAAAAAGGACTAGAAAGTTTGTAGTGTCTTCTCAGAAATACTCCAGAAATAGGGCCAGAGATATCTCAAACTCAGTAACAGCAACAAAGAAATAACTATCTTCCTTTTTCTACATTATTTGGAGATGTTACTAAATATGAAGTAAAGAAAAACTCACATGCCAGCGCAGGACATCAGCAGAGAGAACAGCCATGGTGAGGCAGCAGCAGCCCAACTGACTGACTGACTGACTGGCTGTCCCACACACACACACACAAATACACATACACAAACACACACACTCAGCGCTGATCCCCTCCGGCATTTCTCAGTCCACACCCCCTTGTGCATGCACAGCCCTTTCTGTCTCTCTCCGATCTGTTTCTTGTTAAATTCCTGCTTCCCAAAAACCTCAAACCAGCCTCAAAATAAATGTTGTGGCTCTAATATGATTGTAGAAACACGGAGACCTAACAGTGTAAAGATGTTTCAGACAGACTGCACGGATAGTTTAGGCTCCTTGTGTTTAGTAGAATGACATTTTTAACGCCAGGTTTGTGTGTCCTTTCATATGAACTAAGTTAGAGCCTCCTTCCCTGCTGCGTCCTGGAGTCATAAGTGGAAATAAAAGCATCAGCTCATGATTCTGCTGATGATTTCAAGGTTTGATTTCTGTAACAGTTTGCTCTTAAGGTTTTCTTTTTTCCACGCTGCTCTCTGAAACAGAATAATTGTCCTTAAATTACATTCAGATGTGGCCTCAGAGCTGATGTCTCCTCTCTGCTGTCTGAGGGGAGATTCAGCAGCGTGGGCAGTTATATCCTGTAACCTCCCTCCTTCCCTCTCTCTCTCTCTCTCTCTCTGGATCAGACCCCCTGCTGTAGTCAGTCCACCATGCTGTCCACACATGCTCTGCTTTTAAATCTGCTTTGTTCTCTTAAACTCCTTCAGATGCTTCTAGCTGTAAAAGTCCTGATGTTTGATTGGCTGAGTGATGACAGGTGCTGTTGGCCTGGTCACAGCGCTGCATGCAATTAACTCCATGTGATGACGTGGGTCGGACCAGACGTGAAGCATGCAAGTCACAGGTGCATATCATACCGCAGAGATATGAATGAACCCTGCAGCTTGTCCCAGGACCTTGTTTTTCCAAAATCCACCAAGTTTCATGATGAACATTTGATTAAACTCAGTTTTTAAAAAGCTGCAGGAAATCCATCCCTACCAACACTCCCTTATTTGTTTCAGATCCCAGCTCTGCTGCCAAATCTCAAACATTTCCTCCCAGGTCACCATAGTGTATATTAGACACAGCTGAGTTAAAACAATATGTTCAATTAACATTTTTTATTTTTCTCTTTTATGAGACAAAGGAAGTATTTTGCTCTTTGAAATGCTCGCAGTAAACTAATCACATTTTTATTCTAGTTAGTGGTTTTGTTTTATCAGTACCATGCATGGCAAAAATACAAGTCCCTTTCTTGTTTGACTTTTTACCGTTTAGGTAAAAACCATTAAATGTGTGATGAATAGACACAGCATCAGAGATGTCACCCATTGGTTCATGAAGTCAGGTTCACAGCCTATCTAGGTTGGTCACAATATTGGTAATGCTGACTTGGCCAAGCCTCCTTACAGACAAATACAGTGTGTCCACCTGTCAGTCAGTCCCAGGTCATGCTGTCCACATTCAGAAGTTCCATAGGACAAGACGTGACAAATGCACGTGACAACAGCCAATCAGAGTCGAGCTTTTCCTGCTCAGTTCTGTAAGTTGCCGGAAAAGTAAACAGAATGACCGAACGTGGAGCTAAACGTCAGCCATGACTTAAAGTCATTTTCCAAAGATGCCATTGTTGGGAAGAAAAGTTTTTAAACTTCGGTTGTGTGGTGGTGGTTTGGGTATTTTCAAAGTGACATCGAGCAATTAAGCCGATGAACAAGGTATGTCGGCAGTCAGTGCCCTCCAAAACTGGCAACACAACAGATCTGTTTAATCATTTAAAGAAGTACTTCCCGAATGATTATGCAGAAAGCATGAAAATTCGAGCGAAGTCTGCACAGCCTGCCACTGCTGACTGCACTGCACTAGTAGCATTAGCAGTTAAGCCACAACTAGCGGTGCAGCCACTAGTCCAAAGCAGCAATCAATCATCTCATCTACGTTTACATCATCTAATGTTAACATTTTAAGGTGTCTTTATTACCCCTGAGGAGGCCATTTGTTCCTTTTGGGTCTGTAAGCTAGTTCACTGTATTATTTAGTAATTATTTAAATTTGTTGTATTGATGAGTTCAAATGGTTTCAACATATTTTTAAGTTTATTTTATTGAATTTGCTTTGTTATTTACTCTGTTTGTTAATGAAATGTTGAACTCATCTCTAGTTTATTCAGATTTTATTACAGATGCTTTAAAACTGGCAGTTAAAAAGAAAAAAAATCGTGATAATAATCGAGATCAGACAATACGACAAAATATATTGTGATCAAGTTTTCTGCCAAATCGCCCATTCCTACTACAAGCCGTATCCAGCGGTGTGTTCACAGTTAGTCAAAAACTGATGGTACTTTTCACAGCAGACTCTGCCATCAGTGTGTGAATTTGGTGTTAATGGATGAATGAATGTAATGGAAAAACTTTGACTGGTCAGGGGACAAGAAAAAGCAGGTACTCCAATTGGTCCACTTTTAGGATCCAGGTGTGTCTGTAAGCAGGGGTGTTGCTTTTTACACAGTATGTTAGTATCTGCTATTTCTCAACATTTAAGAGCTATAAGAAAGCAGGACTGCAGACCTATGACCGCCTCCTTAATTGCATCTTTAACTAAAGCTCTGAAGAGAGGGAGAGCGATGCTTCATAAAAAATGATGGACACACAAAGATGGCTCTGTGACTCCTTTACAGTCTGTGGACACAACCACGGGACCCTGACGTCAGAGCCAGACAAGAGTGGGCGACAGAGGAATCAGCTGTGCTGCCCGTCCACCTGCGTCTCCATTAGTGGGAGGAGCCACATGTATAAAAGCCTCATTGTGAGATAATGTCAAAGCTACAGTAAATGTGAAAATATGCCCACAGACTGTCTGATACAAAGACGTCTTTATTTTGGTCCTTTCAGACCTCTTAATGAGACGAAGGAGCTTCACCTGAGCGCTGAAGACAATCTTTAGATCTACTCTCTTTACTAAAGACAGAGTCAGACCAAACACACTATCTGAACACGCCTCAGTGACACAGATTAAAGCTTAAAGACTAAACTGGACTGATGGGATCTGGATGACACAGTCAGATTAACAGGAAAGGCCTTAGAATAAACTTCACTCTCAGACCAAACACAGGAGGAAAGTGGAGTGAGTCAATGAAGGCTGTTGTCTTTGTCGTTCTACAAAGCCTTTCAAAAGTGAGGTCCTGAAGATTGGTTGTAGGTCATCATGACTCAAGTGATTTTTTTCCTCTATAGCTGCCAAAAATAGTTGTTTATAATGTGTTGCCACCACTGCGAGGACTCTTCCTCACTTTTGTTGGGATTGGAAGTTCAGTGAGCTGAATCTTTGGTTTTAGCAGTTTCAGTTAATAAAACCGACACAAGCTCTGAAAGTTTCCTCACAGATTCAAACAAGAGAAGTCAGGAGAGATACTGAGTGTGAAAAAAGTTTGGACAGGACATCTAAAAAAAATCTCCAAATATTTAAAAAACACTTTGAGTTCTTGAAGATGTAGAAAAACACTGACTGTGTTTAGAAAGACTCTATTATGTGTTTTATCATTATTATTATTGGTTGTGCTTAGTGATTTTTAACATCTTTAAGCTCTTCTGAGGATCTTTCAGTTTATGTTAATTGTAGCGCCCCCTGTGGACAATCCCAGTCTTTGCCTGTCCTGTCCTCCACATGCTCAAGCAGTGTCTTTTGACAAAAGTCCCATCTTATTGAATTTTCAATGTCAAATGACTCATTCGTTGTGAATATATTTTAAGGACATTGTAAAAAACAAGGCTTTTCCTTTGGCTAATGCTGCATTCCAGTTGTACTCCAAAGAGTTCCAAGTCTGAAATTCATCTATAACGACCTCCTGAAGTCTGATTTCCAACTTTGAAAGTCGGACAGTCCTCGCCAACCCCGACTTGATGATAACATCATAATTCAAGATGGCAACGTAGTGCATCGACAGTAAAGTGCAACAGTAAAGCTCTTGTAATGTGTTATTTATTAACACTTGTGTTTTGTTTTTGTGAAATTAAATAAGTGGTATATGTTGTGCCACCCAACGTCTAACATGGTGCTATTGTGTTTGTAGAGTAAAATACTGTGTTGTGCATTGTTTATGACTAACAACAACTATCAACAGCTGACAACCGCTAATAACGACAGCTGACAATTGTAAACAACAGCTAACAACGGGTAACAGTAGGCGTCCATCTTGGTTTTCCGACTTGTTTACTGGATGGCCGTCAACTCTGGTGTAGCGTCATTCCCAGCTCTGACATCCAAACTCCGAGGTAACTGGAACGCAGCATAACACTTACCCCCTCACACCACTTTCAGACATTAATACTTATAATATAAGAAGAGTCAGTCTTGTTACAGATGGTCTGTTTGCTTTTGTAGACTCTGAAAAGACCTTAAGATGAATTTCAGTTCATTTTGTAAACATCAAAAAAGTAATCACATGAGCTTTAAATTTGCAAAAAAGTTTGAAACTCGAATGTTTTTATTGATTCCTGACAGTTAAATGTGTCAATTTGTCACTTCACATTTTGACACTCATATTAAAATCCCATCACACAGTTTCCACAGAGTGGAATAAGTTATTGGTGTTGCTTAGTGTTGATGTGATTCCCTGACGGTTCTGAACCTCGCTGGATCAGAGCCACAGACAACGTTTTCACCTGCAGCTATGTTTCTCCTGCGATGACGAAGATCGATTACAGCAGGAGCGAGTTAACCGTGTGCTCAGTCATCTTAATTTATCATCACTCTGTAACTGTCAACAACAGATAAATAAGATGAGCTCATCCAGTGCTGAGTGATGAGCAGCTGAGCATAAATCAGCTTCAGGCTGCAGGAAAAGATGAAATCATGACACTTTAAAGTTTTCCACAGTCAGCCAGAGTCAAGTTTATTTCACTGCGTTCCTGTTGATATACTGGATAAAATCTTTCCTCGTGATGAGATCAGATGAATTTGGATTCTTTGGATAAAATGTTTCCATGAGTGATGACCCCAGATAAAACCAGAACTGGCTTATGTGATCCCTCCAATCGCAGATTTGATCTTAGCAGGTAGCTTAAAAAGGCGCTCGACATTGTAGACTGTGACATCGCTTCATTTGTCTAAATTAAACTTTTAAATGGTTTGTTTCTTATCTACAGAGTGAGGAGGGCAACATGTTGAGATGGATTTAAAAGTGTGCTCCTTGACTAAATGAAATAGGTATCCCTCAAGGCTTAATATGACGCCCACTGGGTAAACTATGTTCCTTTGTGCTGTGCTGTTACCTTCAGACAGAGTTAGCAGTTAAAAATCCTGTTGGGGTCCACATGGATCAGGGATAGACCATCAGATTGTTCTGTGTTACTGATAAAATCCATAACCAGGAAGTATTTCTCATCTACACAATCTGATACACAGTCGGGAGTTAGCATGTGGTGTTTTATTTTAAAATTTACCGGATGACATGCGCGGTTATCGTGCTTGACAGAGTGATCTTCTTTGTGTACATTGATGCGTGTTGGAAGCGTAGAGCAGTGAAAATAGACTTATTATTAGCATTGCTGCTCTCGATATGCTTCTGAGACGGAGCTGCAACGCGTCCTGTATGTGACGCTGCATTGATTAGAATGGCAACCTATTTGCTGCGTCATACGTGACGCTGACGGAACAAGCTCAACACAGATCCTGTATGTTTTCAGCCTTACGCTGATGATACAGTCTTATATGTTTCAGCAAAGACACCCAATAAAGCAGCTGAGAAATAATTAAAGCTGCTATTTTAAGAACTTTTAATGAGTCTGTAGACCTGCATAGAATGACAGTCTGGGTATTTCGGTTCCAGCTTGGATCAGTCTTGATTTCTGAGCTGTGGTAAAACATGACATGGAGTAAACATGCAGTCTGCGCCGTGGTTTAGCTCCAGCTTCATTAAGTCCAAACTGACAAACCCCACATCTGAGGAGAAGATCTGAAAAATTCAGAGTCTCCACAGTGAGATATGACAGAAAGTCTCCAGACCCTCCTGTCTGCTTCGACTCCCATCATCATCAGAGATGGTTATCGGTCTAATGGAGGCGGTGTGCGTTTGTAACGTCTCCTGACAGGTACAGAGCCGTGAAGTGACTCATCCAATCAGAGAGCAGAGGACAGCAGCTCTGCTGAAAGGCAGGAATGTTTCTGAATACTTCTCTGTAAGACACCATGACCTCACTGTAGGACTTTTTCAGGAAACCAACCTCCTGACAGAGTGTCAATCTCAGGAATAAGTTTACAGACGGGTCCTTCCTTCGATGCACTTTTTTGAGGTATTTCAGTTGTTTTTTGTGGTTTCTTTTCAACCAGGAAAGCCTCATTGAGATTAAAACATCTCATTTCAAGGTCATAAATCTAATGAACCAGCTGCAGATGGACAGAGATTAAATCAGTGTGCCAGTGTTTTGGGAAAATTTCATCAAATCTCTGAAATTAGAAGCTGCAGATTGAATATCTGGTGGATGACGGTCAACCTTCTGTGATCTGTTTAACTGTCTAGACCATCAAAAGGGTCCACACATGTTGGAAAGCAACTGTTTTTAACAAATGTAAGTCTGGTTAAGTCATAATCCTGGTTCTTGACTGAACAGCAGATGTGTGGTGTTGTTCTCTGCTGAATGTGTTGTTTTGACTTTTTCAATTTTTATTTCTTGCATTTTTCCACGTCCTCCTCGTTGACGTTAACAGGGATTTTTGAGTTTGCATGTATAAACCCAAATTTGTGAGTGCTGTAAATACCATATCAACTGTTCCATCCTGTATGTGCAGAGTTAAGGTTCCTACCTGCAGCTCTTTGCTCTTCCTCTGCAGCTCCATGTTCAGAGCTTCTTCAGCCTCCAGCTTTGAGCTGGTGCTGCTGATCTCCAGATCCCTCCTGCAGACACAAACAGATTCAGAGATTCAGATTCAGAAAATTACTCATAAAATGCAACAACCCTTATTTATTTTCTTTTATTAGGCACTCCTAAACAAAGTTTGCCCTTATATTACAACATTCTTGGCCGCAGGTGTCTCCCGCAAAAAAGATCTTGTATCTCAATGGAACTAACCTGGTTCAATAAAGGTTATTGTAATAATGACAACAACTTCATATTGAATGTTTTTGCAATCCTTTTGCCTGATCTGTGTTATCTAAAGATGATAAAACAAAGCTGATATCTTTTAACTTCCATTTCACCCTCCTCTGTATTTTTGGCTCATATGTAAAAACGCTGACAAGCAGGATGCATGTGTGTGTGCAGTTTCCTGCTTCATTAATATTATTGTTATAGCTGTGTCAGTTTGAGTGACAGCTTTGATTCTCTGTGCCTGTTTGGAAACACAGCAGCTTAGCAACCAGGTGAGTCACTTTATAAACCCTCACAGAGAAACAGGGTCGACCAATAACTGAAGCCAAAGAGAGCCAGATTTAATCCTCTGAATGCAGATGTTATTGTTCACTGATCAGTGTGTGTGTGTGTGTGTGTGTGTGTGTGCTCTCTGACAGCTGCTCCATCTTGTTTTATTGTTGCTGCGGGTATATTTCACTGATTGATTCCATTTGCTCTGGTATCACAGAGGACAGGTACGAGCACGCTGACTGAGTGTGAGAGAGTGTGATAGCTGGACTGTGGAGCAGGTGTGTTACACACTATCACAGGTACAGCACCTGAGGATGACATCATCTCAGAGGGACGGGGGCTTATAGATAGATGTAATCAGAGTGGGTAGGTCCTGCTGTAATAGACCTACAGCCTGCATTAAAGGGATATTCCGGCGTAAAATTAAGTTAGGGTAAAACACACCATAACACTGAGTTAGACACCCTGTCAAGAGATGAATGTTGCCGACCGCTTACTTTTCTAGTTCGACCAACTTAAGTAACGACCGCAGATACCAATATAGAGAGCCATGCGCTCAGCCAAAACACCACTCCATAGCCACAAATAATTCTCAGAACAGCACCTAACTTCATCAACAGTACATATAGGGTCCCTGCTATAGTACAAGCCATTAAACATCTTTTTAGCTTTGCCTGATTTCTTTAGCAAAGAGCCCAAACACGGCTCAACTACTCTTCTCCAGTTTGTATGGGGACTTACGGGCGAGTCTATCGACTGCAGCAGGGGGACGCAGCTCAAGGAAGAACATTTACGATTATTACTTTATCATTTCCTTAAAGTAATGACCTTCATATCAATCATTTTGCACTGCAGACACAGTAATTCTTCTGCCTTCGCGTCTCGGTCTGATTGCATTTCCATGAGGAAATGATCATAAATGTTCTTCCTTGAGCTGCGTCTCCCCACTGCAGTCGATGGACTCGCCCAGAGGTCTCTCCACAAACAAGCGGCTGCTGGAGGAGAGTGGGTGAGTTTTGTTTAGTCTCTTTGCAAAGCTAAAAAGATTTTTGGTGGCTAGTACTATGGCTGGGACCTTATATGGTCTGTTGATGAAGTTAGGTGCTGATCTGAGCATTATTTGTGGCTATAGAGTGGCGTTTTGGTTGAGCATGTGGCTCTCTGTATTGCTATCGTGCGGTCGTTACTAAAGCTGGTCAAACTAGACAAGCTCAGTAACTCAGTGTTACAATGTGTTTGACCCTAACTTAATTTTATGCCGAAATATCTCTTTAAAGGGATGTTTCAGTATTATTTAAAGGAGGTTTCATGAGTTGCATGTCCCTAGTAATAGTAATTGGTGACACAGTTCTGCTGTTTTACTGAAAAACTGCCTGGTGAAGCAGCAGGATAGCTAAGCTAACATTTCTCTACTGATCAACTCTGACACATAATTTTGCTGTAGAGACCCCAACCAAAGCATTTATTGTGAGTTAAGTGTGCTCTCAACTGAGAATTTATTTAGCACTTTACTTGGACATCAGGAAGTCCATTTGCTTTAACAGTTTTGCTGAAAAGCTAGTTTTCATTAGGAGGGCCAAGTTTCTTTTTAGTGGCTGATACACAATATGAGAGTAATATATTAGTAAAGAATAAATCACACAACTGCACTCCGCAAGTGCTGAAATATCCCTTTACAGTGAGCATGTAATTATTTCATTCTGCTTTTTTCTTCCTTCTCTTTAATTCAAGCTATTTTGAAACTCTGTGAGGTAAAGCTGAAGAACAGCGTGTTTCCCTCTGATTTGCGACAGCAGGGTAAATTTGACTCAGCTTTTCTTTTTATCACTTTTATGACTGATTACAAGTTAGAGAAAAGTCCTCAGAGTGATGATGATGATTAAACAGATGAAAAGAAATCCTAAAATATGAACCAGGAAAGTGCTCAAGTTGACAACAGCACTCTGTTATCAGTTAATGAGAAGGAGGGCTGAGCGAGCAGCTCTGAAATCTGACACTGTCATGCTCATGAGAAAAATAACAGGCTGCTACAATGACTATAATGATGACCATTATAATTAACCACGTGTTAGCGACGAATCAAGTAGCCATCACTGATAATCTGACCAAGAGAGGCTAAAGTTGAGACTTATAACTGGGATACCCAGCCAATAAAAACACACTCAATAAAAACACAGTATGATAAAGTTGCTTACTGCAGTAATGTGCAAATAGAGATTTGATTATGTACATCAAAAGCTTAAATGGACCCACTGAAAGCTGGTGGGTTCCTGATAATTATGGGCCACTTATTGCATTTAAGGTGTGCTATTCTTTTAAAAAGCCAGGGTTTTAAACCAGTAATATTAATCATCATGTCCTTCTTACTGCTAAAACATCTGGCTCGTTAATAACAGTGGAGGAGCCAGTAACAAATTGTGCACAAATCAGAGGAGTAATCTGTTTGTGGGAGGAGAGGGTAATAGGCAGCGTGAGTACTCGAGAGTGAAACTGCTGTGTCCTGCTGTGACTATTTACTGTCTCATTGACCGCTCTGACTGCTAACCTGTTTTGTTCCACAGTGTACCAGTGTTGCTGCTTTGGCCGACCAGTCATATACTGGATGGGGTGGGAGTGGGTGGTCACACATGTAACATGAAAAATACACGACTATTACAGAGACAGAGGAGGCCACTTTTGGGACTTTTGTTTTTGCATTAACACTGAAATTACAGAGTCAATGTGGCAATCGAGGTTACTCTAGTAGAGGTGCATATGTTTAATAAACTTATGAATCAGTTATCTACATCTTATTATTTAACTCAACTTAAATATTTACTAATTCTCCGAAATGTATGTATGTTGTTAAAAAATAAAGGATGAAGTTTAATAGAGGAAACTCTTTTTTATACCAACAGTCCTGGTCCTAATGCAACACCATGTTTGAAATATACAAAGTCCTTAGCCACCTGCTAAACAGCTACAACATATTCATCTGTCTGTCAAATTAGCCACACCCCTATTATGCCTATTTACTCTTAATCTTAATATATTTAGATCAAGTAACTAGGGTCAAAGACATCAAAACTGCTGCTTTCACCAGCCTGTAAACATGTTGGGGTTTCCACTGTAAAAGTTGAACTTGTTAACATAGGGCTCTATGGGGATTAACTCAATTTTGGAGACAGCCTCTAGTGGACAGTAGAGGAACTACAGTTTTTGCACTTTCACACTGGCTGAAGGCTGTACGGACAATCATCAGGATTTCTTATTAACAGCATGAAAAAAAGTAAGTTTCTGATAACCCCGGAGGAACCCTCTGACCTTTTGATAAGCTCCTCCAGCCCGCTCCGGTTCCTCTCCATCTCCCCCAGACTCTCCTGAGTGGATCTGCTGTCTCCCTCCAGCTTCCTGCGGCTCTTCTCCAGCTCGCCGCGCTGACGCCTCTCCTGCTCCAGACAAAACTCCAGCTGTACAAAAAAACACAAAAAATATAAAACATAGTTCTCACAATGAACACATAATAGAGCTATAAACAGCACATTCGAACCATCACTGCTGGGTTTCTGGAAGCTAAAACTAGTACCAGTGTTTTACGACATCAAACTGCCAAAGAATAAGTGTTTTTGAGCCAGAAGTCAATAATTTTTATACGGACCATTTATTAAATTTGACAATTTTTATACTTAAAATTCAACATTTTAATGTTAAACAGATTTTCCACAGTCTGCTGGCTGACAGGGTTAGAATTAAGTGAAATAACCCAAAGTTTCCAATCCTCAAATACTCTTTTATGACCTTGATATTAATACAGTATTTAATGTGTGAAGCATGTGTGCTTCTGTTGGATGCAGAGTTTAGAGCTCATAGTGTTCCCACTGACCTTTAGTTATCGTTAATTATAGTTCAGGCAGGATTTTCCAGCTTATCTTAACTTAAAATAGAGTTTATAAACTGAGAGCGAAACTGAAACCCTGACCTTCAATTATTGGATCAGTTTTATTCATGACCACCAAACATGAACTCACATCCTCAGCCTGGATCTGCAGCTTGGTTTTCTCTTTGGTCAGCAGGTTCACCTTCTCCTCTTCGCTCTGAAGGTCCTCTATGGCCTGCTGTCAGGAGGAAACAAGATGAAGGTGAGGTCTGAGTCTGAGTCTGTGCTGCACATGTTCATCACTCACTGCTGCTCCATCTTAACATCCACCAACACCAGTCTGTCTGGAGTGGAGCTCAGATAGAGAGTTTGGTAGAAGATGTGAGTTTCTCTCTGTCTCTCCATCATGTTGGAACAAAAGCTCCAGATCATCACACTCTGGAGACTGAAAACAAATCTGAATGTGTTAGATTGATTTACCCGGTTTATATTCCTCCTCCATCACAGACTTATTCCACAATCAAACAGAATGAGGATCGTACTGAGATCTGATGCTCATTTTCCCCCTCAGATTTATCTCCATTGCTACTGTTGGTCAAACATCTGGATGAGGTTAGTGGTCAGGGCCTCTTACAGCTGACACAGAGAGCCACAAGGTTGTGAGAGGTCAAGATTTGAGCGATTTCAAAGCAGAGAGAGCTGTCTGCTGATGGGGGCACATTTATCACCCGAGCCACTTTTGGCAGCTGCACTGAACATATGGATCAGTTTTCAGATACTGTTACACAGAGGAGGCTTTCTTTACTTCTAAAACAGGGTAAGTCTGATAATGTAATAACATTTAACCAAACAGCCTGAAAAGGAACTTCTGTAAGAAATAATTCTAGACAGTGTAGTTTCATCCTCTGGTTTCTTACCTGGCTGAGCTCCACCAGGTGCTCTTTCTCTTTCTGAAGCTTCTGCACCACCTGGTCCTTATGATGGAGCTGCTCAGACAGCCTCCTCACCTCTGTGTCTGAAGACTGGACAAAGAGAAAAGAAGGTCAGGTTATTTAATAACTTCCTCAATGCAAATATAAAGCAATTATTTCTGTCCCTTGTTTTGATAGAGGAGGACTCAGTATACGGTGATCACCAAGGGTCCCTTAAACAGAAGATGGCTGCTGCTACAGACCACTGAAACAGCCTCAGGATCAGTCTTGATCTTGATCACAGCAGTTCACGTACAAATATTAAGCACTGGCTTTTATCATCGTGTTGCATCATCTCCTCCTTTGACTTTGGAAACCAAGCAGACCAGTTTCTGTAGTCCTCAAAGTTACCTGATACATACAATCTGCTCAACAACTCTCCTCTGTTCTCTGCTTTTATTGGGTGACAAGTCTGGACTGCAGTCAGGGTCAGTTTCTCAGCAGGACTCTTCTACTACAGAGCCACGCTGTTTTAATCCCTGTTGTCAGAATGTGGTTTGTCATAGTCTTGCTAAAATATGAAGGTCTTCCTCGAAAAAGTCTTTGTCTGGATGGCAGCAGACGTTGCTCCTAAACCTGTAGATATTGTTCAACATTAATGAAGCCTTATGACATGGACTCTGATCATCCTCAGACCATCAGGGACACTGCCTCTGACTCAAGGTGACTTAAGATAGAAAGCCAGATGGTCCCTTGCCTCTATAGCGAAGAGGACGCAGAGTCCATGATTTCCAAAACAAAAGTCAAACTTTGATCTGTCAGACTGCAGAGCGGTTTAAAGTTGTCAGAACTTCTTGGATTTGGTTCTTCTTTGAATGGATGCAGTGATAACTTAACAGTGGTGTTTGGAAGTGATTTCAAACCCATGCAGTGATCTCCACTGCAGAGTGTTGACTATCTGTAAAGGAATGCAGCCTGAGGGTCCGTAGCATAGACTGTATATAGAATGGACACCATCTGCCTCCTCGCTGGTCGAAGCCGCCATGAGAACAGCACCCTCTGGTGATGGGCTGCAGTATAGGTCATAAATCCCGCCTCCTCCAGCAATCCCTATGGAGCTTTGAACAAACTTTAGAAATTTTTTACACAGAATAAATTTTTTTTCATTCCCCTGGTTGTGATGTTGACATGTATTTACTGTAAGACTGGTTTGTGCTTAAGTCTTCTTTTTTTCTGTACAGCTCTATTTTTTAAAAGTTATTAGGGGGTTCAAATTCTCTATGATTGACACTTGATACAGCCTATGGGCGTACGAAGATTGCGTAGCTCACCCAGGGGATATGCTGTTTGAGCTGAGCATCATCTCAATGACTCTCCCGACAAATGCGTACAACGCTACTGCACAAGTGGTGATTCCAGGAAGTGGAAAAAATAACAGAAATACAGAGAGCAATTCGGCTTCAAATTCGTATAATGACGGAAGGCGGAGTCAAGTTGTCCATAGTATATACAGTCTATGGTCAGAACCGTCCGGTCTTTTTAGCCTTGTTCCTTTTGTATAGACATTTTTCTAGGTTCTCTGAATCTTTGAATGATTATACCTTCTTCAGGATGTCGGTGGCAGGCAAGACCATTAACCGCAAGCTACAAACTGAAAAAAAGATTCATGATTCAAGTAAAGGTTCAGGCTGTTTTGTATTGAAAAGATTCTCCGAAATTGATATGTGTGATTGTTAAAAATTAGACATGAGATTTTTTTTGTTGAAAAACACTAAAACACATACACAACAAAAAAGGATCGTCTTGTCTTGTCCACAGGAGACACTATTATTGAGACAAACTTAAATTCCCAGCCTGGGGCTAAAAAAAAACCCTCTTTTCAATAGAAAAATCATTTGACCGCTTTAGTCATTGCAGATTGTTCTGGAAACTGTGTCTTGCTGACGGATTCTGATTTTATAGCTGGACCATAAAAAGGCTGACAGAAACAGATGTGATTATTTCGTCTCTCTCTGCATAATCATCAAAGCTTTATTAGCATGTGGAGTCCTCCTGAACACATTTAAAGTTAAAGTGTAAAATGTGACAGATCATTGATCCACAGAAAACTGAGACGCCGGAGTTTCAGATCTTTTCTTCAAAAACAGCAGCGAATGTGATTGATGATATATTATGGGAACAGACAGATGAGTGAAATCATGCTCTGGATCAAACGCGTCACGTTCAGAATTATCAGTATTATGACAGCATACTACAAATATTAGACAGGGTCTCTACTTTCAAAGCTGAGTGTAAACTCTGCCTTTAGGACAGGCCTGGACTTGTCAGGTCCACTGTAATGCAGTCCTGTCACACCTCTTTTTTTCTCTCTATTACTGTACTTAAACCACGCGGTAGAATTAGCCAAGAAAACCTCAACCAAACTACAGGATCAGCTTCCTCAAATCCTGACCCAGATCAGATCCTTCAGAGGCTGCTGAATAAAGTCCAGCAGTATCATTGAGGCTCTACACTCAGAGCTGTGAGAGACCCGCCGTTGACCCACTCGACCACGGAGCCACAGCCGCCCAACATATTGCTTTTCTAAAACACTTTGAATGTCTTTTTGGTGCTTTTCTGTCCTATCGAATCTACCTATCAAATGTCAAACTTTCCTCTGAATGTGAAGCCATAAACTGACAACAAGGCCATGCTTTAGTGAAGATCCTCTCTTACCTGTTTCTCCCTCTCAGCTGAGGTCAGAGCGTTCTCCAGTTCGTCCAGGTCTCTCCTCAGACTGCTACACTCGACCTCTAGTCGCTCCCTGTGGAGGATCAGCTGGGCTGAGCAGGCCTCCTCCTCCTCCAGACGATCTGACAGACCTGACAGCTGCCGCTCCAGCTCACGCCGAGCCTTCTCCAACTGAACACAGTGCTGCGTGGATGCCTGGACACTCTCCTGCTCCTGAGGGTTCACAGAAACACGGAAAGAAACAAGGATTCATATCATGAAAAGAGCAGCTTACTGTGAGGAATTGAATTTAGCTTTGATGCAGCGACAGAATCCCTGCCGTCAGATTACTTCAACTAACCCCAGTTTCACTTGTAAAATGTTGCTATAAATCAAATGTAATGGTTTACAGTGTAGTGACTATGCTGGCCTGAATTTTAGTCACTGTCTGGGTGCGGAAGTGAGGTGTTTTTTACCAGCTTCTAGTACAATCCAATGTCCAGTCCAAGGTTGTTGTTTAATTATATTTTTGCCATTTATTAATCAAATGAAAAACAAACAAAAAAAGACGGATACGTCCAAATTACGTCGATGGTGATGTACGTGATGAGGGTGAGAGTGGTGTCGCAGATCAACGGTAAAAACCTTGAGCTCTTCCCGTTCCCCAGATCACTGCTTCACCTGTGTCCCTTTTGTAGCATTTACCTGCCCATTCACCTGAAGTGCCCCTTGTGGTGATTGTGCAAGTAACAAAACAAAACCCCCAAAATGATGCAGATTAAACGGCTCATACGAAATTGTGAGAGGAACAACAAAAGACCTTGAGGGGAATCTCCCAACTACTGAGGTTGGTTGACAACAGGTTAGATATATCATTGAGCATTAAAAGGGAATTTTATCATTAACATGATATCAGAAATATTCAGAGAAATCTCTCACAGCCCCAAACATATACTAGATGGTAGTTATCTTTGGGCCCTCAGGCTGCACTGCATTAAAAAACAGACATGACTCTGTAATGGAAATCACCACTTGAGATAAAAATACTTCTGTTGACTTTGTAAATCATGGATGCAGCATCTTCTGCTATGAGGAAGAGAGGGAGCCAGTCAGCACATACTTCAAAGCCGGCATCAGTGATGGTGAGGCATCATTAATGGGAAACAACAGAAACAGGGAACAGGGAACATTTGTAGACAATATTGAGGTAAAACCACAAAGGAGACCCTGAACTCTTGAGCACCTGAAATCCTCTATCAGGGAAGAATTGGACCACATCTCACTCTCCAAACTCCAGGACCTGGTCTCCTGGGTTCACTAAGGTTTAATCCATGAATTAGGGTTTAATAAAATGCTTGTTAAATGTTTGATCATATTTATTTAATCCAAAGGAAAACATGAAAATGTAAATTCAAAGCTGTAATTTGAAATGTATTGCTAACAATACATGTATTGTCGCAATGTTAGCAATATATTTATATGGCACTGTGCCATCATTTAGTCTTAGTCATGGCAATTGTGAACTTTCTCTTTTTTATATACAGTTGGTTTTTGTCTTGTAGTCCACTTTTCTACCTGTATTCACAGTTTTCTGAGGCTTTTTTGGTGGTTTTCAGTTTATTAGGGACAAAGTCAACCATGTATTTAAAATTTCAGAATTTTCAAGCAAACTGTCTGATTTCTAGATTTTTAAGTTTTTATATTTTTCTCTGTCTGACTGCACTCTGCTGTCTCATCTGCATCATATCAACCATTTATCCTCAGATATTATGAAAATGTGTCATCCTTATTTCTGTCACAGTTTTGAGCTCCTAGTTTCAATGTGTTTTATTAATTACCTTCAACTTCTTCAATCTTTCTCGTAGATTATTTCACACATCTATGCTTTCAGCTAAGTTTTGCAACTTCATTTCAACATTTTAAGCAATAAATCTGATTTATTTATGAGAAATCATAATAAAAGCATGAGACAATTAACCTCTGCAACACAAACCTGCTGCACAAGGCAATTGCAACAAGAGGAACAACACCCAACAGCTAATGCATTCAGTTGCTCAGTCAGTTGCCTCAGGATAAGACTGCAAAATCAGTCGGTTAGTTCATTAATGAAGGCGGTCTTTATTAAGGGTGCTTTTTGTTAAATGAAGCACCACAACAGCTGTTTCATTTAATCTAAACCTGGCTCTGGATAACCTTTATCCCGCACGGTGAGGAAAGAAAGAGATTGAGATCAAATGAGATTAAAATAGAAGATGACATTCAGGCCGAGCAGTTGCACATGAATATGGAAGGATTAGCTGCATAAAGATTCACAATAAGTTCATCCAAAGAGCTTCTTACCGCAGCCTTCAGCCACAAGTTGAATCTTATCCTCCCTCAGGTCTGCAGAAACCGTCTCTTTGTTATCCTGCTGCTGTCCTAATATAGTTCAGCTGAACACATGACGTTCAGTTCAGACTCGATAAGCGAGTTTTACAAACAGCAGATCAGTCAGTCAGCAGCCATCAATAACAGCAGCGATTGTGAACGCAGCTCTGCTCTCTGTTACTCTGTGAAAGAGCAGGCATCATGGGCAAAGCATCTGGAACGCGCTCATACGAACCCAAATATCTGGGCATCTGTGAAATCATCAGGCGACCACATTTCCATCTGCACTTATTTCCATAAAAGTCCTCAGTTTGAGCTCTTTCCCTGCCTGATCTCAAACCTCCACACACCATGATCCTGTCACTGCTGGAGGACAACAAGGACGGGACATGTACATTATTGTGGACATGTGTGGGTTCAAATGTTACAAACATGAAATCAATTACTAGACATCATGGTTTCCCGTCCTTGGTGCAGTGATTCACAAAAAGTTCGCCTATGAGAGTAACACAGATTAAACTTGTACAAAACTGTGGGTGTCAATGGTTTAATCATTTAAAAATTGAGAATAGTGTCACTTCAGGCAGGCCATGATCGTCATCCTCAGTCCGCGGTACATCAGCTGCTTCTAACTCAAGCTGACAGCTCCTTCTATGCACCCAGTTTGCAGAAGTCAAAATGAGCGTTGTATTTAAAAAGTGGTCGTTACTTAACAACACTGAGTACCTGATATACAGTATTGAAAGGAAACTGTCCTACAGTTGATGCAGGGGGGCAGCCATCTTGGATTTTGAGCTTGGGGAACCTGAAGATGCTCAAAGTTTACTAATAGGAATTCAGACCTAAGGGGGCAGTCTTGATGACTCTCGGTGGGATTTCTTTTTGAGATCGGCCCCTGTTTGGGAACTTCCCCTTGTGGGACTAATAAAGGAGTACCTTGTCCATCTGTAACTGTCTATATGAATGTGATGTCATTCCAAGATAAGGTGACCAGATTTCTGTAATTAAATCCAGGGACATCCAGAGACAAGGGGGTAGGGGGGGTGCTAAGCAAAATGTGATTTCAGGCCCTCTATTCTTGGAGAGCAGGGGATCACAGACAGCAACTTAGTACTACTAAGTAGCAGCACACGCCCCCTGTAATACCCCCTCCGTAATAACCCCCTAGAAAAACTGTTGTTCAGGACTGCGCGCAACATGCTTACTTGCGCTTCCTGCCTTCTCGGCAACCGTAATAAATTCTGTTCTAGTCTACACGCAACATCTGGTCACCTTATTCCAAGATCCAACATCCGCCGCTTCAAGGTAGAAGAGATCACATTATAAGTAATAATAATAATAATAATAATCAGATTTCATATAGCGCTTTATCAGAGACCCTCTAAGCACTTTACATTGGATACATCACTCATTCGGTCAGTTTGCGACTACGACCTTTCTGACCACCACCAAACAACATCCACATTAATACACCAGTGGAGGACACACACTGGGAGCAAGGTGGGTTAAGAGTCTTGCCCAAGGACACAACGTACAGACTCGGGATGGGGGGGGGTCGAACCGCCAACCTTCCAGTTATTGGACGACCACTCTACCTCCTGAGCGACTGCCAGTGAGCAGCATGAGAGGCCCTGAATGTAAGTATTTTAAGTTAGTTACCATGGTTACAACTAAACTAGACAGTGCAAGATTACAACAATGTGATAAACGGCCACAAAAACAGAAGATAAGGAGTCCCAGCCTCGTTTATAACAGCATGATCTAATTTTGTGATGAGGACCATGATTCAATGATCTGTGTTTGTTGACTCAGTCGTACTTCTGCTGAAATTTTTACATTAAATAGATATCCTTGTCCGATAAACTCTACTCAATGTAATCAGAGTTACCCACTTCGCCCTCTTTGTGCTCCAGTGTTGTACTGAAGCCATCCCAGTCAAGCTCCTCAGGTTCTGGTTCTGGTCCTGGATCTGTGTGGTTTCCATTGGTTTCCACATCAGAGAGGGAGTGGCGACGCTGGCGGTACTGCACGGACATCATCCTGACACCTCCTCCTGTCTGACGCCCTCTACCTTCACAGACTTCCCCTGTTTGGAAACGTACCAACCTGCCCGCCCGCCTGCTGCTCAGATAATTATTCACTCCTCCGACTCTCACAGCTGTTCTGCTTGTTCCAGGTGGGTTTGAGCAGGAGGAAAAGTGCTAACTCACTCAGTCCAGTCTGTTTTTTTTCTCCCTCTGGCAGCACAGAAGCAGTCTGCACACCTTTCACTGCTGTACTCACTCTGCTTGATCTGTCTGCTGCAGTTTTCTCAGTCCTCCTTAAGTTTTCTTTCACTCTTCTCTCTCTTCCTCTCTTCTCATTCATCCACGTTTCACTTCAGGGTGTGCTGCCACTGAAATCCAAACCTCCGTCTGCACTTCTGCTTGCAAACCAGCTTGTATTCACGACTCAGTCCGCTGTGTTTCACCACAACGACCTCACGTTAGTCTCCTCCCACAGAAACAGGTGGTTCTCCCCTCTTTCAGGGGGTCCTAAGGTGCCCCACAGGGTCCAACAGGGCTGCTGCTGCTCAGGGTAGGATGTCAGGAAAGCTTCAACGTTGTGCCACAGAAATACAGCTGTAGCATCAAAAACCACACCATGAAAAGTCAAGAAAACAAGGGCAGTAATCCAGAGTCTGAAATGTCTCTCTCCTCTCAGGCTACAATATAATTGACATAAATGTCTCGAGTGCCCACACTGTCTCCCACAACGCCGCGGCATTCAGCGTAAGAGAACAATGAGACTTATTGTGCTTTAAATTCGAGAGTGGAGGATTTTTCTTGAATGAAGCCACAAAGACAACACAGCCCTTTCTTATCTAGAGTTTAACAAACAGCAGGGCTGCAATATTAGAGCAGCAGCACTGTAAACAGAGAGGAAAAGCAGGACCTGATTGAGCAAATAAGGGGTTTCAATGTAAAACAAAAGAGCCTTTCTGCACGTACATGTTGACTTTATTTGTTTCATCCAGTTAAATAAACTCTCAAAAGCCAAATTTCACTCTTAAATTTACTTACTCTGCAGATCAAAAAGCCTGCGTGTCAGTGGTGTCTGTCAAACATATCAGTGTTCCCCACCTGGTGCATCACTTGCACTTTTAGGGGAGACTGGGGACAGTTGCAACAAGGCTTATTCCTCTAATCAGAAACATGCTAGATTGATGACACCGATACTGCAGATGCTCAGTTGGACAGAAAAGTGCCATCACCCAAAGTGCAATATTAAAGCAGCTGTACAAGGAGTGTTTTGGCTTCACTTTTGGCAGGAGGTATTGTCATAATTGTGTACAGTCACTGATAAGAAAATTTAGCTTCTTCTAATGCAACCAGATGAAGTTTTAAACCAGAATAAGTAAAATACCATGAAGACAAATTCCAGAGGAGACAGAAGTTCCTCCATGACCTTTCTAAAGTTACACTGGATCTAAACCCGTCCAGAGTGGACACAGTTATATGAGCAGGATAAGCACTCTGCCAATGCCGCTGAGCCGCGGAAGCGTTCCAGCCACCATAACACAAAGAAAACATGAAAACATTTCTGAGAATTCAGAAAATTCATGCTCTAATTTTGACAATGTGGTCTGGGTTCTTGTGCAGAGAGGCAGCACAGAGAGAGCTGTTCATGTTACTCCCACTCCAGCTGCAGAAGAAGCCGGAACAGGACTCATGTCCAACACCAACATGTCCATATCTGACAGACGTCTGCCAGAGAATTGAGATACCATCAGAGGAGATCATATGGACCCTGAACCCCCTCAGAGTGAAGCTGTTTTCCTGTTTACTCTGCTGTTCTTCAGTCCCTCTCAGTGACTCATGAAGAGATCTGAGCTGCAGTTGATTCTGATTACAGAGTGTGAAGGTAATGTAAGGACAAGGTGACTGGATGAAAGAATTACAGGAAAGCCCCCCAGTCACACACATGATCTTCAGCTATGTTTCACTAAATACAGCCCATATTCCCAGAGTTCACAGCAGTACCTCCATGAGGCTGCAAACCTGGTATTTAATTGCCAGCTGCCTTTAACATCCCAAGGAGAAGATGAGTGATAACACCAGAGGGAGAGGAGGCTGTGGGTTCAGCTGCCAGATGCTTTTAATCAAAGATATTTACCATGAAGCCCTTAAAAAAACAAGATGAGGAGTCTGCAGCTGTGCTTACAGCTCGATGGAGCTTCGCCATGGACTTCACACAAAAAGAGGAGATGCAGAACATCGATGTGGACATGGCCTCTCTATTATGAACCATCAGCACTTCCCTCAGATTCGGCCCACCACGTCTGATCGCACCCCTGTCCTGATCAGAACAGAGACACTTTTATCAAACTTTTTCAAAGATCAACCTTGTTGAAGGGACTTTGTAGTTGTAAAAGGGTGTGGCTGCAGAGTCTCACCATGAAACAGGAAGTTACTGTAACTCCTTCACACAGTGTTCAATCCATTTGATATTCTGCAATCATGATCAAAGCCAACTCCTGGTCAAATCTTTGTGACATTTATGTATTGGCGGCGCTATGTAAAGTCATAGCGCCACCCTGTAGAAACATATGCTATTGACTCTCAGAGTATCCAATCAGTACCAAATTTCTCAGATTTGATTAAGGTCCAAGCCTGGCCTGAGCTACAATTTTGTCCAAGTAATAGCACCATCTATCAGACACATATGGTACTAACTAGAGGTGTCTCAATGCATTGCAATGCTTTACTTGACGATTCGGCATCGATTGATAAACGTCGATGCTAGAAAAAAAATAAATAACGCAAGGCCAGAACAAAAAAACACGTAACTGGAACCTTAATGCGCGCACCAGCCAGACTGTTTAGAGAGTGGGACAACTTCAAACAGAGCACGTTTCTTTGCAACATGGCAACGGTTTCAGCAGCCTCCAAAGAGCAGCCGATTCTCTCGCCACCGAGGTTGACTCCAACCGCGTGGAGGTACTCTGGATTTCATGAGAGAGCAAACAAGACGACTGACAAGACCTAGGCGATTTGCAAGATTTGCAAAGCAAAAACAAAGTACCTCAGCAACACTACAAATGTGAGGCAGCACCTGGTACGCTTTCATTCTGAAACAGAGGAGGCTCCTCAGTCGTGCCCACCACACAGAGGACCATCCTGGAGACTGTCTCCAGACTTCCCAGCAGGGAAAGTGCAAATGTTTACATAACAGTCATACAGTCTCTCTCGGTCGTCCTCAGACAAGCTTCCATCGCAGTCTCCAATCCTCCAGATTCTCCATACACCTGGCCAGCTCTGAAGAGCTTTCAGCTCCCACATCCTTCTTCAGGACACATATGATAGCACTGAATGTCCTCGCGAACGGTGCCCGTGTGTTGGTTCCCATAGGATCAGCCTGCTGGCCGGAGCTCCTGATGTCTATGGCAGTGGCCGGCCAGGCTTATCCTCCTGGATGCTACCTTCTTGCTGAGCCTCGGCAGTTGCCCGTACAAGTCCTTGTTGGTGATGTGGATGTTCTGGTCCACATTCAGAACAGCTTGTAGCATTCTGGTGTAGCACCCATCCAGGGACTTCTGCAGAGTGGGTGTCAGGGTCCAGATTTCGCAGCCATACAGGAGGCTGTTAGCTAGAATCATCATTTTAAGGAATATTGTTTAAGGAATGAACAGGCTGAAAGGATGCTGAAATAACTCAATTCAGGGAACAATAAGTAAAAATAAAGGTCAGAAATAAGGGTGTCTATGGTGTGGTTTACTGTTTCTGATGCTATCTTTAGCTTTTAGGTTTTTAAAACAAAAGATCCAAAATTTTTCGCATACTCAGCATTTTAAGCCCTTTTTTATCCATCAACTTTACCCAGTTGAATAATTGAATAACTGCACAAATTCTGTGTACAACTGTCTGAAATTGCACCATCAGTAAGTAAAGGCTCTTTTTTGTGCGAAACACTCCCTTATTAGTACAAATTCCAATTATCCAACAGCTGCCAAGATATTTCATTTTGGATTCAAGTTTTTGGTTTGACCTTTTCATCACTTCAATTATGCAGCATGCACACAGACAACATTTTAAACTGAAAACAGTCGTGTGTCATCCGTTTGGGGTGTTTCTTTTTAAGTGTAAGTCAAAGCAGAACACAGGACAGGGAGTAAAAAGTGTGCAGGATCTAAACCCAGAGAAAAGCTGACAGTCATTTCTAATTTCCCTTTCAGTCAGTCCAATTCCTCGGCCCAAACATTTCACCCTAAACTCACCTCAAAGTTTATCTCTCTTACATAGTTTGTTCATTCATTAAATTGCTTCCTTCCCCTCGTCCTTGAACATCCAGTCAGTCTTCCAGTTCCCCTGAGCCTGTCTTCACCTTCCTCCCTCTTCTCCCTCGTTTATCTCTCCCTGCCAGTCTTTGTCCCAGAAAACCCAGATCTCGTCCAGACTGAAAGTTTTTCCACATGCAGAACTGGGGCATCTGGATTGCTCTGCAGGAACGCTCCACATTTATTTCCCATTAGTAATAATTGAGGGGTAAACAGCGGCCTTCTCTAGGTTTATGTACCAAAAATGGCTGGAACAACAGTAGAGTTTTACAGTTGTCCCTTATTTTTACTGAGAAATTAGAAAGCACAGTCACATCTCTGCTCAACAGTTATTTTTTTAATGGCTAAGTGAGGCGTCAGTCTAGGCTGAAATATCTCAACAATCTTTGCAAGGACTGTCCTGAAATTGAGCTTGCATAGAACCAAACATGGTCTGGTATGAGAGTATGACAGCAAGATGGTTTTGTGGCACCTTACTGTCCTGTGCAGTTTCACATTTCACCTCCTTCATCAGTTAAAGGGATATTCCGGCCAAAGTTAAAGTCATGGTCAAACACACTGTTGCACCGAGTTAGAATCCCCCTCAAGAGATGAATGTTGCTGACCTCTTGCTTCTCTAGTTACATCAATTTCAGCAAAGCAATACATAACAATACACAGCGGTCTACGTCACAAAGACTCTATAGCCACAAATAATGCTCAAAACAGCACCTCACTTCATCAACAGTACATATAGGGTCATAGTCACAGCACTAGCCACCAAACATCATTTTAGCTTTGCCTGGTTTCTTTTGCAAAGAGACCAAACACAACTCAACCACTCTCCTCCAGCAGCCGCTTGTTTGTGGGGAAGCCCTGATGAGTCGATCACAGAGTGCAGCGGAAAATTTATGATCATTACTTTATGGAAATGCAATCAGAGTTCTTGTGTATCTTGTATGTGCACTGTAGACGCAGTAATCTTTCTGCCTTAGTGTCTCGGTCTGATTGCATTTCCATGATCATAAATTTTCCACTGCACTCGGTGATCGACTAGCCAGGGCCCCCCGACAAACAACCGGCTGCTGGAGGAGAGTGGGTGAGTTGTGTTTGGTCTCTTTGCTAAAGAAATTAGACAAAGCTAACAAGATGTTTGGTGGCTAGTGCTACGGCTGGGACTCTATATGTACTGTTGATAAAGTTAGGTGCTGTTCTGAGCATTATTTGTGACTATAGAGTGGCTTTTTGGTTGAGGTTTGTGTGTGGAGACATAGACCACTGTGAATCGCTATCATGCGGTCGTTACTAAAGTTGGTATAACTAGAGAAGCAAGTGGTCAGCAACATTCATCTCTCAAGGAGGTGTCTAACTCAGTGTTACAGTATGAACTTCTCCTAATAGACTCAGTTTTGATGCACAGACACACAGGGCCCAGGCATTCACACAACTTTTGCACTGCACAGCAAACAAGACTACAAATAGCCTCCACATTGCTGAACAGGTCCATGCAAATCGCACATATCCTCACACCCAGAAGCAAAAATGAGTCTGCACAGCACACAGACAAATAAAGCTGAATCTATTTTTGGATTGCTAAGAGTATTCATGTGGAAATAAAGCGTAGTTAGGATTAACTGTTACTATTGGAATGAAAAGGACCCCTACTTCCCACAAGCATGTATCATCACCTGTCTTTATGACTGCTTAACCGGCTTTAAACTTTAAGGTTCAGTGTGTAGAATGACGATTTTAAAGCATCTCAGAGGATAACGGGACTGACATCATGTCTGTATCAACATCATCTTGAAGCTTTGCAAGACTTATCCCCCTGGTGCGACATGAAATCTGGCCAATCCATCTGCCTTGCAAAGTTAGACCCTCCTGGCCTTTAAAAGCGTGTTGCTTTGATTGTGTTGACTTATTTAATGCTCATAACACACCACTGAATAACCAGGAGACTTATTTCAAGGCCTTTGCACTCACTTTGGAGAATGCATTGATTTACAGGTAAAAAAAGATGACAGTTTTTAAATGCACTCGCACCAAACAGACCGTGAACTGGTGATAATTTTCTCTGGTTATGTTACTGCCAATTTCTCTAGGAATCATAAAACTGCAAACTTGAATTATGAGCTGATTCCAGTGAACCAGAAAGCGTCAGACTAACACAGCAGCAGGTGTTAGATAGAAAAAGAGTTGATTTTCTCACAGTCTGGACTGAACCACTGCAGCTTTATTCAGGGCAGTAAATCAAGGACAGTCAGTCTGTCAGAACTGTGTTGACCTAACAGGGTAGCAATGCATTCAGGTTGATTAAGAAGCAGGAATTCATCTCTCTGCTGCTGCTGAGAAATGTGCGAGGTGTCGCTCCGGCCTCGCTAACGACGGGATAATGAGGAAAGGGACAAAGTCTTCTGGAAAACTGGATGGCTTCCTGCAGGCAGCTGCTGCACTAAAGAGCTCTGACACCAGGTCACATTTCTCTCTGCAGACAAATCAGGTTTGAAATATTATGGCTGATCTGCTCTCCTTCATATTAACCTTTTATTTATGGCTCTACACAGTGAGGAAAGAGTCAGCAGAGCCAGAGCACACAGGGATTTCGATTAAATGTTTTATTTTCCACAAATGGGGTTATAAAAATGAGCAAGGAGCCATGGTGTTCTTTCTTTACAAAGCGGTTTCAGATATGTTTTTAAATCAACTATCTGGAATAATGTGGGTGCTAGAGGGGAAAAACTAAGCTGCAGAACTTTTAAAGTCACTCTCAACCACATTTCAGACAAATTTGTTATCATATCTGGTCGGAAAAGTACAACTTAACTTGAAAGGTTTCTGACGGATTGGTTTAACCTCTGATTGTGACAAAAGTAAAACAGAAATAATGGAGAAAGTGAGTTTAACCATGGTCCAGCACCTTCCAATCATTTTATGATGCATTCAGTTGAGGTTGTCTTAAGCGCCTGCTAATGCACTCAGCGGCAGTAATGACCAAAACTCACGGGCAGCACTGGAGCGCTTCCAGAAACATTAGACACAGAAGGGACGCTCCAAACTTTCACACTGAATCCTCCGCCTGCAGAAAGACTCACTCAAAAATAGGACGTCCAGTCTCTGTCTCTGTCAAACCATCCTCTCAAAATTATTTGTATCATACGTTATCTTATCTCAGAATTATGCTTTTACATCTTTATAAAAAAGCAAGTAAACCACAAAGACACATTTCCTGAAACCTTTCACCCTGTTCTCTTAAACTGAATACAAAACACAGATTATAAACTACAATAAATAAAAATACAAAAACTCAGATTTTTCTGGCAAAATCAAACAAACTCATCAAAACTGTCATATAGAGTTTTCTTATCGTGCACATAGCAGTCATAGATAGCTCCAGCAAAACAGTCAAAAGTTTATTTTTAAGAAAATAAGTTCAACATGTTAAATTATACAATTACTGATTATGCAGTTATGTTTTATGAAGGAAAACTTTGAAGGACAAAATCTTTCTAGACAGGTGCACTGAAGAGGAGACCTTGAGCCCCCAGTTGTAAGACCATCATTTCATGCTTTACAATGTTGCAGTGCCTTCATCAGTTTGACTCATCATTAAAATCAGTTCTGCATCAACTAAACAACTTCCTGTCTCTTATTGTAAGACACAGTGAGACACACATGCAGTGTTCTGCAAAGACAGTAAACTCAGGGACAGAGTCTCACTTTGTTCTTAGTCTTACTCTTCCTCTCTTTTTCCTCCCTAAAGTCGACCAACTTGAATTTACTCTACATTTTTCCTTTTTCTCTTATTGTTTCATTCATCTTTGGTATCAAATTTCAGCTCACCTGTGAACTGGAAAACAATCAGCCATGATTTAACATCTCCATCACATAATTTTGAACAACTCTTTAATTGACCTGCCCCTCCCTGCTCCGCTTCCTGCTCTCCTCTGCCCTCCTCTGCCCTCCTCCTGCTCCTCTCCCTCTTGCTCCTCCTGCTTATTCCCCTGCTCCTTTCTCTGCTCTCCTCTCTCCTCCTGCTGCTCTACCTGTGCCTTACCTGCTCCTCTCCCTGCTCCCCTCTCTTCTTTCCCAGCTGCTCTCCTCTGTCCTCCTCCTCCTGCTCCTCTCCCTCCTCTCCTCCTGCTCGTTCCCCTGCTCCTCTCCCAGCTCTCCTCTTACCTTCTGCTCATCTCCCTGCTCTCCTCTCTTCTCCTCTCTTGTTCTCCTGTTCCTCTCCCTGCTCTCCTCATATTTCCCCCTGCTCCTTTCTCTGCTCTCCTCTTACCTTCCCCTGTGCCTCTCCCTGCTCCTTTCCCTGCTCCTCTCCCTACCTTCCCCTGCTCCTCTCCCTGCTCTCCTCCTTACCTTCCCTACTCCTCTCCCTCCCTGATGTCCTCTCTTCTCCTTTTGTTCCCCCCGCTCTCCTCTCTTCTTCCCTGCTCTTCTCCCTGCTCTTCTCTTCTTTCCCTGCTCCTCTCCTTGCTCTCCCTTGTCCTCCCCTATCTCCTCTCCCCGCTCTCCTCCCCCTGCTCCTTTTCCTGCTCTTCTCTCTCCTCCCCCTGCTCCTCTCTCTGCTCTCCTCTTACCTTCCCCTGCTCCTCTCCCTGCTTTGCTCTCTTCTACTCCTGCTCTTCTCAATGCTTTCCTCTCTCCTCCTCCTGCTGCTCCACTCCCTGCTCTCCTCTCTCCACCACAACTTCAACAGGGCAGGTGGAATAACAATCGTTAATTCTCCATTATCACATCATTTTGATGGCAGGAAGCCGTGATCGACACTAAAATTGAAATCCCATTAAATCCTAAGCCCTAGTCTAAACTCTGGTACCTGTGCTTTATCTGTGTGGTTATCAATATGCTCCACAAGTGAATCACAGAGAAAAATGTGTTTAAAAGTGTGATTTCAGAAAGTGAGGATGGGTTTCAAGTTTAACAAAAAGAGTGAATGAGATCTGTAAAGTGTATCTAAAGAAGTAATTATGATTTCCAATACGTCTTTACATTTAAAAGGCTCGACATTAGATAATAGGAGGGGAAATAGCGAAACACAAAAGTTTTGCCCCCCAGAAAAGCAGAATAATGAAACACAGTGGGCAGAAAGCTCTAAAGAGTTTGGTGGTAATCACCGTGAGCAAAGCAGTAAAATGTGTTACATTTATGAAGTGCATACCTCTGGACAATAATGCCCGTTTTTAGTTCTCACAGTAAAACCTGTGGAAACACCTCCTCACACTGAGGGGGACGTGTCAGTCAAACAGCCCTCCCGTCTGTAAAGCTCTCAGTCACACAGAGCGCCTCAGGCCAGGAAACAGCACGGATCCTCTCAGCAGTATGACAGCTCACTCTGAAAAACACACTCCACTTTCTCTCTCTATAAAAGCTGGAAAATGGTCACACAGCAGTAAAAAGCCACAGAAAGAGAGACTGCATTAAAACAAGCTCCAACACAGGGACTGCACGGTGGCTGCATCTCTCTCTCTCTGCAAACCTGTCATTTTCCACTTAATATAATCCTCGGGGTCTCCATAATGACCACCTCCAGAATCCCTTATCAGGCAGAAATTCAGCCTAAATCTCAAAGCCAGTGAAACAAAAGAGGACTGGCTGTTTCTAGAGGAAAATCTGAGCAGCAGACTTACGGCTCTGTATCTGGAGGCCGCCTCATTCTTCTCTTCCTGAAGCTTCTTGACCGTCTCCTCCAGCGTGCTGACCTGAGAGAGGAGCTGCTCGCTCTGCTCTCTGGCTCTCCTCAGCTCCTCTCTCTCCCTCATCTCTCCTTGCCTGCTGTGAGTGAATGAGCTGCTGAGGCTGCAGAGACCTAGAGCTGCTCTCACACACATGCAGACACTCTCACACACATGCACTCTCAGTCACTCCAGCTCGTCTGGCTGGAGTCTGAGCTGTTGGCTCCACTTTCTCCTCCATCTCTGACACTTAGACACACACACACATATTCACACTCACACTGTCAGAAAGCTTTGCCCTCTCCTGCATGTATGAATGCACACATGCCTACATTTCCTCCCTTCTCTGCAGACCGGCCTCCTGCAGATTTCTTTCTCTCAAACAATATCAAACTTTGTTTCTCTGCAGCTGCTGAGTGGTGAAGAGGCAAGAAGGAAACGAATACTTCCAGCCCGAAACACAAGATCGCTTATATACAAAAGAGGATAAATACCCAAACAAGCAAATCTGAAGTTTATAAAAAAGTGACTTAACATTTACTAAAGTATAAAACTCAAAGTAAACTGTGTCAAAACTAGTGTCATATATATACATACAAATACACCCAGCTCTCCTCATCTATATACCAGTGTTACGTTTGGCATCTATTTTGTATTACTTCTACTTTTTAGACAATATGACTTCTGGTTTTGGTGACATTTTTATCATTTTAACCGTTAATAGTTTCACTTTTAGTCAAAACATTTATTATCTTCAAACTAATCAACCAGACATCGGCGTCAAGGTTGTACTTAGTGTTTAAATCTGCGATAATTTACTGGAGTAATACCTTAATTCATGAGTTGGATGATGTAGTTTAGACTTTTGCTGCTGTGCTGTTCCTGCTGATCTACTGAGGTAGGTGACATTATCACTGTGGTCAGCCATGAATAAACTTCTGATCGCTATTTCTGATAAGAACTAAAGACTTCCGTGACATCTCATAAGAATTGAGTGAAACTAAGTCAGCCCTCTGCAGTTAACACGCAAATTTGTTCTGCTCAAGCTCCATAAATGAGACTCAAAGTCAGAAGGTTGTTTTAGGTCAGATGTCAGGCAGCCGCTCGACGCACTTAAAAAAACCTCATGCGGTTAATGGCTCCACTCACAGCAGTTAAAATAAACACCATCTAGAGTACGTTTACCAGAGACATGATCACTGCATGGTACAGAGGTCAGAGATCAGAAGAGTGGGGGTGATCAGGGGCAGACAGTAATGTAAAGTGGCATGTTGAAGAACCGGTCAGAGGTGTCCTCCCCACTCCTTAAAACTCCAGACCACTTAAGATCCAAATTCACCAGATAAACAAAACCCTCGATAGACTGATGCAAACATAAAAACCCTCTGCACAGCTGACAGAGAGGAATCCAGAACAACCTGTCTCCCTCCATGACTTTCAGTGTAACTCACTGTGGTTTGTAGAAATGATGCAAACTGAAGTGCGTCATTTGTTGACTATAAATAGTGTTAGTTTTCTGATATAGAAACTAATAGTCGTAAATCATTTTTCAAGAGAGGGACGTAAACAACATGAACACAATAAAAAACAACCCATAAAATCTAGAAACCACCAATTACACCACAATAAACAGGTATATCATTTACAAGAGTCATAAAACAGGAAAACAGGTAATTAAGCTTCAGAGAGGAGTAGGAAAAGCCTCAGGAATGAGTGCAGCTCATTTGATACGATCATCTATCGCCTCTGAATCACTCCTGCAGAAATCAGAGTCTGGAAACAGGATATCTAAGAGTATTATAGGGAAAAATTGAGCATTTTACTGTGCTGTAATCCAGGCTACAGATTACATGTTAGCTGTTTACCTCCTTCTACATAAACAAAGTCAGCTATCAGCAGATTTGACACTATTTTACTGAAATGAATACATAAATAATCACAAATCATCTTGTTTTTTGAGGACAGTCACTAAAAATACACTGATCCTCTCTGCTCCCAAATCTCACAGTTTTTTGTGAAAGGATTCCCGCTCTCACAGAGCTAGTGGATTTTACAGTAAGCAGAGTGTACGGCTCTGTATTTGGAACTCAACTGTAAATATGACAAGATTATGTAGTGTTCAACTGTGTCTACTCGTGACCCACAGGACAGAGGATTTGCTGTGGTACAAATAGACTCAATAGTTTCTCCTCATCTGTGTTATCACCAAAGACTTCAAAAATCCTGACCTGTTGACTAGCATTGCTCATTGTGATGGTTTTTAGATGTATTTTAGTTAAATCTGACCTAAAATCCACAACAAAGGTTCTATTCTGAGGATTAACTGTGTGTTTTAAGGTTGTCCGACTAATTGATGCCTCTTGCTCAGGGACATTAGAGAGGCACTTGTATCTGCTGTGGAGGGTTTTTGATGACGGAGCAGAAACCCAACAAAGTGGAGCCAAAGGATGAGAACACATCGACAAGTAAAACCTCTGCACTTGATTCCAGAAATACTACTGAGGGTTGGAGCAGGTAAAGTCTGGGTGGAATTTTCATGTGTTTTGGTTCAGGGCTCACCCTCATCGTCTTCATCATCATTGTTCTCTGAGGCAACCCCCCTCCTTCAACCTTAATTTTTTTTCTCATCCTGTTGGGTCAGCAGGGAAACTGCTGGTAAAATCTGGGTGAACTTTTTGTCAGTCATGACTCACACATGTTTTGACTGAGTACTTCGACCACATTAAAGAACTTTTTATAAAAGATTTTAAAGATTTCTTTTGAGTCCTATTCAAACAAGAGTAAAGTTGTACTAAAGAATAAACAATAGTCCTTACAGAGTCCTGATCAGGGCAGGGATTTCACAAGGGCTTTGGCCCTCATGCCCTGAACTGAAGAGAGAGGGGAAAAGCCAACAGGACTGAGGTGAGACAGTGTGCTAAATTAGGGAAAGAACAAGATATGAATTTCTATATAAGTCAGTTAACATTAAATTGCTTGAAACGTTACAGTAACGTTGTATCACTACAACGTTGTACCAACCATAGCTTGTAACATTAAAGTCAACAAACACTTTTGTTGACTTTAGTTTTGTTTGTCGGCCTGCTTGTTCTTGTCATAATGTGTAAATTGCACCTATTTGTGATGTTGGTGTTGCTACGTGGGTAAGTTACAGTTGATTTATGTGAGCTGGCTGTTAATATTCACTTTTTTAATCTATGTTTGCTGTTTGCTGACATGTAACCGCTGCCTTCCTCATTCTGGTAAAGACAGCTGCTGCTCAAACCATAGAAAAACTACAACTTTATTATGACTATTTTCATTATGGTATAACTTTAGTCTCATAACATCCTCAAACATTATAGCGTGATTTTCTTTTGACTTTATTCTCCTTATATAAACACTGCTTTCTCACATTCTTTATCTTAAACGTGCCCCCTTTACTCTGTCGTACAGGCAGCTAACTCTGAAAAAGTAGAAAAAGTAATTCTCAGAAAATGCAACCTTTAAATTTAGCTTATGTCAGTAACAGAAGGTGAAAAATGTTATTGTGTTCACGATTTACCAAAGCAACTTGAGATGTTCAAAACAATCTATAATTGCAGGTTTGATTTCATACGGGCAGTCTAACTACAGCTTTATGTTACGGATGATTAAATGTTAATAAAAAAACAGGTGTTTGAGTATTTTCTTAAGAGATTTGCTCACTGTACAAAGCTTTAATGACAGGATAGTTTGAGAAGAGGAAGATACACATGATCATTAAAGGTGGGTATCAGCATGAATAGAGCCATAAAATACTGAGTCATGATTTAATGATCATGGTTTTTAAGTTTCAGAGTATTTTAATAATGATGTAGGCCTGGTTCATGTTTGTTGTGCATCACTTTTTCACATAAAAAAAACACAAACATCAGAAAACATCGGTCTAAAAGCAGCTTTAGTCTATCAGCCTAATTTCTCCTCTTCTCGTGTCAAACAAGATTCTACAAGTTATTCTGGCTTTTCCTGCAAAGCACAAAACAAAACAGAAATGTAGTTTCCCTGGAAAAACAGATGTGGACTCATTTTCCACAAGCTGTCGTTTAAGAGGGAAAGCTGTAACAAATTCGCACAAACACACACACATACACACACACACACACACACGAAGAGAAAAACCTGTTGCTGCTTGAGCGCCTGTCGGTATCTGTGCAGTTGGAAAAGAGTCGTCATTAGCTCTCCTCCCTGAACCCTGACACTCAGTTTGCCGCTCAAACCTGACGGACTGAGCTGGTTGTCAGCGGGGAAATTAGACGAGGAAACGTGGTGTCGTCTTTCCTAAGCGTGCGGCAGTAATTACAAGGTTGTCCAAATAAGATTTAGGATGTGTGTGTTTTTAACCTTTGCGAGGATCTGCCTGGTGACACACCTGAACTTCCTCTGCCTTTAGTCCGTTTAAACACTTGATATATTTGCCTGTCAGTTTGGGATTTACCTCTGCACTCAACATCAGTCTGCGCGCTGATGCCAGGAAAGCAGAGGGAGACAAATGTGACACATCAATGGTTCACCTTTGGCACGATCACAGCGCTCAGGCTCTTAAGTCGTTTCTATTGTCAAGAGCGCTCAGATTAAATGCTCCCTTTGTTACAGCACAATCCCTGTTTGTATGGCGTATGTGTGTGTGCAGCTTTCGAGAAGCTTTCCTGTTTTGACTTGAAGCTCTGAGACGTTTGTCCGATCAAACCTGCAGAGTCAAACAGACGCACAGTAGTCTCCTCCCCCTAAAACAAACATTACATCTGATTCATGACTCTGTAAAAACTCATAAATATAAAATATGAATTTGGGTGCAGCCGTTCCCCAAAACACATCATCGTTTGCTTACTCCTGTCATTCCTCTTGTGAGATGAAGTAACTAGGACGTTAATCTTCATCATATTCTTTTATTTGAACAGCTGTTTAACATTTTAACTCCAGTTCACACCTGCGACTTGACACACATTCGAGTCTTGTAGAGATTTACCAGAAAGCATGATCCTTGTCAGTGTCCAAATAATGCAAACATGTTTCTGAGATGATTAACAGAGATGAAAATTCGGTGATAAGACAATGATCAGAAGAAGACGACTCCACGGGACAAAAACTAGTCTGATTTAAGAAGACTGTAAATCACTCAAACACAACCAATGTGGTCAACCTCAACCATTTTTAATATAAACAGGCTGAAAAGGCATGAAGGTAACCTATCCTCCCTTGCATTAATTTGTGTGTTTGGGTACTCCCGCTGATGTGATACGGCACACAAACAGATTTTTAAAATCTTTAGTGTGAACCAGACTTAAAGGGATATTCCGGCGTAAATTTAAGCTAAAGTCAAGCAAAAAAAATCATGATTATTATTTCATGGAAATGCAAGCAGACCATGATGCTAAGGCAGAAAAACTACCACCTCTGCAGTGAATATACAAGATACACAAGCACTCTGATTGCATTTCCATGATGTAATAATCATAAATGTTCTTCCTTGAGCTGCGAAACTCCGCTGCACTCAGTGATCGACTCGTCAGGGCGTGAGTTGTGTTTGGTCTCTTTGCTGAAGAAATCAGGCAAAGCTAAAAAGATGTTTGATGATTAGTACTATGACTGGGACCCTATATGTACTGTTGATGAAGCTAGGTGCTGTTCTGAGCATTATTAGTGGCTATAGAGTGGCTTTTTGGTTGAGGTTTGCGCGTGAAGACGTAGACCGCTGTGTATTGCTATTGTGCGGTCGTTGCTTAAGTTGGTATAACTAGAGAACCAAGCAGTCAGCAACATTCATCTCTCGACGGGGGGTCAAGGTTAGGGTTGGGGGAAGTGAGTGTCTAACTCTGTGTTATGGTGTGTTTGACCCTAACTTCATTTTACGCTAGAATGTCCCATTAAGTGTCTGTAATCCAGATTGAGTCTAGCTCTTGATAGGGACCATTGAAGTCCACCTGGTGAGACAGTCCAGGTGGGTAAATGAATCAAACGACACAGGGTTCACATTGTGGGGTTCAGTTCTTTGCACTGGACCACTCAACTGCAAGGCCAGCAGATCTAACAACTGAACATGGAACCAGAAGTCGAGCTGCTCCACCACTGAGCCACAGCATAAAGAAAGAAAGATTCAGATTTGGGTCGAAGTCAGATCTCAAATCCTCTGCTCTAAACAGCTGATTCTTCCACTTCCTAGTTTGAGATCATCTTGTTGGCCTGATTGCGGTCCTATTCAGTTACTGCGCTCCGTCTAGTGTTTGTACAGCACAGCATGATGTGTGTGCAAACTGCTCCCAGGTGGACGCTCTGCAGGCTGAAGTCTGGCCTCTGGCTGAACTCTAGATCCAGGTCATGGAGGTGGTTAAGCCGGCCTTTGATCAGTGAAGCGCCTCACAGTTCACCTACACTCATGTGGTCGTCTGGCTGCAGGTACACCACAACACCAGCAGCTTATTAATCAGATCAATGACAGGATTGTTGCCTGTCATTATGGTGGTGGAGCGATAACCGTTTACAAAATCAATCCATGAAATACCTATCATAGCTGTGCTACAGTACCAGCAGATTAGAGAGAACTGACACACTGCTTTTGTTAAATTAAGCCAAACATGGTATTATCTCCACATCACAGGGATTCCTTCATATTTTACTCCTTTCAGATGTGTTATAAGTTTAAACAGAGCTCTGTCTCTGGGCCCTGAACAGTGGAATAACAGCCCTCATGTTGTACCATCAAAGGAGAAAACCACACAGCTTCTCATGTCTTTGTTGGCCGGAGCAGGTGTGTGTATGATTTAGTGCTGCTGGTGAGAAAACACGTGACAAAAATAAAGATAAGACAAACATGCATGGACTGAAAACGCCATTGTGGAGCCATGGATGGTGGTCAGTGTCACAGCGGTTAGACAGACAGTTATACTATTAGAAATATTACCACGATTTCAACGTTTAACCGATGTGAAGGAGCGGCGTCCTCACTGACTGCGGGCAGCGCATGGACACATACACGCCAAACATTTCCCTCCCTGCCAGCGTCGCTATTTACCCACTAAACAGCGCTACTTTTCCTTCTCCCTTCTCTGTTGGATAGAGTTTACCAAGGTTGCACACTTGGAGCTCTATCAGTTCACTTAAACTTAAACACATTCACACAAACATTAATCTCTCCACTTACTTGCCGGGTGTCCATTCATTCGCCATCATGCCGGCTCAGGTTTCCAAATAAGCAACAAAGCGCACGATTTCCGGGTGTAAAATAGGTGGGTATATGGAGGGTCAAAGTGGTCACATGATGCAAGAAAAATTAATTCCCTTGTTGCTTTCCATGAATCCCAAAAAATGAATGCTCCATTTAATTGGGTAAAAACTTAGTCAAAATGGCAAAAACTTACAGAAAAAGGTGTGAAGGTTAGAAATGGTAAAAATGCTTTAAATGTAAATAAATGTAAATAAATACGTTTTTTTCCCCAAACTTATCTAGTTAATAACGCCCACTGGGAGGGGCTAGAGGGGGTTCAAAGAGGCCTTCTGGGCCTTTCTCTCTGTGAGACTGGAGTTTGTTGCATGAACAGTAACTGCCAGACTGACTTTTGTATTGCTGCTGTGTTTCTGTTTTTTTCTCTTGAGTGAGAATCTTCTAGAGTTATTGTGGAGTTCCTGCCTAGCTGGCATTTTCTTTTTGTCTTTTACATTTTGTAAACAGTATTTGACAATTTTTTTGAACTTTTCTAAATATTTTTGCACTGCACCTTGGAAGGCCGGCTGTAAATAAATATCACCATCACCATGTTTTCTGCAACACATTTGGTTTCCACTAAGGACGTGGAGCGTGCCTCACAACACAAGGGAGCAGCATCTGCTTCAAAACAATCAGCATAAAGGAGCAGTGGCCATCTCACAACCAATCAGGTTGAGGGAGGCGGAGAACAGCTTTGTTTACAGTCAGAAAGAGCGGGCTGTTCAAAAAATTTTAAATGTTGACTACACAGACATAACAAAACACAGCGATATCGTTATATTACCAAATGTCATCAATTACTTATAGCTATTGACTGATATGAAAAGCTTTTTTGTATATACACCACAAAAAAGATGCCTCTTTAACAGGATCCTGCCTACCCCAACTTTAATTTATGCTGCCAAATACTTTTGATCTTGTACTTTTAAAACAGTAGAGTATTAAGCACTCAGTCTACCCCCATGTTGTACCTCGTACAAATCGCTACACTAGATTGGATTGAAGCTTAATCACAGACATGTACCATCATGACCACCATTATCACTGCACAGACCTGACACTAATGGAAATTTGCTCACATTCAAATTTCAGCAGCTTTCTCCACTATTGCCAGTAAATGGCAGATGGATCTCAGGCAGTGAGTCTACATCTCACTTCTGCTGAAGGTTGAGCTCAACTACAATACTGATAGCTTGCTGGACAACCAACATCACATGGTGAAAACAGATGGTTGTGGAAAGAACTACACAGTTGCACGAAAACAGCACATTGTGGACTTTGCTGTGAATTCAGAGCAGATCATCATGCAGAATTAATGCTGAGATTTTCTGTGATGCTTTTTGCAGTTATCCAGGTCTGGCTGAAGGTAGATAACTTTTTGTTGAGGGTTTTTCAGACTTTTTATGTTTATATTTAATGAATGAGTAAAAAACAGAATCAAGCACAGTGCAGTATTTTAAACAGATTTACAACTGGCAGTAAAACGTTAGAGACATTTACAACCATAATGTACACATATGTTGCATGTCTGTACAGCAGTCACATGCAGAAAAAAAAAGGAAAGAAAAGCATGATCCTGACGCCCCCTGTTGAATCAGCAGCTGGGAGGAGGGGGCCTCCAGAGAGGAGGAGCTGCGCAACATGCTAAAAACACACTGACAGACAGAAAACAGACTGAAGGAGAGGGAGGGAGATCATGTGCCGTTATGAATAAAGATGAAACGTGGAGGAGGAAAGAAGAGGAGCAGAACCTCAGAGAGAGAAGCAGGTTTCTTACGTTTGTCGGGGGTCTGCCGTTCAGGCCGATGGAGGGTCTGTACTGATGGAAGTCGGTCAGGATCACACACACTCTCTTCTCCATCCTCACAGCTCACCGACGCCTGCCATGCTGTCTGCACCCGAGCCGGCTCCGGGGAGGAAGTGAAGCATGCGTGTGTGTTAGTGCTGTCTTGAGGTTGTGGGAGTGTGTGTGTGTGTGTCAGTGTGTGTGTGGGAGAGAGGGAGAGGCTGGGTAAGTGTGTGTGAAAGTGTGTGACGCCTGCTACCTGACCCTGAGGAGCAAGAGGGAGGAAGGGTGGGGGGGTGACGGTAGAAAAAAAGAAAACACAGGCGAGCTTCAACAGTCCCCCTATCCCACACACACACACACACACACACACACACGCACATGTCTTCCCCTGCCAGATGAAGCACCACCTTCTGACAGCAGTACACACTGAAGACAGAACGGCGTGCAGCAAACTAACACACACCTTATCTCACGAACACACATTCCTGTGGTGGAGAAAAGCTGGCCCCCAAAGAAGCTCATTTACACCAAATATGTTCACTCGCTCTTTAAAATCTCTACGTTTTTTGTCATCAAAGATGTCAACAAATAATTAAACAGAGTATTTAAACAGATTTTAATGAGTTTCTAATATAGAATTAAAGCTGCACGCAGCACAGAGTTGGCCCTCTCCCTGTCCCGCACATCAGGACTTGACTCATGTCTGAGTTCGGCAACTGTCTGGTAGTAGAGCAGTCACAAAGTTTTTTCTTGTTTTCATAGAAAATCAAGAAATCAAAATATCCCAAGGCTGCATGTTCTGAATTTCATGGCTGCAACACGTGCCAAAGTAGTTGGGACAGGGGCCTGTTTACCACTGTGTTACATCACCTTTCCTTTTAACAACACTCAATAAACGTTTGGGAACTGAGGAGACTAATTGTTGAAGCTTTGAAGGTGGAATTCTTTCCCATTCTTGCTCGATGTACGGCTTCAGTTGTTCAACAGTCCGGGGTCTCCGTTGTTGTATTTTAGGCTTCATAATGCGCCACACATTTTTAATGGGTGACAGGTCTGGACTACAGGCAGGCCAGTCGAGTACCCGTTGATACCCGAGTACTCGAGTACCCGGATGTTGACGGCAAACTGTATTTACTGACAGTGATTTTCTGAAGTGTTCCTGAGCCCATGTGGTGATATCCTTTACACATTGATGTTGGTTTTTGATACAGTGCCGCCTGAGGGATCGAAGGTCACAGGCATTCAGTGTTGGCATATGTGCAGTGATTTCCCCAGATTCTCTGAACCTTTTGATGATATTATGGACCGTAGATGTTGAAATCCCTAAATTCCTTACAATCGTACTTTGAGAAACGTTGTTCTTAAACTGTTTGACTATTTGCTCACACTGTTGTTCACAAAGTGGTGAACCTCGCCCCATCCTTGCTTGTGAATGACTGAGAATTTTTGGGGAAGCTGCTTTTATACCCATCATGGTACCCACCTGTTTAGAATGAGCCTGCTCACCTGTGGGATGTTCCAAATAGGTGTTTGATGAGCATCCCTCCAATTTCTCAGTATTTTTTGCCACCTTTCACAACTTCTTTGTCACATGTTGCAGCCATGAAATTCTAAAGTTAACGATTATCTGCCAAAAAAATAATAAAGTTTATCAGTTTGAACATTAAATATGTTGTCTTTGTAGTATATTTAATTGAATATGGGTTGAAAAGGATTTGCAAATTATTGTATTCCATTTTTATTTACAATTTAAACATCTTCCCAACTTCATTGGAATTGGGTTTTGTAGTTAAATTAATATGACATACATATATAAGAGGTAAATATAGACTTCTGACTCTAATGGTCCATCGCTGTATGTTTCAGACCATATTGGCTTTAAATTTTGTCACCTGACCTGTAAATCTTCTCTTTACTGCAGTGACTGGACCTGCTGAGGCCGCAGTAAAGTAATACAAGGTCTAACAAGTTACTGCAAAGTAAATGCATGCAGCTGAATTTGCATGTTACATATAGAAAAAAAGATTTGAAGCATCATCAAAACTGTGATCTCTGCAGAGTTTTAATAAAACACATGAAATCAAATCATTCATGTGAAATTAACTGGAGTCTGTGATATCCAAGTAATGAGCATCACTCTTCTCTCGCTCAGCGTCTTATTTCACTGCTTGTCAGCCTACATGTGCTGATGTGTCAGATCGCCGTCTCTGAGGCCTCCGGTGGCTGCAGGCGGGAGGAACTCATGCACAAATTAAATGTTTACCCTGCAGCAAAGAAAAAGTGACAGCAGAGGTAATTTACCTCGTTTCATCTTTGGGGCATGAAGAGAAAAGGTCGTTTAAGTTTTGAGTCAGGCAGGCGGTGGAAATTTCGGATTTTTACAGGCTTATTGTCTGACAGGGATCAGATGACAGGCGGCTTCTGGCGTGTGTTTCGTAAAGCGCCAAGTCGAGCGGATGTCAGCATGTGTGCAGAGCTCAAGAATTTGACCCGGTACTCATGAGAGACCGTACCATGTGTCAAGATCAATTTATTCTCTGACTGTAAATACAGTGTGGAGACTCAGCGGGCAGCCACACCACTGCAGGTCATATTTACATTATAATTTAGACGGTTTATGAGGAGCACAAAAAAAGAGAATAAAAAGATATGTACAAATGGATGCATGCTGCAATAACCAGATAATAGTCAAATAAAAGGGATGCAAGGTCAGATAAAAAGAGCAAAACTTTGAGAGAAGAGCAGCACTAATGCAAGGTCTGGAAGTGGAGATGAGGACTTAGGATAGGAAGAAGAGGTGTTGGACCGGTGTCAGCTGTAAGCTGGAGGACATGATGGAACCGGAGGGGCAGAGTCTCTTGGCTGGGTAGATGTCTGTTCATCAGCTTGATGGTATGTAGCTCCAAAAACAGCTCCAAGCGAAGAGATGAGAATGAGCGTTTCTAATATTGTACACAGTTTTGGGTGTTGGTGAGTTAAGCTGTCAAAGAGCAGCAAATACTTTCATGATGTGGTTAAAGATTCCATGTGTGAGGTGGTTTCCATCTGTAAGAAAAGTCCCGAGTATGCCTCAGAGGATAGTTGAAGTTGGTGAAGTGTGTTGGCATGGCAGCAACAGCCCATGGTTGATACATCCGTAAAAGATTTGTTGCAGGAGATGATGAACAACATCACAACAACGCCACAGTTTCACAGTAAGAGATGCACTAGAGGTAAGAAAAGAAAGCAGCAGCAAACTTCAGAGCTGATGGCAGCTGCTGTAGCAGGAGCTCACTGGGGCTTGTTGTCACACTTTTTACACTCTTATGTATATCTTTAAATCAATACATCATGTTTAAACAAAGTGTGTACCAGATAAAAGACCAAAGTCTCAGGTATATATTTTGTATTGATCTTATTTTCATATCTTGTGTCAGTGCAGAGTTATAAGCAATCAAACAGAGAGTGTGAACATGTGACATGTTGCCCCACCATCAGGTAAGTTGTCTCACTACGTGGGGTAAGATGTCACAGTGGATTTTGCAGCTAATAAAACAAGGACAACATCAAAGTCAGGCACAGAAAATGTTTATCATTGAGCTAGAAAAAGTCATTGAATAAACGTTAACATAAAATTTTATCAATGTGCTCTGGAGTTTGGAGAGTTGTCTGACTCTGTATTTCGGCTGGGGTGAATGTTTTGCAGTACCGAGCCAAGGTATGGTAGTTGACATAAAAGTTCTTTATTGTTCTCCAGATTGATTTATTAGTTAGGGTCACCTGCCTGACTGCCCTCAGTATCACATCAGGTACTACACTGACATGTTCTGTGATTCTTTTGTAATTCCTGACCATGTCTTCTTGCTTTCTCCTCTCCTTTAAACCACTCTTTTTTTCTGTAAAAGTAAAGTCAAAATTTCAATGTGACAACTGCTGAAAAGCAAACTCTCTATGTTAATTTTAATCCCTTTTAAACATGTGACAATTAACCCCAAAATGACTGAGACATGTCCCCCCCAAACTACCATGTTTGCTAATTCTAGCTCTAGCTTAAAGTTATCTTAGGACAGAATATTGACTGAGGTATGACAGGATGCCTTAATCTCTCCTCTAACAAGTCCACATGTATCACTGCTGGGATTTTTATCTGGAAGAAGCTTATTTTAAAATATATACAGTTTTTTTTTTTACTTTCGATTGTGCAAAATGGTTAATTGGCGCTCATCTCAGCTCACAATGTGCTCTTATCTTCTCAGACAGGACACACGAACTAGCATTCCACTTCTCAGTTGCGCCCTCTGGTGGCAAAAATAATTGCAATGTGACAACTTACCTATGTGACAACAAGCCCTGGTCTCCCCTACTTCAGTTTCTTTGGGAATGGCTGATGGTGACCAGACATAAGAGCTCGTATCAATCAGATCATCCCACTGACTTGGTTTAAAGAGAAGTCATTACTGTACAGGTTCAAAGGGATCTACACTCGTGTTGTACTCTTCAAGAGGTTTCCTCATGGTTCACTCTGGAAAGACGCCATGTCTCTCAGAAAGCTACCTACTGTTGAAGGGAGGGTCATCCGGTTTTCTTCCAGACTAAACCCTCTCAATCCATCACCACTGAAGTGCTGGCTAAAGCAAACACGCTCTGAGAGCGTCTCCTTTAAGACACAGATACAGATCTGCGGTTTTGTCTTTGCAGAGATAATTAGGGGATTTAATCTGACCCATCTGCCTGCTATGAGCTGAGTACACAAACAGCTCTGAGTTTTTCTCCTGACAGAACATAAAAGAAAACTCACGGCAGGATCACAGGAGGAAGGGAAATACTCTTCCAAGCAGCAGAAGCAGGATAACCACCAGTTTTCACCTGTTAATTGCAGTCATCCAGCTGCCTCCTATCACTGTTTGATTATAGAGTTTGTTTTTTAATCTCTGCACAAAGACAGAAGCAGATCTGGGATCAGATCACCTGCACTCCCCGTCTTGCTGTAGCTTGTTTGCTGCAGATTGTCTGACTGTTTCTGACACACATATATGGAATTTGATTAATTAAAGGTTTGCGTTGGCAGCTGAATTTTGACACAAAGATTACAACTTTGGCAAAAACACAGAGAGGCCCCCGTGTTATTAGCTGTTTACGAACATCCAGACACATTTCGCACACGCTGTGGTCGAAATTCACGAGAGCATTAACAGGATCAGGCTACACTCTGCAAAGCACAGAGGCAGGTCTGAGATCAACTTTTAAATGTTGAGAAACCAAAAGCAGACATTTAGCTTAGCATAAAGAGAGAATAGAAAAATATTCCATCTATCTAACAAATGTCACATTTTTTTAATCTATTAAAAAAAGAGAGAGAGAGCGTTTCAGTGGTGTTCGCTAAATAACTTAAATCCTAAACCCCTGTACAAACCAAGATGTTTTGGCCCTCTAATGCATTCGTAATAAACAGGATAGAGTAGATACTGAGAAAGAGAGTAAAAACTCATAAAGACACACAATTTTTGATTAAAATTCGGACGTTTCTGGCCAGTGATTGGCAACTTAACTTCAAGAAAAAAAAAAGAAAGTTAATGACCCCGTATAAACATATTCGTGCAACTGACATGTGTCCTAAATGAAGCTTAAGGTTAGGCTACAGTCTACTGTGGAAATAAAAACAGCTTCAGGGTTAACTGCGCCAAACTGAACAGAATCAAACCAGACCGCTTAGTGGTAGACCACCAGAAAAGTTGTCTCCCATGGTGCCTTTCAGCCAAGCGATTTTAACTTTTGACAGTGAGAACCATGTGTTTCTTCACTGAACTTAACTGAGCCAGACCACTTGGTGAAAATGCAGTTTTAGCGCCCACCGCAGGCTCGGGGTGCTTCTGCTATAAAGGCTGGATATGTGGCATTGTTGCATTTTGTGTGTTTTTGACTTTGTATCATTGTGTATTTGCAACTTGTTTGCTGTAAATGTAGTTATATTTTGAATTTTATGTACCTTTTATTTTGCTGATTTTGCTGCTTTGATGCAAGAAAGCCTATCTGTTGTCAGCTTTATCTTGCAAAGCTAAGCTGATTGACCGACATCTGTAGCATTAAATCTGAAAGAACAAAACCGAGTGTGTTTATTTACTCTGTCTGGACCATAAAATAATTTTTTTTAAAGTAATCTTACAGCGTAAAATTTTATTCTATTAGTTGAAAATTAACATCATTAACTTTAAAATGATGCTGTGCATTGTGGTTCGTATCTTTATCAGAACAGCAGGCGTGAGTTTTATATTATGGTCGGGCTGATAATAAACAGCGTGTTTCAGAGTATCAGGAATAACACATCTTGTAATGCATCAGCCCCTCCATGAGGAGTTGTGTTTGTGTTGTGATGTCAGTGCAGTTTGTTAAACCCCCAGAGAAAGAAGCAGCGCTTCATGTGAGCAGTGAGCTGAACTCTGGGTAATAAATCAAACTGAATGTGTTATCATATGTCAGGGAGACAGAGCACCTGAGTGCTGTAACTGCCTGCTCTGACACCGCTCTACATATTACTGTGAGGATTTATCATAATAATGCATTATAATAATCGGTTTCTGTAGAGATGTGGGAACAGCAGGACATATGAAAAATGATAAACACTTCTCTGGAGGAGCACTTTTCTGCTCTAATGTATGAAACACTCTCTAAGGTGTCACTGCTTTAAAACCAGATCCAACATAGAAACCTGCAAAATTAAGAAGTTATGGCACCCTCTAGTGGTAAATTCCCCCAGTGCAACAACATAGTCTTCCTGCTGATCTGAAGCTGAAGGTCCTGACCATAGACTGTATAATGACAGAAGGCGGAGCCAAGTTGTCCATAGTATTTACAGTCTATGATCCTGACACATAAACTAAACTACAACAAGCTCTTCCATTCACACTGAAATGGATGTGTTAAATTAACATTAGCTGTGCTGAAATGTTTGTTAAAATTCCTGTGAGGAATTTTTAAACAGTTGTGAAACTGATGAAAATAAATGCTGATAACCTTTAAAAGCAAATCAGACCGTTAGCATAGAAACTGATAAAACTTCTTCTGGCTAGGATTCTTGATGAGTGATACTTTTGGTTTTCAAAGAAGAATAACTTTTTTGTTTTGGGGTCAAAAGTAGGGCCATCACATGATCAGATTTTCACCTCACGATTACCAGCGCCATAAAACACTGAAATAACAACATTTCTGTCATATATTTGATAAAAATCTTGATGATAAAGGAACACAACTAGCCGATTTGAGGAAAGACAAGACAGAACAACACATTAAACATCATAAACTCAAAGCTCCACGTTTGCTTATTGTTACCTCCACATGCTTTAGTCATGTCTTGACAAAAGTCTCATCCTGTAGACTTTTGATGGTCAAATGAAACATTTACTTTAAATATTTATGAGGAAAAAACTTTACTGTTTATTCATGGTTTCACGCATTAAAAATGACAATTAAGAGATTTTCAGTCTTGTCCCACTTCTCTTCCCGACCCTAACTCTCCACTTTTATGAAGATGCCAGATTAACATGAAGAAATGGTCACTTAAATGTGTTTGAAATAAAACATCTGATGTAAATGACTTCTTTAAAGTGCTTTACCTCAGACCTCTTAGAAGCTGCTTGTACTTAAGCTTAAGGTTGAGGGGCAGAGGTCCTATTTCTGTGTTACACCTCTTTAAAAATTCTTTGCCTACAGTGTATTGGACATTATTCTCCCTCCAAACTAAAATATTTCATGTCTTGTCCATTGTATTTGCAGCATATTGGCACAAATTGAGTTTTAAAGTTACAGTCCAAAGGTGAATTGCATCTACAGTATGCCATCATAAATTATGCCAACATGGGAGCAAAACAAAAGCAACAATTAAAAATAATAATAATAATTTCAGTTCTTTCCAAAAACACACTGGATGCTCCAGTGTGTAATTTTGGCCTGCACTGTGGTCAAAGCAATCTTTGCTTATCACCCCTGCTATAAATTTGAGTGCAAACTTCTGACAATTAACACAATCCTGCTGACTTCCAAGTGCATAAATGTGAATATCTCATATGGAAATTACTCAAAATAGTGTGACCTCAGCTGCCTGGTTGACACCTCCCCTCATAAACTGGATTAAGGGATCAGAGATTACAGTACAATCATCAATCTTTCTCTGATTGTCTTGTTTGCCTTAAGACATAATAAAGGGCAACACTTTTAATTCGTATATGTATTCCAAAAGCACAAAAAACTGCTCTCAGGAGCTTTAAAGTGACACTTTCAATCCAACAGGGAGCTCAGGTGTTCTGTTTTTGACCACTAGAGGTCACTGTTTGCATGAACCCCAACACCCATCCACAAACAGACTGCTCTAATATGTCAAGATATTTCAAAAAGGTAAGTCTTAAACTCCAACATTAAAAATAATACATTCTGGTTTTATACACACAGTTCGATCAGGAGAAAGTCTGATATTTTAGTCATGACAGCTTTTATTTTTGTAGCACCTTTACAGTCAGAGTTTACAGAGCGCTTTAAAGAATCCCCTTCGGCATCATGTTTGCAACTTTGAAGAAAACACACTTTTACAAGACAAATAAAAATCTTTGGTCTATAAAGTGCCAGTGTAATATTATCATCAGCCTCCATAATACTGAGTCAGTCTGAGTAACCAATGATCCGCACTTTTACACATCTTCTACTCTCCCCTGTAGATAACAATGTTTTTATCCGTCTCATGGATCTTGATTTCGTAGAGCAGGTTTGGAGGAAGGACCTTCACCATGTGGTCCCAGATGTAAACAGCCACATTTTCTGTCGTGCTGATAGAGGGATGGGAACGGAGAAGTGGTCAGTGTTGACAAAATCAAGCTTGTGTTGTCGGTGGTGTTGAAGCAGAAACTCACCTGACAATATTTGCAAAGTACGGGACGTCTTTATCCAGGTTTTTATGGTCCAGGGGGTCCATGATGACTTCCTGCAGGAGAGAATCATCCATTATTTTGCTTCAAATGCTTCATATTTTTGATATCTGCATAACTTTGACAGCAAAAACCTCAAACATATTGAGAGCCATCTTTACAGTGGTGGGTGATTGTGGTCTTCATCCCAGAAAAACTCCACCAACCTCATCATATGGATTCAAGAAAGCAACACAACATGAAAACTGTCAAAATCCCAGTCATCTCCTTTTATTGATCTTTACATGTAAATAAACAGTATTTGACTTCATGAAGGATTGAAGTCTGTGTCAAAGCTGAACACTGAGCTGTAATTCAGTCCCTGAACCATCTGAGCTGTTGACTCTCACCTCAATGCATCTCTTCAGGTCAGTCAGGTTCATTACCATTCCAGTGACAGGGTCGATCTGTGGACACACCAGGATCAAGGTTTAACATACAGTATGTTTCCATCGGTCACATGACTCAACTTAAATACGTGTGTTGATTAACCCTTCAGATCACATTTATTTACATGTAAAACCTGAAGTTAATGAACTGCATTAATTTGAGACAGACTATATTCTTAGTAGGGCTACACTAATCTGGATTTTTAGTATCTAGAGGGTAAAATTGATAGTTTTTCTGTGGGTGGAATTCTGTAGACATTGTGTAAAACATGGTCTGCTGTATTGTCTGATTGGAAAATAGTTTGCCAAATTTGTAGGATACAGAATTATTTGGATATGACACATAAGGAAATTTGGAGTAAAACAGAGTAAAATTTCTGTTGTCACACAAGTTACACACAAGGTAAAACAAATCATTCAAGAGTTAAAAAAAAACCTCTGGACTTCAAATAGGCACCTTAAATTATCTTCGTTACTAAATTAAGACCTGAACACTTCAAATTAAGTTTGAATGGTAAAAACTTGGATCTTTGAAACTGAGGTCTTTATTTTTTTAGCTATCTCAAATTTCAAGAATTAGATGTTTAGCCAACATACACCCCTAAAATATCCATTTTGACTATAAACTGCACTTCAGATGACTTAACTTGGCTTCAGTAAAAGGTCACAAATGTCAGTGAGACATCTCAAAATTCCATTTCTAGATACTCACCTTTCCATGCACTGTGACCTCCACTGTGAACAGAAACAAGAGTGATGAGAAAATGTGGGACGGTAAAACAACAGCACAGTGTTTTAGGTTGAATGGAAAGTGTAACAAACCTTTATAGTTGTGTCCGTGACCGTGTGGATTGTTGCATTTTCCATACACGCTCCTGTTCTCCTCCTCACTCAGGTGAAGACTGAAACAGGTTTAGTTGAGGTTAAATCTGCTGCACTGATTGTCTTTATCATGTGTAAGAACAAAAATTTCACAAGTCAAACATGGAGGCTGTGCCAAGGGTTTATTGACACGTGATGCCTTCAGGTACACTCTGAGGACATTGGAAATAGGAGTACAAATCCTTCATGAAACAATAACAGAGTAATCAGTGGGAAATTTTGGTTGTTTGTTAAAATCAAACTTTTTTTCTCAACTTTTAGTTTATGCCTTTTGCCATTTTTGTCAACTGTATTAATATCACAAGTGTAAATATTTAAACAGGGGCACATTAATCACTTTTTCAGTATTCACATCATCTTATTGTTAGCTTTGTGGCAGCTCTACAGCTCAATAAAATAACGAACCTTTAAAAACCCTATTTTCAGTCACTGTCTGAAATGTTTTGTCATGTCAGACCCACTCAGATAAAAATCTCTTGTCTTTATGTTTACATGGCATTTTTCAGATGCTAGAGGACAGATCATGAGAAAAATATAATATAGTATTTCTGCATTCAAATTGTTGTAAACCTCTGGCAGACCCAAACAGCAGGTTCAGACACAGTGGGATTTTCTACGTCACAACTCTATGCTCCACCCCCAGCATCCTGCTTTACAGGCCAGATCCCAAGAAGTAGAGAGGATGATGGCTTTAAAGCCCCCCTCAGCTTTCCAGAAGCCTCCTCCACTGTCGCCATGCTCCGAAGTTATGTTAATCTACTTAAAATGTAAAATATAGCCACATGTTTTGCATCCCAAATCCAACCTGAACTGTTTTGAAAGGGACAAAAAAAATCATAAGCAAAAAAAGAACAAAGCATGGTACTACTAGCTGGTAAGCTTCACATTTATTCATATATATTTTTTAAGGGAGATTGGAGATGTCAAAATCTGAAAAAAAATCTTGTATCCCTTTCACGTGATTATTGTGCCCTTTGGAGCAAGTTATTCAGAGCTCCTCACAGTCCCATCCTGACACTACTGTGGTTCATATTTACCTCACAGTTTCAGAAAATTACACTAAGTATTGACATCCACTATCTAATCTGCATTTTTTAAAATCGCATTTTTAATCTGATACCAGCAAGACGTTTCAGAAAAAGGCTGGGAAAGAAAAGAAAATTGTGCAATGCAATACACTGCAAAGAGGAAACACCAAGTTAATTTGCAATGGTTTAGTCACATGACTTGGTATCAAAAGGGCACCCAAGAGAGGCTCAGACTTTCAGAGGAAAGATGGAAAGAGGTCAATGATTTAGTAAGAGACCAGATGAGGGAATAGGTCCTGAATAACGTTTGAGTTAAAAATGAGGGGAAAAGGGATTTAATGATCTGCGGTGCAGAATATCATTAAAAGAATTTAGCAAATCTGTAAGAATCTTGATACAAGATGACAAAAGCTGATAACCAATACTGGGTGGTTGTGATCTTAAGTCTCTCAAATGGTCCTATATTATAACAGACATGCTTCTGTAGTGGAAACCCCTGCAGGGGCTTAAAATCCCTCTTAAAAGATTACCATGCAAAGAGGAAACAGTCTTACAATCAATCATTTAAGATGGACTGAGGTGAAGAGGTCACATGGTCTTAAGGATCAAAATCTGACACTTTTTTTTGGAAATCATGGACACACCGTTTTCCACTGTTTTATATTTTCTGATGTAGACTTAAAGTTATCAATACAGCTTCTTTAAAGTCACTTTACAGTATCCCACCAGAACATTATTGGAGCAAGTTTTACAGTTTACAGTCCGTCTTTTTTGAGATTTTTCATTACATATCATGATGTTCAAAACTGATTTTTTGTTAAAAATTATTTTATAACAAAGGGTCAGTTTGATTAATAGTAAGGTTAGTACATAAGCAATACAGACTTTTGATGTAACCATGTCTTTTTAGTGTTACATGGGCAGCCCAGGGTCTGTTCTCTTTGTTACGAGTGCACATGAAGGCAGCACCGGAGCTTGCGTAATAATGATATTTGTAGTTTCATTTAACTACTTATCCCACAACAAAATCACAACCACCGCCGGCTCTGTTAATTTCTCGTGTGAACAAACCCGGTAACACGGCAAACACACAGCTCTGTGTGTTTTGGAGGTTAAATACTACACGTTTTTTTATCGCTTTTAAGCTCCGGTCTTTTTCATCATTACAGCGCTTTTACACACTGTTGTAGCGCATCTAAATTAATGCTTTTATCGCCACAAATGAAAGGAGGAAAAGCAGCTGAGTTCCGGGAAATACAGGCTGAAAAACAGCGGTCTGTTTTCACCGGCGGATGCAGACTACCTGTGGAGCCGGTGACACGCGCTGAAGCTCTGCACGCGAGTGATGTATCCGATCCTCTCCGCCATGGTTAGCACCTGTAGAGAGGAACAGATGGGGGAATAACAGGCAGAGAGGAAAGAGAGAAAGATAAGTAAGTAAGAGTGAGAGTGAGAGGGGGGATGAAAAACTGCTGCTAAAGCTCCAGCCCTCTGTGACTCACGCGGCCCGGTGATTGGCTGAGATCAGGGCGTAAATACACTCACATGGCCGCGATTCATATCATAACCCTGCAGGGTAAACCGGGTGAATTCACCGTGAACTGGACACACTGTGATATTCTGTGATAAAAAGAAACCACCCTGACTCAGTGTATAGGGGAGACCGGGGTTGGTTTGTCACGCTACTTCATATGAACCACTGTGAAGCACTGTGGAAACCACCACCATCACGGGATTAGTTGTGTCATAATAATACAGGGGAGAGTGGGGTACGTTGAGCCAAAGGGTAAGATGAGCCACCCCCCTGTTGCTTGGCCAGAGGTCTAGCAGGTCCAGATATTCACCTGCGAATCTCTGAAAAATTCGACACAAGAGCGTAAAAAAATAAAAGTTGCTTTTCACCCCGGCTTTTTTGCCCCAGAATTCACGCCTGGTGTTTTAGGACCTTAACCCTTTGATGCGCAACATATCCACACCCCCTCTAATGCGCAACATGGGTCTAAAAAGACCCGCATTCATTTCCAATGGTGTTTCATGCTGGCTGAGTTTTTCTTTGTTCTATCTTTTGAAATAAGTTTATTTTCTGATTGAATATTCCAAGTATTCTTTAAATATCTTGTTTTTGATCACCACTGATCATTATTTCTATTTTTCTTTTCATACTTTATGAAATAATATAGTTTCTATATTATTACATCAAGTTTACACACATGGGTCAAAAACGACCCATTCATCCAAGTGTGATTTAATATTGAATTACCTAACACTATAATAATAATTTGTTTCAAGTAATGAAATTAGCAGTGAGTGGGGCCAAACCATAGACTGTATATACCATGGACAACTTGGTTCCGCCTACCGCCTGTATACGGATTTGGAGCCAAAAAGCTCTCTGTATTTCCAGGACTTTTCTACATTTCTGAAACCAGAGCTGCGCAGTTGCGATGCGCGCATTTGGCCGCGCAGTCGCTGAGAGTCGCTGTGATGACGCTCGGCTCAAACAGCGTATCCTCCCGGGAGAGCAACGCAGTCCCTGAAAAACCATACTTACATGTATTAGACGGTCTTTTCATGCTAAATGCTACAGTCACTGTATGTGGGTCGTTTCTGACCCATGTATGTAAACTTGATGTAGAAATACAAAATCTGTGCTTCCTCATAACGTAAGAAAGGAAAAATAAAGATGATTGTTTGTGCTCAACTAAAACAAGATCTTTACTGCATACTTGGAATAGTGAATGATAAAACTAATTTATGTCAAAGATATACCATAGAAACACTCAGCCATACATGAAATAACATTGAAAATGGATACGGGTCATTTTAGACCCATGTTGTGCATTAGAGGGGTAGTGATACAAAAATGTTTTTTATTCTAAAAGTAAAAAAATAAAAATTAACATAAGGATGTAGGGTCGTCAAAAACAAGTTAATAGAGGAATTCCTTGAGTACCGACTGACGGAATTAATTTTTTGAGAAGATATATAAAATTTAAACTCAGCCGGGTCTTTTTTGACCCATGTTGCGCATCAAAGGGTTAAGGACCTTTACTCTGCAGAAGGTTACAGCTTCTTGCTGCATGAGAGTGATCACGTTCACACTCTGCTGTTCAGGAAGAGAGATCACAGGAAGTTTGTGGCTACATATTTTAAATATAGCGGTGTCACTTTCTAGTATAAGATATTTATGAAAAATTGAATCAAAATGATCTCACTTCAACCTTTTCACACCAAAAGAAACATTTTCATCTGCTTTTTCTGTGATACACACACCAGTATCTTCACACATGCCTACACAAAGATGAAACCAGCAGCTAGTTTCCTGTAAAGGGTGAGAGAGGAGGAGCCACATCCAGATCATGTCATCCAGCTTCAGAGTGCTCTGAAAACGAAACCTGACTTGTGTTTTTAGTCACAAAGCGGGAAGTTTGTGCCAAGGTGAGTGTTATACCTCAAAAGTTGTTTTCTTTTTTTGCTGCTGTGTGCTGAGCAGAGAGACTTCAAAATGAGCATGGAAATAGCTTTCTGACTGATTTTATTGTGCTGTGTTTTTGTGTCTTCCTGCTTTCTAAATCTTGGGTTTGACATTAAAATGAATTCGTGTTTCCTGATTGCTGCGTCCCACACCCACGGATCAAGGTTTGAGGTAAACTGTATTATCCTTGTGAAGGGCAATTTGTTTGACAGCCAGTTGTAAGAAAACACGGGCAATAAAAAAACACAGTGACAGCCCGGTGTCCTGTTTAGTTGTGTTGTATCCTCTTGTGATACTATCAGCCTTCTATTCTAGATCTTAGCTTGTGCTGTATTTGCACTGAAATTTTCCTAACTTTGGACAAAACATTTTCTAAAGGACACTGTAACATTGAAAAAATATATAAGAAAAAAAAAAAAACACTCACAGTGAGCATTTTAACTTTACTTTTCAGACTGACTTATGATCAGAGGATGAGCGGTTCATCGGAGAAAGGGGGCAGAGCACAGTCTCCTGTTCCTCATGATGATGACTTCAGGAAAAAAAGTGGACCCTCAGAAACAAAGTAAGATATGTGGCCAAAAAAACAAGATTTTGAAGTGTTGTTTAACAGCTGCAGCTCTGTGTAAAACCATTTTTTTATTGAATTGGAGAATAATCAAAGATTCTTTAAAATGACTCAAAACGTGTTGCTGTTTTCCTACATACGTTAATTAGACAGAGACGGAAAGCGATCTCTTCTGTGCCCAGCTCTTCGGTTATAAAGAGTGACCAGTCCAAAGAATTCTCTTCAGTCTTCAGTCATGAACCTGGACCCTCAGACAAAGAGTAAGAGATACTTCTAATTGTTTGATAAATAGTGCACATCCTGTTGTGCACAGCTATCATGCAGTGTTTCTTCTAGAAAATTTTAAATAATGTCTGAATTTAAATGAACAAAAAGCTGAAACTCAAAGCTGCTGGGCCTGCTGATAAGTTTGTGTTCACACATATATTCATGAAAGTTTGGTCGTCCAGAGTTTCAGCATATGAAGCTCCCTGTGTTTGCTCATGCCTAAAGCAGACAAGGCCACCGTTCTGTTCCTTTTCCCCAAGAGTTAATGGTGTTACCAAGCTCGACTCTTCCCCCTCTGCTGTGCCTGGAGGTTTGTCATGATGTTGTCATGATTTGTTGGAGGGGTATCAGCAAGTACTGTTAACTCCTTGAGCCTCAGAAACTCAGTCTTAGTTACTCCTGACCACTTCCTTTAGTTAAACCATTTGATCTCTGAAACACACCTGCCATTTTCTTTCTATTCTAGATCTTAGCTTGTGCTGTTTTTGCGCTGAAATTTTCCTAACTTTGGACAAAAACATCTTCTAAAGGACACTGTAACATTGAAAACATAAAAAGAGAAAAAACTCTCACGGTGATCATTTTGACTTTACTTTTCAGAATGACTTATGATCAGAGGATGAGTGGTTCTTCAGAGAAAGGGGGCATACTACAAACTCTTGTTCCTGATTATAATTGCTTTTTGAAAATGCCTGGATTCCCATACGCACGGTAAGATATGCGGCCAAAGAAACAAGATTTTAAAGTGTCTTGTTTAACAGCTGCAGCTCTGTGTGTAACCCTTTTTTAAATCAGAGAATAATCAAGGATTCTTCAAAATGTCTCAAAACATGTTGCTGTTTTACTATATTGGTTAAGAAGACAGGGAGGCGAGTTTTCTGTGCCCAGCTCTTCGGTTATAAAGAGTGACCAGTCCAAAGATTCTTCTTCAGTCTTCAGTCATGAACCTGGACCCTCAGACAAAGAGTAAGAGATACTTCTAATTGTTTGTTAAATAGTGCACATCCTGTTGTGCACAGCTATCATGCAGTGTTTTTTCTAGAAAATTTTAAATAATGTCTGAATTTAAATGAACAGAAAGCTGAAACTCAAAGCTGCTGGGACTGCTGATAAGTTTGTGTTCACACATATATTCATGAAAGTTTGGTCGTCCAGAGTTTGAGCATATGAAACTCCCTGTGTTTGCTCATGCCTAAAGCAGACAAGGCCACCGTTCTGTTCCTTTTCCCCAAGAGTTAATGTTGTTACCAAGCTCGACTCTTCCCCCTCTGCTGTGCCTGGAGGTTTGTCATGATGTTGTCATGATTTGTTGGAGGGGTATCAGCAAGTACCGTTAACTCCTTGAGCCTCAGAAACTCAGTCGTAGTTACTCCTGACCACTTTCTTTAGTGAGGCCATTTGATCTCTGAAACACACCTGCCATCTTTCTATTCTAGATCTTAGCTTGTGCTGTATTTGCGCTGAAATTTACCTAACTTTGGACAAAAACATCTTCTAAAGGACACTGTAACATTGAAAACATAATAAGAAAGAAAAAACTCTCACAGTGAGCATTTTGACTTTACTTTTCAGACTGACTTATGATCAGGGGATGAGCGGTTCTTCAGAGAAAGGGGGCAGAATATACTCTCATTCTCTTCTTGATCCGTATGCTGCCATCATAAAAAGTGGACCCTCAGAAACAAAGTAAGATATGTGGCCAAAGAAACAAGAATTTTAGGTGTCTTTTGTCTGAACAGCTGCAGCTCTGTGTATAACCCTTTTTTTCTCAAGGATTTTCAAGTTCTCTTTATAAATGACTCAAAACTTGTTGCTGTTTTCCTAATGAAGAGTGGAGTGTCCTTTTCCCCACAGGCCATCTGTACAGAGTGTCCAGCCTAATTCTCCAATGTTCTTTTTGCATGAACCTGGACCCTCAGACAAAGAGTAAGAGATACTTCTAATTGTTTGTTAAATAGTGCACATCCTGTTGTGCACAGCTATCATACAGTGTTTTTTCTAGAACATTTTAAATAATGTCTGAATTTTAATGAACAAAAAGCTGAAACTCAAAGCTGCTGGGCCTGCTGATAAGTTTGTGTTCACACATATATTCATGAAAGTTTGGTCCTCCAGAGTTTCAGCATATGAAGCTCTGTGTGTTTTCTCATACCTAAAGAAGACAAGGCCACCGTTTGGTTCCTTTTCCCCAAGAGTTAATGGCGTTACCAAGCTCGACTCTTCCTCCTCTGTTGTGCCTGGAGGTTTGTCATGATGTTGTCATGATTTGTTGGAGGGGTATCAGCAAGTACCTTTAACTCCTTGAGCCTCAGAAACTCAGTCCTAGTTACTCCTGACCACTTCCTTCAGTTAAACCATTTGATCTCTGAAACACACCTGCCATTTTCCTTCTATTCTAGATCTTAGCTTGTGCTGTATTTGCGCTGAAATTTTCTTAACTTTGGACAAAAACATCTTCTAAAGGACACTGTAACATTGAAAACATAAATAAGGAAAGAAAAAACTCTCACAGTGAGCATTTTGACTTTACTTTTCAGACTGACTTATGATCAGAGGATGAGTGGTTCTTCAGAAAAAACGGGCAGAGCACAGTATTGTTCTAATCTTAATCTGTATGCTGCCATGAGAAGTGGACCCTCAGAAACAAAGTAAGATATGTGGCCAAAGATAGAAGAATTTAAGGTGTCTTTTGTCTGAACAGCTGCAGCTCTGTGTATAACCCTTTTTTTTCTCAAGGATTTTCAAGTACTCTTTTAAAATGACTCAAAACATGTTGCTGTTTTCCTATATTGGTTAAGGAGACGGAGATGGGAGTTTTCTATGCCCAGCTCTTCGGTTATGAAGAGTGACCAGTCCAAAGAATTCTCTTCAGTCTTCAGTCATGAACCTGGACCCTCACACAAAGAGTAAGAGATACTTCTAATTGTTTGTTAAATAGTGCACATCCTGTTGTGCACAGCTATCATACAGTGTTTTTTCTAGGAAATTTTAAATAATGTCTGAATTTAAATGAACAAAAAGCTGAAACTCAAAGCTGCTGGGACTGCTGATAAGTTTGTGTTCACACATATATTCATGAAAGTTTGGTCGTCCAGAGTTTCAGCATATGAAGCTCCCTGTGTTTGCTCATGCCTAAAGCAGACAAGGCCACCGTTCTGTTCCTTTTCCCCAAGAGTTAATGGCGTTACCAAGCTCAACTCTTCCCCCTCTGTTGTGCCTGGAGGTTTGTCATGATGCTGTCATGATTTGTTTGAGGGGTATCAGCAAGTACCGTTAACTCCTTGAGCCTCAGAAACTCAGTTGTAGTTACTCCTGACCACTTCCTTCAGTTATGCCATTTAATCTCTGAAACACACCTGCCATTTTCCTTCTATTCTAGATCTTAGCTTGAAATTTTCCACAGATTACGGGAAGTGCCCGTCACTCTGAGTCCAGCCAAATGCACATTTGGTCAGGTCACTGTTATTTACTGGGGGGAATAGGTGGGTCAGGTTTGTGACTCCAACATTGACTTTCTCCTGGTGAGTTGTCGACCTTACTATTAACCCAGGGAGTCGTCCTGTGACAGTCCAAGCTCTGTACATACCACCGTGGGGTAATAGGTAGCTGGCCTCCAATAGAGACAATATCGATGCTCACAATGGTGCCTTGGTAAAAGGTGAACATGATGGGTGGGGGGGCTCTCACTCTTTTCAGTCTGTGGAGGAAGTCGAGGTGCTGCTGGGCTTTTTTCACCAGTGATGTGCAGTTGGTTGTCCAGGAAAGGTTCTCACTGTTGTATACTCCCAGATAATTTGGTGCTGCACACTCTCTCCACAGCAGCACCATTGAGGGTCAGTGTGGGATGTTGGGTGGGGCCTCTTCTGAAGTCTAGAACAATCTTCTTTGTCTTGTCAATGTTTCAAAGGAGATTGTTATTGCTGCACCCAGAGCCGGCCCAAGGTATAAGGGAACTAAGCGCTGCTTAGGGCCCCAGAACCAATAGTGGGCCCCCCAGAGCAGCAAAATTGTATTTTTTATTTTATTTTATATATATATATATATATATATATATATATATATATATATATATATATATATATATATATATATGTATATTGTAAGAATAAGATAAAGTAAAATCATTTTAGTGCTGCTGCAGATGTAGGCCTACGATTCTTACTGCTGATATGTCAAAGCTCTGCTACCATTATGTGCCCTCTGCTGTGCAATGTGCGCTGAGCATCCAAAGAGCACGTAGTTGTGGAGCAAAACAATGTTGTAAAAAAGGACATATCCTTCAGGAGCAGAGAAAAGAAAGAGGAAGAAGAGAAAAAGCACCAAGATAAAGGTATGTTTGCATGTCAGGGAATGTTAATCAAAGAGATTTGTGAAGGTGTGTGAATGATCAACAGTCAATATTATTGGCAGAAATAAAGGGCCCCAAAATCAATTTTGCTAAGGGCCCTATTGAGGCTTGGGTCGGCTCTGGTTGCACCACCTGGACAGGTGGCTGACCTCCTTCCTGTGGTTTGTCTCATTGTTGTTGAAGATAAGACCCACCACAATCATATCATTGAAAAAACTCCACTATATGGTTTGTGCTAAATGTTGGTGTGCAGTCGTTGGTCAGCAGGGTGAAGAGCAGCACTGAGCATGTATCCCTATGGTGCTCCTGTTCTCAGTGAGATTATCTTTGAGGTACTATTGCTGAACCACACTGCTTGTGGCCTCTCACTGAGGAAGTCCAGCAACCAGTTGCACAGTGTGACATTGAGGCCTAGATGGTCCAGTTTGATGATAAGCTGTTGTGGGATGATAGTGTTAAGTGCTGGACTGAAATCTATGAACAGCATTCGTGCATAAGAGCCTTTAGAGTCATGGTGGGTGAGAGCAGGGTGGAGAGCAGCACAGATGGTCAACAAGTTGGCTCGGTATGCAAACTGCAATGGGTCCTCCTCAATGTCTGTGGCTGCTGTTGTGTATGACTGCTTGCTTGAACACTTCCCAGGCCATAGTTTAAAGGCAGTCTCTACCTGCTGTAAGACGGGTTTGGTGGTCTTCACCCTAGGCTTATATGCTGGTCTCAGCAGGATAATGATGTGGTCAGAGAGTCTGATGTGGGCGAGGAAAGAAGCCTTGTCCAAGTCAAAGGTGTTTTTAACTCTGGTTGTAGATGTAAGAAGACAGCCTTAAGCAAGCGCGGAGCCAGTGTCACATTGCAGAGGAGGCGGGGACCTGTAGTGGGCTCTGATAGCCTATTGGCTGATTCACTTGATAACAATTCAAATAACGGATCTGATCTGGATCTGAGCTGTATTTGGCTGCTGTCAAAAAGGGACTGAGTGAACGGCTCAATTTGCTTCGTAAACAGACAGATATTATGTAAAACAAAGTAAATCCAACATTAGAAACTGCGCAGTGACAGCCTGTAATGACACACAGCTGATCAATTAGTAGTGTTAATAATGGGAAACGGAGAAAGAAGGGCAAAATGGAAAGAGTGTGGATAACAATGAGTTGTGCAGCACAATTTGCACAATTTCAGCACCATGGACATTGCCAGAACCTGATTGTGTGGGCAGCATGTGGAGAAATTTTTGAACCTCAACAGTTTATAAATAAAAAGGACTGTGTGACCTCTGAGTGAAGAGGTGTAAATATGAATAAATATAGTGCATCATTAACCTTTTAGAGTGTAATTATTATTTATACTAAACCCTATCCACAGCAGCACATAGCAAATCTTCACTGAAGCCTCTCTAACCACTGTCTTTAAACAGAGGACATGCCAACCACAATCCTCTGAAGACAATTAAATAATTCTTATTTCTTGAGGGGGATTGATTGGTTGCATGACATTAAAATTTTTATATTTCATTGCAGAACTTGGACTTAAACTCTTTCAAAAAAGACAATCATAAAAAAATCAATTTGGCATGTCCTGAAATAAATGGGAGGAGCATATTTATGGATTGTCTTGCAGAGATGGATGACAATGTGATGAAAAAAAGTAAAAAATAAAATAAAAGGGAGAAGCAGCACATTGGTTTGTAAATAAGAGTCTGAACTGGAGTATGGGTTGTATTTTTCAGATCAGGTTTCAAGAGCTCATCAGGGAGCAGCTGTGCTTCTCTGGCCTCAACTCTGAAGTCAAACCCCTCACGTTTGGATCTAAGTTGTAAGAGGCTGCAAGATGAAGAAGTGGAGCTGCTGTGTGATTATCTGAAGAGTCCAGGCTGCAAACTGGAGACTCTGAGGTAAGATTCACCATATTATCAAATGCTGGTAAAATTAAAAGAAGTGTGTATTTGTTTCTGTGCCTTTTTGGAGAGGAGTGAATAATTGTTTTATCTAAATTAGAAATGATCGGTATTATTTAAAAACTTCTCAAATGATTTAAGTCACAATTTGTTTAATTGGTTTTGATGGAAGTCCTTTTTGATTTTTTTTTTTACATTCTGAAACAGTTTCTGCTGGTTTTGTCGAGGGATCTTCATTCTTGATTTTTTTCATAATCTAGATCAGCTCCAAACATGCAACAGTAAGTCAGCTGAAACAGAACTTCCAAAAATATTGAATCTCTTTTTTTTTTTTCAGATTGAGGGATTGCAATTTGTCAGAGATCAGCTGTGATTCCCTGGCCTCAGCCTTGAAGTCATATCCCTCTCATCTGAGAGAGCTGGACCTTAGTGGAAACAAGCTTCAGGATTCAGGAGTGAAGCTGCTGAGCAATTTCCTGAAGAGTCCAAACTGCAGACTGGAGACTCTGAGGTCAGACTCATCTTAGTATCAAATGCTGGTAAATTTTAAAAAAGTGTGTTTTTGTTTTTGTGCCTTTTGGAGAGTAGAAAATAATTGTTTTATCTAAATAAGAAATTATCATTATTATTCGATTTAAGTCACAATTTGTTTAATTGGTTTTTGATAGAAGTTCTTTTTGATATTTGAATTCTGACACCATTTCTGCTGGTTTTGTTGGGGGGATCTTCACACTTGATTTTTTTTATTATCTAGATCAGCTCCAAACATGCAACAATAAGTCAGCTAAGACAGAACTTCCAGACCAACAATATTTGATTTCTTTTTTTTCAGTTTGAGTTACTGCAGTTTGTCACACATCAGCTGTGATTCCCTGGCCTCATCGCTACAGTCAAACCCCTCTCACCTTACAGAGCTGGACCTCAGTGGAAACAAGCTTCAGGATTCAGGAGTGAAGCTGCTGAGCAATTTCCTGAAGAGTCCAAACTGCAGACTGGAGACTCTGAGGTCAGACTTAAAATGAACTTAAATGCAGCACTGGTCAGATTTTTCTCTGTTATGTCCATGCTTTTTTAATTGCTTCATAACTTTTATTTTATAAAGAAGAAAACTCATTGAACTTGGACTTTGTAACAGCATTTTCAAAGGGTTCAGTGCCAGTCCTTTGTGTTTGTGAAATTGTTTTACACCTGTATGCTATTGTAAGAAGAGGTTGGAGGATTTATTATCATCATTTTCAATGTACTTCATATGTTAAAGTATAATTGAACACTGGAGTATCTTTGCTGAGAATTCTGGAAAGAAAGTATTAATCATATTTTTCAGCTTGAGTTACTGCAGTTTGTCAGAGATCAGCTTTGCCTCTCTGGCCTCCTCCTTGAAGTCAAATCCCTCTCATCTAAGAGAGCTGGACTTTAGTAGAAACAACCTGCAGGATTCAGGAGTGAAGCTGCTGAGCAATTTCCTGAAGAGTCCAAACTGCAGACTGGAGACTCTGAGGTCAGTCTCACCATATAGTTAAATGCTGGTAAATTTTTAAAAAGTGTGTATTTGCTTTTGTGCCTTTTTGGAGAGGAGTGAATAATAGTTTTATCTCAATTAGAAATGATCAGTATTGTTAAAAAAACTTATAAAATGATTTAAGTCACAATTTGTTTAGATGGTTTCTGATGGAAGTCCTTTTTGATTTTTTTAAATTCAGAAACCATTTCTGCTAATTTTGTTGGGGTGATCTTCATACTTGATTTTTTTATCATCTAGATCAGCTCCAAACATGCAACAATAAGTCAGCTAAGACAGAACTTCCAGACCAACATTATTTAATTTCTTTTTTTTTTCAGATTGAGGGATTGCAATTTGTCAGAGATCAGCTGTGATTCCCTGGCCTCAGCGCTACAGTCCAACCCCTCTCACCTGAGAGAGCTGGACCTTAGTGGAAACAAGCTTCAGGATTCAGGAGTGAAGCTGCTGAGCAATTTCCTGAAGAGTCCAAACTGCAGACTGGAGACTCTGTGGTAAGTGTAGGATATGAGAAGTTTGATGATGTTTGGTAACTGATAAACAAAGATAATTTGATGTCCTTCAGTTTGTCTTGTAGCAGCATTTTAAACATTAGGCTCGTTTCAACCATTTTTTTTTAGTTATGGTGTTCCACAGGGACTTGGGATAAGACCAGTCCTTTTCACCTTATATATTTTTACTCTAGGTAATATTATCAGGAAACAGTCCATAAGTTTTCACTGCTATGCAGACGACACTCAATTATAGCTATCACTAAAACCTTGATGAACTTCACTTGATGCATATCTTAAAGAGATACAAACTTGGATGACCAGAAACTTTTAGCCAGTCAACTCTGACAAAATTTAAGTTCTTGTTCTTGGCCCCAAACACCTCAGAGAGACACTTTCTAATGATATAACTGCAGTAGATGGCATCAGTCTAGCATCCAGCACCACTGTTATGAGTCTGGGAGTTCTCTTTGACCAGAATAGATCATTTAACTCCCACATCCAACAAATCTCTGGAACTCTCTTTTTACGTTTGCGCAATATATTTAAAATCAGACACATCCTGTCTGAGACCAATGCAGATAAACTAGTCCATGCATTTGTCATCTCTAGGATGCATTACCAAAATTCCCTTTTATCAGACTACCCTAATGAGTCATTAAAGACTATTCAGGTTGCATTCACAGATCCGTGGTATGATTGTTAACTCCTTTAAACCAGGCACAAAAAATGACAAGTTAGTTGTCAGTTTTCTATAGAAGATGATATCTGTTTCAGATCATTTAATGTAAAGAGCAAGCAATGTCTTCAGATTAAATCTATTTATTTTGGGGGTTGTGTTTTTTTAACAGGATTAATAAAAAATTTTTGACAGCTGACAACCTCCAAAAATGTGAGTATCAAAGCAAAATAAACTATTTCTGAAACCAGTGGAAATATGTCTGAATTTATAAAGAGCTGCTTCTCTTGTGTGTTACAGCTCAAAAGTCCCAACACTTCAGCTCTTTATCAGAAGACAAAGAAAAGGCTGTGGAGAAAAAGCTTCCCCTGCAGGATGATGATGATGATGATGATGATGATGATGATGATGATGATGATAAAAAGGTGGATCTTGAAATGTGATTTTGAAATAAAAACACGTTATCCTTCTACTGCTCTCACAAAAACACCAGTGTAAACCAGTGCTAATTCTCTTAATTAGCATTTCACTATGCTGATGATATGCAACTGTACCTTTTAAACTGCATTTTAGGCATTAAGTCATGGATGGCAGCCAATTTCCTGCAGCTCAACCAGGACAATAGGTCCTGAAGGCCCGAAAGAGACACTTTTACCAAAACTACAAGTTTTTAAAGTATCCAAATCTGTAAAAAAAACCTGGGTGTAATTTTTGACTGTGAGCTCAGTTTTACTCCACACATCAAAAACATAGCAAAGGTAGGTTTTTACCACTTAGAGAATATAGCCAGAGTCCACTCGTTTCTCTCCCAGGCCAGCAAAGAGGTGCTGATGTATGCTTTTATCTCCTGTGGTTTAGATTATTGTAAAGCCCTGCTCTCTGGCCTCTCAAAGAAGAACTTACATACCCTTCAATTATTACAAAATTCAGCTACAAGAGTGCTGACAAGGGCCAGAGGGCTGAGCATATAACCCCAGTTTTAGCATCGCTGCATTGGCTCCCCGTCCGTTTCAGGATTGATTTTAAGTTTCCTTTATTAGTTTTTAGATGTATTGATGGTCTTAGCCTCTCCTATTTATCTGACTTACTTTTATCATATCAACTCTTGCGGACCCTGAGGTCCTCCGGCACAAGCCTTTTAATCTTACCCAAAGTTAAAACAAAAACACACAGGGAGGCGGTTTTCAGTTTCTATGTGGTTGTGGAACAGCCTGGAGAACAGCCGGAGAGCCTCAGAGCCACAGAGACTGTTTATGTTTTTTAAGAAGAGGCTCAAGACTCATCTTTTTAACAAAACTTTTCACTGAAAGCCTTGTTTTATTTCTCTTATTGCTACTGTTCATTTTAATCAAAGTTCTTAATGTTTATGTATTTTTTATTAATTATGTCGGTTCTTAGTCTTTTTCTTATTCCCCCCAATGAGGTTTTTTACTTCTTTTACCCCTTTTACATGGTAAAGAGCTCTTACTTATTTCATACTATATTCTGGTCTTAGTCCATCAGGTTTTACTCTTTCTTTTTACCATTTCTATCATTTCATCTCCAGTGTTTTCCAAAGATAGCTCTTTCCTCATGCTTTGTCTCAGGGTCAAGCCATGTCTCTTTGACAATATATCTTATAAGCTTACTCTGTGTGCGCTTGTGTGTGTGCGCTTGACTAGAAAAGTGTCCCAGCCATTTGAAATTTCAAGATGGCAGCCATTTTTCAAGATGGCCGCCACCTAAGTAGAACAGGAAGATGATGTACTTGATAAATTGGTGATATAGCCATGAAAACTGGTATGAAAAGTCGTCATGAGTCACTTAACAAGAAAATGCCTCAAGCTGCTTGAAATTTCCAGATGGCACCCATTTTAAAGATGGCTGCCATCTAATTAGAGCAATCAAGTGAAGTAAAGTTGGTGATATAAACATGAAAAATAGTAAGACCATTCCCTGTGAGTCCCTCAACAAGAAAATGCCCCAAGTTGCTTGAAACTTCAAGATGGAAGCCATCTTAAAAATGGCCGCCATCTTGAAAGTTCAAGCAACTTGGGGCATTTTCTTGTTGAGTGACTCATGAAGACTGTTCATACCAATTTTAATGCCTATATCACCCATTCAACAAGGAAATCACCTAATTGTTCCAGTTTGGTAAATTTTAAATGGCTGGGACACTTTCCTAGTAAAGTGACCCATGAAGAATGCTAGTGCCAATTTTCATGCTTGTATCACCAACTGAACGACTATGTCACTTATCTGCTCCACTATTAAGGCATTCATTATCAGTAGTGAGTCTAAGCCTGGATACTTCATCACGCTCACCGCAGCAAAATTCAGCCAGCAGTCAGACATGCAGCACTAAACTTATCAATCCAGCTTTTGTTGTATTCTCTCTAATGTATAATCTGCTTCTCTTATTTCTAGGCTCCATTTTCCTTCACACCTGAACAGGCTGACTCTTCATACAGGTAGTGTTCTAAATTGCAAAAATATATATGTGTATATCGAGAGTGACAGTGACTTAGCACCTTACCAACAAATAGAACATTGTGTTAAAGGACGTTGTCATTCTAAATCCAAAAAGTCATCTCTTTTTGATGATTGGGATGAACTGACCTGGTAATTCTTTATTCCTGATGTTAAGGTGGGGGAGAGATTACAGACAAGCAACCCAGGTTCACTTGACAAAGTGAAGTCAAAACAGAAAGCAAAACTTCTGGGACCTTGAAATACTAAAAACAAATTTTGACATGGTTAGCTTAAAGCTAAACACTTTAAAATCTTACTCTTTTTCGTTACAGATTCTACAGAAATTGTAAAATCTGTCCATGAAAGTCAGAGTTTTGGTTTGAAGAGTATTCTGGTACATGTTAGCAGTCCAATCAGGTGTCAGCAGGCTGTGCTGGCTGCTGAGGAAACAGTCTGTATGGAGAGCAAAAGCAGGAGGAACACAATGAACCACAATGACCTCCTGGCTCCCATCAGCAGATTTCTGCATGAAGGTCATCTAACAATCTGCTCCAGCAACGAAACACAAATCAGCTTGATGCTGAGTCACTACAGACAATAAACATTTAGATTTCCCTGAATGTGTCAACAATAACTCGTCTTGATCAAAGACTGACCCAACAAGGCTTGACATTTTACTTCTCCTGAGACTGTTTCATGGGGTTGTTTTTCCAGAAAATTAAATGCTCGGTAATGGCGAGTAAATCACAGGAAAATTAGCTCCTTTTTCAGGCTCATGCTGCTGTAGAGAGAGAGGGGCCTCTTTTAAGCTCAGTATTTACATTAAAACTGAGATTCATCACAGACAGCTAAACTGGTGGAAGTCATGAACCAATAAAGTACAGTGAAACGTCTGACATTAATTCAGTCATTTTTGGATCCTCCAGGTTCAGGTGTCCTGGTCAAGGTGTGTTTCAGTGTACTGTGACAGGACTGGTGTTTGTTATGACAAAGGAGGCGGAGCTTACTTACAAGACTGTCCAATGGGATGAGAACCTCCTCCAATCAACTGGCAAAAAATCTGCCGGGCCGCTGTTCAACATCGAGTCCTCAGAGGACGCAGTTTGTCAGCTCCACCTCCCACACTGTGAATCAAAGGAAGGTAAACAGCGCCGTCTTTAAACAAAGGTGATCTGGATTCATGTGCAGTGTTGTGTCCCCCTGAGAGTGACTAGCACATCCTTTTCTTATAGAACTGATGCTGATGGATAAATTAAGACTCTCAGAAATCAAGTGCTTCTAAGTTAATGAGGTAAATTGAAGCTAAACAACTCTCTGTTCCCTCAGGGCTGCTTGTTGATGGGCTGTTGTCTGTCGCCCACTTCACTGATGATGGGATGGGGATCTTGAAGCCGCTGAAGATCACAGACACTCATGTGGTTGTGGATGTCCCTCATCTATCTGCCTATGGCCTGGTCTGGGATTTTGTTAAAAGATTTATGAACAATTCACAGCCAATTAAGGGCCTAGTCCTCCTGTTCCTACGACCTCCACAAAGAAAGTCATCAGGTGCTTGATGTGCATCTGCTGCAGCAAAATATTGTTCTGAGAGAGGTAAATTAAATGCCAGTAAAAAATGTAGTAATTTGAATGTTTATACATAACCAATCCCATTCACACAACACTGACTGGGCCCAGTGGTTTGAATTTTGAAATAATTTAAAATATCTTTGTTGTGTCACTTTACTTTTCTTTACTCTTTGTCAAGTATTTTGAAATGAAACAAAATAAAATCAGGAATAAATATTTTCTTTTTTCTGGAGGTTGTCGCCCAACAAGGAGATTCCCAGTACATCAGGATCTCGTCTCACTGTCACCTCAGAGTCGGTCAAAATTACAGTGTCCACTGTGAACCAGCAGGCTTCAAAATTCAGCCACAGGTTTAAAAAATCCCATTTCCTTTCTTCCTAAATGTAAAGGTGGTGGTATATTGAAATTATAAGTGTAATAAGGAGAATAAGACTTAAATATTTTAACGAAAGCCAGAAAAATAACTCTTTGCTCTGTGCTTCAGAAAAAAGAGTTTTTCTTACAGAATGGACCAAACTACTTCCCAACATTTGAAGTTTTCCTGACGTCAAATCAAGAAAGAGTGACTCTGGTGATTCAGGACCAAGATGGAGCAGAAGTCTGGAAACGGCGAGTGTACCTGACAGGTGAGGACCTCAGTCATGTCTCTGTTTGGACTGCAGTGATAGATCAGAGTAGGAGGTCCACACTTTTCCCCCTATCCCCCTCAATTCTTTAAATTTATGATCCATCTGTTCAATATGCTGACTGGACAAAAAACAGAACAGCAGCTCTACCAAAGGTCTGCTTTTACTGGGCTTTTGAAATTGCTCTCAGTTTAAAAAGGCAGAATCCTGACAGAGATGCATCACTCTGGCTAACCTCAGCTGTACAAAGCCCAATGAAGAGGCCTACTTTATCATAATTAGAATTTACTTACAACCAACTCTGCTCCTGATTTTTACCTGTATGAGACCCTACTTTGAAAATCACTGATCTAACATGCTAACTGCATTTCAGGCACTCACTCTCAGAGGGTGAGATCTCTGTCAAAAGATGAGGCTCCATGTTACATCAGCAGAGCTCAAGCTGCAGCCTTTTCATTTGTTTCTATTCTATTTGTGAAGCTCATCATGTTGGAAAAATTTGATAAAATTTAAACCAGAAAAAGTACAAACAGTGAGGTTCTAGTTTTAAGTTTTTCTGTATATGCTGTGCATATGCAATCATCAGTAAATCAGTAAATCAGTAAACATCAATAAACAATGAATGATATTTTATCTAAACATATCCAAACCCTTTTTTGGCATTGGTTCACATCAGCATGTAAATCTCCCATTCCAGTTTAGTTCTCGTAGGGACTGTATTATTAACAATGTTAAATGCGAGATATTTCTTACCTAGTTTGTGGCTTTATGTGGTTTCACAAGAGCCAAGAGAGAGACAGCCTTGCTGTTTATATCCAGTTCAAGTTTCCAATTCTCTCTGAGAATATTTGTCTTACGAAGTTTATTCCAGAAAAAGTAAAAGTTACAACAGACACAGTCAGTGTTTATTACACGGAGTTGAAACAAAGTAAATGCAATAATCAGAATAATTGATTTCATCACATTTCACATTAAAATATTTTCTCAGCTGACAATTTAACAACACTAGCTGAGTTAGATGTGAGTTATTCCTACAAATGATTTAGATCAACACTAAGATAAGAGTATGTAAGAACATATCAGCTCTAACTTACATATATTAACATTTTTATCATTTTAATGTCATTATTTATAAAATAACTGGTTAATTTTCAGAATCAAGAGGTAATCTGCAGAGGTCTGTCTCCAGAGGAGACAGAGTACCGGCAGAGAACAGGGTCCCAGCACAGGACATGGTCCCAGCAGAGGACAGGATGATTCCAGCTGAGCAGACGCTGTCCAGAATAAGGACAAACTTTGTAGAGAGAGTATCTGATCCTGTTCTGAACAGTCTTCTGGATAAACTCAGGGAGCAAAAGGTTATCAATGCTGGTGAGATGGAGTCACTCAGGACAGGAAGCAGGGCAGATCGAGCACGAGATCTCATTGACTCAATGCATCGAAAGGGAAGAGAAGCCAGTTCAGTTATGATCTCAGCTCTTTGTGAGATTGATCCATACCTGTCTGAAACACTGGGTTTGATCTGAAGAGGAAGCAACAAAACAGTGAGGTGTGATGATGTGTTGAGCTTTTCTCAGGTAGCAAAAGAGAGAGACATCTGTCCGGTTTTCTCTCCACTACTCTGCCAGATAGTCGTGTCTTGTTTGAAACTTTAAACTGCCAATTTTATAGTCTTGTTTGTGCCTCACCGGCTGCAGTCCAGAGCTCTTCACTGTCTATGCTCAACAGAGATATCATCAGCCGGCCAGCTTCCAACCTCCATTCTCTGTCTCTTGTTTTTTTTGGAATAAACTCTTTTGATACACCTACTTGTGTCAGTCCCTGCTTTGTGCTCTAATCTAAACCACCACTGAAAACTTTGAAGTTTTTATGTTTGAATTTTGTGACTTTGACCTGTCTAGAGTGATAACCCAGAGCTGATAAATTAGCCATCTTTAACAGGGTTCATCCAAACCAGCAGACAGCGCTACAGAAGCCTCATTTGTCATTAGAGCTGTCAGTCAAGGTGTTATACCCCTTTTTTATAGCATCAAATAACTATTCAAACCAACCTAAAGCATGATAAGAGCTAACTACACTGACAGAAACTGTGCCTGACAAAAATTGATTTGATTTTATAGTTTGACCCATGTCCCATCTGTTTACATGGTCTTGGCTTGCTATCTTGCTTTATAACTTACACTGTTGCCTGTCAGCAGGGGTCACTCCTAATGATTTGGGCTTCACTTTGAGAGGGCTGTCATGTAGTCCATAAAAGTCTTTGATGGTGTATTTGTACAGTGTAAATAACACCTTGAATTACTGTGTGGTCTTTTCTGTTTAAAGAGATCTATCTGGACACATCTCACTACACAATAACTTAACAAAACAATAATGAAGTTTAGCTGCTGCCAACTCTGTATTAAATACGGTAAATAAGAAAACACTGGAGTATGGATGGTGTTTCATTTTTTATGCATACTCTGTAGTGACAATATATGAACATCATGTTTACAGCACTGCCTCTTATACAGTTAAGCTTCAATAGAATAAAAACATGAAAAACCTGCTGCACAAGGAGCCTTTACAATATTCACATTCAGACGACAAATACACTGTATTTATATTCACATTGAAACCAGATGCTGAGTCATGGATGTTTATAATACAAAAATGTACAATTTACATGGTAAATAAAACTAGAAAAAAATCAACACTCTGCTGCAGTATGAGGTTGACTGCACTAAAATGAAAGCACATAAACACACAAAGTGAACACTATACTGTAATTGTATTTAAGCTATTGTATGTCCATACTGCTATGAAATGATTTTATCTTGGAAGGGCCTGTGTCCACTAACAGCATTTTCTGATTGATTTTCTTAACAAAACCAATGAAGTTAAGTGTATTCAACACTAAGCATCATAAACACAAAATTAGCCTCAGTTTTTAAATCTCAAACACCTGAGGAGCTGGACGAACCTGACGGTGAGCTAACCTCAAGAACCCTCACTGATCGACTAACTGCTCTCCACACTTTCCTCCCTTAAATAATTCATGTACTCAACAGACTGGACTGTCCCACAAGACCTCTTTAACAGCCAGTGGGGGACAAAAACAAGCAAAAAAGAAAAAAAAAAACTGTTGGTGGACACAGGCCCTGAAGTGGAAAATCTTAAACTTTCCTCATTTCGCTTATCTTTTAAACAGTATACTTTTTTTTCTTAACAGTCAGTTTGGTCTGTGTAACATTTAAGGAAGTACATTTTGTATTTACAAAATAAAGGATACATCTCCCTTACAGTTGTTAGGTTTTTTTGACCACATTGTCATTTTTTGTGCATAATGTGCATGATGTCCTTGTTTGTGTAGAGTTTATCTAGCACAACAGCATCTTTAAAGTCCTCTGAAAGATCCCACCAAAAAGGAGGCCTTAACCTCTTGGAGATATGTCACATGCTGAACTGACATGGTTGACCTTGTGCTCTCTGCCTGTCCTTATTAATTTAGACTGATCTCTTCCTCCTTTGTTGACTAAAACAAAGAGGTTCTGTATGCCAAGGATCAGTTATTTTCCGAGTAAAATCATCTACAACCTTCAAACAGCTCATACACCTAAAGACCTCATAGCACAGAAATTGTAAACAAATATGTTTGAATTATTTCTGATAAAGGTGGTAGTCTTAAGTGACACGGCAACAAGCAGATTTGTGTCCCAGTGTGTTGGTTTACTTGATGTAAAAATCTGATAAGAGGGTTGGTTGGAGAAAGAGGGGTGGTGCAGTCCTTGTCTATGTTGATTGAACAGTCATGAAACACTCATTCCTACTGTGTTCTTTTGGCTGACATGTTCCTGTCATGACTTGGGATCAGTCAAGAAGACTTGATGGTCATTCACTTTCTTTAGAAACAAGATAACAGAGGCCCCGCAGTCTAAGCTTGCCTTAGATACTATGTGCAGTAAAACTGGTGGCCTGGATTCTATTCCAGCCTGAGGACCTTTTCCTGCATGTTGCTCCTCACTGTTTACCACGTTTCCTGCACTATTTGCTATCCTGTCTTCAAAATCAAAAGTTCCAAAAAGTAAAAAAAAATGTAAAAAGGAGACAAAAATACACCACAAACAAATGCTTGACCCCGTCCCCTTATTTTGTTGAGTAAGGGTATGATCAGCATCTGACCCAAAAAGTGTTCATGTGAACCCACCTGTTGTAGATGTTTGATCCAGAACAGACGTACATATCAATTTCTGTTTGTACTGATAAATAAGATGACCCCAGACAGGAGCTGGGGTGTCATTCTGCTTAAAATCTCCATACAGACTGGTTTTCCTGCAGACACCAACGCCCGTGGATACCTGATTGGTCAGTACAACTCAAACCACAAACAAACTACAGACACAAACGCAACTCATGCCAGAGTCAAGTCCTGACTTTACATGTTTGTAGAACTTTGTAAGAACTTGGAGCCACGTGGATAAACATGAAGCAGTCAACATGGCCGACAACAAGAGATGTTATCCATCCAGCTAAATCATATTAAGAGCTAAATGAGTTATTTTTAGTTTGTTCAAAAATGAGGTGAGCTTCAGTTAACTTTACCCACAGAGACATTTTGCACTTGAGGACATTTCCAACCTTGGACTTTACATTTTTACCGCAGGAAGCACCTCAAAGCATGACTTCTTCTTTCATCACAGTTATCTGTTCTTCTTTTTGACTTGAGCATGTATGCGCTCTTCCCTCCTCAGCTCTAAGGGCATCTGGTCCCTCGATAAATGCCTCCTGGTCAAAAATCCAGATTGGAGGAGTAAAAGACAAATTCCTCCTTGAAAATGATCAATCCTTGAGTGTTTGTCCATACACACCTGTCCATACCAAAGATAAGAGTCAGGATCAGAACTGGCTCTCCTCCAGGATCTCCTCCATGGTCTCTCCAAGCGTCATCTCTCCATCACTGCTCGACAGACTCTTCCTGGTGAGAAAGTCCAGTCCTGCTGTGTCACCGCCCTTCATCCCCTGACCTCTGACCTCTCCTGGTCCCTGCCCTCCTCCTCCTCCACCATGTACAGCCAGCTGAAGCAGGTGTGGGTGTGAGGTGGAGGTGCCGCCCTCGTCGTAGGAGCAGTTTGGTCGGTGTGTCCGGGTGCACTTCCACAGCTGTTTGAAGGGAACGCTGTTGAAGCAGCTCCCAACCTGGTTTGTGAAGAGGAAAAGCTGCCAGCGCTTCTTCAGCTCAGCCTGGACCTGAAACCAGAAAGTTTAATGTCCTTCATATTTAGTCCACATGACTTAACAGGCTCACTAATGCTACCTGACTGACCATCTGAGCTGACATTACTCTTGTAACAGGTAAAAGGTCAACATGGAAGCCCTGTGAGATTAAAGATGTGTGGAAATAACAGCAAAACCTGAGTCAGGTACTACCAGCGTAAACCATTGAGTTGGAGTCATCTTCACTAACATACAGTAATAATAATGATGATAATGATACATTTTATTTGTGAGGGAAATTCTGAGTTAATTATTATTTGCAAAAAAAAATAAATATGAGTTTGAACATTAAATATGTTGTCTTTGTAGTGTATTCTATTAAAAAAATAGGGATTTGCAAATTATTGTACTCTGTTTTTATTTACGTTCATCACAATTTCCCAACTTCAATAGAATTGGGTTTTGTAAATAGAACATAATACAGACTCATATGATCTTCATCTTCATCCATGCATGTATGTTCTACTGTTTCCCTGGGATTTTGATGTCTGTTGACTTATAAAACACAATCATTGCTTTAAAATAATTCTGTAAAATTCAAAAGAGGAAAGACAAAGAAACATACCTCTCCGTTAGCAAAGCAGTAGAGCACAGCAACTAGGAACCCCTGAAGCAAAAGAGACTCTCTTAATAACTCTAGTTAATCTGGTTTAAGTTTGTCAGGTGCATAAAATCAACCCTTAGTGGCGTTACCTGAAAGGAGCTGAGGGTGAGGTTGATGAAGTGTTGGGCATAGCGGCTGCTGCCCTTCACACATTCATCGCTCAGCACAGCGAAGACCACCTCATGGATCCCCAGCAGAGGAATCAGGACCAGAGTGGCCCGGGCCAGACTGAGGGGCAGAAAAGAAGACATTTGGAGGTCTATAGTTATACAGAGTTGATGATTTAAAGAGCAGAGGACAAACTGGAGGGAAAGATGCTTCACCAGCTGGGCTTCAGAAAACTGCATTTCTATGAAACACACACCTCCAAGGTCTAAAGTCCCCCTGATGATCGGATGAGGAGACGTACCTGTATCTGTAGTCGGTGAATTTGACCTGATCTGCTTTTAGTTTGGACAGCAGGAGCATCAAAATCTTGATGAATATGAAGAAAATAATCTGCAACACACATATAATGTCTATTAACCTTTATGTCCTGGTATATATATATATAAAAAAAAGAATCACTCAGCATATAAAGCCCCAAAAGTGGACATAAAACTTTCACTTTATCAGGTGTTTTCACTAACTTAATTCCTGATCATAGATAAAAAGTAAAAAAATCTGTTTCAGAGCTTGACCCCTTTCAGGAGACTCCACACTGTCTCTGCAGATCAAGAGGAGAACAGTTTGCTTTGGCCTAGAGAGACAAAATGGGTAAATGGTGCCATCTGCCGGAAAATAGTAACATTTACGAGTTTGAAGCCTGGCCTGCAATGTCAATACATAATATAAAACATTGCAGGCTTTTTCTTGTTTCAAAGGCCATTTGATCAAGAAACACAGATATATTGATTCATAAAGTATTTACAACATCATGCATCACAATTATTAGAACTAATAAAAGCTTTGCTGCCTTGAAGAAGTTGAAGAACCAGTATGGAATGTGGCATGACTAAAAACAAGTGATTTTTTTTCTAACATAGCAGAAGATTTACCTTAAAACAGTGGCTTTAGAATAAACAAGTCCAACAGTCCATAAAAAACAGTACAGTTAATTTTGAGAATCAGGTCAGTAACTAAATTTTAACAGATAAAAGTGTTTGTGGGTTCAGACTTCCGCAGTATCCCATCTTTAACAGCCACCCCCTATTTCTTCTCCTTTCTCCCTGGCCCACTACTCCTGCTTGAATTAAGGTTTATTTTCAGAGTGCATATTAGAGTTAGTGTTTAAATCTAAGTACAGGCATGGCTAAACAAATAAAGCGCATGTAAAGTAAAAACAACAACAAAAATTCTACACTTAAAAAATAAGAATTCTAGGTTTATTATATACGCTTAAGTTAATACTGGAATCGACATTTTCGATGACATTAGAACTCCTGACTAAATAAACCTTTTTCTAGCAATGAGGTGAGCTACTCAAAAAAGAGTCAGAAGAAAGGATGAGCTGTGGTAAAATAAGAAATCAGTGAAATCAGTCACTTTTGATGCCCGTGACCTCTGCCCTCTAAAACATTAAACATCACGTGTTTCCATGAGACCATAGAGCATCAAACTCAGCATGAAATCAGAAAGAGCTGCAGACTCTAAAACTCAATAGATGATCTGTGCTTCTTCTTCGAATCTAAGACTCACCAGAACTGAGAGAGTGATGGGACCTTTGATGATCCAAAAGAACCATCTGTTCACGATGGACCAGCATCTGAGGTGGACAAGAGGGTTATTAGGCTGAACAGTGGAGGACACTGAAATCTATTGAACATGAAGGTTTTGAAAGACTCACCCTGTGTTTTCATATAAAATCTTCACCACAGTCCACGGGGTCACGAAGAGGACAGGAGTGCCTGAGAGAGGAACACAAATATGATCTTACTTTCCTGGTCTCCTTGCTCTGGTCCATCTCTGTACTGGTTTGAATACTTAACAAAAATCATACATGACATACCAAAGCCTGGGTACATTGTGGGCCTGAAATTCTTGTAAGTTTCTGTCACTCTGAGAATTTGTCAGGATTGAAAAACATGCACTCACTGGAGTAACACAAATTCTTTTGTGAACTTTAACCTTTAAGTTTAAGCTGCACCAGGAGGCACAGGAATGAGGAAGGAGCATTTTCAGGCATATAAACAAAAGGTTTTTTTTTTAATCATTAAATTTGATATCTGCAGAAATATCTCATGGTCTGAGGCCTTGTCCACACTTAGCTGGGTATTTTATTTGATAAAACAAATATATTTTTTATTTTATTTTGGCCTGCCATCCACACAAAACTGCAGGGTTACGTCATTAAATACGGTGCTTTTGGAAAACTCCGGCCAAAGTGATGATTTTGGAAAACTCTGGATTTGCGTTTGCATGTTGAAAAAGATAACCAGAGTTTTAAATCCCCAAATGTCATTGTCCGCGACAACTAATAGATAAACGTTATATACTACGCCGCCTTGTTTATGTCAGGCAGTGGATGGCAAAGATAAACACACGGCTCCTGTTTTAGTGTTTTATGGTTTGTTTTTAGTTATTTGTTTCAATGTTTTTAAATTACTTTTTAAAAACATTGAAACTATATTTTACTTTTAATTCTGGTTTTATTTTATCCATTGTTTTAATTGTTTGTTGATTGTTTTTCATCTCGTTGTTTTGTCTAGTTATGTACAGCACTTTGTTCAGCTGTGGTTGTTTTAAAGTGCTTAATAAATAAAGTTGAGTTGAGAAGTTGAGTATATATTTTTGTGTGGAGCAAAGGAGAAGAAGTGCTTTACAGTCGGTTATTCTACACCAAATAACCCTTCCTCTACCTTTCTTGTGTCTTGTTGACTTTATACTCCAAAACCATGCTTAAAAACAATTCCACCTCCTTGTCAGTCCACACGAATGAGCTACACAGCGTCATGTTTGGGGAAGTGCTCTGATTGGATAGAATGGGGCTAACTTTTTGGCAAGTACTACTAACTCTAGGTCTAGCATGGTTATAACCGCGGTCAATAGCACGTTTATGCATTTTTGTGTGGATGGGATTTTATTTGAAAATGATGATGTGTGTAAATGACTTTTTTTTTTTTAAATGGAGGGGGTTGGGTATTTGTTTCTACGTGTGTACAAGGCCTCAGTGTTATAAAAGTTGCTCCCTGGTTCTTTTTTGCAAACATAAGAACGTTAATTTCAAGTTTACCCCATCCTAGCAGCATGTATTTCTTCAGCAGACGTCTCTTTGTCAGCACGGCAGTGAAGAGCAGCGTGTGGAGGAAAACTGCCTCTACCAGGAGCCAGAAGTAGTTACAGGCCACAAAGTACTCCATGCACACTTTGGAGAACTTACACATCAATGATATCTGCGGAGATGAACACCAAATCACACACTAATCTCACGATTTGTTCATTTACAACAGCTTCTCTGTGAACTTTGACCTACTGCAGAGGTGGAGTAGGAGCTCCAGCCTGGGTCGTCTCGGGGCAGGTTGGAGTACATGATGTATAAGATGATCTCTTTGGAGATGATGGCTGCAGCTCTCAGGATGAACGACATGAACAGATTCATGTGGATGTAGTTTCTGGTGCAGTGCAGCTTCCTGGTAAACAGACATTAGAGGTATTGATCAAGACTCTCTGAGGGATTATAAAAGCATTACAGAGAGGACATGTCGCTGCATACGAATGGATGAATAATGATCAGAGTTCATGAAACAACAAAGGAACATTTCATGATTGTCATAATGATATTAGCAGTGACTGATCTTCCTCTAAGTCTGCAAACATCCCTTCAATCCTCCTCATCCTCCCTCTGACATACCAAGAGGATCATCAATGTAGTCAAGAGCTCATGACTCAGCCATAGCATTTATTGATAACCTATTAGAAGGATTGATAACCTATTGTTAAACACCAACGTGTCCTCTTCAACGCTAAACTTTTGTTCATTTGTTTACATTTTAAGATATGCAAAGGTGCTTTGATAGTTCAATCTGTTAATATGAAAAAGTTTATGTGCGGTGTAATTCAGTTGTTATGTTTCACTGAAGTCACTTTTGTAAAGCTGAGTTCCCATGACCTAATAACTAGGGTGACCATATTCTGAATCCCCAAAAAGAGGACACAACTACGCGAGGGCGGAGTCACAGAGTTGCGCATAGTTAATTTTGAGAGTTTTTTGAGTCGGTTCGAGTATTTTTTATATGCTTCTAACTCAGTAAGTCCACATGACACAAACACATGACTCCAAGCTCTGGAATGACTCGCCCTTGAAATTAGACAGGCCTCCTCATTTCCTGTTTTTAAATCCCTTTTAAAAACGCACTTTTACTCCTTTGCTTTTAATACATTGTAGTGTTTTTTTATTTGTTATCATCTTAGCACTTGCCGTGAGTCTGCTTATTTATATATTTATTTATTTTTTGCATTCATGTATTTGTGCTCGCTCTATCTTGTTCTTTGATTGTTTTATTTGTTTTTTATGTCTCAAGGTACAACACTTTGGCTACCCCTGTGGTTCTTTTAAATGTGCTATAGAAATATAGTTGATTGCTAGATTAATTGATTGAAACTCAAAACTTTCATACAAAACCCTGGACATTTGAAGGATTTTATAAACTCCCCCCCGGACAGGCCAGACAGCCCCCAAGATATGAGGTATTACTTTGTCTACCGGGAGTGCCAAACCTGACAAATACCAGAATTCCCAACAGCAGCTTTAAGGAAAAGTTGGTGTCTTTTTGTAAACACAGAGGTCAAGTCTCCCTTTGCTTTTTATCAAGTGGTGGAAAGGGAACACCCAACTACCTGTCCCATCAAAATCCCAGGTCTTTTTCTCCCTCGACACAAAATATTGACTTCAGTCATCAAACCCCATTTTTAACCCCTGACCCCTCTCACTTACCTCAGCATGCCCATCAGAAAGACAGCCAGAGTGAGGGAGGACAGAGACAGAGCGTAACCGATGATAGAGATGAGTCTAAGGGCCGTTTGTCGATGCATCTCATCCTCCTGAAACTACACACACACACACACACACACACACACACACACACACACACACACACACACACACACACACACACACACAAATAAATAAATAAAGGAGAAGACAAAAAACTGCTTTGCATTCATGACCCAGGGTAGATGAGGAATCTTCAGCTTCTCATCTAAATATCTTTTTTATTTTTGTACAGAAGCTGATGAGGGCAGATGACCTGCAACAGGAGAAACTGTTTATGTGTGTTCTTGCTTTGTATCTTGTGTGTACTTGCAGCACATTTACTGGTGTGTTTCTACTAGTGTATTTGTTATGCATGTGTTTTTGTAGTTGTGTAGTTTCCACATTTATTGAAGATCGCTCTGACTGTTGCAGATTGTCCGCCCTTGTTGAACTCATGAGAGGATAAGCTTTTCACCTTGTCTTTAAAGTACCGCTCCTCCTGACACTCCTCATCGTCTCTCCAGACCTCAGAGGAGTTCTCCCTCTGTTTCCACCTCCCGTCCTCCAAACACTCTCTGTGAGCTCTCCTTGAAACATCTGCAGGTAGATAAAAAAAACACCGTAACAGGTTTTTTTCAGGAGTTGAGTCAAAGGACAGGCTGACAGGAAGAATAGTTAAGGGACGTTTTATTCTTTTGAAATGTGATTTTTACTTGAGCCTTAGAGGGATATTCTGGCATAAGTTTAAGTTGTGGTCAAACACACAGTAACACTGAGTTAGACACCCCCTCGAGAGATGGATTATGCCAGCTGGTTGCTTCTCTAGTTATAGCAACTTCAGCAAAGACGGCACAAAAGCAATAGACAGCGGTCTACCACTCCAAGACACACTGTTAGACAAAATCCATCTATTAGAGGAATAAGGGGTGGAAGTGCCCTTTTGAATGCGCCCAGTTTAATTAAAACATAATATAAAGCTCCCTCTGGTGCCCTTTTTTACTAAAAATCTATAAATAATTGGTTGAGTAGCTGCGCATTAAAGTATGAAACATTTTGTGAAATATGAATATGCCCTTTCAATGGATAAAACGTGACAGAGCGCCCTTTAGGTAGTTTATCTCCATTACAGTTTATATTTAGCTGAAATGTGCGGCTTGTGAGTGAAGTTTAAAACTCAAAAAGTCTTCTTTTCAACAAATCTGACTCCATTGTGAGCTTTATGCAATTATTTTTTTGATAATTATGTTTTATAATAACTCTGTGTTTTTCTTTTAGATTTTCTTCCTATCAGATGGTGCATAAATATTCACCAGACTACAGGGTTTTTTATTTTATTTTATTTTTTGTTTTTTTATTTTTTTGTCTGTGTGTGTCTTATGTTTAATTCAACTCTTCCAGTTCTGCACCATCCAGGATGGTTGAAATCAAGTTTTTACGAACCCGGCAAAAATCGGGTCTGTGCATCTACCTTATGATTACTGAGCGATAAATAGAGACGGAAAACTTAAGAGTTAAAAACTGGTCTGCAAAATGCTACAAGTGGCAGATCTTCACTACTTTCTGTGTGGTGGTGCTTTATGGCAGACAGGAGACCCCCTCTTTATATTCCCACCTCTGAGGGGTAAATGAGAGTCACAGTACAGATAAAATAGAAGACCCAAGTCCCACACATTTGTCAAGCAGACCCGGTCAACCCTCTGGACACGCCCCTGCTTCACATATTTCTCTTTTCTTTTTGCTCATTAGGTCATGTGCTTACCATCACTGATCCACGGGAGGTAAGAAGGACAGGGCACAGACACATTTCCAGGAGGAGAGTGAGGCCAACACAAGAACATGTCAAAACTTCCTTTGCAGAAGATTCCTGAAAGAAAGAAAGAAACAAACAAACAAACAAACAAAAAAGTGACAACTAGACTTCAGTGACAACAAACAGGGGGTTCAAAAGTCAGGCATTTGTGAAGAGGCTCACCAGTTTGTGTCTGAATGGAGGCTGACAGAGATCTGTTACAGTTCTCTGAATATTCACCCCGTTTAGCGATCAGACTCTCGAGGACAGAGCCTGAAACCTGTAGAGAAAGAAAAAAAATAAAATAGCTACACTTTTACAATTTGGCCACTAGGGGGTAGTTTAATCCTTCAAAAGTCAGGTTTGTATCAATTTATTCATAGTCCTCTTTTCCCAGTTGGAGAGCAGACTAGGTCCAGTAGCGCCCCTTTGGGATATGCTGGAACAAGAGATCCACACCATAGATGTGCAGCTGACAAATCTGCAGCATCTGTATGACGCTCTGAGGTCAATATGGACAAAAACACCTTTCCTTTCCAACACCTTGTTGAAAGTATGCCGCCAAGAATTAAGGCAGTTCTGAAGACAAAAGGGGGTCCTGACTGGCAATCATTTGTTGAACATATTTGATGATTTGCTGCCCACTTGGTTGGCCCCACACAATTCTGATCGTAAATATTGAACATGTTTAATATTTATGTTCCCTGCTGATGAAGATGATAAACGTTGTCTGCATCAGTGTCTCCCTGCAGTGACACAAACACACCTCTTTATCCTCTCCTGATGTTTAAATGATGTCATAAAAGGTTAATGCATTTTACTCACTGATCACATCCTTAATGCTTTGTCATTAATAATGAGTCTGACTAAATCTGCTGTCGTTAAAGTGACTAATTAGCATTTTCATTATTTCAGAGACAAGCTGCAGACACAGCTGACCTCGCTGCCAGTCACAATTCAGTCAGAGTCCAGGTCTCTCCTACACTCTAAAAACCCAGGGTTGAAAAGGGACCGACAACTTATTGGGTTATTTTGACCCAGAATGTTGGCTTATTCAAATTAACCCAAATTTTGGGTTGACTCAATAATTTTTTTAAGGGTCAAGTTAGCCCAATATTCAAGTTGATTTGACTCATGATCCTGGGTAAAATTGATATAAGCATTTGGGGTTTTTTTTTTTTTTTTGGGAGCTTCGCTTTTACAACCTGTACCTTATTTTTCCATGTACTTTTATCTAACTGATTCCCACCAATCAGTAACGCACTCATGTTTATAAGGTAGGCCATAGCGCTAAGGGTGATGCCTAAGGACGCACGCTGGTAGATGTAGTTCACTCCTTACAGATGTGTCTCATACGGGATTCTAACCCCAACCCCTTGGATGCTCTACATGCTGAGCTACCCCAGCCGCCCAATATCTATTGGGGAAGCTACCCCAATATATATGTCATATATATATATATAATATTTATATATAATGTTTATATCATATTGTATATAAAATCAAAGTCAAAGTTCACAAGGTCACCTGGTCACTTTAATTGCCATTGGGCCTAGAAACCACGTAGAGTCAATCGAACCCAACGTTCTGACCCAATTATTGGGTTACTCTCAGAAAAATAACCCATAATATTTAACCCAAAAAACCCTCAAATTGGGTTACAGTAGAATCAATATGACCCAAAAAATGGGTATGGATCTGAAAAATAACTCAGAAATTTAACACAACACGTATAACCTGGTAATTGGGTTGAAGAAATAACCCACGAGTTTTTAGAGTGTATCTCCTATGAACACACCTAATCCTCTCACCTCAGTGAGACAGCAGCTGAACTCTGATACCCTCACCTGTCTGATTAGTCACCTTAACACACCTGAGAGACACAGATGTCTACTGTGAGTCCATGGATACGGGAACATTTAGTCTGCTGAGGACCGCGTCCAGGAGCTACTTTCTCATTGTCATCTTTGTTGTGTTCTTTAGTACTTAAGATACCCAAAATTTCCTTTTAGTTGTGAAATACGGAGTATTTGGACCACATTAAAGATTTTTTCTTTCTAGATTTTGAAAAATTTTTGTGATAAGATTAAGGTCAACAGAAAAAAGTCACAATGTGACATGAATAAGGCCATATCTTTACGAGGATAATGTCTTTGGGTTTCTAAACAAAAATCATAATCAGACAAAATCAAAGTCAAAGAAAAGCCAGGAATAAAGTCAGAGTAAAGTCAAAATATTTCAGGAATAAAGTCAGAATAAAGTCAAAATATTTCAGGAATAAAGCAGAGAAAATCAGTATCTAGGGAGAATAAAAGGTTGTAATGTTACAAGATAAGAATCATTTTTCTACAAGCATTAAGTCATCATTAAGTCATAATCTATCAATGGTTTTACTGTAGTTAAGTCAAATTTTCACTGGAATACAGTTGTTGTAAAGCCATAGTCTTACCAGAAAAATGGTTATGTTTCAACATTTAATACATAATCCTCAGTAGTTGTAGAAAAGTCATAATCTCAAAAGAATAAAGTTGAAGCTGTAATTTAACCATAATCCTATCAAGAATGTTGTTTTATATGAGATTGAAGTTAAAATCTTACAAAATTTAAGTGAAAATGTTATGAGATTAAAATGACCATCTCATGAGGAATAAAGGAAATTTGTAATGAGATTTGACTCCTTATGTTATGAGAATAAAGTCACAGTAAAGTCATAATCTTTCAAGAGGTCATTATTTTACCAGAGTTCAGTCATACATAAGCCTTTATCACAGGAGAGAAAAGAAAATATTTTCCAAGATTAAAGTCATAATTGTAGTGAAGCCAGAATCTTACGGGAATACAGTGGAGGTAAAGTCCTTATCTTGTGTGAATAGAATTCTAGTTAAGTCATTTTACATGATAAAAAAAGTAGATATGTTACAAGAATAAAGATTTTTGAGTGACCAACTGTCTGGTTAATTTGTCTCCTCAGATCTACATAGTCATAAGAATCAGGATTCTGAAAAGACAGATCAAAAAGCTGAGACCTGTACAATCCCTCTTTAAAACAGAATTATAAGGCTCATCTTTCACTACACTAAAAAATAATGACTTCATATTTGAAATCTTCCTTTTTTTTCCTTATTTGGTCCTGATACTTAACTGCTTAACTTCTGCTCGACTCGTAGGTAGAGGTTAGAGGACTTCACTCTTTCTTTTGCTATTTTAATTCTATCTTCAGATCGTTCATTATATTGAGTTAAACTTGCAAGAAATAGTTTGTGTTTTTGTCTTGTAAGGTTCAGCAGCTGTACCTGTGAGAATCACATCACAGTGAGAGGAAGTTCAACCCCTGAGAGAAACAGAATCAGGGTTTCTGCTCTCAGATTCTCTCTTTCTGTCGTGTCTGTTGGTTTTTTGGTGAAACTCTCAGTTTTTAGCTGGTTATGAAATTAAACTATTGAGAGCATGCTTTAGATAAGGGTGAATTTGCCCAAGTCTTCTTATTTCTTGAAGTCTTTGCAGAATATTTTGCACAGACTGCAGGGAATTGAAGACAACATCACTCTCTATCTCTTTTTCTGGTTTGTTTTCATTCTTTTATTAATTCTTAACCCTTATTTGAACCAATATACAAGAACATTTGTCTCTCTTTCTTTCTCTCTCTCTTGTTACTGACTTATTTTCACATGCATGTCACCAAACTGCTGAAGTGATTTCAGACAGTTTTCTCATGATTGTGCTCATAACTATTGATTCAGAAACATTTTAGCTCTTTATCTGTCTACATTTAATGCTTGAGAAGGACTAAAGTCTGAGTGGCCTAAGAGGCTTTTTATTTCTGTGTATGCATTCATACAAATTATGAATTTACCTGCAGGTTGTAGCTGACAAAGCAGAGTAGGAGCAGGACCATGTGTCCTGCTTTGCCCCAGAGTTTCTGGCGCCTGCTTTGCAGGGTCGGCATCATGCTGAGTTTACATTGACAATCAGCTGGCTTCTGGTTTCTCAGCCTGTCTGCCACCTCACACCTGAGCCCCACACCTGCAGGACCTCCTTATCATCCTGCTTTTATGTCCACTCAGTTCGGCTGTCAGATGTGATGATCTCGCAAGAAGCTCCAGAAACATCTATTCAGACTTTGCAACAAAATAGAAGTTTTTCCCCTTCAGCTTGTGGTGTTTGGAATAATGGTGCCCAAATGTTTTCCAAAGCCCCTCTATGGTTTTCAGTGGGTTCTTATCCTGAATGGAAAAGTTATTTGCGAAATTTTTTGTGGCCTTATCCTTCGTGAAGAAGTCCCACGCAGTCCTCGGTTCATGCAGCCCTCTCGGCTTGTGCAGTAGCTGGATATGTGAGAGAACGCCCTGTGGATCCTCACCCTCAAGAGACCTCCCCCACTAACCAGTCCAGATAAGACCCAGGGGGAGCGGCTGCATAACTTGACTAACTTTGTTGTCGAGGAAAAATGATCAGGGCAGAGCAAGTCTGATGAACCAACAGTCAACACACACACACAAACACACAGCAGCAGATACCACCTGCACTGTAGTGTAAAGACCCCCCTCCTCGCACACACACACACACACACTCCTGTTCCTCTGTGCACCTCCAGGGTCTCTGACACTAATGGAGATCTAATGTAAACTGAGAGCAGAGAGGCCAAACAGGAGAGCAGATGGAGATACAGAGGACCGCACGCTGTGTAACCAAACAACTATTTTGGACAAATCTCTGGACGAGGAGAGTGTTTTTGCAATGACACTTACATTTAATATCAAAACTTCATTCATACAACACTTTTTATGTAGAGCTGAAAGTTAAAAAGTGCTCAAGAAAGCGTGAAAACAGGAGAAAAAGACTAAGTGGTAAAATAAAACCAGAGCAAAGAAAAGACACAAAATTGAGTAAAAATATCAACAACAAACAAAACAACACCTACTGTGGGGACATTTACAGACTTAAAAATAGCTTAAGACTCCGTAGAACATGGCCCATCTGATGACAGCCTTGAGCTATATGGCGTTAGAGAGATAGTACACTTGTAGATGAAAAGTTATCTTCTTGATAAATATCAAAAGGTTTAAGATTGTTGATTAAAGTTCATTATGGAGTCCCACAAGGGTCAGTGCTTGGCCCACAGCTTTTTATACCTAGTGTTGTCGACATCTACATTTGTTCAGACGGATAAAAAAAGTTGATTTGTCAACATTTAACTACTTCGGTTTCCTACTTTGATGCGTGACTAGATACATAATAGGGTTATAATGATGACACAGAGCCACTGGGATCACGGTGTTTGTGCACACAAATTAAGAGGGGACAATACAAATGTAGATAAAATTTTTTAAAAATTAAATATTAGAGGATTAATTCAGATAGGATTGTATTTAATGATTTCCAGCACTCCTGGTGAGTCTGTTCGCATAATAATGATATGCTACTATTTCGTAAAGTTAGCAGATAAAGGTCCAATTTTTCCAGAAAAGTTAAACAACACCAACCCAAAAATGTTCTTCTGCTTCTCTTGTTAATGCGTTACATTTTTAGAGTCTAATAAATCTACATATATGGAAGCTGAGTTTATTTAATATTTCACATAACCGAGAGTTTTAAGTTCATATGCAGCTGTGTTTGACGTCTCAGACACTCCTCAGTCTGCTTCACTGGTTTTCCCTTAATACAGATCTGATTTATTGAACACAGACTCAGAGAGAGTTTTTAACCATGAGCAGCATTTTAAATGAGAACACTTGAGCGCTTACTTTAACTCCTCTTCATCCTCTCCTCCTCCAGCAGAGTCTAGCTTTAAATAAAGATCCACCATACTGACACCCCGAGGATACGTCCGCCTCAAACTGTTTACTGACACTCAAATCTTTTTAAATCACAATCAAATAACTCTCAGTGAATATTTCCTCCCTCTTCTTAAAGACACACTGTTGATGCATGGCTCTGTCACCACTGTGCATGGCCTTTCTTATGAAGCAGGGACAAATTAGATCTCTGCAGTTTCAGGAGTAATGACAGGTCTGCTGCTCTATGAGCTCAAGAAACACAATAATGATCTGAATGATATTCCCTCTGTCATAGATTCTGTCACATCCACAGCAGAGAGATATCTAACTGCTCCATCAACCTGGAGGGAAAACACAGATACAGTTACCCATGATGCATCACTGTGGTCTAGTCCTGTCCTGATGTTTAAACAGATAAATACACAGCAAGCCTTTTATTTACTCCTCGCTTCAATATAATGTGACATTTCTGTGAAGTTTCTCCTTTATTCTAGATGAGCTGGAGTTATGGATTTGTTGTCAAGCTAAGCTTTTGTTTTCTTTCACAGCTTAACCTTTAGTTGCACAAATCAATATTTCAGAACCAAAATTTAGTGATATATGAATGATTAATTTGGAGCTTACTGCTTAATGGGAAGGTCCTTTTAATGATAACCAAACCCTGCAGCTCTAGCCTGAAGCAGGATTTGTTGTTATAAAGGTGACTTCAGTGTCAGCTCTACCAGGGTAGATCACCATGGTAACTGATGCTACACCTAACTTGTGCAGGCTTCTGCAAACAGAATATCAGCTGTCATGGAGACCCACAAATTGGTTTTACTTACGAGATGTAATGACATGCATGTTTATTTTCACTTTGAATTACAGTATGTCTTCATATTCATTTTCATCAGGGGTGTACTCAAGCTGTTTGAGGGACAGGGGTGAAAAAAGTAAAGGGCACCTGCCTTATGCAGCTTACACTTGCTTCATGAAGATCTACCTCTGGCAGCATTTCCAAGACTGTTTTGCAGCTCCTGAGTTTTCTGTTACTCCTCTCAGCATTCTGCAGTTGCACAACACCTGTTGAAAGATTGCTTGTCCAAAGAGCCCAAACAGTGGGCTGGTAAAACAACCCAGGAGAGAGGATAGCCTGGAGGTTACACATTTTAAGCAATTATCACTTAAAGGGATATTTCAGGGTAAAAGCAAGACTAAAAAGGTATGGTTTGAGTTTGCTTTTAAAATCATTCAGATTAGGTTAGATTTCTTAGATTAGAAAGTGCCCTAAAATCAAACTTCTTATAGTCAGACAAACTTGGCTGAATGATGCGGTTGGACATCCATTTTCTCTGTCATGTTTACAGCTCTATCAAACAGAAACCAGCCTAAGCGCTCTGCACATGATTCAGTGTTCACACACCGGGCCCTGAGCTGGTGGTTGAATAGCTTGGATGCGTTGCTAGGAAGCCAGTCCTCGTCAGACAAAGAACAGGCATAAAAAAGACGAAACTTTCAGAACAAATGGCACAGGGCTGTAAAAGTGAAGCCAGATGTTTAGATCCATATCAGGTCAAACAGGAGATTACTTGATAATAACAGGCTGAAAAGAAGGATTAGCCAACTACCATAGCAGAGGCGGACACGCGTCTGTCTGTAATTCAGTTTTTTTTAGTGCATGTAAACTGGGACAAGAAAAGTAGTCCAGTTAAGTCACCAAATAGAGCGATTACTATAGTTTGACTGACCTGAATGTGTAAAGGTACTGAGTTATTTTCATGATTTCCACACCTCCTCTATTTGATATTTATCGCTGAAACTGTATCTATTGAAGATTTTCGCGGCGCTTAAAAGATCATTTGAAGAAATTAAAAACATGTTATTGGAGTCAGATTTTATGAGCAGCAATAAGGAAAAGAGATTGTCATTCTTTGTTTGTACACTTACTCTAATAGACTCCTTCCAATTAAACCAATTATCTGTATATGAACACTCACTAGGATAAGAGCATCACAGAGTTGAAATGCTGACAGCTTATCTCCATAATTAGACGCAACACAAGAGCAAACTGCAGAGATTGGAGTGTTAGTGCTTGAATATCATCAGTGCCATCTGTTTTATGAATGAGATGTTATAATGACCATGCTATTCTTGGTGATATTAGAATGTGACACCAGTGAATTCAGCCTTTTTGATTTTTGCATCATCCCTCATTCCGAACTCAAAGTTACTGAGCAGCGTTATGAAAGGGTTGCCGTTTGTTTTGAGTTTGTGTTTGTTTGTCAGGTCAAACAGACATTAAAACAGCAGGTGGAAACACTCATTAAGTTGAATTTCGATGATGTAATAATGTCTTCAGTGTCCACACTGATCAAACTGACCCTGTGTTATGACAATGTTACATAAATTCCTCCTCAGCCCGCACACACGGCCGTAAAACATCCAGGGAGTGACCTTAGAGAGAGAGTGTTCAGAGAGGTCAGCCACATTAACATGCCAGTGTGTTTAACTACTACCCCCCCATGTGTGTGTGTGTGTGTGTGTGTGTGTGTGTGTGTGTGTACGTGTGTGTGTGTAGGGGGTTGCTCTAACACGTGTCAGGTAAACACAGTTCTGCAGATGTTTACGCTCTCCCGCTGATGTTCAGAGAGTGTTTATCAGAGAGGACAGGTGTTATTCAGAGTTTTAACAGGTTGCTGTGTCGGTCTGTAAACTGTTTGGATGTGATGCCTGCAGGACAGACCGGGGGGTTTGTGAGGGGTTCAGACATCTTCAGGTGAAGAGCACTAACCTTTCTCAGTAAAGAGGTGGCTGGATGGCTCAAGCTACGAGCAATGACAACCTGTGTGAATAAAGGGCAGCAGACATGGGGTGAGGTCATGACCTCTTCAGTAAAAGCCTCTGTGATCATGGCCTACATTATTAAAAATCATGAATTCAAAGTGTCATTTAGCATCAATGAAAAGCTGAGTTAAACTAATCACCCATGACTGTTACTCTGAAGCCAGAATGTGTCTCGGCATTGTCTTTCTGAAATCAGTGGGGACGTCCCTGAAAACGACGGGGCTCTGATGTCGGCGGATGTTTCTTTTAAACCTGTATGTACCTTTCAGCATTAATGGAGTCTTTACAGATGTGGCAGTTGGCAGTGGGCACCAACACGGTCCATCTCAGATGTCTCAGATGAGCACGG